TTTTGCGTTTGGACAATTACCGACCCGTCACCTGCAGAAAACGATGAAAATAGGTGTAGCGCGGCACATTCAGCTTGCCTCAATACGTGACATCTTTGCTACATTTGGGGATGAAAACCGTTTATGGATCGATCTCATGATTGTAGGTCAGTCTAGCCCAGATGACTGTTCTTCGAAGTGCAAAAGAGTGATATGAAGGAGAACATCGGGGTTGGTGTCCTAAATTCCCTAGCGCGCGACGGCCCGTTGCCTCGGTTGCATCCGCTGTGGCGTTCCTGGGCTGGCTGATACAGCATCCAGATTTGTATATTGGCAATAGTTAATGGGCACGGATGAATCAATTTTGCGAACTCGTCTTTCTGGTCTCAATCCGATTGGATTTGTGTTGAGGTTCCTGGGAAGTAATCTCCTGCCAAGATTCTAGAATGCTTAAGTTTGCAACCTTTAGGAACGAATGCCGGAAGCGCTTAATACCAACAACGGTCTGGAGATGCAGACGATACAAGCTGTGATTTGTTGAGCAATCTATGCCACCGATCTAGCAATTCACATCACAAACTGTGTGATTCAGTGTGGAGTGTTAGTCGGAAATCTAAAAGTTGAGGACATTCTACTGCTGATCATGAATATGTAGTGTTGGTATATATTAACAGTCTTGATTTCTATGGTGTATTTATGAATACAATTATCTGAAAAAGGTTTGATGTAATGAGAAATTGAACAATAATGTCTATTTGTTACAAATCATTGTTACGTAGTGGGGCAAAGTCATTAAATGTTTCTCCGAATTTCCCAACTTCTCCTTTCCTCTTTGTGTATAGAAAGTAACTACGTTGAAACTTTCTGTATTAACACTCAATACATTTGAACTATTGAACCACTGATTAAAAATAGCATTCTTATATTTTTACCGGCATTTCGTCAATTCATAAGATACAGCCAGGGTATACAGTAACATTACAATCGGTTGTAGTGAAAGTGATGATTAGTAGCAAATCGAAGCAAAATTTACTTATTCATTCATAAACTCGACGGGTCTTAAGTTAAAGTGTTTGGACGTTTGAAGAACCTAGATACCGAGACGCAGGTCCCCAACAGCTTATTGGTGAGAAGATTTGCGATGTGATTATTTACCAGTTTCTAATAATTGACGATATTTGAACCAGTTACTTACAAAAACTCTGCTTGTCAAAATGTCACTGAAAGGAGAGTGCGTTCTGCTATTGAGCTTGGCCAAACACACGTGTATCTGCTGCGATGCTCATCATAAGCGAACAAAATGCTGCTGGCCATGGCATCCTGACTTAGAGAAGATCGCCACTATATGCCGTTTTCGCTGCACCAAAGTGAGCTGAGGTATTATCTGAAACATGAATTTTTGAAAGCTTGCTCGAGTTGCAACGGCTTCAGAAAGGTGCAGAAAAGAGGTGGGGTTCCAAGCGTTGAATTGATACCAATGGAGCAGCTATGCGTGAGACATTACTTCCTGCGAACATTGTTCTCAGCTAGCCATATCATGAAATGGCTGTCTAAAAGAGAAGATCATTGATGAATCTTCATACCTGTACATGATGCGTCGTGCCGTTGTTTCGTTTGTTTGATGTAACCTTGTGAGCATTGTTGTGTATGTGAGGAAAGATGTAGAAATTCTCCACACTTCAACAGTCCAGCTTCAGTTGAATAGGTAGCGTTGAGAAAGTGTCAAGATATGGACTAGTTATCGTCTACGGAAGGGTAATTAGAACAAAAACTAATTCGTTGCAGAAAATATGATGGAATATTCAGTTTAGATCGAGGTGAAACTCATGACATTCTACAACCATAATACTCACCATCGTAGGATTCTTCAACCTCGTTATTCGAACATCATCTCTTGCTGATTAAAACGAAACATTCTTTCTTGTGGGGCACTGTGTTCTGTAGAATTGGTTGGCTGCCAACTTCACCGCTCGTTATACAGAGCTTGGTCTAGGTGATTGAGTCCTGCAGGAAACTCTGGTTTTGACCGTCCCCGCTCATTGTGGAGAGCTGAGCTCTGGAAAGAATGCTGAGGTTGCAGTAGTATGATGTTATCCCAAGAGCCAGAAGTTATGAGTTAGATGATCACGTCGCGTCTTATCATGAGTTGAGAGCGGGCGGAAATGTATAAATACCATGGATTCCCTCATCTAGCCCTCACATCCTCACATCTATCAACAAGCGTTCAACAACACTCTTCTACAAATTCATCTGAACTCCTACCAAACACTTTCCCCAAACTACTCAACCAACAACCTTCAAAATGGGTGTCGTCGAAAAGGGAGATACCATCTACATTCCAGCCAACACAATCACCGAGCACAAGGTGAAAGTCGAATGGCAACAAAATCTCGCCCACAAAACCCAAGATTACTATTCCGTGCCTTTCTTCAACAAGACTCAGGGTATACTATCCCTCTTTGCATCCTGTATCGGGACCTCGTAGCTAATCTCTCGATAGGAGATGAGCAAGGCGTAATCTTCATCTCAACTGCCTACCTCGACGAGTTTAAGGCCAAGAAGACAGGTGGTGAAGACCTCACCATCGTCGTTGACGAGTCTTTCCAGTATGGGCAGAACAAAGAGAAGACTACGCGTTGGTTGGCTTTCCACGATAAGAGCATGAAAGCTTTCCAGGTAAGTACTTTTTGAGAAAACCTTCAAACTCTCATCTCATAGAGAAGATACTGACCAATTATATTAGTGGAGATTTGTTGCCAGTGCCAAACAAGCGTTCGGAGACAAATTGTCATCATTTGCTGGCGGATTCCTCAAGACGTATATCATGGTTGATATCAGTGCCCTGTCCGGCTTTCTCGGTGACCCTCTTCGCAACTTCTAAGCGGTTTTACATGCCTGGGGAAGGGAGAAATCATGTGGTGGAAGGGATTTGCGGGTGGAAGGATGGATGTTTCGAAATCTGGAGAAAAGTCATTTGAACTGTTACACTCATTTAAGCGCGATTAGCAGATTAATGAAACTTATCATTGGTCAAACCTAAGGAGCCCTTCCTTTTATAATTCCGTGCCCAATGAGTGCTGCATAGCTAAGAGGTAAAATAGCTACTCCATCTACTCGTGATTCTGTCCGGCCGTCAAGGACGTCGTAGCTTTTTAAGTTTCTCTTATGAAGAAGATTCGGCTACTTGATAACTATGCGAAAAATTGAGGAATACCCATACAGAAGTTGATCCTCTGTATCATTTCTAGAAATATATTAATACAATTAGCGGGGTAGCGGAATTGACGAAGCCATCGAAGTTCGACAATTTCAAGCCACGCAAGGGATGAACTGATCAAGTTGTTACCTCGCTTCAATTAACCGCACCACAATCATTTCGTACGACTGTTTCAAATAGCAGAGCTCGTATTCAGTGCTCGTAATTAATCACATGCAAGTCTCTCATACCTCAAAGACCGAAATTGTGGCCACTGCAGAACCTAATAACAGCGTTTTCGTACTGCATTCTGCTGTAAGACAAGCCAGACATCAGACGCAAGCGGCCATATCGCCTATGTTTCACACCACCTTCTTCGAGGTGAATTGAAATTTGTGACTCGGTGGCGTCTCCACCTTGCTGTTTGCAGCATGCGTGAATAAATTTGTGGCGTGAGAAAAGCCGTACAAAGGAAATCTGTCGTAAAGCTTCTTGTTTACCTTCCTACAACCTCAACACCCACACTCGTTTTACACCTCCACAAAACACCAACCAAATTTGCACTTGCATACCACAATCGTTTCTCAATATAATTGATCTAATATCATCTCAATCGCAAATATGAAGTTCACCTCCGTCGTCGTCCTTGCTGCTGCAGGCATTGCCTCCGCGCAAAACTTGCAAGGTATTCCAGAGTGCGCCGTAAGTTGAATCATTTACTCCCTAGATTCCTTACACCTAGATCGAGACTGACGCGTCAATCAGGTTAAATGCATTCGTGATGCCATTGAGAAAGCCGGCTGCTCTCTTACAGACTCACCATGCCAATGCGGTCCCAAGCAAGCCGACATTGCCGACAACGCAACTCCATGTGTCGTTTCCTCTGGCTGTACTCCAGTAGAGGTCGGTCTCACTGCCAACCAAGGACAAGCCCTCTGCAAAGCATATCTTGCTGGTGCCGGTTCCAACGCTACATCCTCTGTCATCCTTTCCTTGAGCAGCGTCATTACTGCTGCAACCATTGACGGAACTGTTGGACTGATCACTGTTCTCCCTACCAATGGCACTCGACTCTCAACAAGTGGTAAACCTACTGCTATTTCTTCGACTACCGCTAGCAGTGCTTCATTATCTGGCGCTCCCAAGACATCTTCTTCAAGCGCTGGTGCGGCTCAGACTCTCGTTGCTGGGATCGGCGGTGCAATGGCTATCGTTGGCGGAATCATGGCGGCCTTGTAATTAACTTGATTTCCTTTCATATCTTTGGAGAGTGGAAGTAATAGAGTCATCGGGGAGGAGATGGCTTGACAAAAAGCAGCGTATGGGGAATTTGTTTATAACGGAAGGAGTAATGGCAATGGAGTTTTCAGGATCTCGACCCAAATAAAATTCGTCATTCATTGCTCGTTGGCTATCATACAATCATGACTGAGTGTTCAGCTGCGCAACTCCAGATCTACCAGGGCAGTTGTAGAGGCGTAGGCAAGCCTTTGCCAATCGTGACTTCAGCTGTACCAATGTCACCTATGTTATTATTAGCATAGTCCCCCCCCAACGCGTTGTATTGAACTTACGTGGTCCTCTTGGTGCCCAATACTCCCCGGATTTGCTCATATCAAGCTTTTCCGCCCATTCAATCAAAGTCTTAGCAGCTTCATCCGGAGTTACAGCTCCTCCGTCGTCCCAGTACTTGTCAAACCCTACACCAGCAGTCATCTCGGTCCGCATAAATCCAGGGTGCAATATGCTGATGATGACACCTTCATCCTTGAGGTCCAGACTGAGAAGCTTTCCGACCATATTCAACGCAGCTTTGCTAGCATGGTGTCCATAGTTTCCACCTCCCTCCTTCTCGTGTCGCAAGGTTATGGAACCGGATTCGGAAGATATCAGGAGGACCTTGGAACCCTTGGTCAAGTACTTCGCGCGAGTCAGGGAGTGGACGATGAATGGTGGGGAGATGGCGGAAGTTGCTGCAGAGGAAGTTAGCCTTGGTCTCTTGACGACAGCTAGTTGAAGCTTACTGTACATCTTGACTTCCTCCTCCCACTTCGGACCTTCAACGAAGTCTTCAGTTGCAAAGTATCCAGCAGTGATAAACTGTATTCCGTCAATATCTTCTATCCCCTGCAATCCTAATTGCCTTGTGTCAACTTACCACAACGTCAAAACCCCTAACCTCACTGTCGCCCCCCACCATTCCTCCAGCAACACCTAGCGATCCCAGTTGGTTGACCAGTCTCTTTCCAACGCCACTGTCACTAACATCAATGTTCGGAACCCATGCAATCTTCTCATCAGGTCCTTTAGGGGCGGTTGCGGCTCGTGTTGTTCCATAAACAGTCGTGTTTGGTTGTGAAGCGTATGCATTCGCAAGAGATGCTCCAAGGCCCCTCGTAGCTCCGATGATCAGAACGTTGGGCATCTTGAGTCTTCTCTACTGTCTTTGTTATGAAAATAGCAGGAGAGATAAAGGATTTAGAAAGAGAGGAAGATGGGGAGAATGTAAGTTGCGGCAGTAACGTTCTGGATCGTTATCGCTATCGGGCACATAGAAGTGGGGCTTTAATAGCACGTCTTCAGAAGCCCTTCAAGAATCCCTTCTACAAAGAACTTTCACTGCTGCCAAAATATTCCCAATAGACAGGCTCAGCCTATCATCACTATTCGGCTTATTCGATTTATTCAGACATGGAAAGGCTTGAACCAGCGAACAGCTTGCTCGATGCCAAATAAATACCAGAGATTTTAACCTTGGATGACAGTTTCAGTACGAAGACAGCCATTCAACATTCCATCGATACAGCAGGGTTCTACCAATGACAACTCCAGCACTCTATTTCCAAGGGTAGGGGCTTGAGTCGCTATACGCAGGAAAGAAGGAACTTGGATTTATTTCGGGAAGATCACCAGTGTGTTGCATGTCTAATGGGAGCCCGTAGGGGAGAATAACGATATTCTGCCCGATACCTTATATATACCCATTGATCTCGATTCAATACAAAATTTTATCTTCATCAGTAAGAGCCAGATATATCTGTCAAGGAAGGGGTGTGAAATTCGCTTTCTGATATTTTGGCTCTTGGAAGGTCCAGTCGGTCCTTAAACACACAGGTGGATTAAACTGGATACAGAAGTGTACAGCAAAGTAATGGTAAGTGTGTTCGGATCAGGGAGTTCTATTCGTATCCTTGCCATATACCAAAAAACATTACTCGAAAAAGCTTCACAAATCTAAGCTAGATGACTGTCGTGAATCGTGTGCACCATTATCTTCATCCACCAACGTGCATGGCGGTTGGAACATCGTGGTTGGAACATCACTCAAGCCTCTGAGATCACACTTCAACTACTTCAAGGTATAAACTCAAGAGGGTTAGCATCATACTATGACAGCTTTTCAGCCAGCAGAATGAGAAAGACTTTGGCCTTCATCTGCTCGTCGCTCGGCTTAGGATTGCTTTCCATCGCCCAACAGACTGGCGAGACGTCGCAGCAATTGCTACAACAGCCTGGGGTACATTTTATATGTCCTCTACCAAAATGCAGATGTCCTTCCGAAACGGAGTTGTCGGCTCCTGGAATCGGGTTTGCTTTAGAAATGGGTTATGGCTATTTTTGCCTTCTCACTGATTACAAGCCGGTCAATATGGCTGACAAAATGCCCAACATAGAACAGCGTCCATCAAATATAACAATGGCACAATTATACCTATAGCCAAGATCAATGGCCTACCTCAATACATTACTTTGATGAAGGTTTTCGCGACAGGTCCTGTGCAACGAATATCGAGTGGGATAGAGCCACCTTTCCGGGGCGACGAAAGCGACATGAATGAGCATTATAAAATTTTGGGTCTCTGGGCGTGGTACCACGTCAAACGTCATGTTAACAAATTCTTTTTTCGCCCAGCATCACCCGATGTTAGGATCTTAGCAGAAATGATATCGAAATTGCGCGTGGAAGTCGAGACTCATCTAGGAGTAAAGATGAGAGGTGCATCATTATCTTCACCAGTTGGAGTTCACCTTAACGACTGGGAAATCAAAGACGTTTTCGACTTTCTCGGAATGGAGGACTTGATAAAGGACAAACACAACCCGGTGTTCTTCTCCAGGCTCGTGTCAATGTCTGCAGCAATGGCCGGTTATGGTCGAGGGCTTTGTGTGACCTATACCGACCCATATCAATGTCGTACAGAAGAAAGTAGACTTCCAAGTTATCGAGTGCTTCACCTGGACTACAATAAACAGGCCCTTAGCGGAACGTTCAATCGAGTCAGCGACGTCCGAAACACTCTCTTTGATAATTACTTTGCGGACCTAGAACTAGGCAGTGAACAATTGCATCAGAACCCGGCGGAAGAAGGGGAAGAAGGGGAAGACTTAGATACTCTATCTCGTCTTAGAAGATTTTTCGGGTATCTAGAAGTCGATCAAAACCGGGAGAAATGGAAGGATCACTTATTCACTCTAACTATGCGTATTCAACAGTTCCTCGGATCCCAAAAAGTCGACACTTTGCTAATGACCGGCGAAAGCGCAACCGAACCGCGCTTTATACAAGCTGTTAAGAACGCTTTATCAGACCGTGCTTCACTGCAAGTAATGTCCCAGCTAGAGGAGATAAATTCAGAGACGTCGGAGCGGTCACTCTACGCTACATCGATGGGTGCGGCTGAGTTTGCTAAGCGTAGACAGGAGGGGATGGGCTGGTGTCGGTTGCCAGATAACTGTCCTAAACGAACAATTGGAAAGTCTTGGAAGAGAAATGGAGAATATTGAACACATGGAGGAATGTATGTGAATCACAACTTTTCCATCTCTTATAATAACCGATTATTATCAGCCTTATCAGGCGATTCGCTGAATTCAGAGATGGAACGTGTTTGGAAAAGATCTCTCTGTGATTTTACACACGCTATATTAGACACCGATGTGTTGTTGATCCTATTGGACACCTTGCGGTATCTGGTAAGATAACTTTAGAATCTCCTCAGTGGACTATATTTACTCAATCTGTTCGAGTAGACATTGACTTATTCAAAAAGGACCTATAAGGATTCAAGGAAAAAAGTGTTGGAAAATTGGTTTCATTTCCAACATTACAATTGAAGAATGTCCTGTCAGTCCTGCAATCCACTTGTGGTAGTGAGTACTACTAGTGACTCTAATTTTGTCTGCATTTGAAAATGTCGCGAAGCTGATCGTTGGGGCCTGAATGCTGAATGTATCAAATTAAATCACGAGTATTTTGTTCTTGGAAATGTCGGGAATCATAAACAGAGTCGCTGGTTTTTCCGGCCTTGCGAAGAATGAAGCTGACCGATGATCTAATTTTAGAGTTCGGCGTCGAACAACTACCACATTAATCTGTTTGAATAACAGCTTGATCTCAGAGTTTGATGGTATATTCCCTCTCGAAAGAAGTCAAGTGTGGAGGAAGGTTATTCCTAGCTTCCCTATTGAAGTGCGAGATTTGTTAATACGGAATGATAATGCGACACGACGTGCTCTAACAATTGATTATCTTTCAACTAGAGAATATCGAAATATACATAATGTATGCATTATATCTTCGTGGTTTTTCCCACAGACAAAATCTGCACCTCTTATTTTCAAAGTCAAGATGGCAGCATCTGAATTCTGTTCCTGGTTTAAGTATCTTCCTTCGAAGGAATCCACGTTTTCATAGATATAGAACGCCCGTTCTCCATCCACTAAAAACTACAGCCGCGAATTTGCTCGTCAACCCAGCATACTCTGCCATCTCATCCACGCAATACGATCTCAAACTCTCGAATTCCCATTCCTAAATCTTAACCACTCGTAACACCCAACACAATAATCCCCACCACACCCGACACCCAAACAACCAAAAAGATCCCCACAACCCACTTCGCAACTTTCTTCGTCCTTTCTGTCGCTTCCTGTTGAGCCGGTGTACCGTATTCAGGTTGTGCAGCCAGGAACTGAATATCCTGTGGTGTGAGGTGATGAGTTTGAGCTAATGTGAGGAGGGAGGTATGGTGGTGGTTGAGATTAAGTTGTGAGATTGGTGGTAAGCTGGAGTTGAGTTCTGGGGTGGATGAAATGTCATTGTGGTTTTGGGGGATTGGTGGTGCGTATGGTGGAAGATCATCAAGATTTTGCCCCTGCGATTCGAGATCGTGAGTAGGAAGTTTAGTATATCCCATAATCCCGTATCGTTTCTTTCCTTCCCCTATCAATTTTCTCTCAATTTCCCTTCTCATCCTCTCCTCATATACGGAAGTCCCGTACAGCCCCCTCCCCCCTACCCAACTCAGCCGCATCAGCCACCCTCCTACAAAGCATCATCGCAAACCCCACCGAAAAAACAACCACAACGACTGCAACCAATGCCGCAAACTTCTTTGCGTCCCTCTGATCCTGTTTCAATTGTTCGGGCGTCCACCTCGACTCATAGGGCTCATACTGTGGCAGGCTAGCCAAAAACTTTATATCCCGTGCGGTCAGATGATTCTTTTTCGCCATGTCCATAAGCGAGTGGTAATCATGATAGAGAGATCCTAGATCTTTGGTGGAACGTCTTATGTATGCCATTCTTTATGTTAAGATTTTGAAACGGAATGAGGATGGTTGTTGTGGTTGAATTTCTGATTTTTGGAGGCGCTTCATGGGATTTTTATTAGTGTAGTGTGAGACTTTTAGTTAAGAGTCCGTTTGCTTGTAGACCGACGAAGTAAGGAACTATGATGCTCGGGAGTAGGTAGTGCTCGCTCGGCTCTTAGAAACCTAAACAGATAGGAGACTAATTAGATAGTTAGCCAGGCTACAAAACCACATTATTTTTGGTGACAAAACACCCCAAAAAATGGGAATTACTCAATCAAATGTTCTTTGAACTCACATGTGTAGAGCACATCGCTTAGCTATATACCACTATATTTCTCATTGCCTCAGACTCGAAGGAGAACGAGAAAGTAAGCATCACCAAGGGATACGCTATTTCACGAGGCACCCAATCGTAACACATTCGTTAAAGATACCTCTAATTGACGTAGATTATGCTACCATGATTCTCGAACTAGTTCAAGGAGCTGGAGACTGACTTGACACTCTCTCATAGCGACTTTCTTTGCCAAGCTGCCGACCGTAATGGCGCCGTCTCCATCTTCGACGAAGTCGTCCCCTCATAGCGGCAAGCAAGGCTAACACAATATGGTACCTGATAGGACGATGATAGGCAAGTCCTCCGACAATTATTTTTTCCTTTGGTTGAAGGAAGGAATAGGTATCGGTAAAAGAGGGGGTTTGGTTTTGAACATAATGTATATAAGGGGATATATTGAGCGAGCTGAAGATGTAATTAAGTGTTTTGAAGAGAAGTGTTTTGAAATAACAGTGAGTGAGTGGCTGTGCGTATACGATATTAAATTGCGCTTCAGAGTTTAAGGAATTAATATAGGTAGAACGAGGTTAAGAGTGTAGGTATTTTGTTACATACCCTCGGTACTAAGCGAAAGGGTCAACTTTTGAAAGTTGCCATAATTTACACTCGAGGACAATAGGTCGAGAGTAAATGAAATCTTCTCAAGCGTTATTTTGCTACGTAGGTATATTTATATATATAACGTAAGGATGTTTAAATTATCAACACTCTATTATCCTGCTAAAATCAGTTTTCGCTTCCCTCTCTATCCTTACACTTTGTCCTCCCGTTATATACATCTCCTCATATACATCTCCTCATACACATCACCTTCACATACCACTCTCCTCCTCACAACCCCCTCCCAACAACAACAACCCCAACCCCAACCCACCCCAACACAACACACCCACAAACCCCCAAAATCAACCTCGTCCACCGCCCATCCCTCTCCGCCAGTTCACTTGTCCAAATCCCATACTCCGGCCGTCTAGCCAGAAACTGTACGTCCTTTGATGTGAGCTGATGTGATCGTGCTAGGTTAAGCAGGAATGCTTCTGTGTGGTGCTGGATTTGTTTGGGCGGATGTTTTGGGCTAGACATTTTTTCAGGATGGAGTGAGGATGGTGCTAGAGATATCCAGGTACTTTTGTGTATGGAATTGTATGGTTAGTGTGTTGTGAGATTTTAATTAGAAATCCACCTAACTGAAATCTTTACAATTGAAATCCACTTAGTTGTGGACCTTTGTGCGAAAAGAGTGACTCTTTATGTCAAATGTGGCGCGGGCGGAATCGTAGGCTTGAGTGGGTGCCGCATCAGCCGGGAGATGGAGTGGTCACGGGAGAATCGGAATCCATTTCCTACTCATAAAGGATTAAGGAATTGTTTGTTGGAAGAAAGAATTTGGCTTTCGGTTTTGGGGATCGGTCGAATCGGGGTTCTGCGATCTCGCCAGGTGTGAACGTCCAAAAAGCACTTTGTATGTGTGGCGAACGGGATAGAATATAATTTTTTAAATTTCATAAACAATCAAGAAAATAAGTGGCTAATCAACAAGGGAAAGTTTGATCTCCCTCGGATATATCTAAATCTTCTCCCATGACCTAGGATTATGCAATGCTTCCATCCTGTTAATGCCCCTCTTCCAACGCCCTCAATGAATTCCGAAAAAATAGTAAACAAAAAAAGAAAGAAAGCAAATCCTCAGTGTATCGAGGTCTCGACCGAGAAATATCTCCTCCCAAAAACGCCTGTCTTACGCCATTGTCTAACCTGGGTATACATGTACAAAATCTTTTGACTCCTAAACAATTCCTACACCATTTTATCACACACATTCACAATTAAATCAAGAACAATAATCCTACAACTCCTCCGACAAATGCGAGACCGAGACCGCCACCGATCTTCTCGGCACTGTTTGTGAGCAGTGGGCCGGAGGGCGTTGGTGTCATGATTCCGGTTCCGTAAGCACTAGATGGAGGGTTCCAGCTTGGTGTTGCGGTACCGTTGTAGTGTCCTCCTGGTGGTTTGCCAGGCTTGCTGGTAGTTACGGGTGCGCATGCGCTGCCTGCTTCGTATGGGTTGCAGGTTGCCATGGTTGTTGGTGTTGGTGTGGCGGTGGATTCGTCGGTGCAGTCGCATGGTGGCTCCTCGGTGGTAGTGGCAGGTGGTACACAATCTCCGGCTTCTGAGTCGCAGTACGGTGTTGTTGTTGGGTATGATGGAGTTGTGGTTTCTGGTGGATAGGAGTAGTCTGTTGAACTTGGAGGGCTGTATGAGTAGTCTGTTGAGCTTGGAGGGCTGTATGATTCGCTTGTGGTCTCTGATGAGCAGTAGTCTCCTTCGCAAGATGGGGTTGATGTTGGAGGACTGTAGTATGATGATGAAGAAGTGTCTGTATAACAAGATTCGCCCTCACATGTTGGTGTCGTCGTCGGTGGGCTGTATGATTCACTTGTAGTATCGTATGAGCAGTAATCTCCTTCACAGGCTGTAGTTGAAGCACTGTATGGTGGAGATGTCGTCTCTGGATAACAAGATTCTCCTTCACAGCTCGATGTTGTTGTGGCAGGACTGTATGAAGGAGATGTCGTCTCTGGTGAGCAATAATCACCTTCACAAGTTGAAGTGGTTGCTTCATATGGTGTAGTAGTAGTTTTATCGTCCTCACAATCACATGGGGGCTCTGTGGTAGCTGGAACGTCTGGGGTAGTAGTTGCTGGGACGTCCGGTGGAGTTGTAGTTTCTGTATAACATTCACTTCCAGTGCATGATGGTGTATCAGAAGTAGTAGTTGGGAATGACGGTGGTGGTGTGCTCTCGCAAGTGAGAACGGTAGAGACACTGGTTACATATACTGTTTCCGCTGGTGCTGTAGCTGTAACCGTCTTTGGAGGCGATGTCAAGGTCTCTGTCTCTTCAGGTAATGTTGCAGTCACAGTGTCTGGTTCTGCTGTAACAGTTTGTGGAGCTGCAGTTACAGTATCTGTATCCGGCTCCGCTGTGACAGTCATTGGCGGTGCCGTTACGGTATCTGTATCTGGCTCTGCTGTGACAGTCATTGGAGGTGCTGTTACGGTATCGGTCTCTGGCTCTGCCGTGACGGTCATTGGAGGTGCTGTTACAGTATCCGTGTCTGGTTCTGCTGTTACAGTCTCTGGAGCCGCTGTCACGGTGTCTGTCTCTGGAGCTGCGGTAACGGTCTCTGGAGGTGCTGTCACGGTGAGCGTTTCTGGTGGTGAGGTGACAGTCTCTGGAGGCGAGGTAATAGTCTCAGGTGGAGAGGTGACAGTAACGGTCTCTGGGGGCGAAGTGACGGTCTCTGGTGGTGATGTGACGGTAATAGTAACTGGAGATGGAGTTGCGCAAGCAGCTGTCTCTGGAGGTGCTGTTACAGTGACGGTCTCAGCAGTTGGCATTGGGCAAGAAGTTGTCTCAACTGGTGGAGGTGTAGTCGTCTCGACTGGTGGAGTGGTTGTCTCTACAGGTGGGGTAGTTGTCTCTACAGGTGGGGTAGTTGTCTCTACAGGTGGGGTAGTTGTCTCTACAGGTGGGGTAGTGGTGTAGACAGGCGGTGTTGTAGTCTCATAAGGAGGAGTGGTTGTCTCAACAGGAGGTGTTGTGGTCTCATAAGGTGGCGTAGTAGTCTCAACTGGTGGTGGTGTTGTCTCATAAGGCGGTGTTGTAGTCTCAACAGGTGGTGTAGTCGTCTCAACCGGTGGAGTAGAAGTTGTAGTGCCTGAACACTCATATCCATCGCAAGAAGGCGTAGTAGTCTCAGCTGGTGGAGGAGTGGTAGTATCGTCGCATGGCGTTGTCGTTGTTGTGCAGCTTTCGCCATAGCAAGGAGTTGTTGTCTCTGCTGGAGGCGGGGCTGTAGTGCAATCGTAGCCATCACAACCTGGAGTCGTCTCAGATGGTGGTGGTGTTGTCGTCTCTGCTGGTGGGGTTGTAGTGCACTCATAGCCATCACAACCTGGAGTCGTCTCAGATGGTGGTGGTGTAGTCGTCTCGGCTGGAGGTGGGGTTGTTGTCTCTGCAGGTGGTGGTTCAGATGTTGTGATTATTGGAGGAGTGCAATCATAACCATCACAGCCTGGAGTTGTGGTCTCAGCAGGCGGAGGGTAAGTGGTCTCTGCTGGCGGTGGTGTTGTTGTTTCTGCTGGTGGTGGAGTGGTTGTCTCGTCACAAGGCTCAGTAGAAGTAGTTTGAGCTGGGGGAGTTGTCGTCTCTGCAGGCGGAGGGTAAGTGGTCTCAGCAGGCGGAGGATAAGTGGTCTCCGCTGGTGGTGGAGTGGTTGTCTCGTCACAAGGCTCGGTAGTAGTAGTGTGAGCTGGGGGAGTTGTTGTTGTCTTATCATCGTCGCAAGGTTCAGTAGTCGTTGTACAATCTTTTCCATAGCAGGGTACTGGAGGTGTCGTCTCTGCTGGTGGAGGAGTAGTTGTTGTATGGACTGCCGGCGGAGTTGTCGTTTTATCATCATCACAGGGAGTTGAGGTTTCTTTCCCATGATCACCTCCTCCGTAACCACCACCACCACCTCCTCCTCCGTGGCCCCCTCCATAATTTCCACCTCCTCCATAACCACCTCCTCCCATATCTGGTGTGCTACCCCCATTACCATACCCCTCATGATTGGTAGCCGAAGCCGTCAGGGCCAAGAGCGCAATAAGCGAAATGGTAGCGGCGCGCATCTTGAATCTTTTCAATCACCTGCAAGGAAAACGAGAGTAAACAAATCGAAAGAAAAGAAACCGTTTCCCGAATACAAGAGAATGTACTCAAACTGAGAGAAGTGCAGTGATGGAATGAAAAGAATTCAGAACTCATGATCTCGTGCGGAATCTAGGATACAAATGGGCTTTCGAAGTGGGTGCAGGATGCAGGATGTCCAACATACAAATTCCATAAATAAAAAAATAACCTTCTTGTCGTGACTGCGAGTTGCGTAAAATAATCCCATCGCACTGCCGCGACTCCTAATCCCCCGAGACAACAACAACAACATAGAAGGCTGCCCCAGATTTACCTGCATCGCTAGACCGGTGCACGTAAGAGTTGTTCTTGAGCGGAATCCAGACGGGTTCACTGTTCCCATCTTATTCGCTTGTTGTGGTGGTCGCGTCCGTTGGTTGGATGGCGCTGTGAGGTTGGAGGAATTGTTAACACTGCCTGTGGGAGCCTCGTAATCAATGTTCCTATCTTCCTGTATAGTGAGAAGGAAGTGGCCGGATGTTATGATGTTTGTGCGATAGGTAGAAATCGACTTCAATTGCACTACAATAGAGGGCCGAAGAGAGGGAATCGGATGCGCGATTCTCCCGGGCGCAATGTCGAAGCATCCTCATGTCGCGATATTTTCGAGCTATTTGGTTCTGGTCGCTGTTCGTGTCTGAAATCTCAGAAACCTACCTAATTGATGCGAGTCTGCGTTCGCATTCTTGAATATCCGCTATGAGACCTCTCCAACTCATTCATGTTGGAGACGGCTATGCCACGATGTCGACAGTTGTACAAGTAAGAAGGATGAAGTACAGATTGCGGCGAAAGTAGAGAGACTTACTGGGATTGATGTAGGTGCTGTGGCTGATGAACCATCCCACTCGGTTGACGAATCACATCGATTTCCGAGCGGTTAATATGCTAGCACAACAGACAATTCAGACTTACCAACAAGAATCCATAAATGTTTAACGTTGTAATCTGTAGTATCGGTGACAGATGAAACTTAACTGTTGGTAAGTTCGACTTTGTTATAGGTTCATCCGAAACCTTTACTGCAGACTCGGGGAAAAGTGGAGATGCTCCGCAAAATCGTGGCGTTGTGGAATCCCAACTACGCGATCAGGAAACGAGTTTCATATATATCCAACAGCATAGAATTCCAGGAAAGCTGAGCCAGAAGCTCGGAAGTGGATTGAGACAGAGTCTGGTTTACACGTAGGAGTTGTTGGTTTGTTATGAACGGTAATGCTGTCTTTCATCGACGAATACGAACCATTCTTTCCAAACAAACATGGACACAGACACACGGCGACTGATCTCACTCGCCAACCCAGAGACCTCTCGACTTATCGCCATCTGCTTCGCTTTGTTCTGGATATCACTAAACAGATGTTTGCATCTAAACTAGAATACTAAGACTGTCTCAAAAACAACTCAATTGAACCGAGAAAACGACACCTTCAGTACCACCTCTTGGGAACATCTCCCGGGCTGTCCCTTACTATCGCTTCCGAAAATATCAAATCAAAAAGGGACGCCACAAGTAGGTAATGCAAACCAAAGAAGGCTGACACTCAAAATAGTCTTAGATAGCCGGACATTGTCATTGTGGTCATATTTCAACGCATGTAACCATCAGAATCTCCACCAAGAGGATGTGGACGGAAAAGTAGCAATCCATCGTGACGTATTTCTGCCAACGGCTTTAAGATGAAAGTGAACACAGATGTCGAGCTATGTGTTCAGACTCCAGAGACATGTATCACCAGCGAGACTCGTTTGAGAGATATTTGTGAAGACCTCGGGAGTTGGCGGGATGAGATAAGTATTCCGTCACCAGCTACTAACTTTTAGAAAGAATCTAGTTATAAACATTTTCGACCCATTCGACGGTATCTGCCATCCACCTCATTGTTCACTAACAAATTCCACCAGGCTCAGTCAAACCCTAAGACAAAACCATCCCGTCAGGCTTATCCTTAAAGCCAAAGTTAACACCAAAAGCCGGATACACATATCTCACGACCTTTCCGCTCTTCTCGAGCCCGTCCGCATATGCGTTGAGAGTTTTCATGTCCTCGGTATCAAGATCAATCAGCTCCATATTCGCCTTAATCCTCTCCGAGTTGACAGACTTCGCAAGGACCGAACTGCCACGAGCGACTACAGAATCATTAGCCAACCACTAAAAAGCAGTGAGTGCAAAGTCAAACTTACTATGATAAGAAAGCAACACACTAGCAGGCGTAACTCCCCTCTTCTTCGCAACCTCCACAATCGGCGCCGCCTCAAACATGGGACTGCCGGTACTCCCCAACGGACTATACGCGGTAACATGAATACCCTTCTCTTTGCAGAAATCAACAACCTCCTGTTGTGGCAACGATGGATGGTTTTCGATCTGGTTCACCGCTGGCACAATACTCGCCTCCTTCAATAACTGCTCGAGGTATTTGACGCTGTAGTTGCAAACGCCAATAGCCTTGACTTTACCCGTCGCGACGAGCTTCTCCATCGCTTTCCAGGTCTGTACGTGCGACCAGTCTTTTATGAGATCGCGGGATCCGTCTTCGTGTTTGGGGAATTTGTCGTGGTTTCCTAGGCGTGTCAGTGGTGTTTGAGTGCAACTATTATTGACTAAGTGAGAGGGTATTTACCATTTGGATTCATAGCCACAGGCCAGTGAACAAGGTAAAGGTCCACATAATCAAGACCCAAACTCTTCAGACTCTTATTCAGAGCCTCCTCGACGCGGGAGTGGTAAGTGCACCATAGCTTCGTGGTAACAAAGATATCTTTCCTCTCGATCCCGCTATCGAATGCAGTTCGAAGACCTTCTCCAACCTCGTCCTCGTTACCGTAGCAGTATGCTACAACCCATTAAAAAAATCCCCCCCAATTGAAAGGCAAGATAGGGAAAACTCACCAGCATCAATATGTCTATACCCAACACTCAACGCATAACCCACCGCATTCTCCACCTCCCCAGCAGCAGACTGCCACGTCCCGAGTCCCAACGCCGGGATCTCCGCGCCAGTATTCAACTTAAACGTCTTAGTAGCCATATTTCCAATCGTTGTATTCAAAATATCTGCGCTCAATTCCTCTTTCTCCAAATTCTTCTCTTTCAAATCCTGCGATGGCGGGTGTTGATGGAGGGGTAATACCAGAACAAAAAGAAAGCAAGCACGGAGCCCGCTAAGATAACAACGTGGTGCTTCCAAGAACCCGCGGAAAATCTTGGCTCATTGGGCCGCGAGTTTATCCATCTCATGATAGGAGAGATTGGTGAGACTTGCGATGGTCCGAAGCCGGTTGTGACGTTTTGCTTTCTGGAAGAATGCGTTCAGGGTCTGGAGTGAGCGAGATGTGGGGTGGCCGACAGAAACCGATGTGGGCCTGGTCCGGGTGAATTGAGAGCGATATGGAAAGGGAGGATGGGATCATTTATTGAGGAAAAAGTATTGAGCCAAGTAAATGTGACGCGTAAACACAAAATTATTACATACTATCTTCCGTTATGCAGGAAGCCTTCCTATACCTTTCCAATTTTGAAAGTCCACTCTATCATTTAACCTGAGCCCTATTCGTATACGCAGCCTATCCCAGTCCAGCCCGTTTTAATATTATACAAGTATAGATCATCGATTCAACGTGTGAAGATATCTAAATCCAATTTGTTTGCCGCCCAGTTCAAGTCGACATCGGCCCAGCGAGAACACTGAACTGTCCTCCACAACCCGCAAAGGTAAGCTTCTTTCCTCTCGTAGCAGTGTTATCGATCAAGGTCGCCTCTTTGATAGAATCCGTGGTACCCTGTCCAGTTCTGTAACTCTCAGAAAAACCCCAGGAGTATGCTTGACCTTCCATCGTAACAGCAATACAGTTGTCGATACCAGCTGCGACGGCGACGGATTTGATTCCAGGGACCGCAGTTGGCTTCACAAGGATTCGAGGCTTTTCCCTAGCGTCGAAAATGATATCGTCTTCTGGAATCTTGTCCAAATCAATTCCGCTCTGTCCATCGTCGCATCGTCCCCAGACTAGTGTGGTTCCGTCCTCTGTGAATGCGATAGAGTGATGACTTCCACCTTCAATGCCCTTGATAGCATACCCTTCAAGACTTTTAATCTTGCTTGGCCTTTGGACTAGGGCATTATCTGTGCCTGCGCCGCTTGTAACACCTGCTTGCCCGTAGTTGTTCAAACCCCAAGTCCAGACTTTGCCCTTATTGTCGATAGCGAATCCGTTGTAGGAACCGGAGGCGACATAGGTCATCTTGTTCTTGGGAAGACCCACCAAATTTGGCACGAGGTACTCGAGACGTCGACGCTCTGCGACGCGGTGGCCCAATTGCCCTTGTTCTCCAGCTCCCCATGCCCAGATGTTGCCTTTGTGGTCGAGGGCTAAAATGTGATCGCCTCCAGCAGCTAAACTCTTAATATTCTTCAATTCTGGGATGAGGGCAGGTGTAGATTGTCCTCTCTCTTTCTTTGGCTGCTTCTCTCCATCTTTCTTGAAAAAGCCAAAGATACCATCATTACCCTAAATATGTCAGCATAAGCTCGTCACACACGACAGGTACAACTTACCATAAAAGTACCCCATCCATACACATGTCCATCTGTGGTGAGCGCAAAACTAGCACTGTTCGTAGCCGCGACCTGAGCAAAGCGTGTGCCGGATTCGAAAGCCTCCGTAGGAATAGCGGTAGGTTTACTCTCGTTAGGGTTGAGATCGCTCTCTTCTTCCTCATCGCTGTCATCCGCGTCCACATCCTTAGTTGGCGCTTCCCAAGTAGTATCTCTTCCGAGCGCGTAGTTATCGTTTACACCCCAAGTCAAGATCTTCTGGTCGTGCGTCAAAGCGACACAGTGCATTCCTCCCACCGCGATTTGAACAACCCCGACAGTCGCAGCATCAAGAAACTTATTGAGTCTAGGGCGCTTAACGTTTTTCGCGTCTCCAAGTCCAAGTTCTGCCGAATCCCCAGATCCGAACACGTAAACATCGAGTTTCTGGGTGGGAGCTGTGTTGATTGAAGCTTCCGATTTCGCTTTCTTCACAGGCCTTGCGACCTCCTCTGTAGCTGAGTTCGCGCGCTTTCTGCTGATATTTGGTTTTGGCTTTTCTGCGGGTTTTTCTGCGGGTTCAATGGCTAGATTTCAAATTCAGAGTCAGTCTTCGAAACACAGACGTCATTGTAAAAACATTGTACATATGCGAACTTACACTCTTTTTCTTCCACAACTGGGTTTTCCGCCTTCTTCTCATCATCTTTCTTTGCCTTTGGAATCGCCTTGTTAGGCGCCGCCTTTGCCTTCAATGGCGCGATTGGTTTCTTCACTCCAGCATCTTTTGTCAGTCTCGAAGTCCTCGTCGTGGTTTGCGCTTTTGGAGGCATTTTGAATTTCTCGTTCGCGTTGAAGAAGTTGATCGAGTTTGAAGGAAAATGAGAAAATTGTGGTGTGTTATATACTGAAAATGACGCGCCGATAATTCATGTTGGTACCTAGGTAGTTCTGATTCACTTTTTTGTACAGGCACCAGCCCGCTAAGGCAGTCAGGCAAAACCGGCTGACCAAGCTACTGATAGCCAATGATCTTGTTTTTCACGATATTTGGATCTACAGATGATTTGGAAGGCTTGAAATTTCAGGAAAACAGCTTCTGCATAGATTGTTTACATAAAAACCAAAGGTGTGGACTATTGATTCCAGTTGAACGATATGTCAATGCTTCAGCGACAGGTTGAATTATAAATATATTTAGTTAGCGGCCCGACGATATTCCGTCAAATTCACATTCTGAAAATAGCTCCACTTACCTCACTGAATCCTCATCCATTTCGGCGGATTCCATCCTTCCAATGCCCGTGCAATGTGCACGATTTGTCGAGCTGTCTTCTTGAGAGCGGAGAGCATTAATCGCACGTTTGAACTAGTAGCTCTCTAATGTCCGTTAAAATTCTCAATCGACGTCACGAGTATGTTTTACCCTCAGCCGAGGCACGGCAGTCACTCCTCTTCCCTTGAGCTACGACATGGACAACACCGTACTGTTAATAAACTCACAGTCCAATATTGAGTAATAGCCGGCAGCTTACAATCCGAACGTGTTTCTAATTCTCAATTAGTACTTTCTCAATTCTTCATAATTTCCCTAAATAAAACTCGCACCCTTATTCCTTCTAACCATAACTACCTCTCACGTCCCAAGTTCAATATTAAACAATAATGCCATCCTTCGGCAGCCCAATTCCATATGCAGAACCCCTCTGGTATTCGCGCGACAAAACTCCTCATTACAATGATTCCCACCGTCATCTACGAAAAGAAGTCCGTCGATACTTCGACGAAGAAATAATTCCTTTCGCATATGAATGGGAAGAAAGTGGGAAAGTCCCTGATGAAGTATGCTTTACTTATACCCTCACTTAATATGAGTGGTTAAAAAAGAATCTCACACTGATACAACCAGGTATTCAAAAGACACGCCCAACTCGGATATCTAGCCGGTGTGACTGGCCTAGAAAATGTCCGCTTACCAGGCGATATCAAAGCTCAAGATTGGGATTCGTGGCATACACTAATATTGACAGATGAGATTAGTCGTGTAGTACGTCTCACCTCCGGCAACTTCTTTTGAGTTCACCAAATTGATGTATTGCAGGGATTCACAGGCGTTCTATGGGGGTTAGGAGGCGGTAACAGCATCGGCGTCCCTCCAGTCGTAAATTTCGGTACTCAGTCCCAAAAAGACAAATTCCTCCCTAGCGTGGCAAACGGAAGTTTGCGGTTCTGTCTAGGAATAACAGAACCTGATGGTACTTCCTCCCTCTTCTTGTATCCAAAGGCTAACATAAAAAGCCGGCTCGGACGTCGCAAATATCCAAACAACAGCCGTCCGTAACGGAGATCACTACATCGTAAATGGCTCCAAAAAATGGATCACGAATGGAATCTGGGCCGACTATGTAACCGCTGCCGTCCGAACCGGCGGTCCTGGTGCTGGTGGAGTGTCTGTTCTCGTTATTCCGCTGAAAGTCGCCGGCGTGACTACACGACCGATGAAAAACTCGGGTGTGGGAGCTTCGGGCAGTACCTTCATAACGTTCGAAGACGTCCACGTTCCCGTTTCCAATCTGCTTCACAAAGAAAACCGCGGCTTCGAAGTCATCATGTCAAATTTCAATGCCGAGCGCAAAGCTATTGCGACGCAAGCTATTCGGCTTAGTAGAGTGTGTGTTGAGGATGCATGGCAGTACGCATGTACGCGCGAGACTTTTGGGAAGAAATTGATTGAGAATGACATTATTCGCGCGAAGTTTGTTGTAATGGGACGGGTGATTGAACCTGCGATGGCATTCTTGGAACAGTTGACTTGGTTGATTGAGGAGAATAGAAGGGGTGGAGGTGTCAGGATTGGAGGAATGACGGCGATGTTGAAGGTTGTCAGTACAAGATGTTTGGAGTTTTGTGTTAGGGAAGCTCAGCAGGTTATGGGTGGGGTAGGGTATTCAAGGGGTGGGAGAGGAGGAAGGTAAGTTTTGTTTTTGTTTGAAAGGTAAGCATTTTGCTGATTTACTGTAGGGTTGAGGCTATCTCGAGGGACGTGAGGGTTATGGCTGTTGGTGAGTCTGAATATAATGTCTTTGAAAAGCGTTCGCTAATTGATTTTAGGCGGTGGCAGTGAGGAGATTATGGATCAACTTGCTATTAGGGAGGAGACGAAGGATCTCAAGAAGTATAATGCGGCAAGGAGTAAGTTGTAAATCTAGGAGTTGTTACGTAATATCAGATTCCGTGCATGATACATCAGATCTCTTCAACAGTCGAACAGCCAAACGAGTATATGACAGTAGGTGACTGAGCTTTCTGAGTTCTAGCGCGGCACCCAATCAATCTCCGAGGTTGAGTTAACTGGACAAAAGCGCCATATTTTCTCGAAAATCGTTTCTGCTAATTCAAGCCATGAATAATCAGGTTCCATGATCTGAGCACTTGCATAGAAGTATGGCTGAAATTTTTATCCCATAGCCGTCTTTATTTCCCACTCTCGAGACAGCATAATTGCGGTGTGATTCTCAAAGCCAAGCGAGAAACTTTGAAAACTTCGACGTTCACTCATTATGAGTCCCCTTCAGCTATTGGGTGTTGGTTCGACGATGACTAGTTTTGAACAAGCGGCACGTCCCGGTGCGCCTGTTTCATCTGCACAGAATATATTACGATCCGTGAAGATCATCGCAGTGCCATTTCGATAGCATCTCGCTCATAACGAACGACAATTCGTTAAACTCCGGGACCCCGCAAGCTGCAGAACAGAAGAAGCAATCTCAGCTCACACAACGCAAGATGTGGCGCCGGAGTTCACGAGATGTGTAGCAGAGCAAGCTTAAACCGGCATAGTGACGGAACATCCGCGAGACTTTCTTGGATCAGCCTTGGAAAAGTCGACAACGAGGAACTTTATTCCAAACATATGCGAGGTATCAACATTGAAAAAATTGTTGAGGTAATCTAACGCTCGCTAAGTAGGAATTCTCAGCTGCTGAGTCTGGCGGCGTCCAAGTATACTGCGTTGTTGATTAATTCACCTTGGCAGCATGTTGTGCAATGACCAGGGAAATACTGATCGTACACCTTCAACAGAATTATTGTAACAAATTACAAGACTTAGGGGAATATATTGTAGAATTCTCCTACTTACGTCAAAATTTCCAGCTCGCCCATGCCCTTGGATTATATCTTCAAGGGCCTCTATCTAAAGGTTCACTTATCATATCAGATAAAGAATACTCGCAGACAGTTTGTGATACAAGAGCCGCTAGGCTTCACTCGGATTGAGATCTATCGAAGCTTCAAGCTTTGAATCCACTAGCCAGAGACGGTGAAAGATTCTCAGCTTTCGTTTTGACATTTTTATACTTTTGATCAACTGATGCATTTCAGGTGCATGCAAATATAGGATTATTGGCACAATTGAAGACGGCAGCTGAGACTTTGGTGATGAGTGAGACAATTCTCCTTAGACCGAGAAACCATTGCATGATGCATCTCAGCAGAATGTAGAGACTCAGCTGCCGATGAAGGACGAGGCACTTCGATTCATTTGACTTGTCGTATCTTAAAGACCACCAACGTATATATACGAAGGAGAGCATTGACAGCCAGTATCAAATTTTCCAACATTAAACTCCATCGACAATTCATCATGGCTACTGCAACCGACCTCGAAATTCTCATTGAATCCATTGGCGCTGAAAACGTTTTCGTCCGAGGCTTTGGCTTCTACGAAAATGAAGTTGTCCAATATGCAACCACATCCTACCCTGCAAACCGCACCTCTCCAGCAGTCATCGTCAAGCCCAAGAACAGAGAGGACATTGCTGCTACTCTAGACTATGCCAAAAAGCAGGGAGTTGCTGTTGCGATCAGAACCGGAGGACATCAGTACAGCGGAGCTTCTTCTGCTACAGCTCCAAACATTCAGTTGGATTTGTCGGAGACTTTCCAAGGTCCTGATGACCGAACACTTCTCCGAAAGCAAGGACTGCTTAGAACTAGTGTCAGTTGGTCATTGAAGGAGTTCTCGGCATATATGTTCAAGAACAAGATTTTTGTTCCTCATGGACAGTGTATTGCTGTGCATCTTGGTGGGCATGTTCAGACTGGAGGTTATGGACAACGTGAGTATCTTTCAGAAATGTTCGTTTTATGTCCTAAGATAGCTGACACTTTCTTCTACAGTCGGTCGTAGCTTTGGTCTACTTGGTGATCACGTCACTGAGATTGAAATTGTTGACCACGAAGGCGTGCCAAAAGCCATCTCCAAACACAACGACCCAGCTTTGTTCAAAGCAATTCTTGGAGGAAGTCCAGGAAACTTTTGCGTTGTTACCCACTTCACGACCAAAATCTATCGTGATGAAGATTATGACGGGTCGACAGGAATGAAGTGCATGTATGTCTACTCCAAGGAAACATTGAATCGCCTACTCGACTTTGTTGTCAAGATGTCCGACGAAAAAGAGAAGCCCGTACCACGCAACTACGATCTTTGTGTCAGTGTTGTCAGCTCTGGCAACAATTTCTTAGCCCACTTCCCCTCCAAAGGATCTCAACTTCGTGACATCTATCATGGCGACAAAAATCTTCCAAATATTGACGAGGATTTGCCAAAGTGGCCACGTCTGATCTTTGCCTGGGCTCAGTGGGTCAAGCTCAGTCCTACAGACCAATATGATCCAGCTTGGTTCAATGAACTGAAGCAGGACGCTCTTCCAATCAGCATCAACTTGGCATTGAAGCCAACACCGATGTCTCAAATGACTAGCAAATGGTGGATTCTCGACTCAGTTCGAGAATATCCTATGCCTTATGTCAAATCAACCCGCGTGAGCGACAAGAAGAACCTTGCCGAAACGGGCTGGGCCAAATGGCTCACCGAGAGAATCGAAGAAGTCGTTCAACCGAAAGACAATGGTCTCTTCATCTGCGCCCAAATCCAACCCTTCGGTGGCGTCGAGTCCATGACCAGAAAAAACGCAAACAATGGCACTTCTTACAGCTGGAGAGAATCTACTGTGTGCGCTACACTCGATTGTTTCCATCTACCCGAGAAAGACAAGAAAGCCGCCGCTCTTGCATGGCGCGAAAAGAACGAGACGGAAGTGTTTGGACCACAAGGGAATTTCAGCAGCAAGGATATGCGTGTTCTTTGGGGTTCTTTTGGGGAGTATGATTTCTCTCAGGTTTGGTACGCTTATCACGAGAATGAGGAGAAGTATAAGTTCTTGCGCGATCAAAGGGCAAAGCATGATCCTCAAGGAGTGTTCACTGCGAATACCTTTTGCGTCCCAGCTGCTGGCAAATAGATTGATTGAGGAGGTTGAACCGTTAGGACTGAAGTCGAACCTGTTCGAAATGGAAGGTGTTGCTTTGAGGATAAGTCAGTTCAATGATCCAATTTGAAGTGAAAAATGTCAGTCCACAACTTTTTAAAATTGTGCTGCTTGACGATCAGTGGAATTCAGCTATTGAAACTGTCATTTAATATGAAATTTCAGTCTGAACGATCAAGGTTCCTAGATTTAAGGGACAAAATCTGGCAATCCTGTCCCAATCTCATCGCACAATTTTGAAAAGATGGCTTGACTTTTACTTGTAACCTAACCGTCTCTTTCTGAGCATTTTTTTTGGTAAATGTGTTTTTCAAAGCTGTAGGAAATCTCATCGTTTCCGCTTTAACCACAGGGCATCAGGCGTTCTTTTCAAGCGAATCACCCCTGGAATTGCAGCTGCTCCACCCCCGCGCTCTCGCCCACGGGGAGTGGAGTGCGTAATCTACATCCCGAAGCGGTGAGAAGCTAGACGTCGATATCCAGAATTGACCTCAGAAAAGTGCACGAGATATCTCCAAATCGACGACTGCGTTTTCTAGTTGACGTTTGTAAGGAACTGAATGTCAGATTCAGTGCTAGCGAGATTCAAACCACTATGCTTCTGTACGATCTAAACTCTGATGTGTTGCTCAGCATCGTCGAACAGGTACAGAGTCCGCTTTCAATAAAGTTAGACTTTGTTGACCAAATAGCTTCACAACATAGCTCCAGAATGTCTTTTCAAGACTCGCCTTATGTCTCGCACGATGAATGAGATGGTGATTCCGTTTATGTATCGCCATATCAAACTTCGAGACGATTTAACCATGGCCGACTTTGACCTGGACTCGACCATCAAAAATGGTATAAGAAACATGCAGCTTCATGCCAGGCATGTTATTGTCAGCTCAACTGTCAATTGGGAGCTCTCAGCACAGTTTCTAATAAATTACCCTCGTCTCCAATCAATAACGTGAGTAATGTCAAGCGATAGATCATACAGATTCTAACGACGTTGTTGAAGATGGGAAGAAGGCTCAAGCCGCCCAAAAGTTATCAGAGAACCCTGGCGGTCGGCAACTTATGTTGAATTGAATAAGGTATTCAAACATTCGCCAAATGTCGGACTTATCATTTCCCAATTCGCGTATCGTCGTGAAGCCCCACGGGCCGCTTACGCAATGAGAGATATGCTAGCTGCCAATATTGTAGAGATCGGAGTAGAAGACTCTGGGGATTTAAGCCCGTCTGATAATCTTCAGGATCTCTTGATTGCGTCAACCAGAATAGAGAGAGTCAATTTCCACTTCGGGCTACACAACGTCATTCCATGCCCATTCGACCCCCGGCGAGGTAGGCTTCCACCTATCAAACGCCTCACATTTCCAGAAGTATATTCATGGGATTACAATCCAGAAAGCATGAGCCAGATATGGGATTTCTCCCAACTCCAGGATCTTACTATTGCATGGCATCTTCTTGGTAACTTTCTGAATGCGTTTTACCGGAGAATCTAGGACAGTTGAAAAGCCTACGTGTTGACAACACATGCTGGGAAGAGGAAAGGAAACGAGGCGGCATTCTTCCTATCGAAGACATCACACCAAATTCTTTCGCCCACCTTCTAATGAAACTTTTGGAATACCGCGACGACTTCGAAGTTTTGGATATCCGTTGTCAATTAAATCTGTTCTCGATGCCTTTGATAGCCCAGCAAGGTCAGTCGCTAAAGATGCTAAAGCTCCTTGATGTTACTGGGTTCGGGGGTTCAGGCATTTTCCCAACGATAACTCTATGTGATTTGGAAATGTGTCAACTTTCGTGTACCCGTATAACAAAGCTTAACATAGGCGTGAATGTTGTTGGAGAAGAAGTAAGCAATTTTTCCCTTGGCTGTGTTTTGGCTGGAATACATGGTTACGTGGGACTCGACAGACTATGAGCTTCCTGAAAATCATAGCTGGCTTCCGAAATCTTTATGATTTGACGATATATGTGCAAAGCAAGCTTACAGAACATAACGCCGATCTCGTCCTTGAAGACATCGATCAGCAATCATCACTCAATATCATGACCAACCTCGTTTTAATGAAACGAGGTCTTGCTTTCACTAGATTACGCATCAAAGTTGGGGGCTGGACCAAGTATGGTCCGTCCCCACGCCGCGCTGGTTCTGACTGGCGTCGAAGAAGACGGCTCGGGCGCAATCCCGAAAGATTGTTTTATTCGGAATTCTATGAAGACAAGGCATTTCTTCGCGAGCACAAATATGGATCCGGCTGTGGGTGGGTTGACGTCGACGATCTACCTGATTGGTATTATTAGCATCGTTAACTTTCCCCTTGATATATATAAAAGAACACTATGTCTGGGTTTCAAGACAAGCTTTGTTGATCAGTTTAAGCGATTGTCCTTCACTAATCTACTAACGTTAGCACAAACCACCATCGCCGGAAGTGTTCTATCAAGAAGGGTCACATACCCACAGAAATAATGCTCAACCGCATGAAAAAAGAAGTCTTGAATAGAGCAAACGCCTTATCAATGAAACGGGAACATCCGACGCAATCGTACCTGCTAGTGACACAACACTCGGTACTCAGAGGCTGCGCTATATCAATCTAATGTGGTCAACTGTGTGGTGAACAATATTGTAAAACGCGTTGACCCATACGCGTTTTGCAGCGACTGGAATTGTTGTCCCATTAGTAACAACACCAGGCAAATGTTTTGCGAAACAAAAAGTTGTTTCTTCAGAGAAAGACTCATATTTCTGACAGAAAATTAAGTCATTAGCTATCAAAACCGATCGCAGAGAAGATTGCAGATGTTTGTTTTGATACCTGCAAGATAACTCACGTGACTCGGGCCGAGACGTGTTTTGGCTCGGGAAGCTAAAACTTTGACAACCACATCCTCTGTTATCTAAACCACCCGACACCTTCTTTCAACGCTTGATTTTGTAATGTTGAAATACTACACAGAATCATAAGGCTTTCATAAATTGTGGAGCGCAGCTCTGCATTTATCATTCCATGGAGAATAACAGCCCAAAAATCATTCAATGGATACTCGACACGCGACCTCTGTGGCCTGTTCCTGCGAAAGAGAAGAAACAAGATGAAGTAGCAGAACTCAAAACAGTTGTAGGTTTATATCCGAAGTGGAAAATATTTTTGGTATCAATCTAATCAGACTAGGCATCTCGAGCGCTAGCGCTCTTGTCCGACTCCGAGCAAGCTAGCGTCTTGAAATATTATCATGTCCGTGATGCCAAGATGTCACTTGCTTCACATCTCTTGAAACATTTGGTCATATCTAAGTACTGCAACGTACCTTGGTCAAAAGCGATGGTTTCTCGTACTTCAAATGGCAAGCCATGTTACGTACCGCCGGCGAAAATTCCATCGATGGGTAGTCACGTGATGTTTGATTTCAATGTCAGCCACCAAGCCGGTATCGTCAGCCTCATTGCCGCAGTAGGCTTCAAGAATCAAGTTGATACCGGGACTGATGTTGTCTGTGTGAATGAGCGGGAAAGTAGAGATTCAGAGTATATCCAGAAGTCTGGATTTTTTGATTGGGTTGATATTCATGGCGAGGTCTTTTCAGAATCAGAAATCAGCTTCATGAAGCTTGGCCCAATACTACCCTCAGATTTGGGGATTGAAGGAGAGTTTATGGGTTACGGGAAAGATAGGATTTCAAGATGTCAGCGGAGAGGTGGCGAAGTTGCAGTCAACGTCAAGAGAGGAGATCATGAGGAAGAAGTCAATGTCAAGACGAGCAAGGTGATCGATGTGAAGATGCGGAGATTCTATGCTATGTGGTGCTTGAGAGAATCTTTTGTCAAGATGACTGGCGAAGCGCTTCTTGCCCCCTGGCTAAAAGAGTTGGAGATATTGGACGTTCAAGCGCCGACCGTAAAGGAAGGGCATCTCACCAAAGAGTCTTTGGAGCAGGGCGGTGTTCAACACGAGTTTCGAATCATCTTCAAAGGGAAGCCAGTCACAGATGTCAGAATGGAGCTCTCAGCTCTTGGGGAAGCTTTTATGGTTGGAGGGGCTCTCAGAGCAAGGGATCCCGATGAGCGAAATGCAGCAGTCATGGGAAGTTGGCAAGAACTGGACCTCGAAGAAGACATCTTGAAACCCGCAGAAAGCAATCCTTGAGCTTGAGACATGAGAAGCCAGCCTTACGTTCTTGGTGTGGAATGAACTGCGCATTCACCAACTGAGGTTAGACGCCATATCCCGAGAGACCGGATAGCCTCAAGCTATCAACAGTTCGACTCGCACGCTAAGTCGCTTGGAGTTGCACATGAACCTATTTTGTCGCCCTTTGTGAAGCTAAGCTCCTTTTTGACGACACTTGGCAAAAGTCAACTTGCCGCGCGTGCCCTCCTCCCTGCTTAGGATCATGTTCCAACATCTTCGTAGGTTTCACGTGGGAACATACATCGACGATGATACTTGAAAGCCGATCGATTTCAATATTATGGTGCAGTGTCGTTGAGTGAGATGTTGATCTTTGCTAGGTTCGGCAATTTGCTGGGGCAAGAACCACCCCACTGCTGCTCTCCACGCCTCCAACCCCGCAATTATTTGGGTCTGACGCCGCCACTTTTACCCCGGACAGTTCCCTCCTCAAGCAGCATCCTTACCATGAAGGGAACGGTATTTTGAGTTGGATGGCCTGGAAAGGTCGATATTTTTTCGATATCTATTTAATGTTGAATAATCAAATCTCAGAAGATATGGACAAAGTCCTGAGCACGCCGAGAGCGCCGATTTTTGTTTTACGGAGCACCAAGTCCTCTCCAGCCTTCATATCCGAAAACCCCTCACTCGCATTCTCCGGCCATGACAAGTGCCCGTTTTGTAGATTGTGCCAATAACGATCCGTACCACTCAACGGTCTTACCTCTTACTACTACGCCACATCGTATCCGGTTCCCGCTGAACGGTTGTAACCTGTACTATTTGGGATAAGTTTCTGTGCCATGAGCTTTGGGCCTTTGGCATCGTGAAAGGGAAGTGCACGATGACGCGCGATCTGCCGCAGCTCGACATCGCAGCTACAAATGTACTTCGATCCCTCTCAAAGTTACAATAGTACAGACATAATTCTATTATCGCTATCAGATTTTACTGTTTGGCGTTTAGCTATCACTTGCCCAATGTCTTTCATGACTGCAATTTCGCCGTCTACAGCCGACATATTTCTCCACTGTTGATTAACTCAATACCATATAAAATTATTTTTGCTCAAACAAACTTGTATTACACCAAAATGTCCTCCTCATCAGATACCGCGTATTCCGAGGAAAATTCAAGCCCAAAACGAAAAGATTGGGCGGAGATGAAACCGCCTTCGAAAGATGAAGGAAAATATGGCATTGGACCTGGTGTGATCAATCCACACGACGACATACAAAAATCAGACACCGCGTACGATCAACACCAAGAGAAAGTGGCAGATATTGTCGGCCCAGGCCCAGGCACGAAACCTTCAAACGATACCAATGGCCGTGTGGAGCATCGAGAACATGCGCGAAGTCCTACTCTATCACCACCTAGCCGTATAAGACGCCTCCATAGCATGGAAACTGTGCAGTCTAATCAAACCAAAAATACTGGAAATACTATGACTTCCAGGAAAACTCACCAAGAACTGGAGCATGAAAGTACGATTTCGACAATCCGCACCCACCTTGGATTAGAAGCGGATGCCCCAATTCTCGAAGGGCATGAGGTTCATCACCACCTAACATGGAGTACCGTCCGAACGGTCATGCGGGAACCTTTCTTGGAATTCTTTGGCACATTTGTCATGGTTCTTTTTGGAAATGGAAGCGTAGCGCAAGTCCTGCTATCAACAGGCCAGACCAGCGCGCCAGGAGGGGCTGGTTTCGGTTCATATCAGAGTATCAATTGGGGGTAAGTTACAGTTCACGTCTTCAGTGAATTCTGCTAACACTTTCCAGTTGGGGTCTAGGAGTTATGCTAGGAATTTACGTCGCAGGTGACAGCGGCGGTTTCCTCAATCCCGCCATCACGATGGCTTTCTGCCTCTTTCGCCGACTTCCATGGCGACGGTTTCCCATCTATGCCATAGCGCAACTTCTCGGCGGATTCTGCGCCTCGGGCGTCGTATACGCCAACTATATCAACGCGATCAACGAGTTCGAAGGCGATGGAATCCGTACCGTTCCTCCTTCTACCACTGCGACCGCGGGAATATTTTGCACTTACCCGGCAGCTTTCATGACGAAGACAAGCCAATTTTTCTCCGAGTTCATTGCATCCGCGATCCTCATCTTCGTTATTTTCGCGCTAAAAGACGATTCGAACCCCGGCGCGATGGGAAAATCCGGCGCGGGTCAACTATTTCCACTTGCGCTGCTATTCTTGATCTTCGGACTCGGCGCGTGTTTTGGTTGGGAAACAGGTTACGCCATTAACATTGCTCGTGATTTTGGCCCCAGACTCATGAGTTATATTGTGGGATATCCGAAAGAGGTGTGGAGTGCAGGTAATTATTACTTTTGGGTTCCAATGGTGGCGCCGTTTTGCGGTGTTCTATTTGGTGGGTTCTTGTATGATGTGTTTGCGTACACTGGGCCGGAGAGTCCGGTTAATACGCCTTGGTTGGGATTTAAATATTTGTTTGCTGGTGGGTATTGGAGAAAGAAGAAGGAGGGTGGGGAGTATGATGTGTAAAGTTTGGATGCGTGAATGCTTTGCTGCAATGTATATCGAGGATGAAGATTACCATGTCTTTGAGGCAACGAAAAGTTTCAATTGTGTGTTATTGTAGATATGCAGTGATAATGCAGCCCACAAAGAAGCTCACTGGTTAATTGCATACATCTTGTTTTGTTATACACATTTGCCTTCGAGTGGCTTTGATCGTCTGAGCAGAAAATCTTTGGTGATGCTCCTTAAATGTTTCTTTATATCCATACAATCAGAAGCCCCCTCAATCTTTTGACGTTATTTAAAAATGTTTTCCTTCAACACCTTGACATGAGTCTCTTACCACGCTGAAATACAGCAAACGATAAAACTTCTCCGAGTCATCGTTTTACGAGCTGCCAAGTTTACAGATGAAAGATATGGTAAAAAGACAAGAAGAAGGAGTGGGCATTTCCGAATCCAACATATACCAGCACGAATTCGTATGGTAATTCAAATTCCGCCTCTGATCCTTCGCCGCCAGAAATACAAATTGTGCGACTCAGGACTCTTTACAAAATTGCTCGTCATCTGTTTGAGTCCACAACAATTTTTAAGGTGTAAGTACTGTTTGGAGGGTTGGGTGCTTCCTGGGGGTGGATGATGGAAGGAGTATAATCTAATTTTGGAGGACCTTGAGCCTTCAAATATGTCTTACTGCAATGAATGATACGCTCTTTATGAGCGAACTCTTTTTGTAATTTTCGAGTAGATATGATGGGATGTTTCGTCATTTTTGGAGATGAGATTTAGCGTTGCGTAAAAGAAACCTTCTTTACTGAGATTACATCAAATTGTAAGATTAATATATTGTGCATCAATTGAGTTTTGTAAACAAGGTCTGTCGATCTCTACTTGCGTTTTCCATGGCGACGCACCGTCTCACATCAGGGTAGAGCAGGTGGGAATAAGTTGTTGTCTAAAAGTTTACTAAAAGTTTATTGAAATTAAATGACTGTTATGACTGAATGGAGGTTTACGTTTCGATTGAATTCAGGAGATGAAGCAGACAAGCCCGGCTGTATTCGATAATGATTGCAGATTTATAGCGAGCATCGACTTTCCATCGCTTCACGAGTTTGAGTGCATGAACCCAACGCCAAGATCACAAGTCCTCTCGTAAAGATGGTACCGGCTTAGCAATTTTGAGAAGCCATTTCGATAATCAATTATTATTGTGCTCGAGTGGATAGACTGGTGAGTTCGTGGCTCTGGGAAACCCGCTTTAGCATTAGTGCTAAATGCTTCTTTCAAACCTTCCCCCGAAATGAAAGCTCTTGCGACGTATCTGCATAAAAGGAGGTTAAATAATCCGTGAGCAATAACTTTTTGTGTGCAGTAGCGTCTATCTTGTTTTAGCATTGGCCTTGAAGAGACCGTCAGGCTCAGAGCGCTGACACAAACGTGCGCATGTTGAACGGATTTCATAAAGTTTCAAATTTTGGCGCTGGAAACGCTTACGAGGGGATTGCAAAAGCACTGACTTCATTTCTGCAGGCTTGGTGTATCATTTGAGCATCATTGGAGAGTGTGAGTCGAAGTCCGCAGGCTGTATGGTCGCGAAGTAGCCCCCTATTCAAGCGAGATCCACTGTAAACAAGGGGAACTTGAGCATCACCTGAGCCTAACGAACAGCGCAACATTGGGAATATAGAACCTTGAATAATCACGACAGACTTGAACTTGTCACTTAACACAGAAGGCTGTATCGTCTATGTATCTTCTCGGAACAACGATTTCTTGCCACTTAATGCAGGAGATCGCTGTGTTGGTCGTTTCTCATTTTCACGGCTGCCGAAATGAAGAAACGCAATTGACCAACAGACACCGTGGATCTTGACCACTTTGCATATTACCTTGTGCATTATCGTCCCACGAAATGGGACAAACAGGTTTGAGGTCCGACTTGCATGAAGCAGTCCATTCCTGCTGGTGCGCATGTGGAATGGGCGTTGGAGATGCGTTCCTCCTTACCTTATTGCCCACGAGAGGTGTTGATTCGTCTCAAGCGCACCAATTCAAAAGTATGAAGGGTGCGGGTGCCTAATCTAATGATCAGCTGCAGAAGAACTGCCCGATAACGACCCTTCCTGCAGCTCCCAGCTTGTTGGATTTCCTCTCGGGGAGAATCCTACAAGTCCGGCTTGTGCCGGAGATAATGCACTGAATATAACACATAGAGAAATAGAGCATTTGCCAATAGGAAGCTCCCCATAGCTTCATTCTGATGGTGTCCAGCAAGCTGGAACGGTCCCCAGGTGGTTCTGAAGAATGGTAAAAACTGCTGTGTTACTTGGGGTTCCGTGGATCTCAAGGATCTTCGGTCTCCCTAAAGAGAATCAGCTGGGTCTATTATCCGCTGCGCAAAGGAGAAAGGAGATATTTTTTGTTCAAGTGGACTGATCAATGAAGTTGTGGGTGGCCAGAAATCAGTCGGGGCTTCGGACGTCGCAATCCGCTTGAATGAAGCCCAGGTTCTTCAGTCTGTCAGGGATATGAAATGGTAGCATAACAGCAGCAAGGGAACTCTGGAATGCGTTTGCCATGTTATCGGAGAAAGTGAGCTTCTCATGAGAAAGCATGCACCGTGTGGTCTTAACTCGGAGTGCGTGCGACCCCATGTGATGGCTGAGAACCATTTGGAGCTCCAAAGTGGATTTGCCATACTCCACTCAAACTCATGTGCTTCATTACCCGGCCTTCAATTCCTTTAAACAACAAAAACTGTTTGAAAGTGAGATACGCCGACGTTTTGCAGCTCAACAAAGTATTTGCGATTAACTGATTCCTTGCAAGACGTTTTTTGATTGGCTTGCAACCATCTTCATATCTTAGGATTAAGCACGAAGCGATATTGAACTCTATACTGCTGCATATTCCTGAATTGGTAGGCAAGGAAAGGAGTGTATACAACTTTGGGGCTGTCTCAGGGGGTCGTGATTGGAATTAAGCGAGCTTTGGTTGTCTCGCCATGCAAATTTTGGAAAACAACTTTAGATAGGATATTTCTTTACTTTTAAGATTTTTTAGACCAAATTTGACTGATGGAGCAATCGGGATTTATCACTTTTGAAGTTTAATGCTGAAGGCCGACGTTAGGGTTTGGAACTTTGGAACAGTAGAGTCGTAGTACATTTCATGAGCGAAAACTTGCATATACTGGAAAAGAAGCTGCAGCATCACCAACATCCTTCGCATGATAGTTCAGTCTTTCTAATTGATTCGCCCACCGTAATTCCAAGATGCTGAAGACTTCATCAACCGCAGATTACAGAGACATCCAATTACCCAAAATGTGAGCACTGTGGACTTCAGTGTTCGAAACCTGTCCCCTACGATCACATCTCCATGAAATGGGCTATCTCTGTATGTTACCTGCTATTTCTAACAGAAATTTTGTTTGAAAAGCCGAATATTTTCAGCTCTGGTAGTTGATCAACGATCATCAGTGACGAATGAGCGCGTGCAGATGGTTTGTCAGCCTCCTGGCTCTTGAAGGATGAGCGAATGCGGAACAATGTTGGTACAGAAGAGCATCGGACTATAACACAACATAGTATGCCTCGCAAAGTCTTGTGCTTCCAAGGGTTATCTCCCACTTTGTTGTCACCGTGTGGGGGTACACCAATTGGATCCATTCTCAGAATGAGCGAAGCACAAACTGCGATCTCGATCCTTCACCCCGCACTCACGTAAGTATTCAAGTACCGTACATGCAACAAGGTGTTCGTGGTACAGGGGGCTGCAATGGTTTTCGCGGGAGACTCACCGCGAAGTAGATCATGATGTGCGGAACATGTCAGCAAGTGCGAGCGCCCTGCAACAAGGATGTACCTACGACCCTACTCTGACAAACAACGAACAAGTGACGTGTACGCCACACAACATCAGTTTGTGAGCTCTCTCTGCCGTATACAAATGCTGTTTTTGTGTTTGTCTATGGCAAGCGGTATACGTTGAGATACGTGATGGACTGGGATTATCACCCCAGAATGTAACCAGAGATCACGGCATAGACGGGATCGCCGATGTAGAAACTAAAGCACAGAGTGCTGACAGAATTAACAGCTATTCAAGGCTATCCTTAGTTTATCTTGACATTGTTTTCAGCGCTGGTGAACATTCAGCCACAACATGTGGGGAAACAGTCGAGACGTTTCCGGTTGATTGAGAAGGCAAAAGATGAAGAGAAACCAGGGTGGAAGCTTCGGAAGTGTCTCCGCGACGTGCACTGGAATTTGGCACGATGGTGTACGCCTTCAAGTCCCCAAGCAATGTAAATGGGAATGCCTAGGATGCCATGAACGTGAATAGCATATAAATTTCCCCGCTGCAAGCTCCAAAAAGCGCATGCATATCGGAAAAAGCCCCTCTATATTGAGAACACTGAAATATGATTAGTCTCAGCCAAGGTCGTGTGCCGTATCACAAACGATAGATATTACTTCTTGACTTTTACTTGGCCGTAAGAATGAGCACGTGGGGACAAATAATCATACGAGTAGGCCAACAGTCTATTTGTGATAGGTGTCCAAAAGAGACAGCTTTTAAAAGCTGCTACTATATTTGTAGCGGGATGAGAATTTCTGGATCCGCATCAGCAGCAGCAGTAATATTGGATGACCAACATGGACTTTGTTGTCCCAGGCGGTTAAGGACACCTCCAAATAATCATGCCGTCTTAGAATGGTGCTACATGGGTCGACTGCATCGGGCGTTCATTGGAGGTGCAGTGCATATGCGGGGTCGCTCTGGGAGGAAGGTGGCGTCCGGGGTCGAGTGAGTTTTGGCTGTATCATGACTTTGTATGGCTTTGTTAATTGACTGTCTAATCATGGCTAACATGGATAGAGGGAGAAATCATTTGAGAAAGACAATATCTGCCGTGCCAATGAGTTCATGCAATAATTCTTTATTTCACCACTGCTGTCAGGCGAAGGATAGAAAGAGTAGGAAATGTCCTGATATGGTCCGAAGTCGAAGAACCAAAAGAGGAGCCTTACCCGCTGAAGTGGCGTCCTTACCATTGGTGCCAAATGTGAATAACATCCAACTCGAGAACGTAAGGGAGATTGCTGCCGCCAGCTCTCGATAAGAACTTGATGGCAATAGGCACCTGCCATGTTGGTTTGACGGCAACCTCCATTTTCTCAATAGAAGATGTTCGACATGAGAAGCTAGAGGAACTGGAGCCGATGTCGCGTGTTGGTTTTCGGATATTGGACATGCTGCAGTAAACGGCGTGGAGTATGTGAGTTCATGGGACGGCACGTCTCGATAACAAAGGGTCCTTTCCCAAGTAGAGTTACACTCGCCGGACCCAAAACCATTGCGCTGGGACGAATGACGTGCCTGATGCAGAATACCATGCATAGTCACACGAACTCGCCAAATAAGAATCAGCAGGAGGGGATAATACAACAGTTAAGAGCAACGGTCCATAGCAGGACAGGTAAAAGCCGAGAAAAAGAAACAAATAGCCAATAAACAAACATGTGGAAAAGCTAGCCGTCAGCCGCTGTAGGATTCAGCAGATGACAGCAAAAGTAAGAAAAGCCAGTGAAGCGTAAATGTATGGGGTAGCAAGAAGCTGCGGGGTTGCTGGCTTGATGTAATCTCAGGGGCATCATGTGGCAAAGAACCAGACCCAACACGGTCGATGTCTGCCATTTCGAGAAAGGATTTTCTTGATTGGAGGTCCAAAAACAATCAGAATACCACCCTACCAGAAACGCCTGTAAAATACCATCCCTGTCAAACAGCCTGAAGTTCCACCGTACTGAATATGAAATGAAAATGTGATCACTTCTGACTTTGGAGACGCTGACCACTGGAGCCGCCATCATTGTTCTTCTCCATTTCCCGATATTCTGCTTCCCAGAACCACTCCTTCTCACCAGAAGCAGGTTTGAGGTCGCTCAACCAGCAAGCCTCAGGATCGTATTCTGCATAAAAGACCTTGTCGGCATCACACCAATCTGGGTTTCTTGCTTGAACGAATCTCAGCACGAAAACTTTTTCTTTCTCTGATCCAACCTCGGACGTCCCAAGAATATGTATCTTCCCAGGACCTGCGGACATAACAGGCCCACGAATAGTCTTAGCGGTTCCAGGCACTGCCTTGACCGTTTTGTGGAATATGTCAAGGGCACGCTGAATAGGAACCTGGAAATACTCCTTGGCTCCAGTATCACGCTCCATGAACCTTGGAGATGGAAGTTAGCATTCTTCAAAATTGAGAGTGAGCTTAGAGCGGCTTCAACTTACATGTAATATGGGGCAAGGCCAAGTCGAGTTTGAAGGTTCAACATCTCTGTCCAACATTCCGTACTATCATTTATTCCTCGAACAATAGGAGATTGTGTTCGGATTATTGCGCCAGTAGCTTGAATATTTGCAATGGCTTCTTGAACAACTTTGGTCTTCAGCTCAATCGGATGGGTGAAGTGAGCTTGAATAGAAACACATTTTCTTGAAGCTTTAATTTTTTTGAAAAGTTCAAGCATAGGAACAGCATCGTCGTCTTCAGTAAATTTGTATGGCCAAAACGCCAAAGATTTGGTTCCAAATCTAATCGTCTGTAAATGCTCTGTTTCTGGGTTATTCAGCAAAGGGTCGATGTATTTGGAGAGTGCCTCGGCTTTAGCAACCATTGCATCACCTCCCGTGATGAGAAGATCTGTGATGTCTTTGTGGCGCTTGATATATTCAAGCAGGTCAGATGCTTGTTGAGAACTGAATCTGTCTGGTCCGCCAACACTGGTAAATTGTGGCCATCGAAAGCAATAAGAGCAATTTGTATGGCATATTTGGGCCTAAACATTGACAACACGTTAGCTAGGGTTGCACGAAAATTTGGTAGACTTGATATACTGACCTCCGCAGGAAAAAAGAGCATGGTCTCTCTGTACTTGTGCTGGATCCCTTCTAATTTTCTCCCATCCATCATTGGGACATTCATGGTCTGCTGCCCAGCCGGGTGTGCATTCAATCCCTCCTGGTAAGCCTTGACGGCAACCTGTTTCTCCATTCGGCTCATCTTCTTGTCAAGTAGCAAATGAAGCATTTCTGGTCGGAGCATCTCCGGCTGAGGAAAGGTTAGTTTGAAGTAGGGATCATAAGGTAAGTTATTCCTAATATGATGTTAGCTTTAGGGCTTGGTTATTGGATTGACACATGTGGATGAAGCAACTTAGAGACCAGTGACTGACCAATTGATGTGGTTATTAAGAACGTAGTTATTCTGCCGTGGAGCGAAAACCTCGGCCGCTGCGTGATACGGCCTCCAGTCAAGATATGGGGCATTCTGTTCGAGCAGAACTCGGATGTCACTCTTCACATGCATAATGAAAGGCATTGTTTTACTCCCGGCAAAAGCCTTTCTTGGCAAACGGACCTTATCCGGATTTGAGTAGAGATCCATGAATTGACCTGGAGGCTGCTTATCAAACCTCGAGATGGGAGCTGCGGGCTTTCTGGTCAATTTTTCGGGATTTGGGTGGAAATCCTTCAATTGACCTAGAGGCTTATCAAACCTCGAGATGGGACGTGCGGGCTTTCTAGTCTCCTCTTCATGTATATCCTCGTCGGAATACTGATCATTTTCTTGTTTGTAGGCGATGGCAAGATTTGAGGATGCAGTGCGTGTGGTGTGATAGCCATGACTAGCTAGGTATGCTCGGTGAATAACATTAGAAGCCTTGACGTTCTTGCTGCGAAGAAGGAGATACATCTGGAGATGGCTGAGTCGTTGGAATGTGTTCATATGTGATGGGCGAGGAACAGAGTGATTATATTTTCATAGAAAGCAAACGTCTGAATGGAATGGGTAGACCCCATTTATAGCTTACCTCTTGACTAAAAGGGGATAATTCTTTAGCTTGATTCTTAACCAAAAGCGGTATCATCAATGACTTATTTCAGTCAGGCCTATACCGGACAGATATTTGAAGACGTACTCATCAATTTGGCCGGTAATGTTGTGCTCTCCCGCGCGAAGTAGTAGACTTATTCGAGGAAGTGCACAGCAATGGTGTGTTGGCCGCGTTGCAGACAAATGAGAGTCCATCTGACTCAGGCATAAGGGCTCATTGTTGGCCCTACTCTGTTGGTTTTAATAGGGAGTTTGTAAGTAAAAATACACTTGCCTGACATCCTGGCCAGTATAGGTACTCGGCATGGTATTTAGCCAAGCACGTAACAAAGTTGTGCCGGTATTGAACAATATTTGGATCGTTATACCAGCTAAAGTGCTATTTTCAAACACAACATGTTGTTATTCTCCGAATTGTATTGTACATTGCTATGTGGCTAGTTTGTACGATAATCCACTTGCAATTTAATTGGTCCATTCTTGTATGACTGCATGAGGAGTGAACAACTCGACCCGTCATAATTTGGTCAAAGATGGAATCCTTACATAGAATCGATGAACGTCTTGAAATTCATGACGAATGATATAAGCTGCTAAAGCTGTATCTGAGTTGGTGGTGTGCCATCTGTGCGATGGCCCCATGAACGATTGGTCTTTGAATGCTGTGGATTGAGTGGCAAAATGTCCGAACCCGCATGTCCAGTATTGATGAGATCGCGTATGTAAAGAGAAATGAAGATTCGTCACAGGAAGATTGCCTAAACGTCGTCGGAGCATGAAGATGGCCATGAATAATGTGAATTGAGCATAACATTTTCTGGCATATTCACAGCGTCCAGCAGATGTACCACAAATGCAGGGACCGCGTAACCTCATGTTTGCCAACAGCGACACATGATAATAATCGGTACCCAGAAATAATCAGAACGGTGACCTTGTACGACTGTCATCACCCTCGTAACAGTAAACTCCCGCTCGAAGCCATCTCCCCGACCGCTATGGTAATAAGTCCGGAAGGTACAACGAAACGAGGGAATCGATTGCGGCTGATAAGCCCTGAGGTGTGCCGGCTGATGTTTGTGACGAACAAGGATTGTCAAGTCGGAGCGGCGAAAATAGCTTGCCTATCCTGCAGCCTTAAAGAAGCTTTCCGCTGCAGAGTCGTTCTCGTAAGAGCCAATTATGGGATACGGAAATGCATGTCTTGGTTCATCCTCGGGCGTTTTCTATCCAGTTCCACATCCATACTAACACAGTCAGACCATGAGCTCACTGCGAGGGCGGAGGTCTCCTCGAAGGCGGTCAATGGCGATGCAAAACTCAGTCTGAGACCAGAGAATTAACAGTACTAGGAGACAGGGAACGTAAGCAGACCAGGTGATTGAACCCTATCTCTAAGTTGCAAAGAGATGACTACGAATCCCAGAACAACAACGCGCTCTCCTAATATCCCTGGAAGTACCAGTGTGAAACTTAAGTAGTCGACACGACCTCGAAGATTTTAGAGCCATGCAACGTGTCAGTGTCTGTGACGGAAGAGACAACCTCTTGTGCAACACTAGTAAATAAAGATTCGAGACAAATTCGAGGAAAGTTGCGCTCCGACACCACTTAGCAACGTAAGTGATATATGGAGGCAGACGAGGATCACGTGGACAATTTGGTCAAGATCCCTGGATGCTGACAGGAACGAAACATCAGCGCCTTCGATAGCTGACTTCGCTCTACCCAAAATTGAAGGGCACTGTTTGCTCGTTTAATGGCCCAATCGAGCGGCGGAGCAGTATCAAAGCATCGTGTTTGTAACATTTCAGCACTTGTCTCCCTTGTGGCTACGGCTCAGCGCGAACGTGGACGAGAGATACCAAATCATGCTGCCCTTTACGCTGATTAGGGAGCGCTGATCAACAAACTTACCGAGGGCGAGCGTCCTGTACGGCTTGATTTTTCTGATATTTTCGGCGAAGAAATGTATTTGTACTTGGCGCAGACGATCCGTACGCCGCACATTGGAGGCACAAACCTGGCAAGTGTGTTATCAACCTAAGCGTTTAAATCGATTGGCCTCGAGACCAAGAGCCAGAGCGGAGCATCGCTTCGACTTGACGTCGACTTGTTTTACTAGAAAGTCTGGTACCCCGAGTTTGCGTCCTCGCGATCAAACTTCCTCACGTATGTAGTTACCTGCCATGTAAACGGTCAGACATCACGTCCCTGTCCATTGCGCGACCTTCTTTCCTTCGAGAGTATACCGCGTGGCGCCAAGTGCTCCTGGAGATTATGGAAAAGCTTTCAATGCCCGATCGACGACGTCGTTGATTGCAGAGCCGAGGGCTCGATGACCATCTGGAGTAGATAGAAGGTATAACTTGAATTAATCGAAGAAAACTGAACGCAAGGAACCTGACACCCCCTACAGCAAAACATTAGTAGCTACTCCATTATTTGAACTCTGGAGACATACAACCTACCGATTTTGAGAGAGGAGTCGCGCCCGACGAGTAGTTTTGACGCGGGAGAAAGAAGTGAGGTTGTTGATGATTGTCAAAAACTAGTCAAGTTTCCCGCCAAGTGGAGCGTGCATGACTCAGCAAAGCTAAAATCCACGAGTACCGTCACAGCAACAGTTTTATGATGGACAACTAATGATAGGTAGTAACTTATCCTTATTTGTTATCATTACTATAAATTCTAGAGAGAAATTATAGGCACGACTTGCAAAAGTATGAGCAACTTTCTAAGCGCTTGCAGCCCTCGAAGCGAATTGAACGACTTCTATAATTCTAAAGTGAGTAACGGTTTGGAAATATTACATATATCATGATTACACTATTTTTAATTGAAACAACAGGAAGTACTGTGATTATGGATGATTTTTATACATATACAACTCCCTTAATCATTGTGGCTTGAACCCACTCTCGTTCTTCAACCAAGTACTGAAATTCTGCAACTTGGGCTCCTCCTGCTTAAGCTTCTGAATATCGACACCGAATCCATCGCTCTTGAACCACGAAAACATCGATCCCATCTCCTTCGACGCAAGCTTAATGCCGCTTCCCACAAACCCAAAGGTTTCAGGCATATCATATCCCATCGTTTCCTTGAAGACCTTTTTGCCATCCTTAAGATTCAACTCATCTCCGGCGAGTGAGATGGAACGTCCCTGATATTTGGCAGGATCATTGAAAGCCCTCGCAGCGAAAAGCCCAATGTCTGAGGTTGCGATGAGTTGAAGTGGCTTTTGCCCGATACCCGCCCACATGGATGCGAAACCTTTGCCCATGAAATCCGGTGTGAGATTGTCCATGAAGGCGACTGGTCTAAGTATAGTCCACTTCATATTAGAATTCTTTGCGGCGATCTGCTTCTTCAAGTATTCTTCAATCACATGCTTGACTTTGAAATGGGGAATTTCTGTTGGATTGCTGTCACTTTTCACATCACCTCCACGCTCTACAGATGTGAAAACGAAATGCTCAACACCATTTTCAATAGCCGCATCAATTAACGGTTTCGCTTGTTCGTCCTCTGGAACCTTGCTTAGAACCGTGACGCTGAAAACCCCATAGATAGGTTTGTGTTCTTTGAATATGGCAATTGGAGTGGTGGAGTCTCCAGTGACAACTGTGACATTTGGTTTCGCTGCCAAAACTTTTGCGTTTGCGGAGTTGGCATTTCTTGTCATGGCGAGAATTTGGAATGGCGTTCCATTGGCGGATTCAAGTGCTTCGATGACAGCTCTTCCTTGCTTTCCAGTCGCACCCGTTATGAGGATTTTCTTTTGTTGCGCAGCCATTTTGTAATGAGGTAGTGGATGTGAGAAAGATGTTATTGCGGTCGGGTATATATGATTTAATGTCAGGTTGCGAGATTAATGTTGATGCTTTGATTGTGACGCTTTGGTTGTTTATGTAGTTGATGATGATAGTAATGATAATGATTCTGGTTTCCTCAGGGAATGCCACCTCATATATAGTTCCGTGTTCTAGACATCGGTATACTATCAAATCAATTCCAACCCAGAAATCTACTAGCCTCCGATGATTTCAATGCGGAAATATCCTCCTTGTCGGATGGACCAATGCGATTCGGAATCAAGCTTTGAGAATCTTGGATTGGGAATAGAGAAGCTGACAAATTTCTAGGTATGGGGCTCGGAAACTTTCTTTTCCCCACCACAAAGGTGTCCGCAGTCCGTAAACCAATGAGCGACAAGCGTTACCTGGATGAATTAAGAATCAAGACGACAACAACATCTTAAGAAACAATTCTCATTTTTGAATTTGCGTCATGATCCGTACATAATGATCTGCAATCCATAAGTTTTGTCCGTTGTATTGAGGAGAAGACACCGAGACAGAGCTGTTATCGCCGAAAAGTGGTTGCCAATATTTGTTCGGACGAAGTCACTGGGTACTTAGGGATTTTGGTCCGAGAAATTTCTCAAATGGATATCTGGAAGTTAAGATACCCGTTACCGGCTTACAAACATTATTTAGCGTGATAAATGCAGAGCTATACAGTCGCTACAGTCCCCTCGTACGAGTCCTTATTACGAGCAAAACTCTAATTCCCTCATATCGTGGTTCAAAGTTCAAAGTCTAAAGTCTATTCAAAGTTGCGACAGTGGATCATAAATTTACGTCAAGTTGAGTATACAGCCAATTTGAAGATACCAAACTCGCGAAGACTCTTTCTCAGGAACCTTCCATCAATTATCAAGGAGAACGTACCTAGCTATGGGATTTGCTGATCGCCCAAGGCATCTGGCTACATGTGTACAACTTTTCAAAACCTATCCCGATAGCACAAAACTTAGATATGACAGCAGAATTTACTACAAAAGATGAGCCCTTTTCGAAACATTTGACCAACTGATTAAAGGGACAGGAGTAAGTTGGCAAGAGCATCAATCTGTGTGCACTGAAATAAACAGAGTGTTCTTTGCCTATAATGTTTGTTCGAGGCATTGTCCTAAGCAACCGAGGAGGGAACTCATTGTTTAAAGCTGTCAATTGACACCTCTTCTGAAGTTTCCTACCTTGCAGCTTGAAAACTGCTAGGTTGGAGGAACAAGAACTTTAAAACTATCCAAAATCCCAACAAATACATTTTGTCACCTATCGACCAATGACAAAACTGTCGAATTGCATGCTCTTATTATGCTACAGCATATTCTGATATTCGAGATGAAGGTAAAAGAAGAGATGTGGAAAGAAGAAGTGCCTCGGCAAACAGCGGGATGGACGGCGCCAAACCGGCCCGATGTCTCGGAGCGGGATCATCCGTTGCCGAGGAGAGGCAGCTACGTCATCCACATTGGCAAAGAATGCACCCATCGTCATTTCCTACCAGCCAGCGCGCCAGTCAATAACCAAGGCCTCGAGAGATGAGATAACTAACCCCTATTCCTTTGCAATTGCTATTCCTCTGCAAATTCTCAATTCTTAGAAACAACACACAGGAAAGCAGAATTTAGCAACACAGTAAGAATGGCAGGAACAGTAGAAAACGCAAAGGCGAAAGCCAAAGAAGTTGCGTAAGTATTTACCCCGCGACGCGACGAGAGTTTGAACAGCTAACAGAATACTAGTTCCGAGGATTTCAACAAAGCCCGCAGTCTCGCAGAATCCGCAGCAAAGTCGGGGGCTTATTTGTACCCTATTAAAGTAAGCTTTTTGACTGCTTTCCAAGAGGAGAGAGGGGAAAGCATAAACTGACGAAACACTGTAGGGCATATTTTACTTCCTGTCCCACCGCTCATTATGGAAACCACTCCTGTCAAAGCTCGTCCCAACGCTGTCGTTATCAGCCGGCGTGATCGCCTTCATGTTCGTTTTCGCATACCTCCCCCAACTGGCCGTCTTGGTATTCGTCAATGGACCGCTCGCGGCATTCACGACGATCCTTCTCACGCTGAGCGAAAGCTCTACACTCATCAACATTATTTCGCGAAACTTTTTGCTCCAAGACGCATTGGTTGATACATTTGACGGTGTGTTGGTTGCTCGAAACCAGACCGGTGTAGTATCCGAGGGTCGTCAGATTAAATCTGGAAACTTCAATGATCCTATGGCGAAAATGGGCAAAATTTTGAAGTCTCCTTTCGAGAAGTTCACTCCAAAAGCTCTCATCAGATACGTCATGTATCTACCACTCAACTTCATTCCAGTTGTTGGGACTGTAATTTTCGTTTTGCTACAAGGTAGATCCAGAGGAGATTCTGTTCACTCTCGTGTAAGTTATGAATTGTGGTGCGCGGAAGAAGTAGACTCTGACTTTGTGTAGTACTTTCAATTGAAGAAGTGGAACAATTCCCAACGAGAGCAGTGGCTGAAGGAGCATACCGCTCCGTATACTGCGTAAGTCACTCTATACTATGACCTCAAAAGCACATTTTCTTGGCTTGTATAACAATACGACACATGCGACGTCAGGAGTCTAGTAGACAAATAACGCTTTTGTGTCTGGTTTGATCTCAAAGTCAGGCTTTGATCTTATGATTAAGTGACTTGCCACGACTTTCACCAAATAACATGACTGGAGAAAGCTTCCAATTTAATCCTGCTTTGCATGTGGTTTGATTCTTAGACTCACTGACAATTTATAGATTCGGAACCGTGGCAACCTTACTTGAGCTTGTCCCATTCGCTTCTATTCTCTTCTCATTTACGAACACTGGTATGTGTTTAACACCGTGCTCATTATCCCACTTTACTAACTACTTTCAGTCGGTGCCGCACTGTGGGCAGCAGATATTGAGGCCAGGGATACTACCATGACCGAGGTTCAAGGTAGCCCAGGAGAGGAACTCAAAAAGACAACTTAAGTACACGAATGTTGCTTACCGAAATGAGGATCAGAGTTTGTGCAAGGGAGGGTTTCGTCAACAGGTTACCCGCATTTCGCTTCGAGGACTTCGTGGAACCTACCGATTGCAAGAGAAACCGCAAGTTCCATAATTGTTGTGTGCGATAGCAGCTTTCTGTAATAGCGCATTTCGTTTTTGAGGATATGATTCTAGCGAGGAGCTTGGTGGCGTTGGCAAGGCTTTCGTGATGGAAATAGAAAAGTCAGAATTATTAGGCAGACATCGAATATATCATACTTTTCTCTAAGTCAGTAGACAAACCACTCCCGTCGAGAATTCATGAATTGATTGACCGCACGTAAGTAGGTAGCGGCAACAACTTTTCACCAAGAGTCTTCATTCCCAAGGAATGCGACCTTAGCATCATCGTGTGGGCTCCGGTTGCATTGCAGGCTCATAGCATTATCATACTGCTGTGTGTAGTATTAAATACGGCACAGGTGTTCATCACCCGTGGAGATGATTTGAGACTGCGAGGCTCCGAGGGAGGGAGGTTAACTGCGCGGTAAGCCTAGGCTGGCCGAACGAGGGGCTTTATTCTCTAAGTATTACCCGGGTCTCTCTCGATTAACAGCTCTTCTGCGGTCCAGTGCCCTATGCCCGCCAATGCCGAAACAGGAACTCGAGATGTGGTGGACAAACCCAAACGGCTGTTACTGTGAAGACACGTCCCCACGAGGCCCAGAAATCCCACTCCGCGATTTGATGGTTTGTGGAAGACAAAACTTTGCGGAACTCGTATGGACTACCATGAGCGTTCGGGAATGGAGTGTTCTTAGACTGACGAGAGGAAAGGTTTTGGAATTGAGCGGCCAGCATGATTTTCAAAAGATATCCTGGGCAAAAGCAGTGCCACGCATATCCAGAAGGAAAGGCAAACAGCGCACTTAGTGAAAGATGGCACCATTTTGAGATCCTCGAGTTCCATCCCAAGACCGATTTGATCTCGAACATCGACGGTTCCCACGGCACCTTTTACTCACGCTCTCCTCGAATCGTCTCGATACAGGGACAACCATCCCTATACATATGTAGATTCGAACATGGTAGTGCAACTCTCACGACGGGGAGTAAACGATGCGGGTAGCCTACGTCTCGAAGGAAATTCAAAATATTCTGGACCACCAGGACGATCACAAGTCATTTCGTCACTGAAATTTGAGTACGATTCTCGATAAAGTTGACATTCGTCGTGCATGATATGATACGCTCGTGTTGCGAACACTTGAGATCACCATCGGCACTCATTGGCGAGTTATTTCCATTTCGTGCAAGTGCTGCTCGAAAGACATTTGACATGTCACACTGATACGACTGTGATACGTCTGCAACGAACCAGATGATATACCAAACATGAAACACACATCTGATATGGTATTTTCACTCAGCTTCCCGACGTGAACTGGATTTCGAGATTGTGTTGAAAGATGGAGAAATTTTGCAGAGTCGAAATGTGTTGTTCTTTGCGGATACAAGGGTTCGTTGCGGCTTCTTAATGCTTCGTCATATGAAGATGTCGTCCTCGTGGAGGTCTTACTGTTTTGTTTACATAATGTCTCGTTGAAAGTCGCTCCTTCCATTCTTAAGTTTCTGGCAGTCTGCGGCAGGGGGGCCCGGCAAGGCTCTTCCGCGCCCAAAGTGGATCAGAGACTTCGTCGTATTTCCAACTCTTCACTCTCTCAACCTTTTCAGCTTTCACTCATTTACGCTGATTGACGATCTTTGTCTGCCTACATCTGCTAGATATCCACGCTCTTTTAATTTCGTTCAACACATTCGTTCAATTCCTTGAAGGTGGCTCGACACGTCTCACACGTCTCATCCGACTAGCTGGGCGTCCATTTTTCTTTCAGCATTGTCGAGTTCTTAGTTGCTTATTGTCATTTATTTTGCACTTTGTGACTGCTGGTTTTCACTCTCGTTGCTCACACTCTGACCGGTTTCAATCTCGACTCAATCATCGTAAGCGGGCCCTGAGCAAATATCTCTTCAGCAGGTGTCAAAATTCTGATACAAGGGGTTTGAGCTGACGATTCAAAGCAATACAACGAAAGCTGTAGCCATGGATTTCATATTCATCTTAGCTACCATAATTCTAGCATTAGCACCAGGGACTCAAGCTCTCCCTGGTTGGCTTACACCTCCAGCCGACGGAGTGCTTGGGGAATATGACCCCCATCAGTATGACGCTTATGGTGCCCAGGTTGTTCCAGTATATGGCCACTACAGTTATGGTGGCTATGGACCCCAACCTACCATCTCTAAAAATGAAATCACTCCTGTCTCAAGCGCAGCTGGAAGAGCAACATCCTCTTCTGATCCTGATGGTGAGCTTACCCACGGCACGAAGATGATAACGTTCTGACCAAGAAACAAAGCGTCAAAATTGACAATTTTGGAGCTCTCTCCTTCGGATAACTCTTTTCGACCTCTCCTTACCTTGAGCGGTTCCAAGGTCACAGCGTCTACTGCAGCCACTGCCTCACTGTACACATCCCTGCATTCTTCTGTGCTAATAACTGGATTGACGGACCCAACTTCCTCATATAACACTGGGTCAGCTTCGTCTACAGACGGTAGCGAGAGCCCTTCCACGATAGAAGCTACGCCAGCAACATCATCTTACTATCCACAGCCGTCAACCAAGTCTTTCGGCAGCGACAGCAGTCTATTGACTACCTCGTCTGATACCTTAGACCCAACAATCTCCGTCAAAGTTTTGAGTAGCAATACGGCAGTGCCTACTTTATTGTCCCCGTTGGCTTCTCTGGTGACAGCACTCGATATCTCATCATCAACACATACTACCAGTAGCATTAATGCAGGGTTTACCGAATACTACGATCCATCAATGCCTGCATACGGTAATGTTTTTACTGTCAGCGCTTCCTCTGTTGGGAATAATGTTGGAGTCTCTGTCACTAGTACTTCTGCCGAATCTTCTGTAACCTCCGGACTTTTCGCAGCAATTACTTCCCGTAGTCTTGGAAGTGTTCCCACGGCGAAGGACTCTTTTTCGCTTCCCTCATTCACAACAACGTCAGATCCAAATGACCCTTTGGCATCATCTGTAAGAAGCTTCCCAGAGGCATCGACAGTGTTCTCACTTACTGCATTTCAAGATCCGCCAACAATCGCTATTAGCTTTGCGAGTGATTCCATATCTTCAGGCAAGCTATTGTCTACTTTGGTAGCGTCAGCAGCTACCAACCCTACTACGCTAGTTTCACTACAAACGAATTGTAACCGTGATAATTGCTTCCGACAACTGAACCGCGCTTCTATTTTCGGCCAGCAATTTTGCGCTTCATATACAGCAACCCAAAATACCGCAACAACCGAATTCCCAACTTTTGTATCTGTTTGTGGTAACAATCCAACGAAGGTGTCATCAGCATGCTCATGTGTAGAAACTGGTTCAGGGTTTCCAACGTCGGTTTTCAGCAATGACGGAACAATAACAGACCCATCGAGCAGAACAATAAGTACAAGCACATCCTACTCAGACCTAGAGACCTTTCCCACAGTGGTCCTTACATCATTGCTAGACGTCTCTGAGACTACGTTCACAGTAATTCCTACTTCGGCGCCAACGACTGCCGCAACCACTGATGTCACAGTAAGCTCATCTATCTTCACATCAAAACATATTTCGATATCAAGTACTGTCCCGTATCCAATGTTCAACTCTTCGGTAATCACTGGGCCCACTGCTCTTGGGAATCTCACGACATTGTCCCAACGAGCTCGATCGACTGTCACTCGTACCTCCACCATTACAGTGCCAGCAAACACACTTTTATCTACATTTGATACACCATCATCTACGTTTGACAGTGATATAGAACTATCAGCAAGTGCCATTTCAACCGGCTCAGAGATTTTTATTTCTTTCAGCGAGTCTGGCAGCGCAACGGGGTCCAGCAAAGATTCACCGACATCATACGCCATATTTAACCCATCAATTGACTTGGTCTCCTTTTCATTTGGAACAGTTCTGTCACACCCTGCTCCCGGTAGTATTGGCTTTTCAACAATAGTATATCCATCACCATCCAGATCATACCCAGTCTCAGATACCACACCGCTTGGATCTCCGATGTCAAGAGATCCAGATTTATCTTCAGTGCAGGATGTCAACTCAGCAAAAGTGCAGTCTACCACTACATCAGTAATATACTCTCCGTTTTCGAACACGCCCTATTCTGCACAGCCTAGCGAGACTGCCACTTACCCAAGTCCTGTTGATACAACTGTTGGGGGAAATAGTGGTACATCGGTCACTCGAGTCCCGTATCCATGTAACTCGTCTGCTGTATATGGCGGTACTGGTACTCCTTATGATCCCACGACAGGATTTTCTACCGGGATCAGTTTAGCAGACGGGTCTTTGACATCTTCAGCTACATACCTTCTGGTCAACACTACGGTCATTACGTCGCTGACTTTTTCAATTGAAATTGGCTCGCCAACAACGGACTTTTCTGCTCCGAATACTGGGTCGATCTCAACAACCTTCGCAACAGGAAACATCACATCAGAGAGCTTCGCAACAGGCACGAGTATAGAAAACACTCTTGGTACTCTTAGTACAGGGGGGCTTTCATCGTCGGGCGTATCAATGACTCTGTACCTGGGTAACAGCACATCATCTCCTACTAGCGATCCAAATCTGAGCACATCGGTGTCCGGTAACAGTGGAATCTCAACAACGTCGGCTTCTGATCCGGACCCTTCAACTACGGAGCAGAAGCCTTCCTCGAGCGAAAGAACTTTTTCGGCCTCTATATATCCGCAATCTGTTTCGACACCTCCATGCTCCAACATTTGCACTACTTCCTCCAATCTAGACCCATCTAATTCTTTTGGGCCATTGTCAAGATCGACAAGTGCTTCACAGGGTGCAAGCAATTTCTCAACTTTGATCTCTGGTGTTAGTGGCGTAACCACTTCTAGGGAGCTTCAAGGCTCATTTACCACGACACCAACCGTTGCTCCAAGTGTTACGTTTTCCACATCTCAAACTGAGGTCATACAAACAAGTTCATCTGATCAAACCTTTGGTACACAGTCTTTCCCTTCTGACACTACTTGCACCGAGAATCCCGGTGGTTCTACCTCAAGATTAAGTATGCAAATAAAGATTGATTAGGATCATTCCGCTAACATCCGTAGTCCAAACCATTAGCTCCGCTGGTCCAATATCTAAGACAACTGCAAAAAGCGTCTTAATCCCATCGACGTTCGTCACCATGACAGGCTCGGCGCCGGTAGAAAGTTCGGCAGGCGTCCATGATTCTACCAGTTCTTATGAAGGATCGACATCGGTATCTAATATTTCAGGTGGTGAAACCTCATCTCCCTCTCTCACAACCTCCACATCCATATCGTCGTCGCCGCCCCCGACTTACTCTTTCCCTCCAAGCTATAATCCTGACCCGTATCAATCGCCATCGTATGGTCCGTCACCTGATGACAAACCAACTTTGGAAGACATGATCGCCGCGTGGATTGCAAAGTTAGAGGCAGAAAAGGATGCCGAAGAAGCCATGATTCACTAAAACATGCTGAAGGGCCATTCAAAGACTAGCTTTTCTTAGAGACTTTGCTTGAGATCTCTCATTTTGGAGGAATACACACAATGAAAGTTGTTTTTGTGGGGTTATTCATTTGTTTACTATGTCAAATACCAAATACTGGTCTGGTAGTTAAAATGTACAGATTTTTGCCATGCTGCCTTGTTAAGTAGGAACACAGAGTTGATGTTGTTGAGATAGAGTAACATGCAATAATCCAATGAAGAAGTAGACTTGATTCCTTGTGGACTGGCGAGGGAATGTTGCTCCTCGTGATATTATGATGGCAGCGGATGAACCGGATAGGTGGTACCCAATGCGTTGATCTACGCGGAACCTCTATCTAGGATTCAAATGTATAAGACAAGTGTCAGAGGTTGTCGTCTGAGATAGTCATTCGAAGCTTGCTCGTTATGGGAAAGGACGTGTTGTCGGTTGGTCCAGTAATCTTTCCAAGGTTCCCCTGCGCAGATTTCTCACTAAATACGGCCCGGCCCGAGACCCGGCTGGCCCGGTCGATCGGGGTTCGAGAGAGGGACCTCGGCACAACTCGCGACCCCACCATCCGACGTCGACGAACGAGACGACGTCTGCTCTATCATCGACACGACTTCTAAGGTCATCCATTGAATATAAGGTCACAATGAGTACCCTAAATCGAGATGGCAGAAAAACTGTATTTATTACAGGGTGAGTCCTATGGCCTCATCGCGCCTGATTTTAACCATCCCAGTTCAGTAAGCTGACGACAAGGGTATCACAGATGTACCAGTCCAGGAATAGGCAATGCTCTCGCGCGCGAGTTCCAGGCCAAGGGATGTCGCGTGATTGCTTCTGCGCGAACCCGCAAGGCGATTGCTGATTTAGAGGAATTGGGGATCGAGACTGTGGATCTGGATGTTTGTGATGAGGAGAGTGTTAAGGCTGCTGCGAGGGAGGTGGAGGGGTTGGTGGGGGAGAGGGGGTTGGATGTTTTGGTTAATAATGCGTTAGTAAGACGAAGTGGGCAATTGGAGGTGCTAATATGATATAGTGGACGAAATATGACGCTGCCTGCTCTCGACGTTCCTCTCTCTGAGGCTCGCGCAACTTTCGAAACGAACTTCTTTGCGGTGGTTCTTATGAATCAGCAGTTTACGCCTCTTCTAATTCGTGCTTCGCCATCCTTAATTCTAAATATCGGTTCTGTCGCGGGCATTATCCCATATATCTACTCCTCAATCTACAACGCCTCGAAAGCTGCTCTGCACGCCTATTCCGATACACTTCGTCTCGAACTCGAACCATTCGGCGTGCGCGTCATGGTCGTAGTCACAGGCGGCGTTCAAAGTAATATCGCTCGGACGGAAAGACTATTACCTGATGACAGTTTGTATAGACCTGTAGAGAGGGAATTTAATGCGAGAGTGAAGCATAGCCAGAGCAATGCGATGGATACGGGGATGTATGCTAGAGGGTTAGTGCGGGAGGCATTGAAGACGGAGCCGAAACAGTGGGTTTGGAGGGGTAATATGGCACATGCTATTAAATGGGCGTGGAACTTGGGACTGGGAGGATGGTTGTTTGGCAGGTATATGAGGAGGATTGGGGGGTTGTGGAGGTTGGCGGCGATGGTTGGGAGTAAGAAAGTAGAGGGGAAGAAGATTGTTTGAGGTTGTGGAATTGTTTATCAGCGATGACAAGGAGCAGGAAGGCAGGAAAGAATATTGTTTGAGATGTGACATTGGAATTAGCAATGGTAAGTCCTTATAGGAGTATCTCATAATACTCGATTCCTGCAAGTTTATTCTCATCAACAGTTAGAACTAATTTGGACGGATCGCACCTGATCGCAACCCGTTCGATTCCCTTACACACCTCAAATATCGATGCAGCTTGAACTAATATTCAACTGCTGTCAAGCTGACCCTAACCGAGTTGCTGAAATCCGGGGACATCCTCAATCTCTTGGTAACGTTTCCTTTTCATCCTTGCAACTTTGCGTTTTCTCTCAGTAACTTGTTTGTATCGCTTCCCACACTGTGAGGTTGCTCGACGGTAGACTGTTCTCAAACCATTGAGCAATGGCTTACCGCACTTCGATAGGCTGAAAGGTGTATCTTCGGTGGTTCAGTCAACTCTATCGAATGATCCTCTTTGATTTGTGCGTTTCTCATGGTTGCGAAATTCTGCCGTTCCTCCCGACCCTGAGTTGTTAGGGCATTGTGAATCCTCGTCCGAGCTGCGACCCATCCCTGATTTATTGCTCGAGGCAAAATGTATGCCACTCGAAATGAGAGCGATGGAAGATTACATGCGATTGAACCTATACCGACCTCGAGCGCTAGCCAGTTCCAAAACAGCATGGTTGGACCTGGAACCTGTTAGCTCTGACACCGCAATGAGAAGGATTACAGGAAGTATCCTTACCGTCATAGGTGCGATGATCTTCTCCAAGAAGCACTAACATCAAAGGATTGATGAGATAGATGGCTTGAATCATGCTGTTGATCAGACCGGCAACAAAAGTACTTGAAGAATCAGTGTAAGTCAGCGGCCACGGGGTGAAGGGGTTGAGTTCTCACAATCCGCCAAGCAGAAATACGACAATGACTCCCAACCTCTTATGCAAATCCATCTTCAGTCTCCAAACCTACATTGCCACTGATCAGTACCTCATTCCATCGCGTGCAGTATCGGGTGTATTACAAAGGGAATCGGCAGCACGAGGATACCAAAATCAGTGAAAGTGTCGACAGCATAAACACCCAATTGAAGTTGAAGCCCCCAAATAGGACATACCCTCCAACCTCCCTGGAAATTCTCTCTGATATGGCGACCACAGCCGAACAGCCAAGTAGTTATCGAAAACACGAACCACGCTATACATAAGCCCATCAAAAAGCTGTTGGAACGCCTGGACACGTTACAAATGAAGATCTGGCGGTAGAAGAACAACATTGTCATTTTGATGAGGAAGTTTGCCGTTGTCCAAAATAAGACGAGTGCACCTGCACACTAAATGAACCTCCATGTTAGTATTTGAAGAACGTTTCGAGAGTGTAACGGGGAATTTCCAAGATACATACCCGTGCGAGAATGTTTTCTTTCTCCATTACCCATTTGGTGACACCATCAGGCTCGTTGGTGAATGCGTTTATGTATACACCTTCAGCAACCCGTCAGCTTTGCCTGTAAAGCTGTTAACTTGATCAAGAGAAATGAAACAACTGACCAGTCAACAGAGAAGCACAACACCCAGTCGTACAAACCTACGAATGTCAGCTAGTCCGGATATCCTGAGGATATAAATTCCAACTTACCCAAGCAGCCAAACATAACCAATCGTCAATACTCCACTTGATCTTGCGACGCCACCGCACCCAGAACCGCGCAGTCACCAGTATGCCGCCTATAATAGGACAGACCACACCGATGACAATGGCGCTTCTCGTTGTCGCTATACTCGACATGGTAGATCGTGACTTTAGGTATACATTTGAAGCTGCGCTATACAATCATTGCGGATGAGGCTCAAATTGAGGACATTGCGAGCGCAAGTTTTGTAGACGGAAGATTATTGGGATGAGGTTGGAAAAATTCAAAAGTGAATGTCAGGACAGGACGGTATGGTGGTGATTAATAATATGAACCATTCCACCGGTAATGATAGATCCGGATCACGCTAAGATTCACTGGCCTCACCTTTTATGAGTAGGAGGGCGTCATTGTTTTGTTGTGTGATGACTTCAATCAGGGTTTGTTATGAAAAACAACTTCTGCTTTCCGGTTTCTAATTTCTTTTAGCTATCTTACATCATCGATGAGATCTATCTAGGTATTCTCTAAACCACGAATATAACGTTCTAAATTATAATTCAGGATATTCTTGCTCCAAAAGTGAACTTCTCGGACACAAGTCTCTAAACACCAAAATCAATCTTCTCGATTCTACAATGCCTTCCGTTTTCCAAGAACAGCTCAATCGTCGTTCTGGCTTTGCTTGTCTTTCTGTATCATTCACGAACGACATCTCGTGATATGGCGTGCTTCTAAATTGTATCCTTATCTGATTCATAGGTTGAGCCGAACTTCTCAGATATGCCACCAGACATATGGTCTGGGAGGAAGGTGTTCCGGTATCCGTTTCGGTATCCGTTCTGATAGAATCTGAACATGTTTAGTGAATTGGTGAAATGTTTCTACCATGATCAATCTAATCGAGAGGTGCCCGTCTGGCGATGTATTGGAGAAGCAGACAGATGTCATACCAGGCCTGATAATCTTCCGATTCGACAGCTGTTCAAGTGTCCAGACACTGGCAATCCCTAACATCACCACCAATACTCATCCCACTCAACAAAGTTGGGCATCGAACAGCAACTCGCGGGTCCGTCGCACACTGCATAATCAGGCTCCATATTCTCTCCATAGTGAACCCAAAACGCGGAGCATCCACTTTATTCTCGAAGGTTGTCGTATTGCCGTCAGGATTCCAACCTTCTTTCGTTGTGATTGCAAGCAACAACTTCTCATATATCGATGTCTTAATTCTACGAATCCGACTGGCACTTGCGATAAATTGACCTTTGTAAGAGAGTAGTATAGACGTATCCGGACCGCACGTCTGGTTGTAAATCTCCTGATACAAAGAGGGAATAACTTTATCGTCATCTTTCCAACCCCATCGATCTTCGCAGCTGAGACAGTTGCATGTTACACCAGAGAATCCCAGACTCAACATGCCAGTTTCTTCGACTAGGTAGTCGTTAATTCTGGGGAGCAATTCTCGCATGTTGTGAGCGTGGGCTTGGATGAACATAGTTTTCTCGGCGAGAACATCCCAGTTCTTGACAATATGGTAGAGATATGTTCCTCCTTCCCTCCCAGCATTATCCAATAGTATAACAGTATCGGCCCCCGTAGACTCTTTCAGTTCAGTCAGATTTGCTTCTTGATTTTTGGTGTAGAGAATGATATTCGTCTGCACATTACTGACGTACGCTGTTCTCTTGATTGAATCGAGCATCTGTTTTATCGACTCGGGGTCTTCCGTATACGCGCTGACAACGATATCGAAGGTTGATGACGTGCTATTGATGGGATTGAGTACGGTAACGTTGTTTGGCAATAATGTTGGGATGGAAACTGATTTGAGAAAGTATACGACCAGACCCGTGCCAGCAAATGCAAGGAGTGTAAACTTGCCCGAAGCAACATTGAGTTTCTTTCCAAATATGCGATTTTGCGACGTAAATTCCTCAGCCGACTGCTTTGTTTCATCATCTTCAGTATCCTGCACCGTCTGCAGAACGCAGAATGTCGCAAGCATATATGAAAGAAATTGAGCATTCGAGACTACTGTTGGCGGCTGAGAGTAAGTTATACCGATTAGCAGAAGTATGCTGGAACAAAATGAAACCAACACTTCGCGACTCGATGCAGACTCCACATGTTCAACTGCAATGGATAATCTGGGAGAGTATGCCAACAAAGACACACCGGTGACTGCAGTGGCGATATGTGATGCTGAGTTTAACAGCATCAAACTGATTGTTTGGTAACTCAGATTTATTCCCGGTGATTTTTCGAAATTGAAAGCTATGACAGTGCTGATCACGATTCCCAGCACAATGGTCATCATAATGAAGCCGTGGAATTTCTGGCGTCTTGTCTCGGTGTTGGAGCTACGGTCGAGTTCGATCGAAATTAAAGCTCGCGCAGTTCCCATAGAAATCAGAGCAGTAATACTCCAGACCAGGCCCGGTACCATAAGTCTGTATTCGTTGTACAGGTGGACGCTCAAAGCAGACATGGCGATGAGTGACCACCAAGGTGATTTTTGGCGAGTTTGTTTTGATGGAAGGAGACTACAGACAGCAAAGTGGATTATCGACTCGGTCGCAGTAATCAATGGCTTTACAAGTTAGCCCGAATCTTAGCAAATTTGAAGTCCGTAAACAACATAGCTCCGGTGAAACTTACAAATAACATAACAATTGCAGGTAAGCTTGGCATGTGAAGGATTCCCTGGAAGAGCATAGGTATTGACGCTGCGGCAATGAACGACACTCCGAACATTCTTCGCCATTCCCCGTTCGGTAATTGATGTAACCAGTGTGTGTTCTTGACCCCGTATCCAAGTGAAGTAGTGCAGTATATCATTGAAGAACTCGAAGTTGTTGAAAACACGATTAAGTAAACAATCAGACCAAGCACAAAGCTTGTCAGCGCTATCGTTGCAGCTACACTATGTCAGAAACTTATCACAAAACGCAAGGAGGGAACACTCGTACGAAAATCTAGGTATGTCAATCAATATTTTTCTTGGTATGGACGACTCTTTCATGCTTACGATAATTATGTCTGCACATGAGCTCTTTGGTCCCAAGTATGGCAGTGGCTGATGCGAATATCCATGATCTATTGATGGTAAGTCACCGAAGGACTTATGTGCGACCTTGGACTGAATTAAAGTGACTTACAGTTCTCTGATGACTGAAACTTTGCATACTGTTGGCGGATGAGTTGTAAAGATCTCATCAAAGACTACCACGTCGTCTTCAATGTCTGTGCTAGTCCTACTCGAGTTCGAAGCGTCCTGAAGCTCAACATAATTACCGAGTGTACTGGACATATTCAACACTCCAAAGCGAAAATGCAATCGAATGAGGATCGAAAAGTCGTTCACCCATAATTTCAGTTTTTGCAAACAATTCAGGTAGCAACTGAAACTCCAACAATACCAACACGTGTGGATCCAACGTCCTCGCCACGATGCCAACCTAAGGTTTTGATAGGGCCAGTTCGCTGCTCGTAGAGGATACGACTCTGTAACCGTGGCTAAATGAGGAAAGCCTTGAGTCGTTTAGCGAGTTATATTCGTGGGCACATGCGTTTTAGGATCATGAATGGACTGGGGACGAAGTTCATGTAGAAGCAGATGTGACTTCATCTGGAATGTCATCTCGATCTTGGGTGTAAATTTCAGCTTTCAAATAGATTGCGCCGGCTTCTTATAAGATATCCTGCTCATAAATCTGCGTTATTGGATAAATTCAGTTCGTGAATTTACTATTCAGAGGTTTCTTTTCGCGAACTACCATATTGGTAAAGCCCAGGACTCTGATATATTGCTGAGCACGGTCTTCTGCTGAAAAAGAGTACGTGCACATACTCCTTGCAGAGGTCGAAATACTTGCTTGGTGCCTATTCAGTGGGAACAAACAATGCCTACCAACAGGATCAGTCCCCTTTCAATCAATCATGGAATCACCTCCTTGCCGCCGCAGAGATGTCTTGGCCCCCTATCAGGAAGGGATATGACCAAATGCGGCGATGCGGCCCCCGCCGTACGCGCTAAGCCGCGGGCGAAGGCTTGTATTTTTAGTTGAAAACTGAAATGAGGCAGACTGAGCCTTCGTGTTCTAGGCAGAAGTTGTTTGACTGGTACAGTATTTAGGGGTTGTGGTAGCTGTCAAATTTTAAATGCGGCGAAACTGACGATCGGTACTCGAACTCAAAATTGGCTGCAAACCTGGAAACAGCCATGGAGACTTCGTTTCTGAGTTCATGAATTGGCCTGTCTGTCCTCAGGATGAGCTCTTTTAAAAAAAAGATTCGGCAGTCGTAAATCTCTTTAGAGTTTCAGATCGTTGACTCTCCACTCGAAGAAGGCATAAATTTGGTGGTCCTATTTCTCGCTTATGTTGTGTCCGTGGGATTTTGATTGGTTCTGCACGACACTTGCGTCGCAAGGAGCCTCGGAGACGAAGGTTGTTTTTGGAACAAACGAGTGTAACCCTAGGTTTTACTGGTCAGTATTTGGATTCTGCAGCTTTTTGCATGGAGTGAAGTATCTTCCAACCGCTTGGCTTAGGTAAATCATTGTATGCCTCACCGAGTAGGAATCGTGCCGAGATGCTCTTTTAGAAAAATCTCAAAGGCTGGATGTGGACAAGTGGGCTTACTTTTTCGATTTTGGGAGATCATTCGAAGGTTTGTAGCTCACACACTCTGATCTCCGGATACTTTTGCGACAAGAAGATTTGTTTTAACACCAGGTGAACAAATTTGAGAAGTACCATCACTTATCTATTCAACAAATCCATCTCATCATGAAACTTTTCTCCTCACATTTTTTATATCGAGTTTTGTGCCGATTCTTTGGCGTCTAGTTTGATACCGGATTCCTGACACCCCACCGCCCAAATTTCTTCCCTCCTTGTTAACAGCGCGTCCATTTCGTTAAGGTTAAGCAAAATTAGCAAAGCCTAAATAGAAGCTCAAATACTAGTAGAATTTTACCTGCCTATACAATAATTATAAACCCAGACTTTGTGCTGCTTGCTGTTGTCAAAATTTACGTAACACAAATGTTTGCATTGATATACGAAAACCTCCAAGAACCTATTGTTCTTAAACAACTATGACGGTAAAACGGTGTCCTCTCAAAGACAGCTCTTCTTGCAGGAACTCTGTTAGCAACTGGGAAATCATTATGTTAGACCAGGCTGCATAGGCCAGGCTACCCAGCCCTTTGTCCAGTAAGTTTCAAAGTCTTTGCCAGACGCAGTTGACTCTGAAGCGGGGTAACTTACCAAAGAGAATATGTCTGTACTGATTCTCCTACGCTTAACTTCTACGGTGACTACTGTTATAATTTGGTTAGCTCAATGTTGATGGCAAACCCAGATATTGGACATGGAACAACTGCCGATGACCATCGGCAAGTTCAAGAATTACGAATAGAAAAGCGCAATCTCGATGAAAAAAGACCCGCAGGACTTTAGTAGCAACCAAAAGCTCACGATCCAAGTATCGCACAGTGTATAGAAATTGAAGATAATTACGTTGACTTGAGTTACAGTATGTACTTTTCCCTCGCTTAGCAAGACAAAGACCAAGATCCATTATTCAGGGAATGGAATACCTCGGGTCTCCTTTCTCCGAATTCTACAAAGAATCAAATCTTCAAGAATGTGACTGGCATGTCAAACAGTGAGTTTTCACACCCACTGAATATTTGGTGTATGGTTTCACATAATTCATCAGCAGGCTGTATAGTTTCCCATCTTCTTCAAAACACAATGTGCTTTGAAGCTAGCTAGCTGGTCAAACGGGTGTACATTGTATGCATACTTAGCTAGGCACGTACTAGGCTGAGGTGAAAAAACAAAGTTCTGTGAAATACCGCAAGCATTCCAAGCAGAATAGATTTTGTTTTGTACTCTTTTATGCTATTGCCAAACGGGACAGAGTCGGACAACTGAAAATTTCTCATGCTTGACACTCCGAGGCATAACGATTAAATCAGTCATAATCTTTCAGCTTATGCTCTTATTGCTTCCATCCTCAGCTTCAAGGTCACAGCAAATGTGTATGCTCCGGAAACTTTTCAACTACAGCCTTCCGCACAGCTTCTAAGCACTCCTCCTTCCGATATTGATCCAAATCAGGCCATCCGTGCTCTCGATATATATCTTGTAACACATTCCGTAGCTTCCCGTCACGTAACAGGACTCCGCTGTAAGTACCCAGAACCTTTTCCATGCTAATGGGAATAAAAGCCAGCTTTCTGAATTGATCCTTGAGGACCTTAAAAAAGTCTGCAATAGCCCAACAGGCGGGATCCCGCCATTCTGCCTCCTGTTCGTTTTCACAGTACTCGTATGCATCGTCCATCACCACCTCAATATCAGGGCTCTTGATCAATTGATTACACTCGGGCCAGGTGGGCCATGAAATCGTTCCTTGCTCAGTATCAAGAAGAAAGCATTCCGCAAATGGTCCAGTATGCGTAATTCCCACAACAGAAGAAGGAACGGCGTCCTCGTACTCTCCTTCAGTCAAAAGCTTGAAGCCTCGCACCGTGTCTAGATGCTTCCCGGCGGCGAGAGTGCGACATGCAGATTCCCAGTCCCACATCTTCGTCCATGGTGCAACTTCCGGGTTGTCATCGTGAGCGCCGCGAACGTAGGGAATACGTCGAAAAAGTTCAATTACTTCATCATCCTTTTTCAGTCCCGCCAACCTCTCTGCAGTTATGAGGGGCCAGCCCCCTTCCGGTGGCTCGACCACGTCGGACTCCTTAAGGTATAGCTTCGTAAGAAACTGATAGTAATCACGAAATGCAGCAACTGTCGCGGATTGTGAGTAGGTGATCTCACTGAGATCAGGCATGGTTTGTGATTAGCTACGATCATGACAACAAAAATGTAATGGAAAGGCTATAACATGGGCTTAGAGCGTCGAGAGCAAACCTTTGTGCGTTGAAATATTTTATGATAAGCAAGGTCGATGGCGTCCCGTCGGGGGTGAATCATAAATGCAGTATTATATTTTGTGTATTAAAGACGTCAGACAAGTTGAAGAGAAGTTGAAAATGCCTTATTAGGTGCTTCCAAGGCGGAGGAATTACTACCGAACCAGGATAACACGGGACCCCGAGCCGAGTTACCTCAATATCTTTGTTTGATCTGTACGCAGCACGGGTCTTGGCTGTCTTTTAGTCTCAAAAGAAAAGTCTAGCAGTCGTAAACGTGCTGTGTACTTGTAAAAACGACAGAAATTAACCTCCTGATAGCCAGTTAATCTCGCTACCGAGCTGTCGGGTTTGCATGGTTTGAATTTTCTTCAGCAGAAGGGCTCGCTCCCCTTGGCCGCTCACCGCCGTTGTCTTTCAACCAATAAAACCATTCCCATTTTCTGGAGTGTTGTCTTAAGGGGTTTGATCACGACCAATAAACTGATGTCTTTTGGGTGCTTGTCCGCACAATTTGGGGAGCTAACGATGACAAGAGAGCACAAGCGTCAGGCACAAGCGTCTAGCCTACGTAGTACATTAGACTCACCCAACTATCTTGGCCATGTTTATACAGGGTTCTGCATCTGTTAAGTGATAATTTTTCTTTTGTAAATGTAGGAGTTCCATGTGTGGACGGTCAGTTCCTGGCTAGGGTGGTAACCTCTGTCAAATTACAACGGAGCTTTCACTGATTCCTGGCCACTGCAATGTCAAAAAGCCACCGTGAGATCTCTTTAAACTCCGTTTTTATAGTCAACAAAACTTCATGCTGTTCATTATATATGACAAAAGAGTTTGTGGATGGAGAAAATGATGACCTAAACGGTCCTGTTCCCAACAGCAGCAGGCGCAAGTACAAAACTGAGCATCGCCCTCGCAGGAACGGATCCACCGACACTTCCATCACTTGCAACTGTCAAGGCAGTCCCAGTGAAATCGTTCTTACTATCAGTCAACCAACTAGTCGCATTCTTAGGGACGAAGCCAGTAACAGCGACCGTCAAAGTCGCAGCACTCGTTCCTGTATTGATGACGTTGACAGCAACACTGCCGTCCACATTCTTGAACGCCGTGGTTTTGAAATTCCCTCCGCTCGTTCCCACTCTCACAGCTCCTGGTCGAACAGTCCGCGAGTATTGTGCCAATGCCCAAAGACGTTTCGAGACCGTGTAAGAAGTCGCATCCGCTTGGACTAACTTCTCATTTGTGTTTCCACCTTGAGTTCCGACCCAATAGATATAAGCCGATAAATTGGAATTGACAATTCCACTGTAAACAGTTTGCGCCCACGTCAATCCCTCGCCAGATCCACCATTACTGTACCAGCTTGTTGTCCATCCACCATTGAGATCAGAGTACTCAGTTTGCCACCCCTTCTTGGTACTGCTCAAGCTTCCTGATGACCGAGATGTATATTCATGTGATGACACCACTCCGAGATATTGATCTCCACCGGCATTCTTGAGAGCTGAGTACATGCTATTCGTTTGTTGCCATCCGGTGTTCTCGCAACAGACAATTTGTACTTGGCTCATGTTGGCAGCGTCGAGACTTGGTCGAAGCACTTTCATGAAAGCAGCGGCTTGTGCGCCATTTGACAGCATACTAGCATAGCTCGCTCTAGGTTTCATTAGTAGTTGCCCTTGTCCAACGAGTGAAGAATATCATACGTAAAATCAGGCTCATTCAGGAATCCCAGATGTGTAATAGGTATTCCAGCGTCAATATAATAGCTGATGTACTTAATCAAGTAATTTGCATACGCCTGTTTCCACTCATCCTTCAATGTACCACCATTGGCATCATTCCCATTGCTTTTCATAAATCCAGGTGCACTCCATGCATTCGCGTAAAATTGCTTGACTCCATAAGTCACAGCTTGCTGGCTAACCCAAAACTGACCCGAATCTTTGCCATCCCAGACGTAGTTCGGTGTCGCAGTTGCTGCACCAGGTGATTTCGGAAGAATCGTATTCATGTGATCTGACGATGAGTCCGGAGAAGAACCAAGACCATTTCGTAAAATCGAAAAGCCTGCACCTGTAGTGGTACTGAAGAACAAATCAAGAAGCGCGCGTCTTTTGGGCTCTGGCATGTTCACAATCAGATTTGCCCGCTGGAAAGCTTCGGAAAAACCGAAACCGTCCATGGTCTGATACTTCTTGTTTAAGTCGACAGTGATTTTTGTTGCTGTCTGACGAGAGCTGAGGGAGGGAATTGCGTTGGCCACAAGGGGCAGTGCCGCCACGGCGAGTGTTGAAAAATGCATGGTGAAGCTGTTGTTAATTGCTCTCTCAGTTTGCTGTAGCAGGAGCTGTTGCCCAAAATAATCGAGCTTTTCGGGAGGAACTCGTACTTATAAGCCCCACCTTGAAATCGGTATCAGGCAGTATGCTTCATAATTATCGAAAATGACAACAAGAAGCAAAACTCCCATTTTACCCATTTCTACCGTCTTGGTTCTGGACCATGTGATGCTTATTGTTGATTGAGATGCGAACACTAAATAATGTAACCTGGACCTGTGAAGAATCATCTGTCTGAAAATTCTACAGTGACCGATCCCCACACACGAGATTTTGTTCGTATTAACTTGTAAAAGTTCTCACCCCGATTTTATCTTGCTCTGAAATTCTTATGTGAAGAGATATTTGGTATCAAAAAACTCCTAAAAAAGTCAATAGTCATGCAATGTGCCTTTACAAGTCTGTCCTAGTTCGTACATGGTGTAGGTTCTTCGCTACAAAAGGGAACTCGCTGCAAATAAACCATGGAGAATCAAAGTTTTAGTAATAATGCGATGAGTTTGGATCGAAATCGTTTGTGACAAAACTACTACCAGTAAGTATCAAACTTCCACTTCCTAGCCCGGCACCTATTTGGTCAAGGCGATAACAATGCGCGGCGCAACTTGGCTTTGTCTTGGAAATCTGGGGATGTGGATATACCGATTTTTCGGAACAGCGGGGAAGCAGATCATCCGAGCTTAAAATATGAGTGTGGATGAACGGAGCCTCTGCTGATGTTCGGAAAAACTGGTCTGGTATATGGATGATATTCGAGGTTGGGGAATGAGCCTAATGGCTAGCCGAGAGAACACTTCCCACCACATCGATATATCTCTCAACAGCGAAATGTACAGTGTTCTTCAAATCATTTTTTTTGACTGAGAAAGATGAGTTTAGATTTTTACCCATACACGATGTTTGTTTCTGATATCGTAGTCACTGTTTTTTTCAAAAAGGGCACTTTGGATCGCTTCCGTTGAGCATATCTCTTTAGGGCTCCCATCCATACCGTATTCTCTGCTTCAAAGTTAAATCGAAGTCAACAGTCATGCAAGATAGAATAGCACGGCGGATGTGAGACTCACTTCGACTATCAAATATAATAGTATTCTCGTAAAACAAACCACGTGCATACGCGTTTCGTTCAAGACGACGCGGTCACGAAACTCCAAAACCCCCTCAAATATTTGCAGCGATTGCCACCATCACAGCACCCACTATCATCCAAGCGTTGATATATCCCAAATTTTCAGAAGCCATGCTTGCCGCAGTCGTGGACTTCGGAGCAGACGCACCGACCGCAGCTTGCGATGTAGGAAGAGTTACGGAACTAATAATCGTCGGAGACTGCGAATCTGTTGAAGCTGGCCCACTCGTAGTCACCAGCGGACCAGGCGTAGCAGTCTTCCCCGTTTGCATCGTTGTTGTCATTGTCGGTGACCCTGATGTAAGAGCTGCTTCCGCATAGCACATCGCCTCATTGATCGTGTCATTCAATGGGCTATAGCCGAATAGCTGTCGTGATCCTGCTCTGTACCAATAACTGGGGCAGTCACTCGCGAATGAAAGTATCTCGGACTTGTGGCTCGACCACCATGAAAACGCAAGGCTGTTATACGAGGAGTATGAAGATAGGAGAGTTGATGGAACGATTGTTCGAAAAGCACACCATTGCGAGAGGTCAGGATTTGCGCAATTAGTTCGTTGGATATCTGTATATGTACAAGTTTCGAATAAAGACCTCCCGTATGAAACCATTGCCGTATCCAATGCACCGGTGGCCGTTGGAACGTTGAAGTAATTGGTGTAGTCTTGTGTGGCGCACTCCCATGAATCGGGCGTTGATGTTGCTGGTGGTTTTGTCGGCATTAAAACCGCCATGTCTATATCGGGATCAAGAGAGGCGGCGTCTACGGTCGTGATAAGGAGCAAGGTTGATAAAAACCAAATCATATCGGCTCTCCTCATTGTGAGGATCTGAGTGAATGACAGGATTATGTGACTTGATCGATGTTGCGATAGACATAATATACGGTTTCCCTTTCTGATGGGAGCGGTGACCGAGTATTATACATTTTGAAAAACTATGTCCGGTGAAGGATATAGGAGAGACACTTCAAGAAAATTGAGCTTTGACTATTGGTTCCGGAAGAATGCCTTTATTCCCATCGACAAATCTCCGGCCACGCTTGGCCAATACCTCCATGCTGGTCGAATGGAATCGAGCGCCTGATTAGGCGAGCTTCCCCCCTGAAGGCACTTCGAAGGGCACGTGATGATTTTTATACCATGAAATTGTATTAATTTACGGCTCTGAAGGTTGTATCGCATGGAGATTTGCGCTTGTATTTTTTAAGGTTATTTAAAAACTTGTTAGCGGCGCTAAGACAATTAGTTCCTAACAAGCAATCACAAACAGTTCTCAAGTCGTTACTTCTTTGTCCATTGTAAATTGTCGTCTTCCTTCCCTCCCGTATTTTAGAAATTTAGAGACATTCACAATCGAATCAGTTGGTAATAGCATCTAAAATGTCGCGCTGCGACTTTTGTCTTTAACTAAGCTCGAATCTCTGAATAGTTAAAAATCATGTCAGAATCAATCATAGGGAAACTCTGCTCCTAAGTTTCCTGTCTTAAAAAACACAAGAAACGCCTCCTTTTCTTGGTTACTTTGTCGAATAGATGCCACGAACTGGATATAATCCCTAATACCTACATTAAAACACCACAAAACAAAGCAGAATCATAAACAAAAGTGAACCTCAGCTCTCAAGCAGAATGGAAGGTCTCAAAACCAAATTAATATATTCAACCACTATCTCAATCCATAACAACCACAAACTTCCCCGCCCCCTTCACCGCCGCACTCTCATACCCAGCAACCCCCTCCTCCAGCCTAACCTGTTTCCACTCGCTCCCAGGCACCAACAAATTCCCATCAAACATCTCCCCAACACCCCTCAAATCCACCGCATACTCCTCCGCAGAATACAAAAGCGTATTCACACCCGCCAGATTCCTCTCCCCCCGATAGAAATCCACCATGTTAAACGTCAAATCCTGATTTCCGCCTCTCGGGCCAGCAATAAACGCAAGCGTCCCACCTCTTGCCAATTTCGCAACCGCTGCGGAAGTGAGCGCAGGTTGGCCTACCGTGTCAATGATGGCAGCGACGCCTTGTCCGTTTGTTAGGGCGTCGATGGCGGATAACTGAGGATCGCTCGCGGTATTCACATCCGCGCTTTCCTGCCGCGATGCTTCGAGGACTTTACATCCTTTGCCTTTAGCTAGTTGCACGACTGCTGAGCCCACGGCGCCATTCGCGCCGATGACGAGCACGAAATCGTCTTTCTTCGCACCGGATCTGCGTAGCGCTGTTGAGGCAGTAGTATAAGGCACGCCGATTGTAGCAGCGAGTGTGAAAGATAAACTCTTAGGTTTTGGAGCTACGGCTGCTTCTGGGACGAGGATGTACTCGGCTTGTGCACCGTCGGTGGTGAAGGCTTGCTTGTTTCCACTTGTGCCGAAGACTTCGGTGCCGATGAGGTTTTGGGGACCTTCGACCACGATTCCGGAGAAGTCGCGGCCGGGGATGCGTGGGAATATTGTTAATGGGAAACCGCCTTTGGAGTTGATGAGGTCGCTGGGTTGGATGGCGGAGGCTTTGACTTTGATGAGGAGGTGGCCGGGGGTCAGGGTTGGTTTTGGGACGGTGGTGTAGGATAGGATTGGTGTTTCGCCTGTTTTGGTGAGGAGGAGGGCTTTCATCGTTGACATGATTATGGGTTCGTTATGATGTTGTTTGAATAAGATGGGTCTTGAAGTGTTATAAGTGTATTATGAGGAAAAAGGGACAGCGATATATCAGAACACCAAACTCACATGAACAAACCCTCTTATATAATATCCTCACTCATCTCAAAGACTTCCAAAGAATTAAGTAAGCCTCCTCAGTGTCTCCCAAGTCACTGTTAAAACAGCGACCTGTTCTTGCTGACTTCACAGTCACATCAATGTACGTTGATTATTCAGGGCTTGACCGCCCCTGATTGGCTGACAAGACCGCTTTCTTGATTAGGAAAGTCATGACTGGAAATTGCAAAGCGTTTGTAAAGCTTAATTGCACGTCTCGTCCTTTTCGTTCGTATGAAAGAGCTGACAATGATGACAGTGTTGGAAAACAAGTAGGACATGTCTTAGTAAGGAAACATGTAATACTTGTATAATGTTCTAGACCAAATCGTGACAGCCACTTGATTTGAAAAGAGGTTGACGTTGTTCAGCGAAGGTCGCAGTATCTGGTCTCATGAAATCGTAATCGAGTGACTGAGCTGGAGGTTTTCCAAAATCAGTTATTAAATGACTTGAGAGTCGAGTTCCAGATGAAGTTGGCAGGAAACGACCTTCATCTCATCCCTCTCAAAAATTCCTCGTGGGACAAACCCGCAGAGCTGTCGTCCCACATACGACCCCGAAAACTCGGGATCCCACATTGGATTTGAAACCCCTGAATAAGATCTTGATAATAAAAAGTGGATCGTTATCAATCTCGGAGGGTCCATTCCGAGTCGGGTCCGACATCACTAAGTGGTGCAACCAATGATGTACGACTCGCTCGCGTGGCATATCAAGGGAACTCCACCGCGTTGGAAATCTCGACTTTTATGGAACGTCATTTTAGAGTCTGTGTAGGTGGGTTTCTCGCGATGGGTTTCTTTGCGGTTTGCTTATGCGTGTTTTATTTGACAAAAGTATCGTGGTTTCCAAGTGGCAAAACCATTTCTCTTGAGATGGTTGGACTATTTCACTGTTGATGTCATTTCTTGTTGATCTTTAACTTCCTATCGCGAATCTCCTACACCCAAACAGTCAGATATACGCCCTCAGGGCAACTCACCCTAACACGAAATGGCCTCCCTCTCAACCCCATCCTCGACTCCCTCGCGCCACGAAAACGACCTCTCACAACAAGCCACCAAAGAAGACGAAAACCGCGTCACCAGTCTCGCAGCCCACGTAACCCAATCATGGGTCGAACACCCCTCCAATCCGCTCCTCGAATTCGGCTTCGTCGCCGTCCTCTCCATGTCGCAGCTCATGACCCAAGCCTGTCTGGCGCAAGTTATCGCGCCCCTACATATCATTGGTGATAGCTTCGGCACGCAGAATCCAGGACAATTGAGCTGGTTTCCGGCCGCTTATTCGCTTACGGTTGGGACTTTCATATTGCCTGCTGGCAGGTTAGGAGATTTATATGGACATAAACGGTTATTCGTGGCAGGCTTCCTCTGGTGGGGGTTGTGGAGTTTGATTGCTGGGTTTTCTGTGTATTCGGGACCGATATTGATGGATGTTTGTCGTGCGTTCCAGGGAATTGGTCCGGCTTTCTGCCTGCCGAATGCTATTGCGATTCTGGGACGAACTTATAGACCGGGTGTGAGGAAGCAGATGATGTTCAGTGCATTTGGTGCTACGGCTCCTACTGGTTTTGTTATTGGGGCCGTTTTCTCTTCGCTTCTGGCTCAATTTGCCTGGTGGCCTTGGGCGTTTTGGATTACTGCTATTGTTTGTGTTATTTTGGCGGTTCTGGGCCTTATCCTGATTCCAGCGACACCACCGCCATATCTGGATAGCACGGAGACGACTTGGGATCGGACAGACGCCTTAGGAGCATTGACTGGCGTCTCTGGTTTGGTTCTTTTCAACTTTGCTTGGAATCAGGCGCCAGTTGTCGGATGGCAGAATCCTTATACGTATATTCTCCTTATTGTCGGTCTCGCTGTCCTAGGGATTTTCGGATATGTCGAATTGAAAGTCAGCAAGTTTCCTCTTGTACCTATCAGAGAAATGTCGGTCGATTCGTCGTTCATTCTTGGTTGTGTCGCTTTAGGATGGTCTGGCTACAGTGTGTGGACATACTACTTCTGGCAATTTTTGGAAGAGTTGAGAGGTGTCAGTCCGCTTCTTGCGAGCGCGCAATTTGTCCCAGTCATCTTCAGTGGTTTGGCTGCAGCTGTCACTACAGGTTTTATCATTCATAAAGTACCTGGAAGTGTGACGATGGGTATTGCGATGGTGGCATTCACGGTTGGTCTGATCTTGTTGGCCACAGCACCCGTGGACCAATCTTACTGGGCACAGACCTTCGTCGCATTGATCGTGATGCCTTGGGGAATGTAAGTTGCCTTGTTTTCAGATGCAAACCCAAGACCAAGCTAATGTTTCTGTGCAGGGACATGTCTTTCCCAGCCGCCAATCTTCTTCTCAGCAACAAGATGCCCAAGGAACAACAAGGCGTATCAGCTTCGCTTGTCAACACCATCATTAATTATTCTATCTCTCTGGTACTTGGAATTGCAGGTACCGTTGAAGGCCAAGTTAATCGTGGAGGAACGACCCAAGACGACTTGCTGCTTGGATATCGTGGTGCATGGTATCTAGGAATTGGGATGTGTAGTATGGGTATCCTTCTTTGTGTTGCGTTTGCGTTCTCTGAGAGGAAGCAAGCGAAGGCAGACGCACCGGATGCTCAGCCTTGACATAAAAAGTTAAAATGGATCGAACTCTGTATATATGTAAACTCTTAGACTTGACTTGACTCAATCCTATCAGTTGAGATTCGGGGTCTTCTTCTTCTCCTCCTCCTCTTTTACTTTCTCCGCAACTCGACGCGAGGTTCTAGACTCGAATGGTTAGCTTTCGCGTGGTCACAAATAGCAATGGTTTGGCGTCGGACCGTCCAATGCGGTACTTGTCTAGTATACCACTACGGAGCGGAGGGACGCCACGAACTTCAAACAGTTCGGAAACGACGGATACGAAGGGACGATGCCTTTAGGAGTTCTCGTTCCTAATCCACGATTCCACTCTGGACTCATTGTTGGGTATCTCATTTTCTTTTCCTTTCTCTTATTCTTAAATCAATAAACGGAACTTGGTCGTCGTATTTTTCCCTGCTGCAAATCTCCCAGCTCCTTAAAGCGGCTACATGACGTAGCAGCAACCTCCCCAAACAGCCCCTGCACCACAAGCGTGCAGTAAATAATCAATCAGCAGCGGCGATCTGATTACGCGACCCAAAAACCCAAGAACAGCCAATTCTCGACGGCTTCTTGAGATAGGAATTAAGCAAGTCTTGCTGTTGCTTACTCCCATCTCGGCCGATGTTTTGCTCTCTTTCTTTTCTCCTATAGCTCATCGGTTGAGATTCAAGATGCAAGACCATCCTAACTCCGTTCCCAAACCTTCACCTTCCCCTTCAGGCGCTACGGAGACGAGGCGTCCAAGATCTTCTTCACTTTGGTCACAGGGCTCCCGAGAGAGCGAAAATCCACGTACGCCTGCGCCGCCCGCACACGACCATGTAAATAGACAGGACTATTTCCCCAGCATCCGAATTCGACGACTTCCATCTTTGCAGGCTGTGACCGAAGCGAATACACAGGCAAACACCTCGAGCAACGCGCCAAGTCATGGCCAGGGCCTTGGGCAGCCGCCAAACAGCGGAACGGTTGGGAGGAGGAGAAGTACTTCTGCACCTCAACGGTTGCATGTTGGCACTGGACAGGATGGGCAGGATCATCTGGCTGGTGTGACGGAGGAGACAATTTCACCAACGACGGGGCGAGCGAGCGATAGTATCCCAGCGGTATTAAACAACAATTCTCAGTCAGAAGAACGTCCAGATCCTCAGACACGCAAGTCAAGACGATTGAGGAGGGTGCAGAACAGTATCAACGTGAAGCAAGATGATTATGAAGATGGATTGGTGGATTATTTGGATGTAGTTGGTATGTTGAAGTTCAAAATGTCTGAGACAAGAAACTGGAGTTAACACAATGCAGATCCGGAAGTTTCGATGCTCTCCACCCTCACGAATGTACAAAACTCTCTTTTCGTCCCCGATCTCGGAAAATACGTCAATCGGAGACCAACCTATAATCTCACAAAACGACCGACAGTTAGGGACGATTTGGGAGAGCCATCAGGCACGGATGAGGAGATCAAACGAAAACCAGTTCGCCCGAATCTCGAGGAGCGATCTTATACCGGTGCTACAATCAATACCATCTCTTCCAATATTAATGATAGATACTATGCTGTTCTGCCGCATGGTGTGCAATTGCAAGGTTGGTCTGAAGAGGAAAAATTGGAGTTGAATGATCATGTAAGACATATGCTACATTCTCGAAGGTCGAAGTTCAGGCGGGGTCTGAAGGGATTCGGACAATATGTTAGGAGACGTGAGTTTATCTGTTCAAGTATCCTGGACCTGGCTAACTTTGGACAGCGCTTGGATTCTTCATCACCTTATATGCTACGCTAATCACTCTCTTTGGTCTTGCTTGGGTTCTGTTTTTAATCGGTGAGTTGCGGATTTGCGTTCCATATCTGAAAACCTCATCTAATAATCGATACAGGCTGGGTAAATGTTGGTGGTCGGCAAAGTTATTTGATTAACGTTATCGACAATGTCCTCGTTGCCCTCTTCGCTGTTATGGGTGACGGGCTGGCTCCGTTCAGAGTAGTTGACACATACCATATGTGTTTTATAGCACATTACCACCATCTTACCTGGCGCCTTCGAAGGGAAAAGGCTCTTCCCAAACTCGAGGATCACAACGATCTCCCCGCTATACAACCCGAGGAGGTTGAGGAACACCAGGAACTGGAAGAAGAATTAGAATACAGCGTTCTCTCACCAGAACAACAACGTAAGCTCGTTCATCACCAAAAGAAATTCGCCAAATCCCATTCTTTCTACAAACCTCACGAGACCATGACCCATCACGCCTTTCCACTGCGCCTGCTCGTCGCTATCGTCGTTTTGCTCGATTGTCATTCGCTTCTACAAATCGCGCTGGGTACTTGCACTTGGGCCATTAGTTACCACGTTCGCCCGTTCGCGCTTACAACTGTTATTCTGTGTTGCTCGATTACGGTTAACATTACTGCCGGCATACTCATTTCGGTCGGTGATAAAAGAACGAGAAAGAAGGACGTGTTGGAAAAGCTGGATCGTCAGCAATTGACCGAGGAGGCAATGAGAAAGGTTGAGAAGGCGAGGTTGAATAACGATAGTAGACATAACAGTGGAGGAGGAGTTTTAGAGGGTGTTGCTCAGGAGAGGTGGGAAGCGATGGGACATGTTGATACGAATGGAGTTGAGAGAAGGGATATGGCATGAATTAGCTTTGATTTGCGAAGTAATACGGTTTTTATATATTTGGCTTGGGGTTTGATTGTTTGTATCTTTGGATTTGGGAGCAGATTATACCATTTGTTTATATGGGATCGAATTTAATATTGATGTTTTTGAATATACAGATGGGATGGCCCCATCCTCGACCCAGTTCCATCACAAAAAGTGAGTCGAGTAAATAAACATCTTGCTATCCTACATAGCAAAGGGTTTGATTCACCTAAATGCTCACAACAACTCAGCTAACCAAACTCGCTTCCCAAGATCTTATCAAAACGCCTCAACCCACGCAAACGTGCTCATGCGGCGAAGTTCACCAACGCCAAGAGGGACTCGTCACCCTCACTCGAGTACGAGGGAGAGATAAACATCTCTTCTGCCGACTTCGTATCTGCGAAAGCTTGTTTTGACAACGAACCAATTGCTGTGGAGAAATTCTCAAGCAAGGTATTGAGTCCGTTACGGGTGAACCAATGAGAAATGGTGGATGTGGTGGGGAGATAATCAGCTCTCGTTGTTTCAAACAACGTTCTCATATCATTCTCAGGCCTGCCTGAAAGGGACGAGCCGAGCATGGCCTTGTTGTCGGTACTGGTCTTGGCGGGAGGTGGGTATCTAGCTCGAATTCTCGCAGAGGGGGTGTATAAGTTTCTTAGTCCCTCTGCTTTGCTTCTTTTGTTTTCAAAGGCCTGTTTCCGCGAGGAGCTTTTTTCGTGGTATTCGTAATCGAAAATTGCAAGAATGGCTATGACTATGGATATGGCAGCTACGACTGCTTCTAGTATGGCAATGGATATGGCTGCCACCACCGCGGCAATGTCTGGAATGGTAATGCCGACCACGACAGATAGTATGGGAGCTACGGCGTCAAGTATGCCTACTATGAGTATGGAGGGGATGGGGGACGGATGTAAGATTAGTGTGAGTTCATCATCCATCTATACCTCAAATACCTTGATTTGTTTACTGATATGGACGGTTATAGATGCTATGGAATTGGAACACCATCGATTCATGTGAGAACCCCCATTCGAGAATGACAAAGGGATATACTAATAACCCAGGTTTCATCTCCTCATCCTGGCGCATCACCTCCTCAGGCATGTTCGCGGGCTCCTGCATCGGCGTCATCCTCCTCGTCATGTCCCTCGAATTCTTCCGTCGTCTCTCCCGCGAATACGACGCCCTTATCCTCCGTCAGTCCCAGAAATCCCACGACTCGTCCTCCGCCATCCCACCTGCTCTCGTCGGCTTCGATGATATGACCAAATTCCCGGACTCGTCCTCCGCTAAACGACCCTCTCTCACCGACGCTGATGACAACGCCAAAACCCCAGTCCAGACCATAACCTGCGCGCCCGTTAAATTCCGTCCGAATCTCTTCCAGCAGATGATTAGAGCGACGTTGCATATGGTACAATTCACCATTGCGTATTTCGTTATGTTGTTGGCGATGTATTATAATGGGTATATCATCATTTGTATCATTATTGGGGCGTGGATTGGGAGTTTTGTGTTTAGTTGGGAGGGGATTATCTTGTAAGTCCGTTCTCGGAAGGGGCAGAGGTTATTTGTGGCTAACATGATGGTAGGGGTGATGGCAAGAAGGAAGCTACTTACTGTTGTGGATGAGTGTTGGGTTGGGGGATGATTGCGCGTGCTAGGTTTCGTTTCTCGGTAGGGATACTGATGCGTGTTGGCTTTTGCGAATGATACCTTGGAGGAAGCAATTTGCCTAAAACAAAATCAAAATCACATTTTAGATGGCTCTCAACTGTTTCTGATGATATTCCTGACTTTTACTCGTGAGCTGATTATTCGATGACCAAATCAGCGCGTTCGAAACTTGCAGACGAGGCTGTCCTACTACACTGTTAGAATCTTAAATGTGGAAACTTGTGGGTCACTGGTCTCTTGTAGATGAGAAGATTCCGTGATGCGAATAAAATCTTCTCGTTGGGAAGAGATTCACGAGAGAGATGTTTATGAGTTGAGGACAATTCCCACTTCCTCACGAGACGTGGGATTTTGGATGAACCGCACAACGGACAACGAAATCGCGACTGTTTTCGTCGGCATCACTCTAAGCCATTCAAATATGTACTTGCGGTTACGTCCCTCGTGTTCAATCTACCACGATCTTCCACTACCGAGGTCCTTTCAGCCACTTAACCTGCCATTTAAGGACATCTTGCATCGAGTTATCAAGCCCGATCTCAATGTTGTCATTTAATTTGGAAAGAGATAGAGGGTAGTAGAAGGTATGTTGCTGTTTAATTTACTTGAAGGTTGTTCTGGTTGTCGATATGGGCGATACTAGAAGTATTGAATTTTCTTCCTCGTCGCCTGGATACACGTGGTCTGGACCAATATATTCACTGCTCAATTTCGTTTATATATATATGTAGGTGAAATAAATAACACGCTTACATAGGTAAGCATAAAGATCTTTACTTCTCGAAAAAGATCAGCAAGGGCTTCTCTACATGGGGGGTTTGTTTAGCTAAGCGACCCCTTTTTGGTCCGGTCAGAGGCAGCAACTTATTTGGACATTGGTCATTCTGAATTTGCTTCCTGCTTTATATATTCTATCACTAGGACTCTATATAATCTGTGAAATATTACTCGTTTTATATTCGGGCATTGTGTGGACGCCGTGCAATGGATTCAATGCGTTTTCAGGAGTACACTCAGCTACACATTAATTGTTTTGAGTAAGTTACGTGCCTGTTGTGTCTATTTGGAAGAGGGAATACACTTTTTAAATTACTACTCATCTTATACTTGGGCGGTTGGGTAGGTGTAGAAAAAGAGTCCATGTGTTCTCGTGGAGTTTTGTTGTTGTTATGATTGCAGATTCACCAATTCACCAAATACCAATTTGGAAAATCGTTTCCAGGCAAGTATGACTCAATCTAAAATTAAGCCTTGGCAGCTCCAATTCTTTCTCATCGTTCTCATTCAGATCTCAGCGTTTGAATAACATACTACCAACTGTCGCAATTTTCGACATCACTCTCTGATATACACCTTTCCAACTACACAGCTAACAACCTGCTATAACTAACCATGTCTGCCGTTGGCTCAATGGCGAGCCCAATCGCAATTGGGTTTGTATTCCCAATTTTGGGAGGGATCTTGGTGGGTTCAAGATTCTATATCCGCTACCACCAGAATGTTGATTTTGCTTATGATGATTGGATGTCTCTAGGTGCTTGGGTAAGTTGTTTACGTTGAAATACTGGAAGCAGGACTAAATTTGTTATAGATCTGCACTACCTGTTCGTGCGCTTCTCTTCTTGCTGGTAAGTCTTCCATCTTGCGGTAGATCTGAGGAACCAATTATTGATATTAGCAGGTGTCTTCAAAATGGCTTTCGGAATGGAACCAGTCTCTCTTCCTGAGATGGTCACTGAACAAGAGCGTATTCTTGCCCATGTAAGAAATACATTCCACTCCACAACTCTCCAGTCATTCTCTCGTCCTAATTCTACGTGTTAGGTAACCGGCTCCCTCGATATCTTCTGGATCGCAGCAATTTTCCTCACAAAGCTAACAATCATGACCCTTTATCGCCGCATATTCATCGGAAAGATATTCATCATCTGCAGCAACGCCCTCATTGGGCTCACTATCGTATGGTTCCTGTTTGCAGTCTCCTCCTGGCTTTTCTACTGTGGTTTGCATCTAAAACAGAACTTTGAAGGCGGCTGGTTGGTTTGCCCCTTGTGGGGATTCGAAATTCAATTTGGCGTGTTTGTGCTGAATAGTGTCATTGATCTCTGCATATTAGTGCTACCGGTTCGATCGGTATGTGAATGTTTCCAAGGAAGGGAATTACTATCGGGTTTGATTGACTGATGAGTTGTCTAGGTCTCGATGTTGCAAATGAAGACGCAGAAGAAGATTCATCTCCTCGTTGTCTTTCTGCTGGGTGGCTTGTAAGTTGTTGATCAGCTCAATTTTAAATATGCTAATTCAGGCTATTAAGTTCCTTTGTCGCGGGTATCATCAATACTGTGGTACAAATAGTCTATCTAACCAATGATTCACGAGTAGCAAGCGGTAGCAACAGACATCTTTACCAAGGTAAGTCCAACCAAACAAGCCCTCGAAGACCAGTACCTAAATAACACAATACTAACAACATCCAGGTTCGTCTCTACTATTCTCAAACTGGCCAGCCATAGAAATTGGCGTCGGATTAATCACATGTAATCTCCCCTCCGCCTTCCAAGAAATGAATCACACTATATCGAAGCTTTTTCGCAGAATGTTTACAATCCCATGGGCGAAGGTTGATGCAGCTGCAGCGGTGGTTCCGCTCAGATCAAATGCAGCAGCAGACGGAGTTTGGGTGGATATACCGCTGGATGATTTGGATAGCAGAGGCAGAGGCAGAGGCGGAGAAGTACAAAGGTCCTGAGTTGTTTGTGGGAGATGAGGAACTATATGGTTCAAAGCTTACTAAAATCAGCACTTCTGCTCAAATCGTGTATATTCTGTGTCGCTCTTGTCCGGAAGCTGATTATTCACGACCGAGCGAACAAGAAGATATTGTCTTCAGACTTTCAAAAAGTTTGATTGTTTCTCCCAAGGATAAGTTGACAGTTTGAAGGAACTATTGAGCTAATATCAGAACAGGGGACATTCTCCTAACTGTTCGAAACAGTACTGAGTTCGGTCATATGACAATGGTAATCAGGCCTTGAATGTTCTTCAGCATATGGCTAACTGCAACTCATCATCAACAGATTTCCGCTTTACGGAAGCCCATTTCATTATCGTTAACAATTCCCATTTAGCTCATCTCAAGCCTTTCTTTTCCTCTTCTCTGGTAATTTTCCAAGTCAACGCTTATGGATTCCAACCCAAAGAAACCGCATCTTTCGGCTGTGACCATTTGAATCCCTCAGTTATTGCGACTTTTCTTTCTTCCAACCAACTTTGTAGTTTGTCCCAATCTACACATTTATGGTGGGTGTTCGCATTTGGTGTCGGATTTTGATGGTCAAGCACCCAGTTGTATGGGATGATTCCGGTGTCTAACTGGCACATTAGACTTTGGCGGATGTAGTCGACACAGTGCTCATCTAGCAAACGTATCAGTACGGTTTCTTCCTCAAAATTGATCATGTGGGATCGGCGAATAGAATTCAGTCGCTGAGAAGAAGGAAAAATACAGGGGGGAAGGAAGTTCTCTTAACGTACAATGCAGTTCGTACAGTTCAGGTACTCGCTCCTTCTTATCTTGAGTTTTCGGAAAATAGGACATGTGATGATCTTGCCAGATATAATGCAGACAATGCAGTTGATGTGAGCCGATTGTCGCAGCAATATATCCTCCTCCCACGGCGGGTGGGAACTTCGCAGACCAGTCAGGATGTCCTACTTTCTCAATGTCTTCCTTCGTAACACTGATCAAGCCATCTTTCATAGTCAGTTTCTTAGAGCTTACTTAGGCAGCCCCGAAAACTCACATCTCATGACATCGTACCAAGCTTCCTCCACCTTTTCCGTCGGCGGTCCTTTGAATGGACTTCTATACCACAGAGAGCCATTGAATTGTTGGTGGGTATATGGGTGTGGAGCAACTGCACTATTGACCGGGGCTTCAAGTAGCTGAAAATTAGCCTTTCGACTGTCTCGTTGAATGTATTTGTATATGCTCACAGTAGTAGTTGTACATATTCCAACACCTCTCTGGCATTGATCGCATCACTCGGAAAATATTGAACGACAAGATCATAATGATGAATCCATTTAACATATGGAAATACCAGTGCACACTTGTTGAGAAAGTCCATCGTTTGCGTGGACTTTCATTTTTGCTCTCCAGAAGGGCAAAACTGGTGTCTTCGCTTGATAGCGGCGTGTAAAAGGAGAAAACCGGCATCTTGCCTTCGCTATCAAGAATCAACGATCGTGGACTTCGAGATGTGGAAATACAGGCGATGACTTCTTCCCCTCAACCGAGAACTAGTACAGTGGGGTCTTGTTGGATTTCATCATCTCTGTATTGGTTATGTGCACAACAGCCAAAACTGTTGTCAGTGCATATTTGTGATTTGTACCTCCCCAAATATTGTGAAACATATTCGTACACGCAACAATAAGTGCCGAACTTTCCCCTCTCCGTACCTGCAACTTTCATTTGGCACTGATTTCATGCGTTGCAACACGGAAATCTACATATTGCAACACATTTAGCTTGCTACAAGGTCACACGACTGTCAAGAGTCTGAATCGTGACATAATTTCCCCCAGACTTCGAGGCAGATCTGCATTTGTTTTAAGCTTATGTGGGAGTATTATCGTATCGTCAACTCCACCTCAATAAGCTGTTCGTATTTTTGTGAATGCTGACTTCGAGCAACTAAAGTGCTTAAGTGGTATACTATGACAAATTTGAGTGCTTCCACCGTACGTGTAACTATGAACAACCTCACTTAACTACTCCTGCTGTGATCAGTTAAATTCTGACCTCAATGATGTAAGACAGCACATTTTGAAACTCAACAGTGATACCATCGTACTTGCGCAATTGAAGTTTAGTCTGCATGTAAAGGCTCTGACCGTTCTTGTGATTGACCGAATGAGAATCTGCCACGACTGATGTCATGAAAGGAAGTGAATTTCCTTAGATAACATAAAAATAATAAAACACTGAATTCTTTTCCGGTTAGGCTCTTCTGCTCTTTTCCGTAGACGCAGTAAACCAAAAATTGACTACCTGTAATTAAAAGGTCATAGAGATAAATAAGACATCGTTCCAAGTACTTGATGCACACGAAATTTAAGCGATTCTACATAGAACATGAATCTCCTCTCAATTCCCCGTGTCTGAGTGTGACTGACTGTTTCAATTCATGTCGGATAGATGCATTCCAAAGAAAAGTTTACAGAATCACCTGCCATTGACTGCGTTCTATTCTGCATCGAGATCTGAACTATAAGAAGCCATCAAGATCCAGGTAAGCTACCAGCCACGGACGTCTTTACAAACACCAAAATATCTTCCTCAAATTCGACTCATAATCTTTAAATTACAGCCTAGCTTCAACTCAAAATCTATAATGTCACCATACTCTATCATCGTCATGCTCTTCACGGCTGCAGCCGTTTCACTCCCAGTTTATCACCACAATTGCAGGTACTAAGTAATTCCACCATGAAGGAGCCAATTACTAACACTGGGGAGATTTTGAGACCGATCCGATGCTTCAAGTTGGAGAGATAGAGTCAAGCTCTTATGCAGAAACAGCTTGGTAAGGTGCTTTGAGGTGCTTTCATGCATATTGGCTAACAAGAATTATAGATAAGCTATTGTATCACCCAAACGCGTGTATCTTGTGATCTACAACTGTTTAAAAACCTTGATCATGATGCTAGCTTGGGGCAAGATAATTGATCTATTTTCTAGTCCTACATCCCCGTGCCTTTGTCGTTCTATCAAACTTTGCGTGCGAAACTTTGGCTCTGTGACTTGTATAGAACGGTCACACATGGCGAGTATGTGTTTGATCTTGGCTTTTCGACCCTAAAATGAGGTCCAAGCAGAACTCCGTCGTCCAGGAATCATGGCCATCGTGCTTGGAGGAGAGCCAAATGTCCGATTTTGGCATTAATCCTCTCCAACCTTCGAGACATCTCAGAATGCCGTCTAATGTCCCTCTATTTCTAGGAGGGATTTTTAGCTTAGGCTTTTGCCAGAGTTGGAGCTCTTTTCAGATGTGAAAGGATTCCTCCCCCCAGATACCAAGGAGTGTTGATAATTGGTTGATACCTTCGGCACGGTCAAATTATGCGCTAAATTCAGTGAAACACTCTTTCTGGTGAGAGAAAACATACTCCCCTCTTTCTTATCGAGGCTCTCCACCGTTTGGCTCAGATAGAGAAAGCTAGTGGCCGTAGCATCCATGAAAGCATTTTTGAGTTCATGAGACTTGCAGACTACTGGCAAATGGGTATTGGTAGTCATTCACAAGTTTAAGCAGTGATTTTCTAGTGCTTAACAGAGAATTTGATGTTGGCGTTAGTGCCCTAAGTCAGATGTCGTCTCTCTTATATCTTGTTGTTTTGCAATTTACACACGATCACAAAGTTCTTACAGTAATCAAATCCAAAGCTTCAAGTCCTGAGAGTAATTTGTCAATTGGTAAGTCCTTCTCGGAAAAGCCATATCAACAAGCGGTGCTGTTTGTGATGTCAGATAGTGGTACATATAAGGAAAGCCGTTCATATAAGTGGGTATACACACTTAAGCTATGCATCGTAAAGTATTTTGCTAGACGCCAACTAGGTCGAGACAATTGACGTACACCTCCGCAAGCGCTCTTTTGATTTGGCTGGTTAGGAATAAGTCTGCGCGGGGACTGATACCTAGCAGATCCATCTGGTGTTTTATTGGAAGCTTTATACTTAGTTTATCGACGGTACGGTTCGACGACGGCAGCCACTTTCAAATACTGGGGAACACATTTATAGTGTTTAATCAATTACCAGGACAGCCAAGATATCAGATTTAGTACCATGTAAACTTTCAAGTAATCCGATTTACATGATGACATTACATAGAACGAAAATACTATTCGACTCGCCACATGTTACATGATTTAACTCTCTTAAGGTCACGAGTCTGCCGCTCAATCTACAAACCGAGAGTTGACCTGATCTTCTTAGTCCAAGGATATCCAGCCCACATGGACCCCTTGTTAGGGACACCACCGTTGGGGCCCCATATGTTTACCGGGCTAGGCTTTTGAGCTACCTTTGGATTGACACCAACATCTATATAAGCGTAAATCCCATCCTCGATAGAAGAGCCCAGCATTTTAATCTGAAGAAGTGGATCATCCCCTCCCGCCTTTCCAGCGCTAAAGAGCATATCTTTGTCAAGCTTTGTCCATGCTTGCTTGTTAGTATTATAAGGAGCCGTTGCTTCGATTGTTTGCATCATAGCTTGCTCGATGTAGAATTGGCCCACGTGGGAGATAGTCCCACCTTGGATAGTGTTGTTAGGAAGCTTGGTAGCGCCATGGTGGATGATTGCTAAAGAATGTCAGTCAAAAACAGCAAAATAGCTCCGTACCAAGGTCTTCCTACTGTGCAAATGATTGGTGCGACCAACATAGTGGCCCGGTGCGATTGTGATGAAGCTTGCTGTCCCGTTTGCACCAGTGGGCTGTACACCGCGGAGAGCGTTATTCTTGATCTCCTCTGGTGCAGCAGTACCAACGCCATTGCCTTTCGCCACTACCCCAGTATATACGCCCTAATCCAGTATCAGAAGATGACTCATGTATAAATACTGTAGGCGGGAAGTATCCGGATAGCTTACAGTGCTATTACACCCCCACAATTCAACAAATATGTCAGGTATTGGCTTGCAGGTGGAGACATCAATAACATTAATGTCAAGATGAGTTATAATGCCTTTGCTACCAGTGGTAACATCTTGCCTGATTAGCTCTCCGGCAACCCCTAGACCTATGTCAGACACTACGTATATATTTCCAAGATGGAATTTGTACTCACAGTATGGCCCCTCCGTAACTTCGGGATCAAGAACACAGCTTGCTCTCTTATCCACCTCGGATCGAGGACCGACAACGTCTTCAACCGCGTAGTATGGATCAATGTCTCGCGCAGCAACTGTAGTATGAGTGTTATGATTGATTCACAGACATGATTAGGTCGTCGTGAAGATCTACTACTTACGTGGTGTAGATCCCTTCTCCGCTCGAAGACTGTTAACTCTGTTCAAGCGCCGATGAAGCTCTCTTTTGTAGTAACCACTGGCCTCCAATTCGACTCTGCAATCCTCAACGGTCCGCCTGTTTGGGGCTTGAAGAGCCAATTCTCTTTCTCGGATCTCGTGCAAAATATCAGCGCCTGGATGGGCCACGGTCCCCACCACCAAAAGAAAAAATGAGACAGCATTATTGATTTGGACCATGGTGTCTGGAGCGAGTAGGTGGAGAAGTTCGTAAACTCTGGAGCTGATTGTCTTTAGTGACACGGTCAAAGATAGATGCAAACTTAGCAGGAACACGAACAGATTGGGATGGTTTAGGTACTTGTATGAATCGTCTATTCGATGCTGGAATGATTTATACCGTGTGATAGGTGGACGACTTCGGTAGTTGGGGTAAACGAGATGGCCCGGCTTGGTACTCTCGGCAAATGTGAGCTTGTGTAATATGTTATTACTTATCCAATGACACATGCTCGATTATTAAGTGCGATGTCGTGGACTGTGGGGAAATTAAAGAGGGAGGCTAATAGAAAGTTGGATTATCTCCAGGGCTATATTATGAGGAGTCGTGCTAAGCAAGCATTTGAAGGAAGGAGGGTATTCCGTCCACCTACTGAAGAGCCAATCGTTCGAACGGGCCATCGGAACTGTTGAAATTTCCTTGGCATCCCCGGGTTTCATGGTTCAGTTGAGTCTGTTCCCCTTGTTGTCGGGCAAATCACTTTATCCTCCGTGCACACATGGATGTAGAGTTAAGATCGTGCCATATTTTTAAGCCATCCCCTGCTGACTTAGAACTTGGGCTCGGTATCTATTGGCTCTTCATTAGCGACAGGAAAAGTCGTCTTGTGATATTGACGCTCATAGGCTAGTTTTAAAATTGCAAACCGCTATAGACAGTACGATGAAGCCAAGAGATCATTTTACATGGATATATAGAAGTACGCGTGGCTTATATAGGGAGCCAAGCGTTCGAAATTAACATAATCCGTTCTGGTTAAAAGTAAGCTATATAGATATCCAGAACTTACTCAACTGGTGTTTGAAATTGTCACGCGACAATTCAACTCCTAGCAAGGCACCCCTCATTAGTAATAATGTGGAAAGTTTTCAGTTTATGGCTCAATATGTTGCTTCACACAAGTAACCACCTCCAATATCCATAACGTCTGCAATAGTGGCATTTGGAACGGTGTTTCTAATATAGAGAACATGACCTAATAAAATCGGGATATTAGCTGGATTACCAAGCGCGCCAGTTGGGGCTTTGCTAATTGTCAGCTCTCCGATGTTTGGAGGGTACACCACAAATGCATGCTATAAGTGCTCCATGGTTAGACTATCATTATTATAAAAAAGAGGTGGGTTTTAACGATAAATAACTGAGAAACGAAGGAACAAGCGCTTGCAAAACAATGTATATAAAAGTTTGAGATTTACGGGATATCAGCAGGCTTTGCTGGGAATGACGAATTTGGCGTCATTATGTTAGCACCTCCCATCTCTGTCAACCTCTTCTTGTCTTTATACTCGTCTTATAAAGGTAGGGGTTTTGTTGATTTTAACGGCGAAAAAAAAGTCGTAGTATATCTAGACCACTTTCTACTTTCATTAGAATTCCTCTTCCGAAAAATAACTGGTTTGATAACCAGTACAGGCCTCTAAACATAGAGTACGAGCGAGAATTTAGCCAGCGAGGAACCGAGAAAGCCGTTAAAATCCGAGGCTTGGGGTCCTTATTCTATTCTGATAATTTGACAAAATTGTCAGATTGTCAGGTGAGTAAACAAGGCCTGAGTCTAGGAACAAGACGGCATAACCTCAATCTCTAAGCTAACCCATGGCTACTCTGCATGAAAAATTCTGTCTCCTATACCAAACGACCTCTCTCAACTCGGTTCAATCTCTGCGACGCGTGGTCGGAACTGAAAATCGATTACTGAGAGGAGAATAATAGTCGGTGGAGAAAAGAGATTAGCTCGTGTAACCACTAATAAGTCGCTATCTATACCTCTAGATAATTCTGTGCTCTCAACGTGATTACTGTGAAGCTGGAATAAAAAGTTCTCGAAAAAGTTCTTTGTCATGTTTTCTAAGGTCGAAGCTGATTGGCGAGACCGGAGCAGAATTGTTCAGCTGGCCTCAGCCAGCCGCAGCTGTGCAATTCGAGCACTTGCATTAGAAGAACGGTCTAGGCGTCTAGCTTTTGACCGACTTGGAACGATGCGGGACGAAGGTACGTAGCTGCCAATATCGATATCTCTCAGATTGACTTCCAGCGGTAGAATTCGCAATCATCTGTGCTGCATTCACACAGCTTGTCCGGATGGAGACGGATGGTCGTGCATCATGCGGCCATTTCGTATGCGCTAGTAGTATATTCGCAACTGAAGCAGTTCGCTCTCATTATTAGTGGTCGGTCGGTATCATGTACTCAGTCACTCCAATATTGTGTTCACTCCACTTTGAGCGGCCAATAATTTAACGCGGATCAAGGGTTTATGGAGCAAAAAGACAATGAAGAACTTCGAGCAAAATACCGTTTCGACGAGAGGCGTTCTTCCACGAGGTCTGAGGCTGGCTGTCTCTATACTCTCGTAGGATTCTCTAACCAATAAATACTCCTATATTTAGCCCCATACAAGGTATTTCGAGGGTTCTCCTTCGTCGTTCCAAAAACGTTACATCCCCCGTATTCCATAGCGGAGCGAACACGATATTGGCAATACTTAGTATCGATACGAGAAGAATGTAGACTCCGCTTCTTTATGGAAGTCAGATGAGTTAGAAAGAATATTGAGTATAAATTAGGCGGCGATTGCCTACAGAAAGCGATCAGAATCTACTCAACCAACCATCATTCTTTCTTTGTTCCCAGCATCGCCGCCGCGCATCTTTGTCGTACCCGAGCTACTACACAACAGCCACTCCGAGAACAAGAGATTATTTCTGCCCGACAAGATGGAAGCCCGCACCCCATTCGACTCCGCCATCGACGACTGGTATCGCCAACCTGAGAACGTTGAGGGCATCATCAAAACACTGGAAGAAAAATCTGAAATTAAATTCGTCTTTCGAAAGAACCAGGTGGTGGACGGGTCAAGGGCAGGTGACCACCAGATCGAAGCATCAGCCGAACACATCGCTCGCTGGGATACGCGAGTCCCTGAAAATATTTTCAAGGAAGGCTTCGCCCCGCGGACACCTCGGCACTGGACTACATTTGGCATGCATAACTTCAAGAGTTACCAGCAGTCCCAATCTGTCGCCTCGGTCTTCGTGGCAACCGCTCGCTGCTTCCAGGACGACAAGAGTAAACCCGCAATGTGGAAGCCACAAAACTGGAACGACGGCACCAAATACAAGTACGCGGTCAGCGGTTGTTACGGTGGAATTGATGTCAACGCGACTATAGGTGCGTCTTTTTTTTTTGCCAGACTTACAATGAGCTAACTGGGGCTCATAGCACAGAATAAAGCTAGTCACTTCAAGAGCGAGCACGAGATTACATTTGTTGGTGGGATCAGGAAAGAGTTCATTCCTTTCGCGGTCGAGTACAAGGATGGCGTGGCAATAAAGATCTGGGAGAACGGTCAGATAAAACAGGTGGTTGGAACTACCTTTCCGCGTCCTCCTAATGTCGATGTGTATATAGTTTCGCCCTAAGTAGCCATTGCTTACTCTCGTCTGTATTTTGCACCTAGTGTCACTTCAGCTTCTTAAACTGTTTTGTAATTCCATAAATGGCTTGTTTCAATCGCTGTTTATTTTAGTGAGGATGTATCTTCTACAGATTCCGAAAAGAGATGTTAGTTCAAGATGGCCACACAAGTTTATTTAATTTTGTGCACTACACCAGGTTGCCAGCTAGTTGAATTTATTTGTGCTCTTATCCTATGGCTTGTTGCTTAGTCAAATGAACGTATCTAGCTCCCTACCTTACGTAGTCGTCAACTCGCTTATTGAAAAGGGGGTTCGCTTCCAGTATCCATCCGACTTCTGGGTTAAATACGGAACGAGTAGACCAGATTTGAACATTTGTGTCAAGTCAAAACACTACGCTGTATGAACTGGAAGCACTATTCAAGAGCTTGGTTGCCTTCTAAGCCTGGGCTACGATAACGATGGAATGTGTTGACAGACTATACTGGAAAATATTTGACTTAGGATTCATTTTAAGTGGAGTTCAAGGTCTAAACTTCGGAGGGGTTCCGACATGTGATAGTTCAGCTTTGAAACAACATAGTACTTCGGTGTCTATCTCGATTATGTGCCCCCGAATCGTAAATTTAAGATATCTCTACTATTTCGCGGTATTATTTCTTCATGTTCAAAAGCGAGTCGGAAGATCTATCACGGGACTGTCGTGCAACACTGAGACAAGATTTTTCAAATCTATGCTTCCATACAATAGAATGCCGTTTCACGTACAAAGAGTTTTATGATAGGTTCCATCCACCTTGATGAAAGTTTATTCCTTACCACCTAGCTAAGCCTCTCCACTTCTATGATCTCCCCTCTTTACACACTTGATCCACTAAAGAATGATCGACGTCATCAACCAGGATAGTTGATAGAACCCTGTAGTGCACCTATGCTAATCATAGATGCATCCACCCATTAGGCACAAGCACCTGCATCTCATCAACCAAACACTCCACCCCCTTCTCCTCTTCCCCACCCCCCCTTTCCCAACCCCTCACACGTCCCTCAATCTTCCGTTTCTCAATCCACCTCCCCAATCCCCCAAGAACGCGGACCCCCCTATTCAACCACACCCCCACCACTCTCCCTCCCCATCCCGGCCACACTCCCCCCTCAGGATTCACAACCCCATCCGCAGTCCCCCCATACGCAACCTTCACATCAGGATTAACCCAAACCCCCTTCCCATCCCTATCATCAACATGAATCAAACAACACTCACTCCCCTCAACATGTCTCTCCGCCAGTCCATCAGGAACACGTCTGAACTTCAGCGCAGGGAAAGAGGAAGCTTGAAAGACGACCATTCCATTCCAACAACTCCTCACAGGAACCGGTTAATTTGCAATCATCGCTCTCCTCGACTCCCCCGCCAGGAAATACGGCCACGTACTCGTCACCGTACCCGAGCCTTCAACATCCCGGAGCGCGAAGGTATCGTAATAACCCGGCGGGTGTGCGAAATCAAGAGAACACACCGCGTTATATTCGCCATTATGCGTGTCCAAGAGCCTTAGAACATCTTCCGTCTACGCCATCAGTTCTCCACACATCACTTGAGGAAGGAGGTGAGGTACCGTGAAAATAACATCATTCAACCAAAGCACCTTCCCAAACGCCTTTCCACCCGCAACCTTCATGGAATCCATAACTCTATTCCGTCCCCCCGCTAAAAACGGGATGCGTCGTATCTCTGTCCTCCCTCTTTTCGTGTACACCCAACCAGTCTCGCCCTCTGCTGGGGTCCGGTCAACGAGATCTTGATGCGTGAGATTACTCAGGAGTATAATCCGCTGCGCGCCCAACTTGCCAAGTTCTCCATCTAATTCACGCAACGCATTTTTCGTATCATCCCAACTCCCACTCTCTACAATCGAGATATATACATTTTCCGGACCAAGATATTGGACGAGGTTTAGGAGCGTGGCGTTCCAGTGAGAGCGCAGGAGGGGACCGTTGTTCCAGTGGATAGAGGCGATGAAGATACGTTCGGGGAGTTGTTGACTTCTTGAGGGAACTGAGCGATTTGAACTCCGTATGCCGATGTTAATGGCGTGGAGATCGTGGACGAGGCTTATGAATGTGAGAGTCCAGAGGAGATATACACAATTCCCGATAACTCGTCTGGTGCGATGAGGACGGAAGGGTCGTAGTAACATTTCCATAAACGTCAATCGCTCGCTCGTTCCTCAAGAGCGGAGGTCGAGGTATACATAATATCAGAATTCGTTGCTAACGGAAGGGGGTGTCGAAAAAAGCATAAACAAACTGACGGGTTATAAATACCACGCACGTATCACATTCCCATCCTCCACCATCCAACACGGCAGATTTTCATATTTGAAAAGACACAGAACTCATCCTCACTACGAAGTCAAGAAGCTGATTGAGCGACGAAGCACCGTCGTTCGCACAAACATGCGCGGTATACGGAATATGACGCGGTAAACCCGATGTTGTAATCTTGGCGCGAGGTCTATCAGCCTCGAGAGATCAAGACCGATTATGATGAGATCTCGAACTGTCGGTGCATGAGATTGTAAAGGTATGGCATTATATGGTACCCACTCGTACGAACGGTCGTGTAATGGCTGTATTCCGAATAAACGTATTAAGCTCGATGCCGTAACCTAGTGCGAGACCTCGCACCGTAGATCAACTGACTAACACTCACATAAATACGATAAGTTATAACACTACGTAACTTACTGAAAAGCATAGATATCAGCTAGGCAGGAAGAGTGCGAAGTCCCAGGATCAGAGCACCACCACGTGATCATCCCTCCCTAACCAAACCCCATAAGCAAGCCCGTCGCGATGGACATCGTGAACCTGACTTTCAAGTCCCTGGAGCTGAAGTCACAAGTTTAACACCGAGCAATTAACATTGAGTAGACTGTGTATCTTAAACCCCATCATAAGCAACATCTCGCTCCCAATCTTAGACCCTTCATCGTAACGAGCTAAGCGAGCCCACCCCCCTAACTCACCTACCCACAAGCTACCTCACTCTCCCTCTTCCTTTTCCCCCCCTCCCCCTTCCCCCCCTATTTCCACTCCCCTCACAATTAACACTTAAATCCACTCACATCTAATTCACAGGAGAGTAGAGATAAAGACATATTTAATCATTCATAAAACCATCTATTATGATATCATACCCCCTCTCTCGGGGCTGTCCACCAAAAATTTCCACAACACATACAACATCCCCCCAAACCCCTCCCATCGACCCATCAATTACACCCCAACTCCCCTCACAATTATACTACAACCCCCCCCCATCACTTCCCCTTTCCCTCTTTCCCATTCCACTCCCCCATCCCTCTTAATATATACTCAAACCCCTCAAACAAATAAGAAATTCCTTCCCCCAAAAGACAGAAAAAATGCTCACAGAGCACCCCTACATGACCAAAACCTTGCCAAAACTCTTCTCTCTCTCCCCAATATGAAAACCCATGATCCGTAGACCTATGCGAGCTAAAAGAAAAAACGCCGCCGCCATACTTAAACAAATGCAGGCTTTTATCGCCCCAAAACATGATGGAATATGTACAATGAGTGTGTTGTTTGTGTTGAAGCGTGGGATCATCGAAAGACGGAACCCCATAAGACGCGATTTTTTCGACGGACGGAGCGGCGGGGTGTGGTGGTGGCCGTGGTAGTGTTGGAGCCTATGAGGCCCTTGCCGTCTGCTAAATCAAGGGACAATCCGATTAGGTTGATTGTGTTCCCGTTGCCGATACTGACGTTCATGGCGGCTCGATTGGTGAAAGCTGTTGTGTCGAGGAATGCTTGGATGAACGTTTGTGCGTTCACGGCGCTGTCTAGCTGCTTCTCTTGCATTACGTATAAGACTGCGACTCGTGCGAAATCGAGTATCTCTTGAGTAGCGACGAAGTTGGAAGTTGCATCTGGTGTCGAAGCAGTAGTAGTTGAGCTTGGTACTGGTGTCGGAGCGGTTTGAGAATCAAATATGATCCCATTTGTTACTGCTGCTGATGGTGACTCCGTTGGTGCTACTTGGCGACGATTATTTTGCCCCGTCTGTGTTGGCGTCGCTGAAGCTGAGGAAGTCACAAGGGAGATCTCATCGTCAGCATTGCCACGACGTTGAGACTGTCCTTCGAATGTAATCAAAGCATTCTCCGATGTGCACGAAAGATTAGCAGTATTGAAGCGAGCTAATAAGATACCGGGGTTGAGAGGTATGGAGAAGTTGGATTGAGCAGCGGCAATAAGACGAGGAACGGATTCCCCGATAGTTCCATTGAGTCCACCAACGATAGTCGTCGCACACCCAGTTGCGCCCGAGATGCTACATGTCGCTCCAGTAAATCCGTTGGTGCAAACACAAGCACAGGCGCCTTTGTCAAGAAGTGTTGCACCGCCATTCTGACAAGCCGTTGCAGTGTTGGCTTCACATTGCTGTTGTGGGGTAAGAGGTGCAGCAGGCGCATTCGGTTTATTAAAAACCAAAAGTTGGAGCGGTACGACTATAGCAGCAGCGATGATGATAAGCAATATCACAATGATGATCATAAAACCCCAGCATGGAAGACCACAGCAGCGGCGCTGTTTCTTTGGCGCTTTCGAGTTTCCCTGGTTGTTACCCATATCAACTTCGGGCCATACAGAAGGCGGACGAGAGTTGTCGCGTGGAGTCGCAATTCCTGGTGGTGGAAATGCTGCCAGCATACCAGAAAGACCAGATCGACGTTTCTCATCAGGTGAGCCGAAATCCCGTTCAAAAGCCTTTTCGTCCATTGGAAAATCGTTGAGGTCGTTTAATCTACTGCCTGGCCTTTTGCCGCGATCCATCATCGAAGCAAGTCTGGTTGCTCTTAATATCAAATCCGGCAAACTGGTAAGACTACCTCTGGCTTCTGCATCGCGGACTGCATTAATATCCAGCTTTGGCGGTCTTCTCATTGCCGATAATCTACTAAACGCGCTCGGACTTGAGGTTCTTGATACAGGTGCTCCGCTAGGTTGCAACATGCTGGCTCTTCTATAAGCCCCGAGAATTTCCCTTGCTTTTTCTTCCGGGTCAGGCGAGTTCGACATTGGCGAAACGTCCTCGAAGAACTGTGGTGTGCTTGCGATAGTAGGTACTGTCGCTTCTGATGAAGAAGTTGATGCATCAATGAGACCGGTCCCGCCAGCAAGCGGAGAGGAAACATTTCCAATCGTCGGCCATACAGAGCTATTCACTGCTCGTACGGGCACGGTGATATCACGTTCAGAGGATGTAGAAGATCCTTCGCCAACTGGCCACATCGTATCTCTCTGACCTTCATTGGCTTTTGCATCAGTTGTTGATTTCTGCATCGGAAAATTGAAAGCTCCTACGCGCTCTGTTTTCGAAGACTGTATGGGTGTGACCGCTGGTCGTACCTGCTCACTACTTTCTGAGCTTTTGTTCATGATCATAGAAGGTTTTGCTCGCTTTCCGATACTCGCGCTTCGTATTAACCCCCTCTCATCCCCATCATCGTTGTTGGAACCTCTAGATTCGCCTCGCTCATCAATTATATCGTGCTCATACCCATCTCTTTCGTACGTCTCATCTGGGGTTTCGTCCTCATATTCGTACTCAGATCCCCAGGTGGATGGAATTGCAGCGCTGGACGCATACGATCGATGTGTAGTCCGTGACCTAGGACTTTCTTCAGGAATTGGAGACACAAAAGACGCTTGAGAGTAATAAGATGATGCTCCTCTTCTAGAACTAGGTGGCGGTCCAAGATGAGCACTTCTTCTTGGAGGTCCAATAATTGGTACAGGGAAATCTGGTATTGATCCAACAGACGATACTGTTGAATGCCGTGATGATTGGGTCGCGGGCGACATTAAATCCGGCGACCTCAAATCGAAGTCGTCCGTTGTAGCTACGCCTCTCCACTGGTTTTGATTCTGTTCTGACAAATTTTGTTGTGGCTTGTACTGAAAACTAGGGGTGTGTTCCTGTAATCGCGATGCGTCCAACATGGATGGCACATGGCTTGGGCGTGGCGGTCGTTGGGGTGCTGGGCCCCGGCCGGCTGGTGGTTGGTATTGTTCGTTACTCGAATTATCTGATCCTTCGATGGTACCTGATAGTGGCCATTGCGGTACCTGGGTCGGTCTAGAAATTGCCACTCCAATTGGGCCCTGGGCAGCTCGTGTCGTCGCAAGTGCTTGTGGCATAGGCCTTTTCGTTCGACTCGATGGCGCGACTCTCGATGGGTCATATGTTTGTTGTGGTTGCGGTATCCGTGACATATCTTGTGGCAATCCCGCCTGCACCCTCTCTCTCGCTCTCTTTACAGAACCACCACCACCAGGTGTCCTATTTTGTTGGTACTGTTGACTCATGGCCCGATGATAGTCTGAAGAAAACAGCAAATCTCGTAAGATGAAAGGTATTCCAAGCCAATCCCCGTGACCTGTCCGACTTTCCGAAACCTTTTACCGTTATCGCGTTTGCATGTGCATATGCATCAGGCCGTCGCGGACAGTATGTAATTGAAGTATGCTTGCAACCGATGGATCCTGCAGAGACAATTTCTCGGTGTCGAGTCCTTTATGATCTTACTGCGCGGGCTTTGAAATAATTGAAATATTGAATGAATGTGAAGTATTGAAGTTGGAGTTATCCTTAAGTTGGTGGGACTGATAAACTGTGGAAGTATCGAACTCCGGTGTAATATTCTTCTTGTAAAGAGCGTGGTCGGTCCCTAGGATCCGAAAAGTAGACAAAGATCGAAGTCTATAATGGTGAATGTAATGGTCGAATGAAACCTTTATGGCATATCAACAACGATAGGTATGATCGAAGATGCTCGACACGACTGGCGATGTTGTTTGCGATCCTCCAACTCAGACCAGCTGCAAATTACATTAGCACCCTTTCCGATGACGAGTTCAACAACAATAAGGTGGAGAAGAAGGGAAAGGTGAAAGTGATAGTGGACGTTCTCTCCACAGCATGTCACGCTTCACACGTCGGCGGAAAGATCCAATCAGATTGAACCTTCGACGACTAGAAGAAGCCAGTAACCCAATGAGTAAGGGAAGCTGTTTGAGCATGGAGTACTTTGGAGAGTTTGCAAGGGAAGAAAAGAATCATCAAAAAGAAACGTCCGGCGGTGTCTCACTCCAGCCACTCGACTGGACTAAAGCTACCGGTTATCCGCGAACCGAATAGATAACTGATCAGATCGACGCTTGATATTGGCTATCGAGTGCGGCGACGATGATTCTGACGGACGAACGCTGTGGGAAAGGGGAGATCGGACGTTGTGAAATCGTTCACGAACATTTGGTGTTTCGAAAGCCTGTCCTCCCTGCGAATCTTTCATGCGACAAGCGCAGTACCACAAGTTAACTCTTTCCCCCACGAACTTTGCACCACCCAAAAAGCTCCAAAAGTTGCCCAATTCCTCGATGGCCACGCGATATCGTGTGCAACCACGTCGTCGTCCAAATGGCCGGGTTATTGTCCGTCGGGTCGGATCGGTCGAGAGATATGGTGTGGGAATGTTTTTGAAGACGAGTATCGTGTACACTGATGTGAATTTTCGGGCTCAAATCTCCTTCGACGAGGCAGGCGCAATTGATGAGACAGAAAAGACTGCGTGTGAATTTAAAACAGCTGTCGAAAGATCGAGCAGCAAATTGAAAGAGAAGTCGCGATGGCGATGGTCCTGTACTTTCCCCCGTACTACCTTTGCTCAATTCACCGAAGCCGTCTAAACTTCCCCCAAAACCAGCACCTTATCGCTCACTCTAATCGAAGCGTAATCGTCTGATGTTATTCTCCGAATGTATGTGAATGTGTGAAGAAAGACAATTCAAAGTTAAAAATTGGGATCGACAGGAAAGTCGCGAATTCGGCAGCCTAGACCAAATCAAAAGTCGATTGTTTGCCTACGGGCGGCGACTGGGACCTGGAAGAAGATCGAGCCTCAAGCTCTCGGACGGTGATCAAGCAGTGCTGAAGCGTGCGCACAGGGTAAAATTGGAAGTTCGGTGGATCTGGACACGATGATTCTATCAAACGTGGGGAGGGTCGAGATGTCGTCGGCTTTTCCTTTCCTTTTCCTCCTTCACTTGTCACAATCCTCTACCCTTCTCGTGATCGAACGAAACTGTAATGAGGAAAGGAAAAAGAGAAGAACATTCTGGGGAGAGGAAAGACAGTTTGTGCGAGGGTGGCTAGAATCTACGGAGCATATCTCACGCTTCATCCCCTTCAACCTCGCAAAACTTGGCAAGCAAATTGAGTTCAGCGGGTTGTGATTGGCTTACGGTGCAAAATAGATTTCCAATAAACCGAATCTTCTGCCCTGCGAGGGTCTCACGGTCTGGCTAGAGGCCCGTGATAGGGGAGGTGTGATGAAAAAACGAGGGACAGCCGGGAGCAGCAGCCAAACTCACATCCACAGCGGTCCCGAACATGCCCCTCCACGCTCTCGTCTCTGTGTTCGTTCGTCTCGCCGGGAGGCCTGTGGCTGCATGATTGCCCGGCAGACGGCCAGGATTCAACCAGGTCTGCCTGGGAGGACCCGATCTGTTGCGACGCTGGCGAAGAGACGACGTTGAGCCAACCAGTCACAGACGAGGACGTCTTTAGAGAAACCCGGCGAAGGGGCTTTAGCAGAAACACGCTATCGTAAGCGTGACTTGCTGGTGATGTGGCGGGTGGTGGCCGTGGCTCCCCTGAATAGATCCGGGGAGACAGCAAACACCAAATTCTCGAAACCAACATTACGAATTAACCCATCATCATCAATCTCTGTAGAAAGCAAGAGCGATATGAAATGCCTATGTTTACTTTTTCTGTTCGCTCACTGCAAACCTGAGCAGACCTATCACAAAATACTTCAAAACAGTAGGTGTTTCCGGATTTCTGTCCCATATTGTCCTAGCGTTACAATAGTTGACCGTTGACAAGCGGTCAGAGCAGCAGCCAGCCCAGCCTGAGGTTACAGTACAGCACTGGTCCTCCGTACTCGAGGTTCGAGTACTCTCGTGAAGCCATATACTTCGCAGCACATATCGATAGTATACAACATCAAGTTATCGAAGTGCCTCTCAAGTTATCGAAGTGCCTCCGATCTTGTTCAGTACGGAAAACAATTTTAAGTTGTTAATCCGAAGTGACTTTTCCTTCCGCGTCCCGGAAATGCTCAAAGTTTTCCCGTACACGCCAGGCATTTTTCCAAACTGAAAAAAGCGACGAAACCCAGCTGAATGGAACCAACAGCAGCGCAGCACCCCGAGTTCAGCACCAAGACTCAAGGTATTCTCAGCTCAATCCATCCCTCTTGTTTCTCACAACTCCCAATAATCACTCCTATATCATCCACCAAACTCAACTCTCGCGCTGCTGACAGCTTCGTTGTTACGAAAATAAACCAAAAACCGCTTTCCAGAATCGCACGCAGTCAGCAACACATCTTCCCCTCTTTTTCTAGCCCGGAACAGGCACAGGGTTCTCATGAGGTCATCCCATGTACAGTACCTTGCGCCGTCCGTTTCACATTGACAGGCATGCATCTCGGGTTGTCTGCCCCCTGAATCGGCGTTCGCTTGTCCCCACAACGACATTGCGATTGTAAAGTAATTTTTGCGAGGAAAAGAAATGTGCGAGAGAGCGGTGAAGAGGTGAGATGTGAGAAGAGAACAAAACAAGTACTCGTATGTTGGTGTCTGAATGACTTTGCGCGCATGAAGTAGAGGGTTGAAATGAGAAAGCGAAACCAGCGCAGAAAGACAAACCTTCCAGAAACCAAAACTATCGCGTTCCGCGCTCGCGGGCTGTAGCGTTTTTCCCTGTCCATCCGTTGTCTCAAATTCATCAAAGTCTAATCGATGCGCCTACTCCACTTGGAGATTTAGAGCTTGAGCTAACAGCCCGCAAATAGTACGAAGACCGAACAACACCATATTTTTCATCTATCGATTTGATGAAAACTGAAGGCTGTTGATTTGACAGCTGTCAAGACGTCACGATGTTAATATATGCGTAGATTAGTGAAGTCTTCTAGACTTCGTCGGGTTTAAATTTGCCCTTCTTCGGCCGAAGACTTTTGACTTTTTAGTCGGTATTAAATTTATTCGCCTATTCCGGAAACGACGGAAAGGAACAAAATTGTTTGCATAACCAGAGCGATCGCGGAAGGATTGGATATGTATGAAATTGCATGAGAAGGATTTCTTTGAGTTGCGGACGTTTGCTCGGGTGGCTGGCGCTGCGCCGTGGGGTTGCTGGAAAGCCGGTTGGGTCACTTGGGTGGTCGTGGGGTTTCGTCAGTGAAGCTTGGTGTGTTGGGGAGATGTTTCGTTGTTGATTCTATTGTTTGGTGTTGGATGTGGTGAGTGGATGGTGGTGATTGAGGTGAGGTCAGAGAAGTTGGGTTTTGGGCGTAGGAGATGAGGCTTTTTGATGTAGAGTAGCCGTGACTCGGCTTGGATAGCGAGAGCGATGATATGTTGTCTCGTCGTTACCCTCCTGCTTCGAAGCCCAACAAATATGGCGCCAACAGCTGAATCTCTCAAGCCAAATCAGCTATTGAAGCTATTCGGAATTCCAACCTGTTTCCGGTCACTGGACCTCAATCCCTCACCAGGCCTCGCTTAAGCACCACCGTTATACAACGTCGTCTGTGTAAGTTCGCTACCGAATCCTATACATATCCTCCTGCAGAAATATAACCCACTGCCGATTTATCCTTCTGCAGTTCATATATATCTGCCGCGGCTGTTGTCATGATGATGCTTTTATTATCCGATGCGGGGGAGTGTGGAAGAATTGATGAGTTGTGTGGATGGGTTTGTTGAATTGGTTGAGGGTGAAGACGTGAAGTGGTGAAGGTTGCTAAAAATTGGTTTGTTGTAGCTTTGGATGTCTGGTATGAATCAAAATTCAATGCACTCTTCTTGCTTGGGGATTCATGACGCTCGTTCGTCCTCCAAAAAGGTAACGTCGATAAAGCCTTAGAAGCGATTAGCCTGCAGACGCGTTTCTTCCCCCCAAAGGAAAAGAAATAAGAATTTCTGGTGGTCTCTTGAATTCAAAATATAAGAGCACTCCTTCGGTCTTCATATAAATAACGTCGAGAGGCTTGAGGGCAACTACCCAGTTCGAAGAATAATCGTATTCCTGCGCGCGAGCGGTTAGACGCGTTATTCTTCTGAAATAGAGAAACGTCTTTCTAGAGGCACCATTTCCTCGACCGCGCATGCTGAATTTTTTTCTAGAGAATAATCTCGAGATCAGAGAGATTGCTTGCGAGTGGCCGACAAATGTCTTTTTCATCGACGAAGCATTGTAGCAGTTTGTCTCGTTCGTGATTGTACGTCCGTGTATATGTAGTGGCGATTTGTTTACTACTTCGTGTCAGCGACTGATTCAGAAAGGAAGAGAGTTGGATAGTTTTATACTGTTAGTGCCGGAAAAACCAGTCGTGATTTATATACAATCAAGCCAGTCATGGAGGAAGACTTAACTGGGCGAGACATCTGGTGGTTTGCAGATATGCGTTGTTTTCCCAAGGGTACCTAGGTATGAGCTCAGAACGCTGATACTATTTTGACCGATTGTTGTTATTGAGGTCCAAAAACTAGTTTCCATTTCTTCACAGCTCTTAAACCTGTCGATGAGATCGAGTTTTCCGGCGGTCTCCTTCAACAACAATGTTTTGTTCGCAATGACTATTCCAAGATACTTGGCTTCTTGCAACGGAGTGACTGATTGTTTTCTTGGTTTCTTATCGTGACGCGATACTCTGATTTATTTTGACGCACGCAACTCAGATCGTGAGGAATTCGCCCATTGTGAGGAATTCAAGAGGTCATATGAGTGCTGAGATGAGTGATGTAAACAAACAAGGCATTCTGTCAAGAGTCGAGCGACGTTTAGAACACTTTCCATCTGAGGTACAACCAAAGAAAAAACCGATCTAAGAGATTTTGATGAAAGTGCAAGGCTTGCGACAGCGGATCGGCTCGATGCTTGAACTTCGCTCGACGAGTTGGAGGTGGGATACCATCTGAGACTTGGGATGAGTGATGTCGTGTAAGCAAAGGAAACAATGACTTAAGAGTCGGGAGCGAAGCGAGACTTATCTCATCCGACATTAGATCCAAAATGTACCCGAAGATTCAACCGACCTGAAGAAATTTGATAGCAGTTCCAGACATTCAACAGTCATATCCGCAAGTAGTAAACCTATCCACAATACCAAACACTCGAAACAATAGTCGGTAACGAAAACCTACAGTTTAAAATGGCTCAATAGCAACGCATAAGCCCTTATTATTGTCTCTTGATCTCTGGTGTCCATTGTTCACTCATCATCACACAATGTCAACTTCCATCAATAGTACGGGTGGTAAACAGCCATATATAGATATTGGCTCCTCCTCCTCCAACTCATCTTCTAGTAGAGCAATCGACACGATGAGCGCAATGTCGAACATTCGCGCCAGAATGGGTGGTCGACAATCAAATGTAAGCAACCGGTCCTCTTCTAATTCTACATCTAGACCTACGACAGGTGGAACGAGCAGCAACAGCAGAGCCATAATGCAAGCCAGAATGGCTAGCAATCACCCATATGGAAGCGTTGGCCCCTCCTCCAGAACCGCATACGCAACTAACGGGCCGTCGAGCCATCATCCAGCATTGGTTAGTAGCATGAATGGCTTGAACATCAATTCTCCTTCCAGCTATCATCGTGGCGGTACCGCTGGTGGTCTGACTTCACCAAGTCTCAGTCCCATTTCAACAAGACACGGGTTCGCTGGTAGGCCAGGGACGAGGTGTGGGAGCCTTCCTAGTAGAGATTATGAGGGTACTAGTTACAACTTTCTCGAGTAAGTCACTTTCCCACCCTTTAACGCTCTTTCATTAACACCATCTAGTCATCTGCGTTCTGAAATGATCAAGCTACACGTCGGAAAAGGCGAAGACAAACGCACATTCGCAGTGCACAAGAAACCACTTTGCGCCAAAAGCCCCTACTTCACCAAAATGTTCAATATTGGAATGATTGAGACGTACACTGGAGAAGTAAACATTCCTGAAGAAACCCCGAACACTGTCAGTGCATTGCTAGATATGACAATCTACCACGAGGGAATCACAAGCCTTACTGGGCCACCCGATGAGACTAACGACTTCACCATGCGCTGGGACCCCGTAGCAGTCTACGCCTTAGCTATGATGTGGATGCTTCCTGCAGAAATTCTCAATAGTATCATGGACCAAATCATCCGGCATCATTACAAAGCAGAGGAGCTGCCTTCGCTTGACTTCGTTGAAGCCGCATTTGACAAGACACCTGAGGGTTCCAAGCTGCGCGGCTATGCAGTCCACGGGATCGTGTATGCATTGAATCGCGGTCAACAAGTTGGAGATATTGGTTGGCCTGCTGATGAAGTTCAGAAATTGATTACGGCGTATCCCGATTTCGGTACCCAATTTGTCGCTTTGAATCAATTCGGGTCTGTTGCGCAAAGTACGGATCCTCGAACTTGCTTCGATGAGCCATGTAAGTTTCATGCTCATACTCCGCGGAACGGTTGTCGTCATCTAGTCATAAGTGCGAACCTGCGACGAATTAACATTCGTGACTATCTCTGAAGAGTCGCCAAAGGTGGATAGAAGCGCTGCATGTGTCCAGAGTCGCAGGTTTGTTGGGATATCATTTTGGATACTGAGCAATTGTTCAAAGATGCCGCCTGCTGACAGAAAGAAGCAAGATCAAAGAAAAGCCACTAACCTTTTGATGGCAGCTGTTGAAACTTGGTTAGAAAGAGCACAATTGTAGGGCAAACATGGGCATCTGCAGTACTGCAAACAAAAACTATGTAAGATTAGAGCAAGTTTGGACAATATTAGTGTGTCAATTAGTCACTTCTGCGTTTGTATGCTGTGCATGGACCATGATTAAGCCTCTTTGTGAGCTATCTCATCGCAAAAATGAAATACAGCATAAATACCATTTGTTATTTCTGAATTATCCTACTCCGGGGACTTTCCAACCTAGTCTGTCACGAAAGGTGAATGTTACCACTTCCCGAAGACATCGAGTACCCCAGAATTGAGTACCGGACAGTAGACATCCACAACTCCACCTCAACAAAATGTCGAAATCGAATTTGGAAGAAATTTATCAGAGTTTCTGCGACACGTTTGCCAGTCCATATACACCATGGGTTACGCTAGCATTGGCGATCGGTAGCCATCAAGCAATTCTTCGATACCAGTCGTACAGAGAAGGTGTGTAATCCACGCATTGATCAACGTGGTTCTTGCTTACTGCAAACAGATCAAAAGGCTGCCGCCGTGCCTTGGTTTCCCCGAAATATCCAGAGGGACATCTACAACTCCATCGCCTCTAAAATGAAGAACAAGCTACCGAAGAGCATCCAGCACGCCGCACTACTACGATACGCCGTCGAAACGGTCCGCCGAGGTAGAGAGATATTGCAGCTGCGAGATCCCTCTGGCAGATTCGAAGTCTTGGTTCCGAGTCCTTCGCATATTCGCACACGTAGAATCGAAAGGGCCTTTGTCGAACTGCAGGAAGACGAGAAAGTGATTAAACGAGAGGTAAGCTAGTGGATACTTGTTCCGAATAAACTAGAGCAAATGGCTGACGATTGATCTTGGTAGGCAAGAAAATTATCAAAGGGTTGGGGGAAGACCATTTTCGCATCAGCTGTTGCCATACTGGAGAACGAGGAACTGACAAAGTCGCTGGACGAAATTGAAGGCAAACGCGAACGTGAAATTGGAATGTGGGAGATCAAGAAACAGGACATTTTGAAGGATTTTCTGGTAGAGATTGAAGAAGAACAAGAGCGCGCTAAGATAGCTGCTATGAAGAAACAGAGCCGGGCAGATAAGAGTGGGAAGAAGGGCAAGAAGTGACAGACCGAGACAAGGATGGATCACACATCCTCATTGAGGAACTTGCTTGGAGGGGTCATCATCATTCAAGCCAACAATATTGCGCGTATAAACCATGAGCACCCACGAGGAGACTATGGGCGACAGAAAGGCAATGAATGACGGTTGAGGTAACTTGAAGGTAGGTTGTTTGCTTTTGAACGGAGGTCAGGATAATTAGAACTTAGAATTATGAAGAGATGAAATCCAATCGATGTACTACATAGCACGAAGCCTAATATCTTGCAGGAGATTGAATATTTCAGGATCTCCTATTGATATTGTTTTGAAGTGAAGATAGCTACAAGCGATGAAGTGAAGTCTGGAGTATCCCCACAATCTATTTTGAAGCCTCAGGCAGCAACAAGATCTACAAAGACATCCATACTCTTATTTCAACAACACCATATAAAATTCATCGCCAATCCATTCGCAATGCGTCCACGACTCCCAATCCGTAGGGTATTATTCCTACGGCCCTTTCGCCCTCCAAACAGCACCCGACTGTTCACCCGTAACACCCTGCCTCACACCCGACCAAGTTTACAATTCCTCTCCCCACCAACCCGTCGCATCGCCGCCCGTTACTTGACCACAGAAACGAAAGTATGGCTGAAGGACGAAGTCAAAAAAGGGTTAAAGATCACAGCCTATGCCTACGCATTTGCTGCATTAGCTGTTGTCATAGCACTGGGCGTACACACCGAATGGACGGAAAGGAACTACCATCCGCCACCTGAATGGACGTGGTCTACCAGGACTCAATGGAAAACGGCAAAGCTGGCATATGATGAAGATGAGGGGGAGAAACCATTTATTGACTGGCCCCAGATTGGTCAATTTATGCGTATAGCAATCGAGAGACTTGAAAACCCAAACGTGGACGGGGCGGGGCTGGAGAAGCAGGGTGATGGTGGGATTTGGGTTGATGGAGTAGGAGAGACAGGATATGATATTACGAACAAATCGGAGCCGTGGAGGAGAGGCTATTATGATGCGCTATTTTTGGCTGCGAAGTCTTCCGAGTACCTCGAGGAATGTATGAAGGATAAAGTGTCTGGAGTTATCGTTCCCAAGAAATACGTGATAGGACCTTCGAATCCAAAACCGAGACCGATGCCTCCTGGGAGCGGTATTCAAACACCACTCGAAGAGAATTCCGAGCCTTGTTTCGAACCTCCTCAGCATTATTACATGAAGATCCTTACCACCAAAGGCTTCACCGAGAGGCAGTACGTCGACGCGGCGCTAGGATACGCAGGATATCTCGATTATAAACAAGCCCCCGAAACAGCACTAGAAATGTACAAATGGGCAATGGACCACGCAACCTCAAGCCCCGAAGCAAAATCAGTCATTGATACCAAAACCGGAATCCTAACCAACACCAAAGCCCCCTCCGAAAATATCCTCAACGTCAGTCGAGCCCTCGCAGTCCACCACGCTCAAAACTCCAACATCACTCTCGCCCTCCCAATTTTCCTCTCCGTCCTGCGCGCCTACCGTTCCCTCCCCGAACCCCCTCCACCACCACCACCCCAACCACGCGAAGCGCGAACAATATCTAAAGCCCTGACCCGAACCATCAACACCCTCTTCACAACCCCACCACACCCACCGCCTCCCCCCGACGGGACATCCCAACCCCTCCGCACCCCCTCAACCCTCTGCACCGAAGCCGGACTCATGACGAACATCGGCGAGATCCTCTATTCTTCCACCCCTAGTATACGCAGCAAAGAAGACGGCCTAGCATGGACACGAGAAGCGGTCGACATCGCTGAAGAACAGCTGACACGATCACGATTGGATGGAGAGGGGATTAAGAATTGTAAACAATGCTTGGGTGTCGCGATTGAGAATTGGAACGCCATGGTCGAGTTACTAGCGAATGAGGAACGGGAGGCGAAGAAAGGTGGTGTGAAAAAGAAATCTACGGGGTGGTTTGGGAAGGAGGAGGTAAAAGAGGATGGATTGGGGAGGTGGGAGAGTGAGGAGATTGTTGTTAGGGAGAAACGCAGAAGGGCGGGGGATATTCTGGATAAGGGACCCAGTCCGCCGAAGAGGAGGAGTCCGTTGTCGTTTTTGACTGTGTAGCCAACATGGACGGGTTGTATAACTGTATATGGAGTTAGGGAGTTTCAACATAATAATACCATGGCCTGTCATTTACTAGTATGTTGCAAGCCTGACGAAAACTCCCCCTTCGCGGAGGACCGAATCAGTGGCATTCGTACACGTAATATTTCCTTGATTAAGTTGACGAAATATCGTGTATTTGGTGCATTAACTTGGAACATTATCACTATTCCGTCAATCATTTTCAGTAAATGAGACTTTTTTTGACTTCATTCGAAGTCGACTTATTATTCAGTCCAAGGGTAGAAGACTGACACTTATTTCGTCCTCCGCGAGCTCCCTCACACACAATCATTCCCAAAATATAAACTTCCTCAATCCTTTTGAGAAAATACGATATTGCCTGTATTGCGAAGGGTAAATATAAATGTTCATAGAAGGGGGTTGGGAAGTCATTTTCTGTCGTTGAGTGTTCCGTCAGTCTTGCAGTGCATTGGTGGTTTATGTTAAATCACGCGCTGTAATTGCTGAATCTGAGTTACACTATCTTCGAAACTGCCTCCCTAACATCCCCTCAAATATATTCCTTAATTCCCTTCCCCTTCCACCACAAGCCACCATTCTAAGCACCATCCTCGGCTCCATTTCCAGCAATCTCCTTAACGACTGGCTGAACCTCTTTCTCCTCTTGCTCTCCCCCCTTCCCTTCCGGCATCTCCTTGCTCTCCTCAGATTTCTTGGATAATATGGGAAGACCCTTGGTACGTGCGTTATCAGGAACATTCTCCTTGGTGTCCAAGGTGACCTTGCTCTCTTCATCCTCGCCCTTAATCTCCTCCAACACAACCCCCTTCTGCTCATCCAACGGAACCCACTCCTCAAAATCCTCCGCCTTCCAACCTTTCCGATCCTCAGGCTCATCTTCATCATCGCTATCCACAATATTACCATTCATATCACGCGTCTCATTCCGCATCTCCGGATTCGCATAGTCAGGATCCCCCGCGACTTCTTGGAACCAGTCGATGATGACTTTATATCCCTTCGGCAACATCATCTCGGAAAAGTGTGGTTCGCCGAGACTGAATACAGGACAGCCGTGTCCAGGGAGGTGTTTCTTGCCTTTTGGACCAGCGAGAAAGAGACCGCAAAGTTTGTCGGAGGTTGCATATGCTCTGCCACGCTAGAGAGAGGTTAGCTCAGGCTGAGATTAGAGATGTTCAGGTTGTAAAATCAATGTGTAGGGGATCGCAACTTACATCCATGAGCCAATGTGCAAAATCGTCGTTTCTTATGTCCTTGGCCCGACACCAACAAGCTACGGCTGCAAAAGCCGACACTCGAGGTGCCCACGTTGTAAAATTGGTGAAGTCGTCCAGGAACTGGAATACCTGAACAGCGCCATCGGACACCCCAATGATATCTAGCTTTGCAGCAGGATGGCACAACTTCTGAACCACGGTGTAGAAAATATACTCAACATGCTCGCCAGTATTACGGTTTTCAGGAATGGAATTCGCTTCGTCGTCAAATCGGTACGGTGCCTCGACTGCACTTTTCTGGGGGAGTGCTAGCCATATGGGTTGTGTCATGGCCTTTTTGGCAAGATGAGACCATCTGAGTTGTCCCATATTCGCGAGAATGATTCCGGGAGACGAGGCATCTTCGGGGGATGTACGTTGTGCTTGGATGTATTTGACCAGATTGACAGCGGATCCTTCATTGATACCACCTTTTCCACCAATGATGCGGTAGGCAAGTACTCCTAGATCTTGATCGTGTTCGTAGAAAAGAATCACCACTCTCTTTTTAATGGGTAGATCACGGGAAATGAATATTGGCAGACTGGGTTCGTTCGGCTTTGCACCGAGAGGAAGGAGCAGCTTTTCGAGACCTAGGTCTTCCAGACGTTCACTAATGATGTTGCGGATCGCTCCTGCTAAAACGTGAGCATGGATATAGATGACTGAATATTCTTGACTGTACCATTCATTGCCTCTCGTTGCATAGCATTGTGACGATCATTTCTGGTGAGGAAGTATTTGAAGTACGCCTTGGGATTGCTGGTGCTGCGGATCTCGTCGTTTGGAGCCACATAATAACTTTTGCATGTTAGCTTGGATGTCAATTTGTAGAACACTCCACTGACCCAAGTTTCTTTAGATCGGCAGGAAAGACAGGGTCGGCTGGCAGACCAGCTGGAAGGCGGCGAAACATGATGATTGGGAATATCGATTGATTTTCGCTGATGAAAGATGAGTGTGAGGATGAAGATCGGAGAGGACGTTGTTGAGTCGGTCCAATTCAGCGATGGAGGAGGGAAACGTGAGAATGAGAAGAGTTAGGCAGGTGATCTGAGACGTGTTCAATAGTGAAGGTCGGGCGCAGCTTGGTGAACAAACTTTGAAAGTGAAGTTGAGACAGTGAATTGTTTGCTCCTGGTAGGTGGCTCGCGGTGGACAAGACAAGTGGCATTCGCAGTAAGACAATTCCTGAGAACGGTGGACGAAATAACGATATTTCGTCAATGGGTTTCGGGAATTGTAATTGTTTTTGACTCCGCTTGAAGTTCTGTTTCCAGCTACTTGCTTGCCCCAAAGTATACTCCGAGTTTATGAACTACCTAGCAAGCACCTCGGGAGCTTGTGCTATCTATTCTGTCCACTACGATGATAGCTCCTTCCTTGTTTGCTAGCGCGATTTCAGGTCGACAACAAACTTGAAGGTGGGATATAGGATGTAGAAAACAGAAAGTGAAGACTATGATCAAGAATTTATGTTCAAATTGTCAAACATAGTCGAAGAACATATCGAGCATTCTCTCTCATGTTTTATACACTAAAACTCTTTCGACTTCTTCTAGCATGAAATCATTATAAAGATTGCTTGAAGGAAGAAAGGGTATTGTGGCTAACCTATAAGTTGAAGCTGTTCCTGGAACAAGAAAGGCGATGAAAATGACATCGTAGCGACCCTTGCAGAGTACAAAATAAATGAGTAAGTCACCCTTAGACTAAATTCAGCAGGTTACTAATTACTGGAAATACAGGTAACTGACTCAATATGTGATATTGTGCCAAGCCAATCCACTAATTATGCGATATTTTGCCAACTTATTAAAGGAAGAAATACCTAGGTATCACGTTTCGACTGCCACTTCCCTACCAAAGTAATTTTATCCACCACGAGCGACCTTTAATAACAGACAGCGTCTTCTCGGAACATGAGCCAATGCCTCACTAGAATATCAGTCTCTGTTGATCCACCAAACGGATGTCCTCTCCGCTGGTCATCGCGCGGTAAACAAGATAACATAAATTCAGAAATGTCGCAAATTATACTCAGTTAGCCCAAAAGTCGCAAAAAATATGAAGAAAATACTAGTATGAGTAAAGAATACTCTTATATTTTAACAAGTGATTTCAGGATTGTAGATATAGCCGTTGTCGAGTTACTGTAATCACCAACTACCACCTAGCTACCTTAGGGCTTTCGTCCGTGTTTGTGTGGAAAAAGATTTTGTTGCACGTCGCGATAGAAAAGTTCTAATTTGTAGATATGGCCAAGCACGTGAGGGTTTTTCATTCTTTCCGAATCGAGTCACCGATGCTTGACCGCCTGAAAGAGTGTGGAGAGTTCAGCTAATGGCGTGGTCTTGGATTCACTACTGGCTGAAAGCGGTGATGTTTCCTATCATGCCAAGATATTCGTATATAAATTGTTTCGCGATAGATCTGCGCCCTCATAACTCCAACCGTAAATATACATGATCTTTGGGCACTGCGGCATTCGTATTGTACAAGGCCACCTCAGGCTCCCATAATGTACTGCGCTTGTATCGTAACATCCAGCCCTGAGCGATTGGGCCTGATGCCCTCCTAGAGCCACCCACATCCACCATATCTGATGTATAAGACCTGATTACCAACTGGCTTTCTTAACACCTGGTATAAGTCCCGCTAGAGCATTCACTCGAAAGTTGTACTAAAGACAATGGATGTCAGTTAAATCCAAGTATTGCCACCAGTCCGTCGCTGATTTCTTTCTCTGAAACACCATATCGCCGTCTAACGTACTCTTGTCATCTTGAAATCCCGTAGCACACCTCTTCCCTTTCCACCCTCGATGCATCGGTTTCGAATTTGTGTAGGTCTGGTGTAGCAGTGCATTTGCGACAATTGGACTTGCGCCTGGACGCGGGTTCGCTGAGGGAGGCTCATGTTGCGGATTATGTATCGTAAAGCCTGTCTATGATTTGAAACAAGGGTCAGCAAACAATTACTCTACTTCCAAATTATAGAAAAACACGCCCAGAGGGTTATATTATCCAGGGACGAAATCCTGAGCTATCAACATACCTTTCCGTTTCGTGCTCTGCGAAGACCTTCCTCTTGGTATGATCGCGGATGACCTTGATGTTAACAAAGCATCCTAGATCCAGTTTCTTCGCCCGGAACATAGACATGATGGCGGTAGAACAATTACGATTGAGGTGCGTTGGTTGGGTTCAATTAAACTTCTTGCGATACCATGCGACGTCAAACATCAAGAAAGATTGTAGATGGTCACGTGTTATCAGTTGAGCTTGGGCCATCCGCCAACGACGACTTGGAAAACCGCAAACCCACATCATCCAGAACAATGTTGAATGGTTTCCTGTGGAATTATCCACATGAGATAAAGTATGGTTTCACACATCGAGTACATCGGCTTTCTTGCTCTTATACATTGAGGACATCAGTTTTCTTGCTCACTTCAATGTTCACTAGGTAAAGCTTCAACAGAAGACGTTCCACTCGACGACACGTATGTTGTCGCAATTGATGACAATGTCATCTTTTTTTCTTTCTTCTACCATTTATCTCAAAGCTGCTTCATGATTTCTATTTGTCTGCCATGCCCTTTCTATATGCTATTGCCGAATACGGCATTTTGGTATACCACGATTTTCTCTCTTTGTGCTTCGAGTAGTTCAATGGGACAAAGAACCTCTAAAATGGAATTGCTTTCAATTTTTCCCTACTCTGGAACTTGCTCGCTCTCAGCATTTTTTCTATGTCACAATTGAATTATGGCATCTTCACACTTGGTTAGACCGCCCAGTAGGACTGGAACAGCAAATGGAAGCGAGCATCTGGGACATCCAAGAGGAGCTGCCTTTGATGCCCTACGCTCCTTGTCTGCGTCGCCCACTCCTCCTCCACCCCCAGGGCCTTCGTCGCGATCATCTCCGAAGCCACAGAACAGGGGGAATGCAGTTGGCAACACACTTCATACTGGTCTTGCCGGAAAGATTTGTGTACTTCGAGCGGATGCTCTTTCACACCAGGCAGATTTGGTGGTCTGTCCAGCCGATCAGGGCCTCTCTTCAAACTGGAATGATGTTACTCAACGAATACGTGAAGCCGCAGGCCCTATGTTGAGAGCGACTCTTGACGACCGATATCCCCAAGGGCTTCAAACCCCACCGACTGAATTGGCAGACACGAATGATGTGAACTCGCCGCTAAAGTCTTACTTTGGTACAGTAAAGCATACGGACAGTTTTGAAATGTCCAATTGTGACTGGCTCGTACACAGTTGCCAACCGTTATACTCATCTGATTCGAATGTGGAAAGCGATGACCCCGAGGCATACAACTATTCGCAAATCGGAATAAGAAACAACAGAAAATACTGCAGTGTTATGCTTGCGCTGAAAAGAGCACACAGAGTTTCAGTGGAAAATCGCTCACGTATGTTTACAGTTGCAATTCCAGAATTTCAGCATGGTGGTCAAATCACTCCACGAGACGATGCTGTTTTGACCCTAAGCGCATTAGTCAACTTCTTCAATCATCCAATTTGGGGAGCTAGAAGGTACAACGCGATATTTCGTGTTGATATTCTTGTTGAACCCGGGAAAGCTGGAGATGCATATGCCAATGCGTATGACTTTGCGTGGTTGTAAGTGACTACTCCCAGATAGATTTGTTTCTCATTTAAGTGTACTGATGACCTGTAACTAGTGCAATGAGAATGAATCTGGAGGAGAAAACCGGAACTCCTAACCCAAAGAATGGATTCCTGGGAAAGCCGTACCCGATTGAGCATCCTCAGCTACCAATTATCGATCCGACGGCGAGCTATTATGCTATGACAACTCGACATAGTGTTGATATGGGTAGAATGTCATCGTTCAATGTCTCCACGGACTTGGATGTAAAACAGACGGAAGTTCACAAAAAAGAGGAAATGAAACATTATGCTGGACACGATGCCGACCCAAGTCAAAGGGAAAATTGCTATGACAGTACAGGAAGTCAAAATTCAACCACCACATTTCCTGTCCTTGCAGCCCTCACGTATATTACAAAGCAGCGGCGCCTGAGCTCACTTTCTCCCACCGCAGAAATAGCACAAAGATATCGAAGCCCATGCCCATCACCAGAAACTCCGCGACAAGACAGAACGTTTACAAATCAACATCAACAACCAATCACCGCGCATAATCCACCAATTGCCACACCAAAAAAGTTGTTATCACCACCACCCGGCTTTGCCCTCACGCCCAAGGAAGAGCCAGGTGTCACATCTCGCTTCAGCTCTACTAGTACAATTGTCCCTACTCTAACAATTGAGATCACGCCTCCGACGAATTTAGATATTTTTCCAAGCAGATCTCCGTCCCCGACTATTGAACCTACGAAACTGCACTCACCGGTGGAAATCGAATATGATATCAGGAAAATCAAGAACTCTCGTGCTTCCTATGATGAGATTCTAGTTGTGAAGACTCCGACTACGCCTTTTGCGATGTCTCAGATGATGGCTAGCCAATCTAACCAATCTCACCATATCGATAACATTGAAGTACAGGATGTAAACGTCGACTTCAGTGATGGGTTCGTTGCTCAGAATGTGCTGGATGACGATGAATATAGATTTGAGGAGCCCATCTTAGCACAACCTTCGGCTAGAAGCTCAAGGAAGATGACGAGGGACTTACGAGCGCTGAATGATTTGAATGGAGGGTTTGACGGACCTTATTGGCAGAATAAGCGGATGAGGAAGAGAAAACGAGGGCCGGAAGAAGGAGGGTTTACGAGTGTTAATTGAGTAATGACAACGGAAAATGGTGGCCTTGTTTACTCTGATCATAACTCACACTCAATCTGAAAACGAAATTGCCTACTCTTCAAAATCAAACCCCACTATGGTTTAAAACAGGAACGAATTTGCTTAACCAAGAACTCTAACAGAAGACAAACTATTAATTATAATTTTTTTTTAAAAAAAGCTTCACCATACAGCTCCTAGACTAGGTAAAGCTAAGTATTACATCTTTCAGCGTATTCCATAACTGTTTAATACATCAACGTATTGATTGTTACGTCACGTGATGTCAAACCAACATATTTTAGTCAAACCTTGACAACATGTTCACAATTGCTCTACTGAATACAGTCAGCCTTATTTTAAACTCTCACTCTCGGATGGTTTTTATGTAATTGACATCCCAATACTCCAAAGACCTGGATCTCGTACCATCGAATTCTATGCTTCTTGAAAATCAGTCCATTATTCATCCCCACCCTTTTACCGCGCGATTCACATCTCCTGACCACAACATGGATTACTATGACCTTGGATCATATCATAAACGCGTGAGCACGACCAGAAAAGAGGCTCAAATCTGGTTTGACCGAGGTCTGATATGGACGTATGGATTCAACCACGAAGAAGCTGCTGATTGCTTCGAAAAAGCGATTGCTAGCGATGCGGATTGTGCCATGGCTTATTGGGGACTGGCCTTGGTTCTAGGGCCAAATTACAACAAGCCTTGGGGGACCTTTGATAAAGAAGAGATGAAGAGGACCGTTGATCGATGTCACAAAGCCTTGGTATCTGCAACAGCTCTTCATCATACCGCTACAGAAGTTGAGGGAGCATTGATAAATGCGCTTCAGTACCGATACCCGTCACAAGCACCACTTGAAAACTTCTCGACATGGAATCAGAAATACGCAAACGCTATGGAAAAGGTGTATTATAGATTCGGGGATGATCTAGATGTGGCGACTCTTTACGTGGATGCGCTGATGAACTTGACCCCGTGGCAATTATGGGATCTTAAGACTGGGGAACCTGCTGAAGGCTCTCGAACTTTAGACGCGAAAGCAGCTATTGAAAAGGGACTCAGCACGGAAGATGGAGTGAATCATCCTGGATTGATACATCTCTACATACATCTCATGGAGATGTCACCCACCCCTGAAGTCGCTCTTACCGTAGCAGACAGACTCCGAGGGCTTGTACCGGATTCCGGCCACTTGAATCATATGCCTACTCATCTTGACATACTATGCGGCGATTACAGACGAGCCATAGCCTCGAATTCCCGGGCAATCCTCGCTGACAAAAGATATCTTGCCAAAGCCGGACCGTTGAATTTCTACACTCTTTACCGGTTACACAACTATCACTTCCGTATCTACGCAGCAATGTTCTCAGGGCAGTCAAAGATCGCTCTTGAAACAATCAGTGAGGCGGAAGTATCTGTCCCGGAAGAACTACTTCGTGTCAAATCGCCACCAATGGCGGATTGGCTTGAAGGCTTTTTAGGCATGCGGGTTCATATCCTCATTCGGTTTGGATTGTGGCAAGACCTTATCGATCTAAAGCTGCCTTCGGATCAAGCTCTCTATTGTACAACCACGGCCTTGATGCACTATGGCAAAGGTGTTGCGTTTGCAGCAACTGGAAACATCAATGAAGCCGCGAAACAACGAAATCTCTTTGGAGCGGCTGTCGAGAGGGTCCCAGAAAGCCGCACTCTATTCAACAACAAATGCATTGACATATTAGCAGTCGCTGCCGCCATGCTAAAAGGGGAAATTTCATACCGACAAGCAAAGTACGACGATGCATTCGCAGCCTTAAAGCAAGCCATCAACCTCGAAGACTCCCTCCCCTTCGACGAGCCCTGGGGTTGGATGCAGCCCACCAGACACGCGTATGGTGCGCTTCTTCTTGAGCAAGGCCATCTCGACGCCGCAGCAGCTGTATACGCTGCAGATCTGGGCTTCGACAGCACTTTACCGCGACCACTTCGGCATCCTAATAATGTGTGGTCGCTGCATGGTTATCACGAGTGTCTGGTGCGATTGGGGAGGGATGCTGAGGCTCGTATCGTGGAACCGCAGTTGAGGTTGGCTCTTGCGATCGCTGATGTTCCGGTGCGTTCATCGTGCTTTTGTCGCATTCAGCCGGTGAGGAAGTGTGCATCCATGGGGAATTGTCAGTCGTCGGGAGAGTAATACGTAGAGTTACGATTTAGGCACATTTGTATAGCAATATGTTGATACTATGTAGATCGCTCATATCTGTTCGTTGTTACACGATGTGTGGGGCGGTTCATTATCCACGTCCGGGACTGGCAACTTGGATTTCAACGGCTGACTTGTGCTTCAAATCTGGAAAGTACTCAAGAGCTTGTTACAATCTCGTCAAAGCTATTGAAGGACTTTTGAAACTCGTTAGTAATGTGGAGGAGCCAGGAAGTATAATATCCCGCAATCGTGACTGTAAAATATAATGTTTTTAATTCATACCACCGACCTTCAACTTCCATGAAGCCACTGCATATTAACTCTCCTGCAAGCAATCTATTTACATGGAAATAAGAAATCAAGCTTTTACGCCCTGTTGCATGGGATTGACACTGTTATCATGTACATCATATCGCAATAAACTCATCAGTTACAATCTCGGCAGTTGTGCTTCTGCCTCAGCCCTAGCTTCTCCTTGACGCGTATCTACGAAAGTATATATTATATCCAAACACAATTCTTGATCAGATTCTTTGACGGTGTTGTAGGCCTTTCTCGTAGTACCACTTAGTCGCCAAAATGCATCTACTCTCTCCAATCACCATCGCCCTTCTTGCGCAAAGCACTCATGCAGCACAAACCGTCTTACGTTTTGGATGCTCCCAGATAGTGGTGGAGCGGTTAGATCCGTACGTAACGACACTTGAGGAGAAAACCACAGTTATTGACTTGCCTTCAGACTTGTTAATCCAGGAGTCAATCCCTCCCCTCACGTTCATCAAGCAAGTATTCCCCAACCCCAACCGCTTCTTTAAACGTTTACTGACCCTCCACCAGATCACAGGCGGCGTACCACCTCCCCCTCCCCCAATCCCCCATCCATCTAACACACCCAGAACGCATTCTCCCCCCAAATCCCCCAATCCGACGTCTCAGCCCTCGCAAACTGCACAACCTGTTCCTTCAGCGAGTACTTAACCCCCTCCCTATCTCTCTCTTCCCTTTCCTCCCCTCCCCTTCCCCCTATCTTCCCATCTCCCTTTCGCTACCCTTTTCCAGTCCCCTTCCCACCACTAACCCCCCAACAGAGACCTCTCAAACTACTGGACCGCAAACCTCTACTTCCGTGCCCCAAACGGGACATACAAACGCGTGCCCCAAATCCCAAACCGCTACCTCGATGGCTCAGTCGGTGGAATGACAATTTACTACACCTCTCCATATGACGGCTCGAAGGTCACGGCTTTTAAACCCGTTTGTCCCCTTTCCCTCATATCCCCCCCATTTCCCCTCCCCATTTGCCCAACATCTTAAATTTCGATGTGAGCTCATTGGGAATTAGGGCTTCCGCATGCTCGCCGGCAACGCAGCACAACGCACCACGGGGGGCGTCACAAAATGGAACGCGATTTGCTTCCGGTGCTACAACGCTGCGAATTTTGGCGGGGATACGGGCGCGCCGTGTTCGGATAGCAAAGTTGATAGTGTGGCGTTACCAACGAAAGCGTGTCCAGGGGGGATTAGGACGACGATTAGATTTCCGACGTATTCCCCCCTTACTTTCCCATTTCCTTCCCCTTTCCCTAAACCTCTTTTTTCCAGACCTAGTATTAATAATGTTGATGTCGTAGGTGTTGGGACGGCGTCCAACTCGACTCTCCAGACCACACATCGCACGTTTCTTATCCTTCAAGCGGAACATTCGAGTCTAACGGCCCTTGTCCGTCGACGCACCCGGTGAAACTCCCTCAGTTGATGTTTGAGATCATTTGGGATACGCGGGCTTTTAATGATAAGAGTCTGTGGCCGACCGATGGGAGTCAGCCGTTTGTGTTTAGTATGGGTGATAAGTGCGTTCTCTCCCCCCTCTCCTTTCTCTTTCCTCTCCTCCAGGCTAGATCATTTGCTGCCACAAATACATAGGTCATGTCAGTGGTATACTAATTCAGCACTCACAGTACCGGCTACGGTCAGCACGGCGACTACATCTTCGGGTGGAAAGAAGGCGTGCTGCAAAAGGCTATGGAGGCAGGTTGTTTTGGGGCGTCGTGTAGTGCGCTTAAGACGCAGGATTTTGGGACGGCGAATAAGTGTGCGGTTCCTGATACGGTGAGGGAACCTGTTGAAGGCTGTGAGTATTACGTGATTGATGTGAGGGGATTGATGACTGATTTTGACAGGGCTTAAGACGTTGCCGGGGATGAGTATGTAGATGTGGAGGGAGGGGGCCCAGAGATTCGGAGATCTGGAGACTTGGGACGATGTTGATGAGAAGCACCTTGCATTTTGTAGTCAGAACTTTTTAAGCTGTATGTAGAGGAAGTCTTGTTATTGGGAGTATAAATACTGAGGATGTCAAATTTGATTGACTCTACCATAACTAGATTCAAAATGCTTCTTCTACCGTCCATTGGATCCTGCCGAGCGTATTCAAGCCACCTCAAGACCATCGCCTTGGACATAACTGCCTCGCGTATACTTGGCACTTGAAGCGCTAGATGGGTCCTTCAGGCTCCAACTATTGCTATTTTGCCTACTGTGGGGACAAAGTCTTGCATCCAGAGACCTGGTATGCCTGGCTTTTTATCATGTTCCCGCGACATAGCCAGGACAATTTGGCATATGTGTAAAGTAATAACGTGCTGCAGAGGCCAGTTTGTGGAAAGCAAACGGCCAATGAGCGCAAGATTTCTTCACCCTGTGCTATTCCCCTGGACTAGGTAACTGCGGATCCAAGACAGACCACAACTTGTCCTGGGCCTTCTGGGACAACTGAAAAACATCCCAACTTGTAATCTAGCGTGTCTAGCGTGCAACGCACATATCCCCATTGAACACAATCTCCTTCCGGAGCACAGTTGCTTCCCATTTCGTAGTAGTAACGTTGTGTCCCGCAACAGCATTATGATGATCATATGCCAGCGACCAGTCTTCGCACGCCCGTTGACGCTGGAAATGTTCAGGTATGCCATGCGGACAATGCCATGCCATCGTTTTGGACCAGGTAGGAGGACCGATAAAATCCTTCGTTACATTCGACTCGATCTTATCCAGCTCGCCCAAGACCTTGGACTCTTTGAAGACTGATTGGTGTATTTCCACGGCATGGAGGTACTCTCGAGTTTGCAGCCAAGCCTCGAGTCGCGGAATTCCAAAGTACTTGGCTTCCTCCAGAAGCGCTATGTAGGCAGTATAATCATGGCCTTTTGCGTTGTCGAAGAACAGCGGGCAAACGCCCCGTCGAAGGAATCGAAGTATATGTTCGAACAAATCTCCGTCCGCGTCCACAAAGTAAGTGCCATCAGCCAGCGAGTTGCTCCATCTCCCAGAAAGTAGCGCAGCGAAATACCGGCTGCCTTCGATCAAGGTGTTGCGATTGGTGTTGAATGTGCGCTCTCCGACTTGGAGGGTAATTCGTCCATCATTGACAGTGTGAGGTATGAGATGGACGGATTCAACATCAGTCATCGTACTGTGAGAGTAGATATGAGTTAGTCTCCATCATGCTGATGCGCGAAGATTGTTGGAAAAACATAAGCAGACTCACCACCAAATATATGCCTTGTATGCGCGTGGGCCAAGAGAGTTTCCATCGTGGCATCGGGAGATTGTCGGGGTGATCATGAGCACGCTAAGCGCGCACTAGTTTTACCTCTGTATTCTCTAGGTTTTTCGCATGTTGACTTTCAGACGCGTTGATTATTGAAACACATTCAAGATCGAAACATAAGTTGCATACTACGAGAAGTGGTATATTTTGCTTTCAAGCCTCCAATCAACCTGTCATGGATTGAGCAGGCTGTTCAAGTTGCCTTTCCGCACAATATTTGTTTGTCGCAACTCAACTTTCATCGGTAACTAGACTCTTGTTTTGTTTCTATTTCATATATATCGCCGTCTTGTATGCAGGCTCGATCATAGGCCTACAACGTACCATAGATGGCTTCATTAAGTGACAGGATACGCAACGTTGGGGAAGTTGGTCGCAGCAATGTTGTTATTTCTGGCGCCTTTGAGGGTGATTGTTGGGTTGCCTCGAGGATAGGTGACGATAAGGAGAATGTGGGCACAACAGCCAATTCGTAAGTCTTCCGAATCTCAGCTCGTCAGAGCAAAGATAGATCGGTCGAAGTTCGGGTTTCTATGCAGTAGAGCCAGTGCTCCTCTCAAATTTCTAGTTCTAACGCCAACGAATACCTCTCAGCCTTTATCAACTTCCACCGTTGCTCCGGGTTTAGATAGAATAAGACCTCACATGGTTGATCTTACTCATGAATCCGAGAGTGGCAGCGAAAGCGACATTGGTTCAGCTACACCAGAACTCGTTCCTTACGGTTCGCCTCCTGTTCTGTAAGTTGGCTTGACTAGACTTAGAACAGGAACATTTGCTAATGATAATTATTATAGTGGAGGTGTTTCCCCTGTTGATTCTACTGTCTCACGTTTCTCGCATCATGGAAACGGATTTGGGGATAGGGTTATTGAATAACTCTAAGTGTAATCGTTGCCGGTTGAATGGTCAGTAATGCTGGATTTACAGGAGAGAACTAATCCATCTGATCTGGAAACCGGGTAGTACATGCGCCCAGGTGCCGAATAACTCTAGCTCACGCGGGTTGCTCGCTGAGTACGAGAAGAAGACCAGGTCACTACAATCTCAAGCTCGGACAATGGCTCCTCGTCCTTTGCGACCTCAACAATAAGATACTGGATAACACACTCACGGAGCTTAAGTTTCTTGGGGTGTGTTTGCTTTTTCCCGCCGCGTCTGCAAACTTATTTGCCGAATAAGCGCACACGAATGCCATGGTGATGATCCAAGGTCTAGACTCAGGCCATTGAACATTACGCGCTTGTCAGACGGTGCATCTCTCTGCCGATATTTACGCCAAGGACTGAAACGACCAGAATAGAATCCAACGTGCAAGCGATATGGGTTGAGGCCGCGATCTTCATGCCGTTCCTCGCTGTGGACAAAAGAAATGGCATCCGAAACACGATACATGTGTTTCTTCGAATAAGACAACGAAACATCGCATATCTAGTGGATCAACTTGCCACCAGCTCACGTATTCCCTCAAATTTTTTCAAGGAAATATCATACTCAAAGTCGACGTATTTATTATATAGATGAGTGAGCATGTGGCTGACGCTTATCTTGTTTCCCGCGAGCGTGGTCTACCAGATTGTAAACCTGCTCCCTTTGTTGTGGTCTTGACATCTTGGCAAGGGATCCGCCATGCAGCTCTCAATTTAATCTTATTGGGTCAGTTTCTCCTCCCCCTCATTTTCAGCCTCGAAAACGTTGTCTAATCCTCGTAGGTGCATACTTGCTGGACTGACCTCGCGGACTAAGCCTCAGTCTTTCCCGCCTGCCGGGGATACTGTAAGAGGGTGTTAACTGTTGAACATATATAATGAGGTCGTCTGTGTGGCATTACCTGGGTTTGATCTTTCGACGATCGTTTGAGATAATCCCATTCTGGTCATTCTGAGATTTGAATTTGTGTTTCCAACAAGCCTACTTACCGACCAAAATTTCTTCCATCACAGGATGGTTTCTCTATCCTTCTCAGTAACTTTGATATTTACTTGCTTATTACTTTTCACTCGCCCGGTTTACTCCTGGATCGCTACAGAGTACGTTGCAATCATTTTGACGACTCTAAGTGGCGGAACTCAAGTATACACTGCGATATCCACTGCAGTTACTGTCACCGGTCCAGTAACACCAATTTCGACAAGCATAAGCACCCCAAGGCCAGAGGCAGGCGTCAATCGCCCTACGATCGTTTACCAGTATATCTCGGGTCCTAACCTACCCATAGCCACTCGAAACTTTCTAGACGGACCCCCTACACCCACATCATCTAGCACGATCACTGTTTCATCTGCATATTTTGCTGAAGCCACGATCACTCAAAATCCAACATGTCCACCCGGCGTTAGTTTCTCCTACAGTAAGTACCTCATCGCACTTTCCCCGCCATCGCAATCTACCTATACACCGACTAACACAACCATAGCATCTCAACTCCGAGTCTTCCCTCCAGATATCCTCACCCTCCCTCCCAACACCGTCCCAGTGACTTCATCAACAGCCTATATGACCACAACCTTCTACACCAATGCGGCAGGCGCCCCAACCGCCAGTAGTTCCTGGTCTCAAGCGGACTTTTTTGTAGCAAGTGGGAATGTGGTGCCGGAATTCGTAGGCGAATTGTCTACGGTGCTGGCGATGTGTCGGGATCCGAGGGGATGTTATTTGGGAAGGGGAGAGGGGTGTACGAGAACGGGCGGGACGCAGGGGGTTACCGGGACGAATGCCGGGCCTGCTGCTACCTCCAGCAGGTCTGGTGCTGTGAGGGTAAAGTTTGGAGGTTTGTGCTGGGGTTGGTCGGTCTCGGTAGGTGCGATTATGATTGCTGTGATGTGAGCAGTATGGCTATGCATATTTGGTAACATGGAATAACTGATTATTTGGAATAATTTCATGCCTCCGCCAGAATTCGAAGCCGAACCTCCCCACTGGTTAACAACAAAAACAGCTGATTTATAACACAGTGTATTCGAATTAGTATTTCACTGCCAAGAACAAACAGCTTTTATTAGATATCAATCTGTATAGTTCCTCATCCACTTCCGCGTTAATCACACTACTTTACCCATTTGGCTGTATTCTTTCACATCATCGTAGACGCCTCTTCACTTTGGAATTTGTTCCCAATGTCCGGTTGTGTATGATCTTTCCCAATTCGAGTATCGACATTGCTGCCAATTCGCTTCGAGCTCTCAGATGTTTTCGAACCGGATATGGCTGTGGGCAGAGGGCTTCTTATTGTATGAGCATATCTGACAAGAGAGAAGGTACATATAGAGCCTGGATGCCCTTCAAATTCAATGTTGTCATTCTTATCTCTCTCTCATATCTGTGCCACTAGGTCAAAATTGTTCCAACATACCATGGCACAGTCACTACTGACACGGCGCTTCCCAACCTGCCAAAGATTAAATCCGAAATAGGACTTAACCAAAGTAAGACTGTGTCCTCAACTCACTTGTGGTTTGCGATCAGTATTTCTCCACGGTTTGTTGATTACTTAAAAACTGCTGCATAGGTATTCTGAAGATTAGTAAACATTGACTTGCGGTTCCGCAAATTCAGCTAAGCGAGGTTGACTCCCAGTCTCCCCAAATAGCCACCCACTCACAACCTCCATCGCTGTAAGGAAAGAGTGTTTGAGAATGTGAGTCGCTCAATCAATGCACCGGATCCGGTACATGGAGCTTTCTATTGCAGATTATGCGTCGTATGTGGTTGGCGAGCTGCGCGCGGTAAGGATCGCGCATCTGTACATAGGTATCAAACAGGCTTCTGCTGTGAGCCTCTTTGATTACATATTGCAAACTCGAGTCCCAACTTTTCATTGATTGGCTGCCACGGTTGACTAATCGGCCATTTTCGTCAGTTGACAAGTTGTTCGTAATGGGGGTTTATTGCCGGTTGTTCCCCTGGTCTCAACTGACACACGGGAATAAATATTATAATCGAAGAAGCACTGGTAAAGTGCAGATTGGACGAGACATTGTCGTATATTCCTGGGTTTCCAGAACAAGTAAAGCGCCGGGAATAGACACGATATGTTATTCTTACAAAGAATGATTATTCTATACTTTGATTCCCAGACACGCTGGGTGGCCAGACAGGGTTGCGATGGAGATATATATTGTAGCTGGCTCAACTTTCAGAAGCAGAATATTCAAAACTAAAACAATCAACTCAACAATTCGATTACATCTTTGCTAAAGCATCAACTCCGCCAAAGATTCCTCACCTTCTCGTCTCAACATATCTCTTTTTGAAGTCGGCCTCACGAACTACTTCTCATCCCTCGAAATGTCTGGAGAACTTATTCTGGTGAGCGCGAAATGACAGAATTCTGAAATATACTGTAACAGTGTAAAGTTCTAATAAGGTTTCAAGATCACTGGTACGACCGGTTTTGTTGGGTTTGCCGTACTGCAAAAGGCCCTCCAAGCTGGGTACAAGACTCGTATTGCTGTTCGCAAAGAAAGCCAGATTGGGCAGTTGAAAAGCCATAGACTCATCAAAGACTTCGCTGCAAAAGGTTTCGTCGAAGGTGTGGTGGTCCCAGATATTGGAGCCGAAGGAGCATTTGACGAGGCTCTCAAAGATGTCGTAGGCGTCTTGCACATTGCGAGTCCACTTGGAAGACCAGTAAGTTTGCTTCCAGCGACCAATGTCAGACTCAATACTCAATTAAGAATAGAACATCGAGGATACAGAGAATGAGCTTGTGAAACCGGCAGTGAATGGCAGTCTGAGCATCTTGAAGTCTGGACTCAAGTTCCCACAGCTTCGCAGAATTGTAATCACTAGTTCAGCAGTCGCGATCATGACCGACCAAGTCATCGATGCCGCAAACCCACCCATTGTATACACAGCCAACACTCGCGTATCCCCACTTCCAACCGCTCCTTTCCCAAACGATCCATGGGCTGGCTACCGCATCGCCAAACAACTGGCTCTCGACGCAACAGAGAAATTTATCGCAGAGAAAAAGCCTCAGTATACCGTCGTTAATCTCATGCCTGGATATGTCTTCGGCAGAAACGAACTTGCTGAGAAAGCACAAGATCTTCTCGACGGAAGCAATGCCATCGTCCTCGGCACTGTTCTCGGTGCTATTCAAGGAGCAAAGAGGGAAGGTTTCACGACTCCGGTGACTGATTTGGCTCGTATTCATGTCGAGGCTCTTGGTGAGAAAGTGAAAGGAAACCAAAGTTTCTTGCTTCTCGCTGGGAAGGAGGGCGATAAAGCGGAATTCAACCGCGCGAATGAGATTGCGAAGACTGAGTTCGCTGATGCGGTTGCTGAAGGGATTTTGAATCCTGTCGGAAGTACTGAGGCCGTGCATCAACAAGTTGACAAGAGTATCACGACCGAGATCTTTGGTCCACTGGAGACTTATGAAGATGGGGCCAGGGCTGTTATTGCGCAGTACGTTGAGTTGAAGAGGAAGGAGGCGAGTAAGTGAGGGGGTTCCGCTCTTTGTCAGAATGAATTAGCGAAGTAGATTATCAAGAAGTGTGGTGTTAATTCAAGGAAAATTGAAGGGAAATTGGTTGATTGGATCGTTCAAGTGATATTCTACTTCCAGGCATCGCCTGTTTCTTACGTGTGCATGATACTAATGTATCTTGGTACTTGATTGTTCTCGTTGACATGGTTTAAAAAATCACTATATAAAATCCAATACGTGAAGACAAAATTACTCTCGAGGATCTCGCTTGAGTAATCACTGTCTTAAATCTCCATGCAAACATTTGAAACATATAGACCACAGTATTTCTAAGCTAAATCGAAGACTACATTCAACAAGACAACTCTTATAGTAACTCAACCACCCATCCATAGTAACACAGCGACATTTAGATTTGACACATCTTCTGATACATCTGCCTACACTCGAACATATCCTCTCTGGGAAATTGAAGTCTCTTTTAGTAAGTGACGGCGACACCTCCTGGAAGCTGCTTGATCCATTTCCCGCTCGCACCAACGTCTTCCACAACTTGTTGTGCCTTCTTGCACTTCATCGAGTCAGCGCCAGATTGAATCTTCAAGACGCTGCAGTTGGCATTAGCACACTTGCCACTTGGTAGCGCGTCCATGGCCTTTTGTAGAGAATCGTCCTTCCATCCGAATAGATAATCACCGTGTTGACCGTACCCGACTCTGTTAGCAGTATTAGTAATTATGTCATAGATTTTTGAATAACGCCATGCACTTACCCGTCACCGAAGCTATAGACGAACGGTTGCTTATTGGTGCCATAATAAGCAGTGTTCTTGTAGTTTTGAGTTTGCCACATGACCTCGTACATGACTTGAGGAATGGGCACTGGATGAGTTGAAGGACAGTTCTGGCTACCAAGTCCACCACTGTTGGAATAAGCGACGTGACTCTTGTGATCTGGCGAATCGATATTGACACCATCCCAGCACGATGGGAAGATAATGGTCGCACGAATACCACCTGGGCAGAACTTATTTGGGAGTTCTCCAGTATCTTTGGAATCGCATGGTGCAAAGCCCTCGCCATTACCTAGACATCGGTGACAGATCGAAACTCGGTTGTTTTTCTTGGTCATAGGATCTCCAGCAAGCATTCGGAAGCCTTTCTTGAATGCTGTCATTTTGTTGTTCTTGGCGCTGTATGGCATGTAGTATACAGTCATTCCACCGTCTTGTTGAAGACCGACGTTGGCGAATTGAGGAACACGCTGGAAGGTACCGTTCTCGGGAGATTTGAAGTATAGAGATGCGGTCCAGTAGTTGGAGAAATCCCTTTTGTCTAAGTCAGAACCAAAGAGCTTTTAACTGTGGAAACGAGGTAATTATACTCAGAATATGTGCAAGATGTGCAGGTAGACTTAGCGGCTGGATCATAAGTAGCAGGGTCCATCTAAATCATGTCAGTAAACATTTTCAAAAGTAGTTAACACGGCTTACAGAAAGATTGAAAGAATTTCCTCCAATAATCTGATGAGTGTGAGGTGCAGGACTTTGTCCTGGGCTGACCAGAGGGTCGGCTCTTTCAACGGTAAGTTGAGAGCATGCGAATCGAAGCATGTTCTGTGCGGAGACAGATTGCGACAAAAGCGCCGCGGCGGCGAGAGTATTCCAATACATGATGAGTTTTCGTTTGTAAAATCCGAACTAGAGAAACAGTACCACGAAGTCGAATTATTCTTGGCCAACTCAATGGTAGGCGGGGACTTGTGCTCGATTCTATATACCTGCGCCTTGTGGATTAATTCGCGAATCTTGACCTATAAAGATCCTCTGTAAGTCTCAGACTCCTTCAGGATCATTAATTAATACATGTGGGCTACTTCCATCATCTGATGAAAAGCAACTTAGCCAAGTTGAAATGCGTACTCCCTGAATACGAAAGTGACCAATCATGTCGACCTAGCGATCGGCAATTGTTCATTTACGATAAATCCTTGAGTTGTACCGGCAATTGAAATAGCCATTGAAGATCCAACAAGCATTGCCAACAGATTAACCAGCTTTTGCCACACCTGTCCTACCACTTCGCCTAAATTAAATACTTTATCTTGGCTAACCGCTCCATAGAGATCTACTACCAGTCGGCGGTTTTTTCTTTGACAAATAACAATACAACTCTGTTGCGGTTTGAAAAAGCTTGCTTTTAAATGCGGAATTATTTTTAGCATTCATTCTGCTGAATTGAGAGGTCCGTTGAAAGATGGGCCTGACATCCATTTCCGGGTTTCTAAAACAATTGATGAAATCGAACGTGTAACTCAGTTGCCGGTGGCACTTGAAGATTAACCAATATTGATGACTGTTAACAGTTAGAGTTTGATCGACTCCATTATTGGGTGAAGAAAGGAGTTGAGATAGGATGGCAATGTTTGAATGCCGGTTATAGTAACATTTGAAACTAATGACATATCTTACTGATACACAATCGCAGCGGCGCTTACAATCGGACTTACATAGTGATTTGTCAAGTTCGTATCCGGAAATGGCCCAAAGAGAGACTGTCATTTTGTTGGAAAGACTAAATACAACTGTTCAAGATTCAACGATTATTTTATGGAACAGGATGTATACAGAAGCCAGATATACTCCTGTATATCCTACACTAACGAAAAAGAAGCGAGATCCCTCAATCCGAAACATCTGTGAGAACAATCTTCCTATTTTCTTCAACCGTAGCCCAAGCCAGAAGCTTCGACTGGGCAGCATCAAATTCTTTAACACTCAATCGAGCACGATTAGAACCTGGCAGATTGAAAGCTTTCTCTTTCAGACCTACGATGGCTTTAGACCATGCAATATCCGGTCCAAACAAACTGACGCAAATCCGTGCTAGCTCGTGGGCATATCCTTGGTGTACGATCGTCATTTCTTTCTCTGTTGGGATACCCTCTTTGCGCATTTTAGACCTCGCAGACGAACTTGCTTTGCGCATGCTCCAAAGAAACATATCCATCATGTATACCATCATCATGAACAGGCGAACGAACTCAGCACAATGTCGGATTTCCATGCACAAGATGCCGCGAAGATGATATTTAAGTCCCAGATTGCCGAGTTTCTTGTTGTAATAGTAATCACCGCAGAATTTGTTGATCCGAGGGATAGGTTCGATATGGTCAGGCCATATTCCGTCTGGAAATAATTCTTTGGCAAGGGGTCGGATATAGATACTCAATTCCTGTGGCGTAATAAGACCTGCCTTGATTTCTAACATCTTCATAAGGAGTTTCGACTGGGCCTTGCGGAGACAAGATAAAGGATGTTTCAACTCAGGCTTCTTGGAACCCCATTCTTCGATTTCTTTCAGTTCCTCCTCGCACCTAGTACCTGAACGTATGTCAGCATCTACTAGGGGTACAGCAATTAGGGCACTAGTAATACATTTACATACGATGCCTTGTGAGGTCAAAGCGCCGTGATATGGAAGTCCTTGTTGACGAAGCAGAATTGGCTGGCTGATCTCGGCATAACAACGCAGCAGTTCCTCACCGGCTTTGATTGGTTTGAGAGACCGAGCGCGAGCGATCCGACCATCAAAAAACAATATGGTGTTTGGGATACAAGAATGATTTATCAGAGCAGAGGTAAAGTCAAGCGAGCGTCCAGCCGTATGGAAACTGCCACCATCAGGCACTTGGATGGGAACCATGTGCGTTATCATCTAGAAGATATATCAGCACAAAACAAAATTAAGACACAAATCGGAGACGACCACGTACCTTTGTAGCTAGCAGGTACTCCAATTCTGAAATATCTGTTGCTAGCAGGTCTTCTAGGACTGAAGGGTCTTTTTGTGACATCCCCAATTCTTCTTCAATGATTTTGAGACGCTCATTGGCTCGGAACATGCCCAAAACTGCTATATTCATTGCCGCCACGGTGGATTCAGAGTTCTGAAGAATAAACTCAACTCTTTTGCTAGAACGTACCTCATCTTTCTTGTACAAGGATGGATTGGCTTGAAATTCTTTGCACTCGTGCTTGTGATACTCCTTCCACGCTTTGATTTGGCATTCCTAAACAATGTTAGAACGTAGTCACGAAAGTTTTAATAGAGTATTACTCTTGAACAGTAGTGGCAAATTCTGCATTGTGCACACATAAGAAGCGCATTCTTCTCTTTCTCCTGCCTGTGATAGAAGTAACCATCTGGATGTATATTGGTATAAGGTCGATCAAGACAATAATCACACACCGAATCGCCAGGTCCACTGATGGGACAGCTCATAAACGGCTGAGAGGTGAATATGTCCTGGGCAGCGGGAATGTCTTCAGTCGCAAATAAACCAAGACCCGCACTTGGAATGGATGACTCTAGAATTTGGAGTGGTGCGGTCAAAGTCGCCCTGCTCAAGATATATTTGCATATTTCGTCGTGACTAGGGCTTGAAGACGGCGTCGAATCTTCCTTGAAGCCAGAGCTTATGTCGACTAGAAGTGGAGCCTCGTCTTCCATTGTGTTGGTTTTAGCGTTCGCAGTAGGTATAGGACTTTGGCTTCTTGGATGGGATCTCTGATAACACGAAAGTTGAAGGCTGGGTCGTTTTGGCTGGACGATACCGAAAGGCTTCGACACAGTTGATGAAGACGGAAGGAAGGGAAATAGCAACAGCCACAGGATTTAACGAGACTGCTATCATTAGTCAGCTCCAAATGGACTAATACGGGTTCGTGGTGAATGATTCTCTAGAGATTTCGGCATTTTCCTTCTTCCGTCCATGCCGCCACGAACTTGGCAGCGCTTCCAAAATACAGAGATGTCCAAAACTATATGTCTTAATAAATAATACAGCTCGCAAAGCATGATTAGAGTGGCTGAACATCGCAAAAATTCTATAAACTTAATGTATCATGAGAGCAGGTCAGTAGTTGCGATAATAAATTATTCCAGACACGATCTAGATTCACCTTTTTCATCGAAAATAAAAGACGAAGCAAACGATGTCTCGTCAATTACTTCGATCGTGTTCCAACCGCCAGTCATCTTGCCCACCGTGAGCCCAGTAACTGCTAGAATTTCCACCATAGATATTTTCTATTGGAAGTGGCTCAAGCTTTCGATACCCACTCATCGGACAATAACAATTCTCGTGAAACATCAATGCCTGCCCATAACAAGAACTTACCCTGAGCATTCTTAAATCTTTGCAAAAAGTTGACGGAACTCAGGTTTGGAGTTCCCATTCTGATGGAGTGTTCGACATCACGCTTCTGTAACGTCTTACTGAACGATGTATCAGTGCCAAAGACCTTAGCCACAACAAGAGTTGCCTCCCTAGAGTATCCCGAAATTACATCCATGAGATCCCCAAATGTGACGAAAGGTAATTTGGTGAGATCTTCTGTCGTTGTAGGAGTAAGTCGTACAAGATATGTCAGCCACTCTGCGAGCTGATTCGCCCAGTAGGGACCGAAGCGACGGTCTTGTGCAAGCAGTGCTCTAAGACTAAGCTTCAAAGATTCCACTGAATCGTTCTGTGCGAGGTAGTACTTTGATAGTTGTAGCAGTATTTGTGGCATTGGTTGTAAATTATCGGGCCACTTGTCTTCGTTCAGAACTCCCCTCGCCATCTGCTTCATAGTTCTTTCAATTATTTCACAATCAACGTCTATGTTGGTGCCGCTAATGGAAGGTTGACTTTGAAAATATTCCGAGGCTTGCTGCTGGGCACGAGCCAGAGATTTTGTGCGCTCAGTATCAGCACCTGCCCAGTCGGACAATTCTTTGTCCTCACGTTGGCATCTGGGACCTAATAGAGATTAGTTTTGAGATGAACGTACTTAGAAATAAGAGAGCACTGACAGTTAGTTGCATCTAAACCCGCGTGTGAATAGCAAATCCCGTTGGCGTGCGGAGTAACTATCTTCAGTCCAGGTGTAACTTCGAGAAATCTCCTCTCCGGCTTTTAATGGTTTCAAAGATCTGACTCGAAGCTGATTGCCTTCAAAGAAGATGAAGACATTAGGTTCGCAAGAGTGTCTCAACAATGAGATCACCGGATCGAGAGTTGTTCCTAAATACACTCCGTCTGTGCCAACTTCTGCAGGCTGCACCGCTGTCGCGTTGGTGAGCACCTACTAGCAAGTGAGTTTCTGGGTTTTAGGCTTCTATGTGTTCGAGAACGCACCTTGCAGAGAATGTCCCAAACACTCTCAATCTCCAACCTTGTACCACTCGCATGTTTGGCAATTTGTGCAATGGAAAGATAATCCGAGTAAGCATCACTATCTGCCCATGCTTCTTCATCCGATTTCAGAGCTAATAGAGCTTTGAATAAGCAAGGAGTCAGAAGTTCTCCACTTTTGTATTGGATGAGAATCCGTAGCATTGTTCGCTGGATAGCTATGAAATTTGGTTGGCGTGCAAATATTGAACATTCACTCTTGTGGCCGAATCTCCACGCCTCTAATTGACATTTCTAAGGACGTGTTAGCTCAATGGTCATGCTTCAATCTGTTTTTAGCAGGTAAGAAACATGCTGACCTGTGAGCAGTATCCACATGATTTACACCCGGCACATAGCTTCATAGTACTCTCGGATGCCGCATTGTTTTTGTCTTTTCGAAAGGGAAGAAAATGAGGTCTTGAGAATCTGAAGCAGTGAGCGCAAATGAACTTCTGCCACTGAACATTCCCTTCCCATCCTGCGAAGGTCAGCAGTGGAGTGGAGCGAAATACGTCCGCGCCTTGAGGCACGTCCTCGCAGACAAAAAGTCCCGTTTCTCCTCCACATATCGTAGATTCTTGTATGCGCAGGGTGACTAGAGGTTTTATTGTTGACAAGAAGTCTGTGCACAGTTCTGGATTCTCATGAATAACACCGTTGAATTCAGCACGATCTTGTTGTGGTGAAAAAACATTCATGATGAGAGAAGTACATCGGGCAAGCAGCAGCAAGAAGAGTACGTTTTATGACCATGACTGAGATTGCTGACATCTTGGAAGTAACTCGGGTAGTAGTCATTCACTTCACGCTTGTGAATCAACAAAAAAAGCTATGGCATCTGTCCACATCAGTCTCGAGCTGGCTTCATTAAGCGCGATGCATTGACGGCTCGGTACATTAACAGCTCTGTCTTCCATTGCCATGTTTTCTAAACCAGAATATGTCGTCAGATGACCTCAACAATTGAGTGTTGGATCACCAATAAAACCAAAGCGCGACCTTGCACAACGAATGAACTACTTTGTAACAGAATGGTCGAGAGTCACCGAAGAAATTTCCAGCAGCCAAGATGCATATGACTGTCTCGTATTTCCTCCTTTTGGGAGACATTGTTTTCCCATATTCCATTGGTGTTTGTGATGTTCGAGGTGAAACTGGAGGTTCTGTGTAGGCTCCTAGACAAGCATTACTTGTCATGTGCCCCGTTGGATTGAAGCTAAACAGCTTTCAAGCCCGGCTCTCATCGTATTGAGAGACGGTGAATTCAAACATGCACAAAGGCTCGGTTCGACTATCATTCTCACAGCGAAGCGGAGGTATGTGTCGTCGCGACTCGTTGTGGATTGGACGCTACCAAAGCGTTCATATGAGCTACTTTCTTGCACGATGTGACTTCAATACGACACAAAGCTAAACTCTTGCCCGGCTGGTTGGATGATATCGGGGAAAACGGTCGATGATACAGTCAAAAATGTGTTATATCGAGGAGAAAGAGACCTGGAAGTTGTCGTTTGAGATAGTAAAAGGGAAGCGACCGGGAACCAACCGAGAACCAGTCTTCATTGGGACTAGCGTCACTTGAAGTTCACTTCGAGATCTCACGACAACCTTGGAACGTCGGATGCTAGAAACCCCCAAAACTGAATCCCTTGATCTGTTACTTGTTTACCCCAGACTATTCGTTCATTGAGATACGTTGCTTCATTCTAATATATGCAATCCATCCGTCTCGATGATTAGCCGCTCCCGAAATATGATTGGTGGCACACGCATTGTCATGTCCGAAGGCGGGACAAGCCCCTGCCAAACCCCTACCATTTATTCCCTGTGACGCGCATAACATCTTTCCCATTCTCCAAAGGAGTAACCCACAAAGAAAGATGTTATACAATTGTACTGGCACTGGACGACAAAATAACAAGTGGCCGACAGGTGTTTGGAGGCTACGCGACAGCCGATTCTCGATAGAACTACTTAATTTAACAAGGAAAGCTTGAACGAAATATTATTGTACTTTATGTATATAGGTCAATAGTAAGTCACCCATCTATAAGGTTTTATTATCCCAGACCCGCAGTAAAAGGTGCAAAAGTATGACAAGTATGTATCGTACTTGAAGGGGGTATTGATACCCTACCAATTGTATTGTTTTCCGGAAACTTGTTGAATGCCAATTCAATACAGTGTGCATGTGGGGCTACGAGTGGGGCATGCTGGGACGTATCTTGTTAACATCGTGAAGCTGGTGAAATATTTGGATTTGTGATGGATTTGTAAGTATACCATCGAATATAATATTTATCTAGGTACGTGAGTTCTCCATGTCTGGTATCCGCTACTTATTCAGGTTACAGTATAAAAATAAACTTATAAAGCCCCACCGATAGGCCATATAAAACCGAAGCCGCAAATATCTCCTGCGCAATACAACTCTCGATTAACTTGTCCATCTCAATTGCAGCGCAGTGAATCGTCCTTAGTCGATTCATATTCGATCCAGCACCATGAACGGCACCAAAGAAACCCCAATCGAGTTCGAGAAGTTCCACAACATTGTTGACGGTTTACCCCGCTCCAGCACCAATTTCCATCGTGGCACGAACCCCTCTGATGGGAAAGAGTTGTGGGAAGTACCAATTGCAAGCGAGAATGATCTGGACGATGCTGTGGAGGCTGCGAGGAAAGCGTTCAAAACATGGTCAAAAACGAAGTGGGAGGATAGGCAGGAAATAATCAAGAATATTGCCAAGGAGTTTATGAAGTATGAAGCAGAAATGGGGAAACTGGTTATGTTGGAGGGAGGAAAGCCGGTATTTTCTTGCAGCTACGCACTTTTGGGTATGAGTACTAACAGATGAAGATACAATTTGCCAAATTCGACCTGGGAAATGCTTCCAAAGGACTTCTCTGGGCCGGTATGTGTTCTTGTCCAATTAAGCCACCATAACAACGGGCTAACAAATCGTAGCTTCAGAAAAGAAATTCGAGGATGAAATAATATCCGACAATGCTGACCTTAAATTGACCATGCGACATGTACCGCTCGGCGTCGTTGGTGCAATCTGCCCATGGAACTTCCCACTTCCAATATCCATGAACAAAATCGGTCCAGCACTCCTCACTGGATCGACGATAATCATGAAACCATCTCCTTTTACACCCTACAGCATTCTCAAATTGGTAGAAATCGCACAGAAATTCCTACCACCAGGAGTTCTTCAAGCTCTCAACGGAGACGACAAATTAGGTCCTCTAATGACCGAACATCCAGGTATCAACATGATCACCTTCACCGGCTCAACTCCAACTGGAAAGAGGGTAATGGCTTCTTGCGCAAAGACGCTAAAACGCGTAACCCTAGAGCTCGGTGGTAACAGCGCAGCAATCATCTGTCCAGACGTCGATGTTAATAAAGTCGCTCCAAAAGTAGCACTTGCTGCATTCTTCAACTCCGGACAAATCTGCGTAGCCAGCAAACGACTTTACGTGCACAAAGACATCTACGCCGACATGCTTGCCGCCGTAAAGAAGGTAGTTGAAGGCTGGAAAACGGCGCCGGCGGTAGAAGAAGGCACGATGCTTGGTCCTGTGCAAAACAAAATGCAACACGCGATTGTTAAAGACTTCTTCGAGGATTGTGCGTCACAAGGATATGATTTTGCGCTTCAAGGAGAGGTAGGTAAGGGAGAGGGATTCGTGGTCCAACCTGCGATTATTGATAATCCACCCGATGATTCGAGAATCGTGAGGGAAGAACAATTCGGTATGCCTTCCCAATTCCATTTTAATCCGCTTTACTAACACTCTTAGGTCCTATCGTACCCATGCTTCAATGGGAGGACGAAGACGAAGTCATCGCCCGCGTCAATGATACTACCACCGGTCTTGGCGGCGCTGTTTACTGTGCAGATCTCGACCGCGCTCAACGTCTTGCCTCCAGGATCGAAGCGGGAAATATCTGGATCAACAGCAATGAGAAACCACTACCGAATGCGTTTTTCTCGGGGTGGAAGGAGAGCGGGATTGGTGGCGAGAGTGGAAGGTTGGGATTGTATAATTATATGAATACCCAGGTTACGCATTTGTATAAGGCGGATGTTGCGAAATTGTAATTATGTTATGAAGAATCAACCATGTTCAAGATTTAAGCGTTTCAGAATGTGCGTTTTTGTTTGGTTCTGGGAATGAAGTGCTTAAAGAAGACTTATCAAAGAGCATTGCTCACTTCCTCTCCTTCGCCATCACAATATACTCATTTTTCACTCGATTGCTCACTTTTTTCAATTATACCTTTTCCTTTCCAAGAATATCATGGCTGGTGTTTACAAAATCTAAACAAAGGTAGCACTATTTGCTGACAATTAAGCGTAGAGAAGGACGAAGACAGTAGGCGAGGGGAATTCCAATGTTATCCCACAGATATAATAACTCTTCAAATGCCTAATGTCTCCGCCAAGCTATTAATATACTCACAACGCCGAAAAAGATCCTCGTTCTCTATTTGGCGCTGCCTCATTTGAGCGCTTGAAGAATCCATTTCTCCCATATCGAGGATATGTTGAGCTTGGTCGTCGGTCGCATATTCATACTTGTCACTTCCCCCGCGTGCTTTTTGAGAAACGGTAATAGAGCTCGATCCAGTACCGTAAGGGCCACCAATCACTTGAATCTTAACACTTGACGGGAAACCATTTGATACTCCAACAGATGGAAATGCGGAAGGCCATTCATCTTCCACGTCATTTTTGGAGTCAGGATCGCTGGTGGTTGCAAAATTAATCAAGCTCCTCGCAAGACTTTCAGATAATGCCTGATCTTCTGCGCTGATCTCACCTTCAGGGAACACACCATTAAAAATATAGTTAGTGTCCGATCCGTGAGAAACACCGATATACGGCATTCCTGCACCTTTCCAAATGGGTGTAAGCATGCTCTGGTTCAGGTTATAAAACCTGACGTTATTGAAGTTCGGGTTTGATGTGGTTCGTGTCTGCGAGAACATCTGATATCCGAATTCGAGCGAAGAACAAGTGAATAGTAAGTCCCTGAGGATGCGGGAGAGGCGGAAATAGTGGACTGTGACTTCGACGCCAGGAGATTGAGTTTTGTAGTTCTGCAATTCTACTTCGAATGATTCGACGGGGTAAAGCGAGAACAGGGTCTTCAATTGCTCATTGGTTAAGGCGTGTGCGAAAGCTTTGATTGGCATAATCATATCTTCTTCCGTTTGGATAAGATGGGCAGGTCCAGCGTTTATTGCACCATCGTTTTGAGTCCAACCAAAGACTATAGGAATGTCTGGAATTGTGTTAGTGGTCATTCAGTTATGTTACATTTGGGTTTAGAGCTTGCCTTTCACAAATCTCCCTTTTTCGACTAACTTCGACTGTTGCTCAGGGAAAAAGTCGTCATCTACTGATGGAATGAAAGTAAAAAGACCAGCTGGCGGGTGAGTCTCTCTCGAATAGTCCATTGCCGTCTTCAACAGTTGTTCAAATGGAAGATCGCGTAAACATTGAAGCATTTTCGAATCTTCCAAATCACATCCAGCAAGTTCAGCCACGGCTTTTGTATGTATTTCCGTCGCATCTGAAGTCATATTCAGTGCTGTCGCCGGCGGACCAGACATCATCCAAGCTTGCTGGAATGGCACTCCTCTATCACCGCCATAGGCCATGGTATGCAACGATATAAAAGTTCCTCCCGCACTCAGACCAAAAGCCGTAATACGCTGCGAATCTCCTCCGAAATCTTCGATGTTTTCTTTGACCCATTCCATTGCCATGCGCTGATCCCTCATGCCACCGTTCAGAGACTTTTCGTTTTTCAGAGATGGTGTACGAGCGAAACCGAAGATTGTTAGTCGATAGTTGATTGCGACGTAGATGATTGGCTTTCCATCGGATACTGATAATTTGATCAGATTCGTAGGATCGAAATGGGGATCGTAACTAGAGCCTTTGACTACTCCTCCACCATGAACCCAAAGCACTACTGGAAGTTTGCTCTCAGAGTCGATCGTGTTAGTTGCAGGCCTTGATATCCGAAGGTGAAGACAGTCCTCGCTGATTTCACCGGTTTCGGAAAAGAATGGCAGCATGGCGTCCTGAGTCTGAAGACATGATGGTCCGGGAGATAATGCATCGACAATTGTGCCTGGAGGAGGAATGAAGGACTCTGGAGGAGAAAATCGACGCTGACCAGATGTATCGTGTGCATACTTGATATTTTGGAAATGTTCAATTGACTGGGATATGATGCCGTGATATGTGACTTGAGACTTTTGGATAGTCACTAATGGTTCTGCCAGGATAATCTGGGCCAGATATATACCACAAAGGCTGCTAGAACACTTGATATAACGCATGATGAAAGTGGGTTCAACTGAAGGGTCAGCAGAAATGTATGTCGAAATCTTAAACAGAGGTAGGAAACTCCTTTCTCTGATGCTTCTCGTGTGCCTTCATTAAATACTGTGATCCTCTGTACTCGGCAGTAATTATCTAGTGATCGGCATCGAAGGTTTCTCAATAAAGCCGTTTTGCTAACACGACAACGTTGGTCTCCACAAGTCTGGTGGTAACTCGATTTGGGTTGAGTGTCGGTGTGTGTTGGTGAGTGTTGGTGCAACACGTTTGCAGTATTATCCGATCTTCTCATAGATGAAGATCTCGCGAATTTATGGATAAACCAACATCTGCACCATCTCGTTGCAGGGGGGGGAACAAATGTTGAAACAGAAGCGGGACTCTTCTCGCGAGGCATTCGAGGTCCAAAACCAACGTTAATCCTTGGAAGTCATTTGTTCATTGATTGGAATATGAACTCCTATTGCATACGCACAAGTCTGTAAACACGGGATTTTCTTCGACTTTACATCTAACCAAATCAAACATTTTTCTTTAAGGAAAATAATGAACTTAATCATAGTTGCCGCAGCTTTCAACCTCAATCTCAATCCTACAGTTTTTTTCGAGGGCATCACATAAATTCAGAGTATGTTACATACAAACATTTTGGGATGAAAATATTGTATTTAAGCTCTCAGCACTGAAACATTTGAAGGACAAACACAGAGATTCAGTCAACATGCTGAAGTTTGTTTGTGATACTTCTGACTCACTTAGTTATCTTGATAAATACCATTTTTATTAATCATCGATTCTATATCAATATACTGTCCGCACTCCGTGTGTTGCGGAAATTTTAAATCGAGGTGATTACGGAAAATGTGATTCGGTAGTTCTTCAGGTTTCGGTGACAACTTCATAACTAAAAGAGTTTGAGAAATTGAAAACCGGACTCTTGAATTAAACGTATACGCGGAAACTAGAACATACCCTGCTCGGACGAACTACTTAAGCAACCGTAAATACTACTCTCGTACTCTCCGCGGAGTGACCACGTACAGACAAGACATTTTTAGGTGTAGTAGCGATATAAACGATCTCTTCTAGCTTTCAAATTATTTCTTCACTGGAAAGTGGGAAGATTTTCCGCAAAACTCACTCAGAACGAAGGGTAGGAAAGTGAGCGTTGTATAGAAGAGGGACTTATATCCGTTCTTATTCGAAAGAATAATAAAACCGCTTTTCGTGAATTTAGTGGGAAAACAATTCATATAATTGTGTTTAATATTTTTGCGAGAGGTCGTGAAAGTCCGCTAACGAGAAAGGCTTAAAGAAGTCGGATCGTCACCTTACTTAATCTTGCCGTAATATATTCTGTAGGTGAGATTCACACGAGGCTTTGTAATGTTTATCTAGAGATGTTCCATCGAATTTATGATCTGTCGACTATCTTAGAAGGATCGCAACATGTTAAGTTAAATTCGGTGAAAACACAGGTTTCGGTGACAATTCTATTTATAAAACTTCAAACTTCTTTTTCCGCCGTCGTTAAATATATAAATTCAACTACGATCTGACAATTTCATAGTTAGCCAAATAATATAGTGTATCAAGGAGAACTTGTTCTTTCTACTTCCTTCCACGAGCCAACGCTATGTAAACTATCGAGAAGGGTAGTAACAGTTGCGACCTCGGAACTCGAAATTGCTTCTAACTTTTGAATCACTTCTTCACTTCTAAAATCTGAGAGTTTGAACCGAGAGTCTTTTGGGTAATTGGAAGGGATACTAAGTTGTATTAGAGAAGGGATAAGGAATTATTATGCAGAACAGAAGAAGCGTGATCATTTTCTGACTAATAAAGCTCGCCTTCTACAACGACCAGTAAGCGAATATTTTCAAAAAGAAATGTCGAGGTTGTAAAATTCCAGGATGCGACGTGGAGAATGAAATCGCTGAATCGAGAGATGACGACCGGGTCTTGGTCTTGATGACGAACTTATCTTGGAAGCGATCGATTCTGATGTGTTTCAATGTACGTTCGGGTTAACTACTCTAGTAGTGTATTCAAGACTGTTGGATAGTAATTGCTAGCGATAATTCGGTGACGCGTTAAATTTCGGTGACGAACGGCATATAAAAAAGGACCAAAAAGATAATTTGAAATGGTGGTTAGTTTCAAATGGAGCTTAGAACATGAAGAACACAAATTGATGCGAAATATTATTGCTACACTAGTAGTTGCAACACAGTACACACTCATTCATTTGTTTCCATTCGCGTCATTGTCAAGTTCAAGTTGTGATGGGTTGGGGTTTTATGACGACATTAGCTAGTGTGATAATGTTGTAGATTTTGAAATTTTATTTACAAAGAAGGATTGCGCTAAGCAGAGTAGACGTAGTTACGTGGTTAACTAGAGAAATTACTAGGAAGGTGGCAGTAGTAGGAAGAAGTCCTTGAAATATAATTTTATACCTAATTTTTATTAGTATATACTAAAAACAAGCTCACTCGTTAAACAAAACACTTTTTAACACAATAGCGAACCGTCTATACTGTAACAACTCGCACATTAACCAGTGTATTCTCCAGGAAAAATTCGCAGTCACAAACTCTTGAGTAACAAAGCCTCCAAAAATCCACTTCCTCTAAAACGAAACTATCTCCCAAAAAGTGTACTCATTCGCTTTAAAAGCGAACCCAAGGGCGGACTCTCACGCCTCATACTATCCCATTCGAAATTCAATAAATGGAAGATGGCCGGTGAGGTGGGTTAGTGCCTTCGTTTTTACTATATCGCCTATCCATTTTCGAAGGACGAATCGGCAAATAAGCTACAAATGAGAGTGGAAGGATGTGTATTGTCTGGAAGCGAATAATGCAAGACATTCACTTTTCGGTACTAAATCTAAATTCGACAGCAACTACCACACTTACCATCAAGCCCACTCACCCCACCATTTCATCCCTTCCCATTTCACATTCTTTATCATTGAAAACGCCTTGCCCGTCTGCCAAACAGATGGATACAATCGTCCGTATTAACAATGCAATCTCCTACCGAGCCAATTGCCATAGAACTGAGTTATCGTTCATGATTGTCATAAATTCGTGTGTGATGGCTTCAAAAGGGAGATGTGATAGGGGTTGGGATTTAAGGTTAGGGTGCATGTGCTAATATACTATGTTCGTAGGGAAATGGTTGAATTGAGGCGTTTTGGGTGGATAGATAGTATTTGTTAACTTGAAAAGAATTCTCCTCTATTAACTAGAATTAATTAAGAGCATAATTCATTGAAGATTGGAAGTGATATAATTTTTGTAGCTTGACATTTAATTCGATTTAACGACAGAGAACTCATCCAGAAGAAGTCTAAATTTATCCCAAATCATACACCATAACCCCTCACCCACCAACCCATAAAACCCCGATCCACCCTTTACAAACACCAACCATTCCACATGCAGAGAAACGGAAGCTGCCTGAGCTACGCGTCGAACTGTCGGGAAAACATCCATAGTTTGAAGGCGCTGCGAATAAATTTCATGGAGTTGCTTGATGTTACGGAGGAGGAGACATGTGTTGATATTTTGATATCGGAGAAGAGATATATTTTCGAGGATAAGAAAATCGGTGATGAGATAGTTATCGGCGATAAACTTTCACTTACCTATCTCCCTTCCACCTTTACCTCTTATACACAACACTATCCTCATCCCACCTATCCACTCATCTTTATAATCCTCGTCAGCTTCTGCCATTTGTAAGGTACGGCCACCAGTTCGCCAGCAACCTGTACCAGTCGACCTAAGATTATTGTTGGGTTTCGTCATGCCGTAGAGCGTCGATGTTTTAAGCTGTTGTCTCCTACATTTCTTCTCGTGCGTGGTCGATTTCGGAGTGTTGTGTAGTAAGGGAGGGATTTGGAGTTTGGATTTTTGGGAGTAGGTGCTTTGGAAAATGTTGGTAATAATGAGAGACATGGAGTTGAGAATGAGAATGTATCTCGGTTTTAATTACAAAGAGAACATGTTCAATTTGGGACTAATAAATAGTCGGAATTCCAGCGGGGTTAGTAATTCGTTTGAATTTATTGTAAGTAAGATGATAAATGAGATAGTTATGTTTAGAGATTGAAAATTGCGATGAAGAAGTAAGGAGAGCAAAAAGTGATTTATACAGACAAGAAACACTTCTCCCGGAAATCGATTGTCTGGAGGAGGAAATGGTAATGGTCAGAGTCACGTGAGCGTGACCAATTTGGTATCTTGACATCGCTCAAACAGTATCGAGATGAAAGCGGAACCTTATGAAAAATGATGTTGTCGATGGAAGTGAAAATGCTATGAATGAGAAGCTAGAACTGTGGAGCCCATGCTTACTGTAATAGCACGTGTCACCCATCTCCAGACATCAACACCCATGAGCTGTTTTCCCCTTGGGGAATAAGTTACATCGGGTCGCATGCACACCTCCACGCCTCCATGACTTCTCCATGCCCATAATTCGCACATGGCATGACTCCAGACTCCAGACTCTCCACGAAAAATTTCTCCATCTTCGTCTCAAGATGAAAAAAATAGGACCGGTCGTGATGCCGCGACAAACGTGGAAACACCGTGAACGCGTTTCTGGAGAGCGTCTCTCAATCCACTTTCCCCATATTCAAAGCTAGGAGCAGGAGATTGGAATTGGCCGAAGCTCGATAGCGTGGTACTTTGGAGCGAGACCCGGTCCTTGACGCGGGGCCACGCCGCATGGATGCTTCATCTCCCGTGTGGCTGTTTGAAATTGCGAGAAAATTTGTTTGTTTATATTTTGCGGTTGGATGAAAATCATCGTCATCGTCGTTGGGATATTTGTTTTTGCATCGTGAGATCAAGAATCAAGTCCAACACAGCACGTGAAGTACATCGTACTTAGGTAAGAAGAGCATCATCCTTCAACCTTCGCAACCCGCGCTGCCAACAAAGTCTCAACTCGGTCACACTCTCGGTCACGAGCGCCAGAAAATTGGAATTTCGAGGTCGTCGCAGACCACACAGTCCACGCCCCATCTGCATTCGGTCCGGATCGAAGTTGGCTGAATCTGGGTTTTTGGGGCGGGAAGCACGGTGCTATCTCGGACGCGGAGGAGGACTTGGGCGGCTGGAGTTGGCCAATGTGATGGGGTGCTAATCTCACCTCGCATGTTCATAGAGGAGTCTCTGCGGAGATCTTGGCACGGGAATTGAAGGTGAGTTTTGGTGAGAGTGACGTGTGGGCTGAGTCAAGCATCTCAGGTGACTTGAAGATGTTCTAATGAGACACCGTACGGTTCCCCCGACACACCCCAATCATGCGATGAGTGAGCGACGGAAGAACGGTCACATGATCCGATCCTCTTCAAGCAAGCCATCCGGGGCATTTCCCCAGGATTCCAAGGACGCCTTTTTCACGCCTCTTCGGTACAGGCGAGTCTATTACGCCATGAACCAACGACTTTTACCGTTGAATATCTGCAGAGATGCACAATACCGCACAAAGGATATTTGTGTAAGTGGTCTGCACCGAATAAAGCATCGTCTCACCACGATCCGAAACTCGCAATTCTTCTCCATTAGCAGTGTCACCGTCCACATGACAAATTCCGAAGACTCGGTACGAGCGAGCGCCAGCGACTCTTGAAAAATGCAAAAGTCTACTCTGGGGTCTGGGGCTCGGGGAACTGGCCCCATCTCGACCAACAACAGGGCCGAATTTCATCTTCATGAGGCTCACCCTTTGGGCGGATGACCGAAATACGGCCGCTACGAGCCTCTATTGGCTACCAGACCGTTCTGAATGCTATGCAGCGGCCGTTTAGGCCTAGCTCGAGCGTACTTCTCCAGGGCCGCTGGCTACCCCGTATGGAGAAGAGCGTCTCTCGCTCCCTCAGAGTTGGGGAGGTCTGAGTTCGAGTCGTGGTCGAATCGGCCAGATTGGTGCATGAGAGGGCAAGCGAGCGATCTAACAAGCACTAACAGCGTCTAAATTGTGTCCACCGGCCCAGCAGCCAAGTCGAGCCACGTTCATGGAGCGTATGGAATTACTAGGAAGAGATCGAGAGCTACGACTAGAGGACCTATCAGGTTTCTAGATGGTGGCAACGAGAAGAGCTATCCTTGCTTTCCTCACACTTCTCCCATGTCGGCTCGCTCTGTGCTCACCATTCTGCTCCCTGCCCTCCTCCACAACCCCGCATTACTAACAGCTCCCTTGCCCCATCCTTCCCCTGCCCCATCTCGGGGGCGACTAGGGCCAGTCCTCCGTACAGTAAACAACTCGGCCTCGGCCAGCATCTCGAGATTAGCTCTGTTCTCCTGCTGGCTCGTTGCAGCCAAGTGCATCCCTCGTGCGAGCTCCCACCTCGATCCCACCTCGCCAAATTTCCCTATATGAAGCCCCCGTCCCAACAGCCTGGTACAACCATCTCCTCGACTCTCTCCTCATCCTCTTCTCTCTTCCTCACAGTCAATCCAGACGAAGAGAACATCCCACCGCCACCATGCCAGGAGCTCTCGTTACCGCCAGCGATGTCAATCGCATCGAGGCACCAGTCACCTGGAAGGCCTACCTGATCTGCGCCTTTGCCTCCTTTGGAGGTATCTTCTTCGGTTATGATTCCGGATATATCAACGGTGTCAACGGTTCCGGCTTGTTCATCAGACTCGTCGAAGGCCCAACCGCCGAGAAACTCTCTTCGTCCCACACTTCTCTGATCACTTCTATCCTCTCTGCGGGTACTTTCTTCGGTGCAATCGTCGCAGGTGATGTTGCGGACCGTATTGGACGCAAATGGACCGTCATCCTTGGTTGCCTCATCTACATGATCGGTGTGGTGGTCCAGATGATCACCGGCCCTGCCGTTGATGCTCTCGGAGCCATTGTTGCAGGTCGTCTCATCGCTGGTATCGGAGTCGGTTTCGAGTCTGCCATTGTCATTCTCTACATGTCCGAAATTGTAAGCCATTCTTCTCTCCATCGAGCCAACAACACTAACCTCCTTTCTAGTGCCCAAAGAAAGTCCGTGGTGCGCTCGTCGCCGGTTATCAATTCTGCATCACCATCGGTATCCTCTTGGCTGCATGTGTCGTCTACGCCACCGAAGGCCGTGATGATACGGGAGCTTACCGTATTCCGATCTCCATCCAATTCGCCTGGGCTTTGATTCTCGGTGGTGGATTGATGGCACTCCCAGATTCCCCAAGATACTTTGTCAAGCGTGGATATCTCGACCGTGCTGCCAGCGCTCTCGCCAGACTTCGTGGACAACCCCTCGAGTCCGAGTACATCCAAGCTGAGTTGGCTGAGATCGTGGCCAACGAGGAGTACGAGCGTTCCATCATTCCATCTTCTGGTTTCGTCTCGAGCTGGATGAACTGCTTCAGCGGTGGTCTTTTGAAACAATCCTCCAACCTCCGCCGTACAATTCTCGGTACATCTCTCCAGATGATGCAACAATGGTAAGCTTATTTCCTCAAACCATCTCTAACTCCCCCCCAAAAAATGTACTAATTCATCCCAGGACCGGTGTCAACTTCATCTTCTACTACTCCACCCCCTTCCTCCAATCCACCGGCGCCATCTCCAACCCCTTCATCATCTCCCTGATCTTCACCCTCGTCAACGTCTGCTCCACCCCAATCTCCTTCTACACCGTCGAGAAATTCGGTCGTCGCCCTCTCCTCGTCATCGGTGCTTTCGGCATGTTGATCTGCCAATTCCTCGTCGCCATCATCGGTGTCACCGTCGGATTCAACAAGACCCACCTCAACGCCGCCGGCGACCCCATGGCCGACAACATCTCAGCCGTCAATGCCCAAATCGCCTTCATCGCCATCTTCATCTTCTTCTTCGCCTCCACCTGGGGTCCTGGCGCCTGGATTCTCATCGGTGAGATCTTCCCTCTCCCCGTCCGATCCCGTGGTGTCGCCCTCTCCACCGCCTCCAACTGGCTCTGGAACACCATCATCGCCGTCATCACCCCATACATGGTCGGCGAGGAGTACGGAAACCTCAAATCCAGCGTCTTCTTCGTCTGGGGCGGTCTCTGCACCTGCGCTTTCGTGTACGCATATTTCCTCGTCCCAGAGACCAAGGGTCTGTCGCTGGAGCAGGTCGACCGTATGATGGAGGAGACCAACCCAAGAAACTCCAGCAAGTGGGTTCCTCACGAGACCTTTGCGAGCTCGATGGCTGGTCCAGGTGGAAAGCTTGATACCGCGGATGTGGAGAGGAAGGGTAGCGTTTATTAGATGCGCCTGATAGCGTGAGATGTGAGGAGTAATGTTTTGCTTGAATGCATTTTTGTGGGGGTTGGAAGCGGGAGTATATAATCGTTTCAAAGCCTTTCTCTTTGGAGATTAGAGTGTTAAGAGTGTATAATATATATATACTATTTTGAACAATCATCTCGCATCTTTTTCAATTGTGAACATGTGAACAAATATAACATAAACTAGCTGGCTTTTTTGAACATTCACACTTTTAACAGTCATGATCTTAACGGTGGTAAGCAATCCACGGTACTCCAACATAACTCGGGATCGAGGTAGAAAAGCCATGTAAGGATAAATATAATAAAGATAGCCAGATGGAGTAGTAGTGTACAGAAACATCACATCGACTCTTGAAAGTCCATATAATCCAGCTCTTTACATCTTTCTTGGTTGAGATATTGCGGAACGGAACATGTGTAAGATCACAACGATGGAACGGTTCCTCTGAACACATCAAAGTTGAAGATCGATGGTGCTCAAGAGATTCGATCTTGTGAGTTCGTGTTTGCCGATGTCATGGATTGTGGTGTGTGAGAACGTTGGTCGAGCGTGTCATGTGTTTGAAAGAGAAGCCTGGCAGGTTTTGGAGGGAGAGGGTTTGTTGGAGGGTGAGGGGGTCTTGGGCTATAGGATGGGAGATAAATGTATGGTGGGGGATTTGGTTTGTGGAGGGGGGCGGGAGAAGAGAGATAGAGTTATATGCGTAGAGGAAGTGACTGATGGTTTTTGTATTAAGGGAGGAGAATTTGTTTGGAAGATCAGATTGAAGGAAGTTGAGAGAATGGGATATATGTTTGTTGTTTGAGGGCGTTGGAGGTTCGTAGAGATGAAAGATGGAAGTGAGTGGTAGAAACCCGAGTCATATATTCCTTGCGCGTTTATACAGCGGATTTCTGGTGGAGTTTCTGCGATGTCGTGTTTGTTGGGGAGATTCGACGTGATTAATGATGCTGTGTTAGTTTGAAAGAGGGAAAAAGTCTCGTGCTTCGAATAGGACTGGGTTTGTTCTAGTAGGAGGTGGGGCGACGAGAGAGGGATATATATAAGAAAAGTACAAAATTCATTGATTTACTGAAAATGATAGATGAAATATGCGATGTTCTGTCGAGCCGATAGAATAATTGATGTTCGCCGCGAGCTAGACATGCAGCACAGCAACTCGAGACATGTGGGTCCAGCATAGCTTCAGGAACAACCCCGCGTCGGCACGTGCCAAGACGCGCGCGCTTAGATTTCTTGCGTATTTCTTTGGCTGGCATCACTTCCTCATCCCGAACCCAACACGCGCTCATGTCGAACGACTCGGACTGGAACTTGCGGCGCAGAAGCTGCTGCAGTTGTTGGAATTCGGAACGCGAAAGTGAATGAACGAGCGTCGAATGACCGCAATCCGAAACTCGCTGCGCAATACGCCTCGACGGCCGCATTGGAGGTCTCGATGAGTCCATCATGTCTGGAAGGTATGTGTTGTATAAGAGTATAGTGGTTTCTTGATGCTGATTTAGGTTATAGAGAAGCTTCCAAGGAAACGAGGAGCTACTGTTCAGAGTGCTAGGCCGGCGAAACGCGTTCGTTTAACGAAGCAGAATTTGAAGAAGTTGGAAAGGATGGAGGGTTTTAAGAAGAAGAAGGCTGCGAAGAGGTCGATTGAGGAGGCTTCTACGGCTACGGGGACGAGTAAGGAGGGGAGTCCATTCCAAAGGAGAAAGACTTCTAAGGAGGGAGATTCGGAGACAACTACGTCTACAAAGTCAAGAGACACGACTGTATCAACAACAGCACCGGGCTTTCCAGACCTCGCCTGTCGAAACGGTATACTGGAACCAGATTGCTCAAATCCTCCTGAGAATCTCCAATCCTTGCAAGAGCAGATAAATAGGGAGCGAAGTTCACCCTCCCCAACAAGGTCACAATTTGACGACTATACTTCAGCCATCGCAAACGCTGTAAATGAAGCGACAATAATAGCCGAAACGCATCCCGTCTTGCTCCGAAATTACAAAGATCGTGGATATAAGAAGACTTGGAGTACAAACCTTGGCGCCTTTCCCAAAACCGTCGGGTTCAACAACGGCATTTCTCCAGCACAACCGGATATGATGGAGGGTTTATCTCTCACCCAATTCAAGCCCTTTCCCGCGCGCGAAGAGCTCGGTGGTGCTGCGGTTGTTTACCAAGGCGCCAAATCGATAACTCTCTCACATCTGGCTGCCGAATGGAAGGGGCCGGGGAATGATATGATACTAGCGCAAGCTCAAGCTGCGTACGACGGTGCCTGCCTCGTTTACGGGAGAAACAAAGCATTGACTTACCTCGGGACTCCCGATGTACCTGGTCATGCTCACATCTCGAGTTTCACTACCGACGGCACCAATTTACATATTTTTGCTCATTTTGTGGCTGAAGAGCAGGGAAGGACCGAGTATCATCAATATCCGATCGCCAGGTGCATGCTTATCGCCTCGTATGATGATTACAAGAAAGGAAGGCGCCAGCTGAGAAATCTGCAAGATCTGGCCAAAAAGAATTCGGAGGCGTTGAGAGATGAGCTTGTGAGAAAGTGGACTGAGTCTCTTGGAATCGTTCCTGCTGTCCCGGTCAATCTTCCTCCGCCAATCACCAGTCCCGCTGGTAAGTTAAATGCCTCTCTTCTTTTGACACATTATCCCTATTTCGTCTATCTCTCTGAAGAACTATAACTAATACTCGGGTAGAAGACGACACTCTTGGAAGAAACAACCCAGACGAAAATACACCCACCAACGCCCAAAGACCAACCGTTGAACCTCCAAGTCCGACATGAGTTATGTACCCAGTCATGGAAAGCTCGAATTCGTTGTCTAAATAGTCTTGGAGTTTCCAGCAGAGTATGTGTTGTTTGTTCATCGCTACTCATCCACGACCTGCTAAAGACGGCAAAGCCGAATTCAAACTCGTGGTCGTTCTTCCGGAAGATATCCCAGCTCCTCTTGCCAGAAGGCTGGATACATTAAATCATGATACATTTGAAGACTAACAATATTTCGTATAGACGAGCTTTATGTCATCATCATCGTACGATTAGACGGAGTTGGAAATGTTTTCTGGTTTTGTCTTATATACCCCCACGTCTTGTATTTTTATATGAAATTTAGAAATCTCAGTTTATGCTGTAACCTAACATGTATCTTTTTACCCGTAAAAACTTCTGAATTTACTACTTGTACGTTTCAAGTTTGGCGAGACGCCTCCTGCGGTAGAGTAACGGGAGCTCTGTGATCAATCTGTTGGTTCGACGAAACATACGATTTTCCAATTTTGTCGAAAAGGTTTTATCTACCTAGGAAGTAGTGTCGGAAGTCGTGCATTCGAACATTGTTACACTGGAAGGTACCCAGTAGTCTTGGGATGTACCAGTGACCGTTCACGTACATTATAAATGAGTTAGAACCGAGGAGGATTCAGGAAGTGTTAGTCGACTACTTATATACCAATCTTGAGATAAGGTCAAATAGAGGGATCTTTTGCTAGAAATTATATATAGTATTGTATAGAGTTAATCTACTTATCATGTCAACTTGGAAGAAGTATCGTATTTTAGTTCTCGAGGTTTCTTTTGTTCGCTACTAGGTATACTGGAATTTGGGGAGTGGTGGTCTTTAGGCTACGATGTATCTGTGTTTTTATAGAGGACGGTTTAAAGATAAAAGTAAATAATACGCGAAATCTGATAATTACTCAGGACAATTTACGAGATATCTATCTTTCGTCTACAATTTTCAAAAACCAAAACCCTTTCAGAGTCTGTTTAAAGTTAAAAGCAGCTTTAGAAGCCGCAGGGCTACAGACGGCCGGTCACTTCATATTCGAGCTAAACATGCATTCTTGCGGAGAACAATATAATTCAATCAAATGGACAAACTATCATTTATTTCTTCCACTGTTTTCAGCAATGTAACTCAATCAAGTTAACAAACTATCATTAGTTCCGTATATTGATTTCGGAAATTAAACCCTTATTAAACTAATTTTCAAGCTGTTAATGTAAAAATGTTTCATTTCTCGAACTCGACAAAAAGTGTGAATATTTACTTCAGCGATTACTTGTCTTGTCTACTTCAAAATACTGTCCATTGTTAAGTTTTACTGAAATCGAAAACCAAGCCCCACTCTTGCTATTAGACAATAGCAGTAACAGTAACTGATACTAGATGTTAATTCGACGAATTTAATAGAATATCTTACACCTCTTACATTGTTCCTCAGAGCACAAGAACACTCTACTCTATCTACAACTTATCATTACTTAAAACTATAGATCTATACTACATTCCAGTGTCATTGTCAGGACTCTTTCACAACTGTATATACAGTATAATGCACAACTGTACCCATTTACAATACCTTGAACCCCTGCACATTAGATTCGATGCCCTCCTGAGCGCTTCACCTCTACAGGTGTACTTACTACAATTACACCTCCCTACCTTCCAAATAGCCATGACAGGTAGTGCACATAACGCGATCCGGGAATTCATCAGTACGTTTGACGTACGGAAAGTTTTGATCTACGGAAAATCTGCCTGTATCAATGATTGATCGAAATCTTGAAAAATTAGTTCAGCGTCGAAACGACACTCTTCATCAACTCTTCGACGACCCTTTCCCATATATATTAGTAAGCGTATCAGCCAAAATGGAAAAGATAGCCGACTTTTCATTTTTCGAAAACGCCTTCCACCTATTCTTATTAAAGAAAATCCACGGCTTAAGACACTCAATCTTGGTGTCTCTGTTCTTCCAGACCATGAGTTCCAAGATAGCCAGCATCCCGCGATTGGTCCGCAGCGTTTGGCACTGGTACTCGAAAGTCTCCATATCGGACCAGATCAGGTCCATGACCATGGCTGCCACGCCGGCGATCACAGGCGTGGCATAGGAAGTCCCAGCTTTGCGCCGTGTGCTTGAGTGGACGGGGAGGGTTGAGTCTTTCTGGTCGATCCAGGCGGCTTCGATGGCCTCTCCGATGGCACAAAGACGCTTTCCTACTCGGAGATCTGGGACGAATTTGCTCAGCTCATGGTCTCCGTCGGTTGATGAAACCGAAATTACTTCATCTAGACATGCAGGGAATGATATGGCGTTTCCAGCGGCGACATTGCCGGTAGCAGCGAAAATCAACACATCCGCGGCGTGGGCTTCGAGAAGAACCTTTCGGATACCTTCCAAGCTTTGATCGGCATTTGGAAACCCGAAAGAAAGGGATATGATGTGGACTTGCTTCTCATTAGTAGCCCAACGGATTGCCTATTTGGAGTCAGTTAAGTTGATACAGAACCGAGTAATGGGACCAAATGGTAACGATAGTCATAAATATACGTACATTTTCAACCTCACTGCTGTTCCATTTCAGTCCATCAGGAGATACCCGAGCTACATAGACGTCCACGTTCTCCGCGATCTGTAGTAATATCGATGTGACGTGTGTTCCATGGCCATCATCATCTTGGGGAATGTTGGAACGCGTTCCAACAAAATTCTGGTAGACAATCTGGCCACTGAGCCAGAGTGGGTGCAGATCGTCATGCGTTACATCGACGCCTGTGTCTAGAATTGCTACTCTAATTCGATCGGCAGGTTCATCTGGGCGCTCCCGACCGATAGCTCTCACCAGTTCTTTCACTTGGCCATATTCGAAGAACCAGTCGTCGGCAGCTTTTTCTCTTCAAAACAGTCAGCTAAATCGTGTGCGTGGACAATTGTGCCAATTCATGTCAAAGGATGATGTGAGCGAGCCCTTCAATGACTGCACGGTCCGTAGCAGGAGGAACTCGGAACGTACTTTTTTTCCCTATCTCCCTCAACCTCTTCAATGGCAAACAAACGTAAACGTTTTGTAGTCTCAGCGTTAGACGGCCTACTTTTCTCAGGGAGCAAATCCAGGCGGGCTCCAAAGAATCGATCCTGCCGAGTCTGAAAATCTTCCAAGGCATATTGAAGTGGGCGCAAGACATGCTTATATACCCAACGGGCAAAATTTTCATTATCCAAGGGAGCTTTGTGATCCAGCTGAGCCGTGTTAAAGTCACACAGAAAACATTTCTGCACTGCCAGAAGGTAAGAACTACCCTCCAAATGAAACGGCTTGTTTCCATCGGCAATTTTAGTATCATTGACCCACTTGAGAAGTCTGGTCAAGATGAAGACGTCGGAGTCCACGATGTTTGATGGCCCATCACTTGCGAGGAAGGTTTTCTCGAGGCGACTCCACGACGTCCCGCACCAGAGTTCTACCAAGAAACGGCCAAGACGGTTCGTGAAGGGTATTTTGGGTTTCGAGGGTCCAGAGGTGCTGAAAGTGATCATTAAGGAGTCCGGGACAGTTGCGTTGTGCAAGAACAATGGGTACACAATGCTGTCGTAGCTCTCTTGCCAAGTTAAATATACATCGTCACTGGTCCAAGAATCCCGAACCCAGGGCGTGGAGAATAAGCAGAATAAACTGAATGCCACCTTGTGTGCTAATTGAAGCTTCTGTTCTATCGAAAGCTGTAGGCGATGGGGATCTTCGGGTGGCTTGTGGATAGGCAAAGGGGTAGCCCATCTCATATTAGAATTCGTCGTTCCATCTACCACGCTCAGGAGCAATTTGTGTTTTAGTTCCTGTCGGTAGATAGTGATAACACCAGCGCTGTCCTTCTCAACGCCCATGTCGTCGTTTACACCTGCCTTGTCATTAAAAAATGCGCAAAGGCCATTACTAGGTTCGCTAGTCATCGGTGGAGGTGGAGGCGGCGAGGGTGTTCGACTGTTGGCTTCTACAGCTGGCGCACTTGAAGATGGTTTAGAGGGGGTTTCCCTTCGGAATGGAATCGCTTTCAGCATCCTCCGTGCAAAGCCCTCTTTCTTGTTCTCCCTTTTCTCTCTTTTCTCCGGCTTGCTCTCCTCAGTCTTGTCTTCGATCTGTTGCGATGAGATTTTCCCTATCGTTTCCCGGGATGAAGTTGCAGCCACAGGAGCTTTTGGGATACGTACAGGGTCAAAATTCATGTCAACTTGCTTCCACTGCTTGCTCTGGGATGAGTGATTAAGGAATAACAACGAACAAGGCTGAGGCCATTTTTGAATTCCTGAATCATTGTCGCTTGCTTTGAGCGAGTTTTCCACACGCATGTAGACCTGGTGCGAGGTTGAACACCCACAGCAAAACCCATTCTCCGCTCCAAGAATCTCGGTTGATGAATTGACCTGATCTCGAACCCTGAGTAGCCCGTCGAAAAAGTTGGCTGATGGATCCTTTTGCGACAGCCGCTGAATGGCGACGAGTTCTTCGTTCGCTTTCTGGATTCTGGTAAAAGAAATCTGCAATGAAGCACCGGCGGATCCATCGATCGTGCAGAGCGCCTGTAGCAATCTTGTGCGTTTGAGGAAGAGATCCTCATTCTCCCTGGACTGGTGCCCCGTGAAGCCAAGCAGTTCGGCCATGCTCCCTAGCTCCTGCAAAATGCCGCTCAGGATATCACAGTATCTGGCATAATCAGAGACGCAGCTGCTTTCGACCGCTTTCTCGACCACGATCCAGTCCAATACTTCCACCGCACGATCATTGTTATCGGTGAGCTCTGCCAACGTTCCGCGGAAGTGTAAGATCTCGTTTTCAAGAAGGCGGATAAAGAGCTTTACAAGTCGCACGCTGTAAGGCGTGGTTGCATCGCGGGCCAGATCCAAGGCCTCTTCGGCTTTCTGCTTGAGGTCTTGGAAGGCATGGAAGACGAGCTTGGTCTGCGGGCGTATGCCGAGTAGGGAACCTTCCTGAGCTTCGGCGGTGGGGGTAGGCGCCTCCATCAATAGCTAGCACGGTCATGACCACGAGCTGCCTTCAATGGACCCAGATCGCCAAAGAAGAGTGAAGATATACCTCGTAGCTCAGCTGGTTGCGGCTCGTCGCGAGAGGTTTCAGCTGTCAGAGATGCGCAATGCAGTAGCTCCCCACTTAAATGATGTGCCTCGAAGTATAAGGTATCACGGGGGCTTCATCAGCCAATGGATTGCCACCAGATTACGTCTAATTTATACTCCGTATCATAGAAACCTTATTTAGGGAACTTCAGCTTACCTGCACCTGTTTACCTTCTGGGTTGTTGAGGGACGGGATTGCTGCAGACATGTGACCTTCATCTCGTGAGCTGAATCGCAGCTGTGCTGTGGTCACCAACGCATCCATTGTGCACCACGCAGCGTGAATTTGCGGCAGTCGAAATCTGGGATACAAAGAGACCGTTGGAAGATTCTCTGGCGTACAATTGATACCAGTTGGCCAGGTAGCGACTCCCATCGCGTAGAACTCCACCATGCCATTTTGACAAGGAATACAAGTTACAACTACTGAGAATCCTACAGCAAGCTTCACGTCTCTCGGGCACTGCTAGCTCGCATGTCTGTCTTGGAGGAGCCCGCCATCGGCCTGAGTACGTCCGCGGCGGTCGAGGTAGAGGGCGAGGAGCTCATATATGCCCTGTCGCAAAGGATATTCGTCAACTTGCAGACGCTGGCCAAATCCAAACCGGTCCTATCACAAGAAGTCGAGAAGACGAGATCAAAGTTTCAGAAATGGTGCAACACGCTCGGTGCAAATATTCGAGGTGTCTACTCCCTAGATGAGCGCCTGCGCGACGCTTCAGCTGTGAAGCGGTACATTGTAAACTGCCTGGGCGACATCGCCGAAGCGCTAGAAGAAACGCAGGCTGTATCTCACAAGCCAGAAGGTAATGCTTTTCCATCATTAAACTCATGCTATACATTCTTTTGTTTTGGCCATCTAGGTACCCTTTTTTGTTGGACTTAGTATTTAGGAGCTGACGTTGAAAATGTTGCTGTCCAGCTACACTATCCTCGCCATCAAGGAACGAAGACGCCGCTCTTAAACTCCTGATAGAGAAGTCCGTAATATCAGATCCACTAGGTTTTGAGAATTCCATGCTCGATGTCTTGTTCCTCGTTATCCCTGTGATACGGCCTGCTCTTTCACCTGACCGCTATGAGAAAGCTATGGCTACAGAGCTGCCAGACGAAGAAGAGTTCAAAAGATTGTGTAGCGACAATTTAATCAGCCTCTTTCCTGCAATATCACCCGCCCTTTTAGCTCGACTGGTCTCAGCTAGTTTGCAACGTCGGCGATTTTTCCAATACACTTCGAATTACAGCCTGAAGTTCCAATCTGCTGGCCCTGTTGAAGATCAGGAGTCTCCCAATTACACGATTCCACGTTCCGACGGCACTGACGAGGGGGATACTGAGTCGATTCTGAGCAGGGCAGACTCAAAGCTGACACTCACGGGCGCTTTTGGTCAAGAACGTCCAACCGCGGACAACGATACGGACTCTATGATGTCAATGGCAAAGTCTAATCGAGACATGGCATACTCGGTCCCGGCGTTCCCAGATGAATCTGAGGGAGGTTTACGTGAATGCGTTGCCTGCCATCTTACTCTGCCTCTTCGAGATAAAGCGACCTGGAGGTGAGTGTATTGGTTGAAATGTCTCTGAGACTGCTGACCTAGCTTTATCCAGAACACATATCTTGAGAGATATCAGACCATATGTCTGTACCTTTCCAGACTGTAACGTTGACCCCAACAAGCTCTACTCTAGCCGCCGCGTATGGTTTGAGCACGAGCTGAAATTCCATAGACGCCAGTGGTTTTGTCCGCTAGGATGCGCCACCATCATTGAAGATCTCACTTCACTTCAAGCCCATGTTGCTTCCGTGCACCCTACTCATATACGTGAGCTGATCTCAGATGCCCTTCCACGCATGCAGGAAATTTCCGCCAACGCAGAAGCTCAATGCCCTTTTTGTCTTATGAATATTAAACCTCGACGAAAGATTGAGTCCCACATAGCATGGCATCAGGTGCAAGTAGGTTTGATGGTGCTTCAGTCATCTGTCATTGAGGATTCGGACGAGGAAGATGAGGCTGAGCAGGAGGAGGAGGAGGAAGTACCAGATATGCCGAGCTTTCCTTCCATGGACCTTCCCGTTCAACAGAGTTCTAATCCAGTGCTCAGTTCTCCGCATATCTCCGACATAGTAGATAACCCAAACAACACAAGTTCTGAGAGTCTGCCGAAGGAAATCAGTAAAGCAGGGATAGTCACCAAATCTGCAAAGTGGGACGACTGGCGGGGTACCTCTCCGAAACCTTCTGAGAGTCTGCCGAAAGAAAGCAGTAAAGCAGGGATAGTCACCAAATCTGCGATGTGGGATGACTGGAGGGGTACCTCTCCAAAACCCATATCTCCCAAAACACAAACTGCGAACTTATCCAGCGGCTTAGAAACAGCATCAAGCACAGCGGCCTCTTTGAATCCTCATTACCGGGAGGCCATTGCGGCGTCCGCTCCAGTGGTGGACGGTGGTGAAACACATAACTACTCCAACGAGCGGCTTCTAGCAGGCAAGCCATATAATATCGGCTTGTCGCCGGGTAATGCGAAACGGAGCTCCAGTACGCGTCACACTTGGTTTTTAATGCCAAATTTTGATTTCACGCCTACCCCGGACAGTCCTGTCCGTCTCGGACAGGTTTTGACGAATCCGCTCCATCCTGAGGACGGCATTATAGACCCAGGAGAACTTGATGCCATCTTGCCACAATGGAAAATGAATCAAACTAGGAGTCGGCAATCGGAGGCAACATATGAACTTGGCGGCCTCAGAGTCCGCGCAATAACATTAGAGACATTACAACTTCAACAAGTAGCACAATGCGTAGATAAGCTGGGAGAAACGCCGGAAGTTCGACGTATTCTCAGAGAGAAGAATAGATTCGGCTCGCGAAAAGTCTATGTTATCACTGGCTTGAAAGTCATAACGGATTCTCAAGTGAATATAGGGGAAGAAAAGTCACTGGAGCTGGGCGTTTCTGCTGGTATCCCTCTTGGTCCTGAAGTGTCCATAGGGTACGGTTCTACAATCGAGAAAGGCACTAGCTATCGGATAGCCGAGCCGGTCATATTTGCCTACTGCCTTGCACAAGTCCGCACATCGTTTCTTGGGGTGCAGGCAATAGCTCGATACACGAAGGGGGCTGTATTGTGAAGGTGAGGTCTGAGTTTTTGAAGGTATCCACAGCTAGCTTTTCGTATAGTACTGTCGGCTGGACCCCAGAGATAATTTTGACTTTCGAAATGAAAATATAAATCAATATCAGCTTATTCTTGAAAGCATTGAAAAGAGACGGATAATTTAAAAATCATACCCACAATGTTACTCGTAAACTCACGGGCGCAAGAATGTAGAGAGGTTCAGACTCCAAACTTTGCCAAAGTTATTTTGAGCGGCTGCAGATATTTAATACCAAAGAAATGTAAAAAGTTAACAGGCTCCCCTCAATCATCCTTCTTCTCTTCAGCGTCCAAGTCCGTCAAATCCATAAACAATTCATTATCATCCAGCGAATCACCCATGCTTTCCTCGTCCACACCAAATTTCCGTCCCTGTTCTGCACTCGGCCCATCATTACCCAGCCTAAGTTCATTCCTCTTAATCAAATTCAACATCTTCCCCTTCGTCACAGTCCTCAACTGCAGCGCAAAAATCTTCTTCTGTCCACTCTTCGCCCGGAACGCCTTACCAACCGACTTCTTCGAACTAGCTTCCAGCGCAGCATTCCCAGCATCACCCGTTGGATCCACAGAAGGCAACCCAGCAGCCGCCCTCGCAATCGCAGCAACAGGAATCTCCCCTTTAGCTTCCAACTCCACCACTTTACTCTCCTCCCACACCACCTCCACATCTTCGCATATCATCATCCCCGTGACCACACACACATCAATTTTCAGCCCTGATTTAATCCAGTTCGGCACCCGTGCCACGACATTCGGATCTTTCTTCGCCTTATCAAAGTACTCCTGAAGCTGCGTAAGCCGCTTATATCTGAGGAATTTCCCCTCAAGATGCGACACCTGCTCCGTCTCGCCATTAAACGAGACGTTCAACACAGATTTCAGCGTCGCACTCGCGCCCTTTTTCGAGCTCGAGTTGGCGTCGAGGACGAAATCGTTGAATTCGCCATCCAGCGTGTCAGCGGTATTGTGTGTCTCGAAGAGCGACTTGGGCTTGACATATTCTTCCGTGGATGGATGCCCGCTTTCCCAGACGTAGCCGTTTGTCGGACTGGGGTATTCTTTGACGAAGGAGCCGAGGATTTTGGTCTCCCATTTGTCGACGTCGAGCCAGGTGGTGGGTTTGAGGATGAAGAATTCGGGGTCGCCGTACATGATTGTAGGTGAGTGTTAGGTTGTTAAGGATATTTTGAAGTGGGAAGAAATGACCTTTTGAGAGCGTAAGGCTCCAGGTTGCAGGTCCATCAACATGCTTTTTATGTACTACATATCTCAAGTGTGGCATAAATAGTGGGTCAATAAACTCGATGTGTCTAGAGGCTGTGATAGGCATGTTATAATGAAGCTAATGTAGGCCAATATTCGCTAAAAATACATGGCGTTTTGAGGCGCTCTTTCGTGCTGCGTTATTGGCCTCAGATTTCATGTTATGTCCGGGAATTATCTCGAAGACTTTGATCTGTTTCTTTTTATTATTGAGCCTCATTCTCGTTAAATATCATTCGACACTTTCTAGATATGGATGCACAAGGTGTGAAAAGTACTTGCTTTTTTGGTCAAGAAACGTCTCTTAAGCATAAGATGCCAGTTTTTCTCTTCGAAAGCAGTTCAGAAACGTGCTACTTTACCCTTTCCCTTTAATCCTGGATCTTTTAGGGCACATAGTAATAATACTATAAGCCTGCGTTCAATACGAACAGGAATCAACTTCAGCGTCTAAAAGCGCCAGCCGACTCACTCGACACCAAACAACCTCTCCGCATTCCCACACAAGACTCCCCTCACCTCGTCCTCCTCCATCAACTCTTTTAACCCCGCCTCAAGACCTTCCGCCAATCCCTTAGCAGCCTTGAACGGCGTGAAAGGTACATCACTCCCATACAAAAACTTCGTTCGTCCAACCAACCTCATCATCCCGTGAATCTGATTTCTTATAGGCGTGCCCGCGAGATCGAACCAAAATTGCTTCTCAAAGAGATGGAGGACATCTTCATAGCTTAGCGGCTCACGAGTTCGATCCGACTCGGGTTTGAAACCTAGCATAGAATTCAGAGCTACAAGACGATCTATCAAGGAAGGTATCGTTGCGCCGCAGTGAGGGATAATCCATTTCAAGTTTTGATTTCTTGAGGCAGTGCCGGTGAAGAGGAGGTCGGAGAGATTGCGGGTTGTGTCGAAGATAAATTCTAGAATTGGTGCAGGATTGGTATCCATTAAGGGCGCGATGTTGTTTAAGGAGGCTGTGCCAGTTGTTTTAGGTGCGCCAGATGGACAGGGACACGTTGGATGGATGAAGATGATTGCATTTACTGCGTTGAGTTTTGAGTAAATGGGGGCTAGAAGCGGGGAGCCGCTGTAGAGACCATGTGCATTGGAGAGAAACATGAAGCCATCTGGGTTGAGGTTTTTAACGACGCGATCGATTTCGGTAAGGGATTCCTCAATAAATGGAAGGGGGAGGGAGGCGAAGAAGCCGAATTGTGTTGGGTGTTGCTGTTTAAGTAATGCAAGAAGGTTGTTCATTTTGCGGGTTAAGGCCACAGCAGAATCTACGTCACCTGGGATGAGATTGGTTCCAGGTGAAGAACAGCTTAAGACTGATTTTTTTATGTTATTTTGCTTCATGAAGTCGAGGTGGCCTTCTACCGACCAGGTCTGTGTGTGGTTTGTTAGATTCGGAGATCGAGAGGGCTGTGGTACTTACAGGATGATAAGGTATTCCATCGGGTCCTGGGGTCCATCCTGCTGCTATAACGGCTTCTTTGTAGAAGTCGGGATAGATGTGAGAGTGAGTGTCTATTTTTACCATAGACGGTTGTACGTCTTTAGGTGTTGCGCCGTTAGACGAAGACATTTCCTCTTGATAAGTTTGCTGTTATGGTTGAAATAGATGGAATGGGTTGAGTTGGGTTTGAATTAATGGTTTTTATGGAAATCAAGTTGACTTGAGAGTACTACTCAATTCAGAGTTGATAACATCGGGATCTTGGACGAGAGCTGGTGGCAGCCAGCTTCGCGGACCTCCGCGACAGTCGCTATATTGAAGCTATTACTGTTGTACTACCTTTTGGCTAATCACAATGCCTAGCTTTAGTACCGCAACTCACCCATAGAGCGGAATAGTCTGGAAAGACCGTTACTTCTACCTTCTCGCCTGGTCTGTGGTTGTGTTTCGATCGCGAGTATGGTCGCTTCGGGAAGTTTGAGCAAGCTGGACAAACTGCTGGTCCTGGTTGCCAAGTTCATGGCTCATTGCATGGTATTGCAAACACTCAATGCCCTTGATGATATTATGAAATCTCAAATGCGCAGAAGCATGTGTGCAACACATGCATCTAGTGTGATAGGTCGTCGTGAAAGAACGTCGTCCATCACGTGCCTAGTCCTGCCCCTCGTCATCCGGGAAGTCGCGTCTCCTGGAGCATCACGATTCAACATGGAAGTAGCAATTCACCTTTCTGCGCTTCCAGCCAAGCCAGGCAGGACGTTCAATTATTTTTATCTTTCTTATTCCGGCGACATACAAGCAGACGAGGAGCAGCACACGCTTCTAACCGCCGTATTATTCACCATTCATTCTGATACAGACATGCAACACCAACAAACATAAATTAGGTCACCTAGATTGACCCCGCCAACGTAACCAATGGATCAAAGTCCTGTACAAATACAGAACCGCCAAATGGATCACAACAACATGCCAGCTATGATGTTGGGAAATGGTCTCGGATCAAGTATGTGGGCTCCAGGAAATGCTCAACGGTCCACTTCCGCGTCTTCCTACGTTCCTCGATCCGGGGATTGGGATTGTCGATTCTGCTTTTATCCCAATTTCGCTAGCAGGCAGTCGTGTCATCGATGCTTACAGCCTCAGTTTCCTACGGGCCCTAGATCTACTGGAGGCTATGCTATTCCTAAGTCTCGAGAAAATGTTACAGTCTTCGAACATGCAGAGACTCTCTCCCCACCACCACCATATACAGTTCTCGCGAACAACACCAACGTCCCCACAGCTGAGAGTAGGATGCGTTCTAGGCGATATGGACTTGCGACGAGTCGATGGGCGCCACGAGGTTCATACAGTGACGAAGCAGTCAATGAAGGCGGTGGACCACAGATATGGACGAGGGTACAGCTGCTTTCCAAGCAAAATCTTGTGCTCGACAACGACGCTGACTATGAACACTAGACTGTTTCAATCTCGAGAGCTGCACCTGAAAATACCGCCATCACTCACGCCCATCCCGCTCCTGAACCTCAAGATCTTGGTCTTCCCTACGAAGTACAGCACTATATTCTGACGATGATGGAACGAATATTAGAAGAAGCATGTTTCGAATTTGCAAAACGCTGGATCCCAAAAATTCTCTACGAACAAAACTACACATGTTATGAAGCAGTAGAGCTAGCACAATGGAGGAGACTGTTACCCACACATATTCCTCGGCATGCCCTCCAACATGTTCCGGATTACAACTTACAAAAGGCGTTAGCCGATGCAGTACGAATTCGAAACTCCGCCCAGCACAGACATCTGTGCAACAACGTTGAGCTCCGACGCATGGCAGAGCAATCCGAAAAACTTATGGTTATGTTCTCGGAGCCCATACGGCAGAGCAAATTTATTTACCTGCGTTTAGAGTTAGAAGAATGGGACAAGCTAAGCACAGAGGATCAACAGACTGCCAAGTCACGTTTGAGATCGGTCTTGCAGGAAATCAGTGAGAGGCCGGTAAGTGAGATGGATTGGACGCCCAATTCAGAATCACTGGAGGAGATTGGTATGCAAACGACTGTCTCTGTACCAACGCAGGAATTGGAGGAGCAATACCACGATGAGATGGATTTGGATTAAAGCACTCCTTCATTTGGAGAGCTTGTAAGATTATGGATTCACATGATACCCCCGCCACTGGATTGGTTAGATACCATGGCGTTGAGAGGATAGACTGGAAAAAAGGTGTATTATTGATGTAAATACTAGCCAAAAGTCGGAGCGTGGGCTTCATGCCTGGTGTTTGGACTAAACGTATGAATTAAAAGGAAATCACTTATCATTTTAGATTGTGTCATCTGACCAGGAAGTAACTATACTTTCAGCTTTCTGCGTCGTAAACAGTGTTGATGCGTTCTATATTCCCCACCACATATCAAAAGCACGTTTGGTTTCGGCTACTGAACGTGGGAACGACCACAGCGAAGTAGTTCCATGTTCAAGCCTAAAAACTCTTCTTTTACATTCTAAGCCAATGAAGTAAGTCCGTCACTCTCACGAAAGCCTTCCGCTAAGTCTAGAATCCATGATGTTTTTGGGCGTTGACATCAGGAAAGGGGTAGAGCATGTTGGGCACGTCGAGATACGCCTGTCTTCTGGAAAGACAAACATGATGAACAAGAGGATTAAACCCATCCTTTTCCACGCGTGGTCAGGATTGTGTGGGGTGTTGGAAGGAACTAGAGACTGCGAAGGCAGGTTGGGGCGGGTTTGGGTGGGATGTTGGGGGTGTGGATGAAAGATCTCAGGAGAGAGGGAAGTTTGGGCGTTTTGGATGTATGCCACTGGTAGGTCCGTTAGCTGGATATTTTATACAGACGTTGTCTGGGGTGGTTGGGGGCGTTGATAGCTTGGACGAAAGAACATAACATAACTGAATGATGGTTAGGGAGTTGGAGTTAATTACCGATCTTGCGTACAGAACACTGGCTGTAAACTCAGATATAAAATATCTGGTCACATGGCATATATGGCTAAGGGACATCGTAACGCAAAGGACATCACAAATATCACGACTGGCAGAAGAAACCATGACACCAAGACAAATGAAGTAAGAATCAATCCATTGACCCTAAACCCATTGTGTTTCCAATATAAACAAGACACTCACAGCCCCCCTCCTCCCTTTCCTTCACATTCAACCAACGTCCCTCCACAATATGCAAGTAACCACCACCTCCCCTCATTTCATCCCATGATCATAGGTAATTTCGAATCCCGCTCTGTTAACCCCACCATCCAAAAACCAACAGGAAGGAGAAAGATATAAGACAAGAAAGTCGAAGTAAGTAGAAAAGAAAGAGAAAAAGGTTCCAATCCCGCATTTCCAAGACGAAGAAAAAAACCATCGATGCCGTGACCCATAAAAGCTTTCGCCCTCTAAAGCAAACCCAACCTGCAGGACCCCAAAAAAAGGGGCCCCTTGTACAGAAGAACACCGTAGTCAGATGTGGCTAGAGCCCCAAAACGCCTACTTTCAATTGCTACAATCATCGTAAAGACCAATCGACAAATGAGATAGAATCCATGCTGTTTGCGCTGTGGTAGTTGGAAGTGTGATAAAACGATTGAAAAGATAATTTCTATCGGTCAACTTTTGGTGGCTGCCATCCATTCATGTAATACATAACGCTCATCCCAACAAACACCACGCCAATTATAGAGGCATACGGTGTGGCGTGATAGCTCATTGAGCGGTTGTTTGCGGGCGACCGAGATAATGTGCGAACCGCCGAATTGCTGGGGTGCAGAGTGTCGTCAGCAGTGATTGCATGGCCGTTGGTTAAACCGGATTTCTCTAGAAGAGGCAGTAACACCGCATTGAACTCGCCGTGGTTCCCGTTGAGTAGATTTTCGGTCGTAAGTTTGCCGCTAGATGTCGAGTTCGTTCGACCTCTAGAAGATGGTCTAAGCTCATCTGCCCTTATTTTAGCCACCATTTCAGCCAAAGTCTTTCGGTCTTGATCCCTCTCAGACTCGGCATTTTCCGCGCGACTCTTGAATGAGTCCATCTGGTCCTTCAATGCCAGCATATCCGCCATCATGGTCTCCAATCGCTTTTCCAACAATAAAGTAGAATCGGAAATTGCGTTAGGATCCACAGCCTTTCCATTAGGAAGACTGTCATGTGCCTCCTTCTCTATGGTTTCGGTGGACGTGACTGGTGGTTCGGATGCTTCTTCGACAACTGACGGAAGGTCCGGCTGATCATTACTCTTCTCAGCCAATTGCTGCTCCAGCCTTTTCGCTAGGTCTTCAGCGACTTCCCGTGCTTGCCTCTCCTTCCGAAGCATCTCCTCCAGGTCACGCAAACGAACACCTTGAGCGTCAATTTCCTTTTTAGATGATGCAAGAGCTTCAACTAATGAGATGATCTGACTTGAATTTTCCTGACGAACTGGCGACACATTTGGAACAGATCGAGGCCTTTCAGTATTGGTTCGTTTAAAGGATGGTGATGACGGCTCAAACGGTGGTGGCCGTGAGACGTCTGGTTTTTCCGGAAGAGGTTGTTGTGGTGGTGGAGCCGGGGGATCTGAAAATCGAGGTTTCGCGTCTCTGAATGGCAAAGAGCCCCCATTAACATGAGGAATCTTGATGCCTTCTAAAGATGGTTCCTTTGGTTCCTCTTTAACATCGTTCTTCGTGACGAGAGACTCCAGAAAGCCATCTGCCCGACTAAGATCATTGGTCTGCGCCCTGGCTATTCTCATCTCGTTCTGCAACATTTCATTAGCACATGACAATATCAAAGATATCTTTAAACTTACTGTTAATCTTTTTACGATCATCTCCGTGGTAACCGGTGTTAACCAAAAGTTCATCGGCCGCTGGTGACCCATCACACTCATCTGACTTGAGGCTACACTTGATGGGGGTCCCATACGCCCATTACTCCCTACCGAGCCTTGGCTGCTGGATCTCCCTCTCATCTGTAGCGATCCCTGAGAAGGCACCATCATTGCGCCATTCGCTGGATCAAGGTCCCCAAAGTTCATGTCAAGAACATTGTTTGTGGCTCCCAGAAATCCTGCATGCTCCACCTTTGCAGCTACCTTGTGGTGAACTATAGTTTTCTGATCTTCACTGACGATATCGATACCAAGTTCTAAATGGTCAGAACTTGATAGTTCGTGCGGTTCCGAGTCACGGTTCTCGGCCGATAATCGGGCGCCATTGACAAAGGTTCCATTAGAAGATTTGACGTCTCGAATATATACCTTGCCACTTCTGTCTGCCCAAATCTCTGCATGCTGCCGTGATAATACTTTGGAATCGAAAAAGCCATTGGCGGGTGTTGGTACGGTCTTGGCATTCGTCTGCCGCCCTATTCTTAGACTGTCGGGGTAGAACGGCACAGATATTGTTTTCCTTTCGAAAGTCCCATTCATAGACAAGAGGTAAAGAACAGGATTTGCTTCGCCGACTGGGGCTGCAGCTGGTCGCGCGCCGTTTAGTTGCTGTGGTGGGTTTTGCGGTACATGCTGAGATGGTAAGATCGCGGAGGGTTGGTGTATTGAGGTCATTGCTGATGTAGCTGAAGGACCACTCGTAGCTAATATAGATTGCGGGCGTGCCGTAGATACTCCAGATATGGCTTCTGCTTTGGTGGTAGGCCATGGTCCTGCTCGTTGTGGCTTTTTTCTCGCGGCTGCAGTCCCTCCCCACTCACCCCCTGAGGTCGACATTGGTACTCCATTCGTTTGTGGCGGCGCTGGAGCTTGAGCTACTGTTGATGTAGAAGAATTAGAAGATGTTGAAGAGATCGACGAGGACGAGTTGGCGCGCGAAGCGCTTTTCCGTGGCATGAACATCCGAGAGACTTCGTCGGGGTTCATGGCATTGAGTCCTCCTTGGCCCACATTAGCGCCCCATGGTGACCTGTTATTCTGCTGGAAACTCGGTGGATTCGCGACAGCCGTCATCTGCGAGGTTGTAGGCCTAAAGTCCTAGGCGTATACGTGATGGTCGATGGTGTTGATCGAGGGGGTGGATGGAATGTTGGAAGTGAAGAAACCTCCCCCGAGCCCCTCGACACAACCACAGAGGGTGCTAGAGCTGAATAACCTCTTCAATCCGATGTGATGTCGACGTCCGCCTCAATGGTGATAGCTGCCAGGAGGTTTGAGAGGAAAAGAAGCCGCAGGTGTCGTCGTGCTGTAGTTGTGGTGCCCTAAATTAGCGGTGGTCTCTCTAGTTTAGACTACCATGACGATGGGGCAGCAAGCGCCGAATAGGCGCCCTGCCGCGTGCGAAGGGCAGCCATGAGCCACGGCTATCTGCACCCAAAGGTGCGAAGGCATTACAGGAGGGCAAAAGAAGGTTCACTTACTGCTAGGAAGTGGTCGCGTGTCGTCGAATGGGTGGCGGAGATGGTGCGTGGTTCGAGTAGTTCAAATGATTTTGGCTTTGATGGTGCTGCCAAGCAGGGAAAGTTTGGAGAACCGTAGGAATTGTGCCCCTTCTCGCGGCCGCTGATCGGCGGCCAATCACAGTTGGATTGTCGGAGGAGCACGCGCTCACATCATGTGACTTGTTGGTATGGAATTATGCTCCAACCCTCAAAACCCACTGAAATAAATAGCCTAGAGCGACGTGGATAATTCTATTCTCATTATTAGCAGCATTTAAGGATGTGTATCACTGCAGTCACGATCTGTACGACCTTTCCTCGTCACAACAACCCTTCCAACACGTGCGAATAAAGTGCGGCCTGAAACTTGAAACTTCAGCGTCAGGCGAAAACATGGGGAAGCCGGCCCAAGCGCCATGACGGCCGTCTGCCGTCGCCTCGTGGAATTTGAACCGCGAAAAGCTTCAAGAGTCCGGCCGCCGAACATTCGATTTCGTCGTCCAATACCTAGACATATTTCCAGTACACCGACTTCTACACTTTCAACATGCCCATTCCAGCAGCTGGAGGGATTGGGGGACCGTCCACCCTTGACAAGTGTACGTGGCGCATCCGCTATTTTCCTGGTGGGCTTCTTTTACTAACTCAATGCATAGTCAAGATGGGCGCAATGATGGGAGGCAGTAAGATGCCTATGCTCGATCTCGCATATTGCGCAGCTTATTAACTGTTCTCTAGCCGTCGGTGTTATCATTGGCTTTATTTTCGGTACGAATTAGAACTCATTGCCCTGAACACAATGCTGAGATATTTGCCCCAGGATCTGTCAACATCATGCGATACGGTGCAGGGCCAAATGGAGTGATGAGATCGCTAGGACAGTATATGGCTGGATCTGGAGCTACCTTTGGGTAAATGATCCCTCTCCTGGGTTTTGGAAAACCACTAAGCATGTACAACAGTTTCTTCATGGCTATTGGCAGCACAATTCGAACAGATTCTACTTCACAGCAGGCAATGGAAGCCTTCGCTCGAGCCCAACGTCGCCCAATCGTTATGCCACGGCAGCCATATCGACCATCGAAGCAGTGACGAAATTATAAAACGAGAAATAACGAAAGCTAGGAGAATCTAAGGGGTACCGCACCAGGGGGAATTACGGCGTCAATTGTACATAATAAGCATCTCTGAGAAACCCTTTGAGGATGCGGGATGGCAATGAGAAGTTGCCGTGTAATACTACGTCTCGAACACTATATACCCAAAGATAAAAGCGCGGTCTTTGATTCTCTCAATTGTACAAAGCAGTGGGATCCGAGCAATTTCTATCAGGAAACTCCTCTGCTCAAGCAGGGTTGTCGTCAACTGTTCGTTCCAGACAGCTCGCCAAATAATCTGCAGAGCTGTTACATAAGAGGTAGAGCATATTCAATCATTAAATGTTCGAGACCTCGAGTTCATACAACCTACAGCAGCATCAAGCTCCAACCATGCTCAGAGAATTCTTTGTGAACGTGTTTATATTCTTTATTCAGCCGAGTCGAGCTGTCTCCTCCCAGCGTTTGACGGCACCAGAAACGCGTTATTAGGACGACTTACGAGGATGAAGATTCGCTCTCTGAAGTCCGAAACTTGCCATAGGGTTGGGTATTAGAGCAGTGGCGGGAGATATATTGTGAGATGTGCTTTACACTTTCTCCACCATTACTGCAGCATTCGTCTTCCTTCCCAATCTCACAATACCTGTTGCCCGATGTCAAATGCAAAAATTGTAAAAGTCACTACTCCCGTTTCTTCATCAGCCGCATTTATATCCTCGGGATAATACGAAGGGCTTACCTATTACATGCAAACCAATGTTCCACTATCCTACTAAGCACTCGTTCAGATGGTGACTTCATATCTTCCCTTCTCACAACTGGCTATCGAACATATATCCGTGAACAAACTCGATCCCCTCTGTAATATGACTGCAGCATCAGGAGTATATATTCTAACTTGGCGTACCAAATCCGAGGTTCATCGCAAACTCGGAGTCTATTGCCGAGGATTTCATGTGTAGTGCAGGCCAAGAATTTCTTGTTACCGTCTAGATCGAAGACGAAGTTTCTGGGGGAGAAAGAACATAAATTTGAACCAGCTTGGTCCTTGTTATATTATACTCAAGGTGGTGCATCAGCATGTGTTTGCTGCCGAAAAGAAAGTTGTTGCCGTTTTGTTCTGCCGCACATATTATGACTGCGTTAATATAAGACCTGTAATGATGCTAATATGTAACGTTAAATTATTCTTCGCGCTAATAGGAAATACCCTCTACTTGTTTATCACCTTCTGTCGCAGTAGAAAAAGCGGCTTTGATTGTATTTTCTTTCCAGTCCTCTGACTACGAGTAGTGTGATTGATCATCTATCCATCCCTCTTATACTAGAGCTTTCCTCTTCCACGTCTTCTTAATTATTATTTCATGATTGAGAAAATAAAAATCTGCTGTATTTCATAATAGTCCAGTTGAACTGCGATCGTCGATCGATAGAATAGCATCTAAAGAAGCAGTATCTTCACATTGAACTTGAGGTACCATTCGTAGGAGCACTTGCGAAAATATTATAACAACCTACTTTAACAGGAGCCAGTATTATGTCCCTGGGAATATAGATATAATTATTATCATAAGATATTAGTTCACGATTTCTCAGTCGGAGCTATCAGGTCCTAGGTCTAAATCTGAACTATTACTAAAAACAAAACTAGGCTCTTAATGTCTTCTTCTTTTTCTAATAAACTACAGCAAGATTTACTTTCACGAATACTAACTCTCGAGACACAATCGAAACACCGCTGCTTTTCAACATGAAATGACGTGATACTCTTAGTCCCCTCGAGAAACGTTCCAGCGGATGTGCGATCTATAAGGTCTAAATTTTGCAGGGCGGCGAACTATATTTAACTGCTGTCGTCCCTCGACTTCTAAAAATTAAAACGTCCTCCAGACACAGTTCGTAAGCATACTGTGCAAACTTACAAACTTCACACTTATTATATCAACAGCCCCGAATTAATCGTGTGTAGAAGAAAAAAATATATTCAAGTGAGGGTAGCTTGTGTTGTTCAAATATTCGAAAGAAAGGTCAAGTGAGGTGGAGATTATCACCGAAATGAAAGTTGTTACGGATTTCCGATCCACCTACATATTTCCAGCAGGATAAGACCATTAATAGGTTACCAAAGCCCCTCGCGTAATTTCTTATTGAAGAAAACAAGTTCACCGCCCACATCAAACCAATCATCTCCTTCAGAACGTCGATATCTAGCTTGTCTACCAAAGGAGAATGTTGGATTATGGGAAAGGGAATAAATTATGCTGTTTCACTAAGCTTTAGGTTTTGGTTTTTGTGCTTTTTGCGGGATATTTAGTGTTATTCTTTGGGTTGCCTAAAGGGTTCGATGATGAGATGTCATGTATCGCAAAAGGACGGAGGAGGAGGGGGTATTAGATGTAGGAATAGGAAAGGTTAATATACTGGTATTACTTAGATATGTTGCTGGATTTCGTTAGAATAAAAATCTAAAATTTAGCAAGAGATTCTTGACTTCAAATATCCTATCATACACATTTACCCTTGCTTTTGCCCTAGAGCACTCGCTGCGTCTTTCAATTCCCCATCCTGCTATATCTAATGCTTCCCAAAAGTTTTGCTCAAAAAATGGTGCTTCTTATGGGAGATAGTGCTTTCTCGTTCATCTATCTTGAGCTTGGTTTTTGATGTTATATCCAGCAATTTGGTACAGTATTAGAAAAGGCTCCGGCATGACAGAAATAATTGAACGAACCCAGTGGGAGTTTGTTGCCGGAGTTAAAAACTGCCGCCGAATCAAGCCCTACGTCCAATAAGGAGCCAAACGTAGAAATTGAAAATGCCACAGACACAATTCTTCTTTTACGCAAGAAAATAGAACAGTAAAACTGCAATCGAATTGTAATAGATAACAAGAGGCCCTTGGCGGCCTGGAGCAGCAGTATCTTCTTCTTCTTTCATTGCATGTGTGTTTCTTATTTTCATATTTTTTCATATAATTTACAATAACACTTCCACGGCAACAGTGTTTTTGTTTTGGATCTCGAATTAGATGGATTTGTTGTGGACCCTTTACTAAGCGTCATGAATCTCCCCTCCCTTTCGAGTTAGTTCTTGCCTCGAGATATGAATCGTCTCACCACGCCTAATTTATTCGACGTTACCAGAAGATTATCCCTCCGCAAAATTTGCGTGACTCCTCTCATCCATAGCTATTCAAATGAACATTTCACTGTTGAACCTAACAACCTCTCTTGAAATAAGAGTTTGCTGATAAGCCCAGAATAGCACAAATTGCTTTCGGACATGCTCTCCTTCTCGTCACAAATATTCCTTAGGCGCGAGGCGAAAGTGGCCTTTAGTTTACCATTATGTCATGAAGATTTGACTTGCGCTCATACTACATGAAAACCCGCATTTATGCGTCCTCACTGTAGCCTTCACCCATTGTCAAAAAATTAGCATAGCTCTACAAATTATCGTTAAGGGCTATTTGTGAACACGGAATGTAAAATAAGCTTTTGCTGCCGAAACCATGCTTGCTACCGATTTCATCTCGCTTAAAAACTGAGAGACTCGGACTTCTTGAGGAGGAGACAGCAAAGTTTTGAAATCGACAAACCTTCTTATGGGATACAGTGAATAGAGCTCTGCAGCTTGAAAGCCTGCACTGAGTATACGCAAAACATTTTACGTGTTGTATACATGTGTTTTTGCTTATCTTTCTATTTGAAACTTTATATTCAGATATGTTCCGTGAAGCATGTGTACTTGGTGAAGGGAATTAACTCCAATACCTTGGAATGAGAATATGTGCTTTCCAAAACAAATTTGATAGGATACTGGCCTGAAATGTATCCTTCAAGACTAACAACGATTTAAAGTCTTTCAAATTTCAATGTATTTAGCACATAAACGAGGATAATTATTCAAAATTTCAAACAGCCGATTGTCATGCTGAAAAGGGTACCTGGGTAGCTTTGCTTGATGAGAACATCTTCGTTCATGATTCCGTCCCCCTTGAAATAAAATCTACCTTTTGATAATAACCTATAAGCTGCTTTATGCCCTCATTATGGCTTGAGCAGATCTAAGAAAAAAGCATCACAGCAAAGCGACAAACTGGTATGACGATTAGAGAGACAACTTGTTTCCCATAATTTGTGACCATCAACAACTTCAATTCAAGATAACTCCAACCTCATACTAAGCTTTCAAAGTTCCACATCACGCCTGTTACACACCATTTCCCAATTGGAGAGTTATGTTGGAGGGAAAAAAGAACAACTCTTTTCTTCTGGGTTTCTTTGGAATTTTTGAAGACGCGCATTTGGCTACCCCAGGACGAAGATGTATAAATTAGAATGAGAAAAGACGTTTCCAGGTCTAAGGAGAGCATTCGCCAGCAGAAAGAATTGAAAAAATGCATTAAAACCCCCCAGAAATCGCTTCGCATAACAAATGGATATAATTAGATCGCACATCAAACCAAAGCCTTGCCATCCTGGTCAAGATATACCAGCCCATACATAAAAACACCAAATAGACTTTGCAAAAGCAGAAACAAACCCCCAAAGATCTCAAGGAAATAGCGGCAAAGTTAAATAGCACTATTACACTTTCCCACCAACCCCACCCTGTCCTCACATCCTTCAACCAACTCCAAAAGACACCTTCCAAAACACCCGTCTATAAACCCTCTCGCACCATTCCTATTCCCGGCATCCGGCTCCATAGCCGTAACCAGACAATAGATACTATTCTGCAAGCTCGCAATCACCGCGTCGACGCGTTTCGCGAATACAAGTTGATCGATATGATCATTCGCAGTAGGCGGTTTGTCAGGGAGGAGCGGGACACCGAGCATACGCGTGGCTTTGACGAGTGAACGCGTGCGCTGATTGAGTCGCGTGATGGTTCGGATTTCGAGGATGAGGATGTAGCCGAGGAGATAGGCGTAAAGCGGTTGGATCACGGTTGGGGCTGAGGAGGGGAAGATGCGTTGGAGGGGGGTGATGTCAATATGAGCGGTTGGGTCGTAGATCGGGGAGTCTGAGAGGGAGGGGAATGTCGGAGTTGAGGGTGTGGTGTCCGTTGTGCTTTTCGTCAGGGAGGAGATGCTGGCTGTGAGGCGACGTGCTCGAGACCATTTCTTGTCGGGAGGTTGACGCTCTTGTGGGGATGAGGCGGCGCCGGGACCGTATTTATTTTGTTGAGCGGAGATGAGGTGGAGTTGTGTGCGGACGGTTGAGATATGGCTTCCGAAATCGATTGATGGATGGAAGGGAAAGTATCTAACCAAATCTTCGACGACTGTAAGAGCAGTATCACCGTGACTGCGAACCAGCGAGCCGGTCACAGGATTGTGGTTATGGTGTCCAAAAAGTGATTGGACTCGGGCGGTGCCAACTCGATATTTGAGTGCTTGATCGTCTATGGGCGGTTCCACCTCTTTTGAACTTGTGCTTGCAGATGTGCTGTATTCTTCCTCCGGTAATGAATACGAGTCATCAAAGCTATCTTGGTACCTTTCATGGCCTGTCTCTTTTGCGAAGACATCTTCTTGGGATAACTTACGCTCTGGTTGAGCATCAATGTCGAGCGGATACAAGCTTGGCCTCGTTCGAGTCTGGATGAATGACGAAGACCTAGGCGGAATTGTGAGTGGAGAATTTGGGATTGGCTCGTGAACAGGTAAAGATTTCGTTTTAGGCGTCATTGGCGGTGTTGTTATGTCCTGAGAAATTAGCTTAGCTCTTGTGCTCTCCAGTCGAACCTACAGATTCATCTTCCTCGATGATGTTTTCACGAATGGGTTCCGCAATCCATCCACGGCCAACATAGTTTGGTGGCATGTTATCTGCTAAAATATCAGGAAGACACCTCGAGTCGAACAGACTTTTTTCGTCAAACGAATCGATAATCTCGTTTGGCTCATGTACAAATTGGTCGTCCCCCAGACACTTAAAAGACATGTCAGAATTGCGGCACGATCCAGTCTGTCCCGAAGTTGGCGATTGTTCAAAGCATTGAACCTCTTTCGGCTTTGTAATGCTCTATTTTCATGGTCAATGAATCATCAACAATCTGCTGAGCAGTACATACCATATGAACACAGTCTTGGTATTCGGGGTCAGAAGCAAGAGTATTCGGACTAGAACACTCGCTGACACACTCGTCTTCGTCTGATGAAGAAATGGACGAAGAGAACTTTCGCCAGAAGTCGAATTGAGGATAATATGCTTGTCCTGGTATTGGAGATCCAGCGTCCGTATACACTGGAGTATCCCGATATTGCTCCGGACGGATAACCAGCGGTATCTGAGGAAAATATAGTCCCCGATGGGATAGCTTCTTTGATCTTGGCGATATCTTCTTGGGAGAATCCTCAGGTTCAAAAGTTGTTTGATTGAAAGCTGGCGCCGCGGAGGAAACGTCCGGAACGGAGTCGAAAGTGCTTGTCAATCTGAGCGGGAGCAGACATTTCATCCCAGACACAGCAGCTTTAACAGAAAACGAACTGGAATCACTTCTCAAAGTGCGGACATCAGGGGACTGCATAGTCGACCTGGATGGTGACGAATAATGGGCCGCTTGACATGCATTCTGTTTGAAAATATTTCGAACCGAGAAGGCTGGGATAGTGGCTACATGATATAATCTGCGAGTTTGACGCCTAGCTGCGAGCCGTGGATCTGTCGAAGATAATTGGCAAGTACATTGCACTTCCATGGTTTTGAGAATATGACAGAACGACAACGAAGAGGAGTTTATGAGTGATTGATATGGAGAAGAAAATTGAATGTCCTAACTGGGAACGAGGTGGATGAAGTTCTGCCCTCCCCATTATAACCTCCTTGCATACTCGACGTATACTCTCGAATAATGACTTTGTAACAACCGGAACAGAAGAAAAGAAGCAAGTAAGGTGTTCTCACTGCGTTGCAGATCTGCCTACACAGCCAAACAAGAGAGCCAAAATGAACCACACGATTTCCACATTGTGATGTGTCAAATATGTTTTCTTGAAAGGAGAGACATCCAATATTCTCCGCAAGATGGAATCGAAAACAGCAGAAATCATCTCGATAACAAAATCAGCTAGACTTACGTAGATCATTTCAGCTTCAACACACTCCGTCACCGGTTTGGTGCATTGTGCTTTTCATTGTAAGATGGAGAAGGAAGCAAACAACACTCGGAGGCTATAGCGAAGAGGGATTCGGCTCGGCGAAACGTTGACCCGCTATGTCTGCGACCCCTGCAAAATTATCAAATTATTCTTTGGATTCGAACTGTCGAGTGACAGAATTGTACAATGTCTATGTACAGCAATGCAAAGTCCTCCGAACATCCTCGAGTCATTAGTCAGACATCTTGCCACATAAAATCCTGACGATCAGGCGTGTTTGTTGATAGCTCAACTTCAAACAAGACGACTCAGCCAAGGGCGCCCATACATTTGCGAACGCCTCCATTTCAATGTTGTCCGAAGGCTTTATAACGTCGATTCGTGCTCAACCAAAATCCGCGAACACTGCGGTTGCCAAAGATGTTGGAATCTACCTCCATACATTAAATTCGTCGCACACGGTCAAGTCCTCGTTCAAAAAGAGCTCCACACATGTGAATGCTCTCGCGGCAAATGCCACTCATATATTCGCAGCGCAGGCTGACAAAGCGGTTGTTCATGTGTACTCAAGGGAGCGAGGGAATCAGGAGGCATTGGTTTCGTTTCCAGAGAGGATCAGCTGCTTGACCCTGGCAGGAGAGAGTGTGGTTGTCATAGGGACAGTTGAAGGGAGGATAATACTCTGGGAGGCAAGTAGATGCGTTTTCTTTAAGGGAAATCATTCTAACAAGAGTATAGGTCTTCACAGGTCGGATGATTTCAACGCCATCTGCTCATTTGCAGACAGTAACATCTATAAGTGCTACAAAATTGGATATCCTGACTGGATCCGAGGATTCGAATATACATGTCTGGTCACTACCTCGACTTTTGGCATTGGGAACAAAGGAGCCTCTGGAGCCGCTGCGAAGCTTGTCAAACCATCGAGCTGCCATTACCTCTCTTGCCATAGGTCAGGGCACAAATCAAACAAACATCAGTGTTTCTGCCAGTCGAGATAATACCATCATCGTCTGGAATCACCATACAGGAGACCTGCTTCGCACGCTCTTGTTACCTTCGACACCCCTTTGCGTCGCCCTTGATCCATGCAATCGAGCGGTGTATGCAGGGTTTGAAGACGGTTCGTTACAGATGATCGAGTTCTTTCAAGCAAACTCTACCTTAAACCCGCTGTTTGACCCGAATCTTCAGACGACGCCAGTACAGATCACCGAAGCTCCCTGGACCGCGCCCTCTGAACCCGGGTCCGTACACTGCGTAGGTTTGAGTTACGACGGCACTTTTATTCTGTCTGGTCACGCGTCAGGAAAGATATCCCAATGGGATACGGGTCGTCGTGCTTTCTCTTCCGAGCTTGTTGATCTTAATGCTCCTGTCACAAATCTCCTAATGCTATCGCCTTTCCCCTCGAGGGTTACTGCTCGAGTTACTACTGTCGTGAAGCCGAAGCTTGGTGAGGTTCAATACACATTTACAGCTCAGCTCTGTGCTCCACCCCACACGACTGATTTTGATCGAATAGTCAACTCAAACGGGTTTCCAGAGGAGATGTTAGTGGATGCGGTCGCCCGATTCTCGACTCCGACAAGTTCATCTTCGAGTGGAGATGACAAATTAAGGAAAGAAAATGAAGAACTGTGGAGAGTTGTGAATGAGCAGCAAGCTTTGCAGAAGAAGACACTGGACAAATACAACAAACTCAAGGCTAACGGGTCTTGAATGCAAATTCTCAGCTTCTGTTCTACACATTGAATGAAGAAAATGCTGGTGCTGCTGCTTGTACAAACTATATCCCGTAATGGAAGTAGCTACCTCGTTTCAGTGGAAAACATCGAACACCCTCTTGTGTTGTATACCGAAGTCCACGTTCTAGAGTGCTGGAATTCATTTGCCAGCAACACCGCATGGGGAAAATGAATTCTCCAAAAACCTTGAGACTCTAAAAACTGGCAAAGCACTACACGCTTTCACGTCTCCAGGCGCGGAACTCAAGGGTGTGCTGGCGTTCCACGATCGACCTGTCTCGATTCAACACCGCGATCTTCCTGTCAAAGGTGTCAACAGAGACAAGCATGGTAAAACATTCAGAACCTCAAGCTATCGAAACTGAATTGCTGTCCGAGCTCAATATGGTGGGCTGTATAAATTTACTTGGCTTATCTAGTGTGCACTTGACATTGTGCAAAACATATTGAAGTGATATACAGCATTATGGACCAGATGAAACTATTCGTACCGGCATGTGTTTCGGAACGCATTCATCTCCTCTTCACCAATTGCGAGAAACTCGTTCCTTTCCCAGATTGTGGCCATGATGTATTCAGCAGCGCAGAGCTTGCCAATATACAGCGCTGTCCGCAAAGTTCCAACTGTCATGCTCTTAAGAGAATAGAGCAAGCAGGTTTCTTGATTGAGTCTGAGATTATGCCAAGTTTGTAGGACAAACTTTGGCCATTCCACTAGTGCTTTGCAAAACGGACGGGACACCGTCTAAACATGCCGCTTTCAGAAAACAACCTCCCAGCACCCCTTCGTAATATATATATATTTATTCTTTACAATAGAAACAATGTCGTGTTTTATTCAAAGTGATTCAGTAAATATATTGTTCGGGGATGATGTTGCTATTCTGCCGTATTGAGATGTCCTGTCAGACTCGCAGCACTCTGGTGATTCTACTTAGAGATGTCTTCAGTGAAGAACCTCGATCAATTACCCACCTGTGATATGTGGGTCCAAATGTTGGTGGCGCTTGGGAGACATGTTGTCGCCTGACAACATCTTCTAACGTATGTATTATCTATTTCTCAGAATTATTGTAAACATCAATACTGCACCTACCCATTCGCTTTATCTCATAGAAATTCTAGCTAGCGTAGCAGAACTGGGACCCCATTTTCTACTACTCCACTAGCCACACTACGAGAGGCTCATATCTTCTCTAACCCCAATGCTCTATGGTTATAAGTTCGTGGCCAATGTTCTCCAGCCTCTTCAAGTAGTGGTATGGGGTGAACTTGCACTAGGGTATCTTGGTGTACCAACAGTACTCAACGTTTGTGACCCTTATACCATCACAGCCCTCAAACTACTAATGATTCCAATTAGGACTACATGTTTGGAGTCTCAGATGAGGAGCTTGATATGGCTGAACACAAACTTATCTCGGCAGGCTTCGTTCGTCAAACATGGTCTTTTTGTTCTACTCGGGATCCCGAAAACATGAAAAACCACCCACGTTGGCAACAATGGTATGCCAACAAGCGTACAGCTTACCAAAATTTCGACAGCGTAACCAGAAGATTTGATTACCCTGACGAGAGTAGGCACGTTACTCGAACAATCTTGTTACCAACAAGCTACCTGCGTCTCAGCATCTCTGATCCAGGGCAAGCGGGCTACGCCGACCCAACCCCATCGCTCTCACAGCCGGCGTTTTACATTGATGCCAACTTACACTGGCCGAACGTTGTAATGCTGCTTCAAAGCATTCTCATGGTCATTGAAGAGGAATCATATGCTCCACGACTAGACTTTGTCGGATTGTTAAAAGCATGGGCTTTTACATACTTGGTCAATGACTTATCCCTTCGACATGATGTTCTCGACTCATGTAGAGACGCCACATTGAAAGAGTATTTTGATAAGAAGACAAATCGGGGACAGCCTCAGCCGATAAGGGAGAAGTGGAATAAACCTCGACCGTTGATCACTAACGAAAGGATCAGGGAGTTTCAAGTAGTACAGAGTTGATTTCCAGGGACGGAGGAACCTCCGGAGCAAGCTTTCCTAACTATACCAAGCCGTTCCGATAAAGCACGTCTTATTCCTGGGTTTTCAATGGCAGGTGTGATACTGCGAGATCAGGGGGGAACTGCAACTGCTGAAAGTTCTCTCAACCAGGTCCCGTCGATCCACCAGGTTCTATTCATGAAAACCGATATTTGATTTTCACTTGACGCAAGATCGAGTGAAAACACTTCAAGGAGGCTTGCATTGCAGAGTTGATGGCATGTTGAAGGTCCCGATCAAGCAGTTACTCGGGCATCGAAGCGACTTCGGTGCAGGTTACATGTCGTGTAACGACCGATTCTTAATTGCTTTACAACCTCAAATCTACTGGAAACTGTCGAACAATTGCGGCGATTGACTTAGGATTTGCACACGAAACAGAACTCCTTGGAATTCTACTACGGTTAGATCACATTGCACAATTGTGTCTGGGCTAAACCAGGTCTTCTCCCACATCGATCACATCGATCCTCCCTTTGTGAGACTACAACGTCAACCAATCATCTAATGCAGGCGGAAATTCGTCTTCAGACCTTTGTAGCTGAAAGAAAGTTTTGCAAACTCATTTGAGAACAGTATTTCATCACAACAGACGGTCACATGACTGAACTGAACCTAGTCGCGTCCCACATCTTGAGCAGGGGTCATCGTTCCTGGGAACATTTCTAGACTTCTGTTCGCTTTTTCTTCTACACTTGCTTCGCATCCCATACTCAGCGACCAGTCTCTGCCACACTCTACATCATACTCTTTGCCAGTTGCTGTCCTTATCTCTGTTAATTTTCTTACTCAGCAGTATCTCCATCACATGCCTGCCCGCGATTTATGCGGCCAGAGACTGCATGCATGCATGCCGTTCGTCGCTAACCTCCAATTCAAATGGATCCAGGATATCTTCACAGTGGCGCTTGCACACAGTAGAGTGATTTATCCGCTGCGGCCCAAGAACTGCGGATCACCCTCGGCCACTCCAGATGTCGTACGCTCTCAGTTCTCAGAATCTCAAACGGATCTTAAGCTAGATATGTCTATCTCGCAGACAGCTTTTCCCCCGGAACATCTACCGATATCCTTTGAAAAGCTCGCGACTCGATGTTCTGCAGGAGATCTGCAGCTGTATGAGGTATCTACCACTCGTGCCTTTTAAGAAGAGATGAAGGAAGACTTAACCAACAAGAGCTGATAGGTCGAAGAAACATTAAAAGTATCGGGAAATTTCACCTGCATAAGGGACCCTGATCAGTGATCATTGCAAATGCAATGAGCCTCATGGACAAAGCAGCCCTAACTGAATATGATCGTTCGGCAGCTTCCCGCTCTAAGTTCAAGGTATATAGCTACCCCGCGATTAGTCACTCCCTTGCACTCCCCACGCTTCTGGGGACCTCTGGACTTCGAAATTTTCTTCGTCTGAAGAGTACATCCAATCGCAAACTTTTCATACGTACAAGGTATTTCCCCTCTGGTCACTGGGACTGCTTAGCGCCCAAATCTATCCTCTAACGCCACCAAAGATTCTAAAATACATGTGGCCCGAACAAATTAATCGCTGTCGGAGTTATTTCTTCTGACGATGAATAGAGTTGACTCTTATCAGTACTCCCCGTTTACTCTCCTGGTACAGCAGACCGAAGTCGCAAAAGATAACGATCAGATGTTCTCTGCAGTCATGAAGAACCATGTTGTATTCATGTAGCTTTCAAGAGCTGTCATTCGTTGATCTTCAAGTCACGATAACATGCATATTGCTTCCTCACAGTGAGTATCTGGTTTGGGGAATGGCTCCGCTGGCTTGCTTTAGCGATACAAGGCAAATCATTGGCCTTAAGCCTTGTACTTTCAGTACCACTGGCATCCGACCTCAAAAGGTGCTGCAACACCATGATCGCAGTAGCCGAACCTGGCTTGAAGGGTCTTGAAAGTGGGCACTCGTCAACCAGTTCCGTAAAAGAGCGCGTGTCCTAGCAGTAATTACCAGTGAACAATCTCTGAGAAGCACACCAAGCATGCTTCTCCAATCAAATCCAATATTGGCTTTGTGGTACACTGGATGCGTACGACTTTGTTGTGTAACTTTGAAGCAGATCTGTAGCCAAGGTAGCGGAGAAAAAAGTGCGCGAGTTGGGGCGCTCTGGGTATAAGTAGTGATCGAGGTGGTAACTTCAATCACCTCATATCCTCTGTAAGCTCGCCATCGTTTTTCGACCCCCACTAAGCAGCATGGGAGTATCAGATCCATATGAAAACAACAAGAAACGCTCCAGAAACTCCTCGGACTCAGCGCCAGATGAAAGAACACCACTCCTTGCTGACGGCCGTTCCAGCGGTAAGAAAAGAGCGTTATCCGACCCGGAATCCTGTACCTGTCAGTCTTCCAATGGAGATTCATCAAGCACAACCGATACACCCAAGAATATCACCGGTGTGATCTCAATTTTGCTACTTGGTAACTATTCCCATCAGTTTCTCAAACTTTATTCAATATCACAAACAATATACTGACGCTGGCCGACAGGTGTTTTCATTGCGAACGCCGATGTTTCTCTCGTTCTAGCCACAAGTGGGACAATAAGCAGTGAATTTGACCAACTTGGTAACGCAGGATGGCTAATTACGTCCTACACGCTTGCCATGTGTGCAGCACAGTCATTGGTACTTTCCTCCGAGAATGTTTCAAACCCGAAGCCATCGTGTGCTAATTGGGTCTTGATGTAGTATGGAAAATTAAGCGACATTTATGGTAGAAAAAGCACAATCATCGCTTCTTATGTTTTCTTCGCGATTGGCTCTGCTATATGGTATGTTATACTTACTTTGATTTTGTTCCTTCGTTTTGCAACACCACGAAATCAAGTTTTTACAAGATTTTCCTCCAACGACGAGTTGCTGACTATGACATAGTGGACTAGGCCAAACGATAATTCAGGTAATATGTGGGAGACTCATTGCAGGCGTTGGTGGAGCGGGCATAAACTGCCTGGTGGCTATAGTTATTGCTGGTAAGCATGGAATGCCATCATGCTTCCATCATACTCGCTCACCACTGTGTAGATATGGTACCTCTCAGAGATGTCGCAACGTGGAGGAGTTATGTCAATATCGCTGCTACGTCTGGAAGGAGTCTGGGAGGCCCCATCGGGGGGTTTCTGACCGATACTGTTGGCTGGCGTTGGTAAGTCAAATCACTGACTAACAGAGCTTGAACTAAACGATAAAAGGTCTTTCTTGGGACAATGTCCTCCTACTGTGATAGCTATGGGCTTGGTAATCTGGAAGTTGCAGATACCACAGATAGATCAGACTTCGAGTGTATCCCATCTGTCTAAACTTCGGCGGGTCGACTTCCTCGGCGCAATCCTTCTTTCGATCTCGATTGTTTGCGGGCTCATGATGCTTGAAATGGGCGGCCAGAGAGTGATATGGACGTCACCGAAAATCCTCTCACTCCTAGGCAGTTCTCTCATCGCTGGGAATTTATTCATTCTCGTCGAAGGCTTCTGGGCAAAAGAACCCATATTTCCTCTTAGACTGCTACTCAACCGAGATGTCGTCACTTCATATATCAACTTGGCGTTCCAGACTGGTGCACAAGGAGCTGTACGTATGTTACACTCATTTTATTCGGGAGCTAATCGGGTCCCAGATGATGTTGCTAGTACCTTTGTACTTCCAGGTATCTGCGCATGCTACCGTCACTAATGCAGGTGCACATTTGATGCCTTCGGTCATTGGGAATGCAGCAGGTGGGCTAGTCACGGGTTATGTCATAAAAAGGTTACCATCTCGTTGCTTCTTCGCCATCCTTGGGCACTACTGATGGCGAAATAGAACCGGTCGGTACAAAATGATATCAATCATTGGTGCAACGTCTGCGGCCATCTCGTATTCGCTCATGATCCTTCGCTGGCATGGGCACACGAATATTCTCGAATCGCTATACATTATCCCTGGAGGATTCGGCAATGGTGTCGCATTATCAGCTTCCTTTATCGCACTTACAGCCGGCGTCGAACACCGTCAAATGGCAATTGCCAGCTCTGGCCTTTACCTCAGCTCAAACGTGGGCATGGTTACCGGGTTGAGTGTTGCTGCGTCGATATTGCAAAGCACACTGCGTAAACAGCTGCGCATTGCGTTGGAAGGAAAGAAAAACAGAGAAGATATCATTAATCGAGCTTTGTCTGATATCGAGTATGTGAAAGGGCTACATGGGAAGCTGGGTGAGCTGGTGACGAAGGTCTATGTTGATTGCCTCGGTTATACACATTGTAAGTCCACAATCAAATCTATGTTGTATTGCTCACTCACGATGATTGTAGTTGTTTCGTTATTCGGGGCTTTAGTAGCACTGATCGCGGCAATGTTAATTCGAGAGCATCGGTTGTAAATATAATTCTACGTCTGGCGGTATTTTTCATCACAACGTCCGACAGATGTATTCGCATACGATGCAGACTTTCCTTTTCTGTCATTCTGATCTAAGGCGGTTCAGGTGGAATTTCGCGCGCTAAGGCGTCCTTTGCAGTTTCTTCGGAGTTGAAATTCGAGGAAGTGCCGATAACATCCTTCTACGAGCCTCACAAACAGTCTACTGGTAGCGGAATAGAGAATGAGGTATCGTTCCAGAAGTTCTTCAAGTGCTAGTCACAGATGGAACCTGGAAGTGAAGGGCGGTGATTTGAGATTATTGGGTATCGCTGCTACCACTGCCTTAAGTGGAAATAAGAATTATCCATAGTTCCGAGAGATCAGTGCAGATGGTTTCCGAAGCACCTCTCATTGCTTGCTAACCTTCAAGAATATGCTATTTGCTTACAAACTCATGTTGCGCATGTCTCTTGCACAAGCGCCTTTCTTTATTCATCACCGATATACATTTCAATGACGATTTCTAATGTATTACCAGAATCTCTGGGAGTGATAGTTTAGGGCTGATGCTCTACTGCACGTACAGGGTTTCCGTATTCCTCATTGAGTTAGTGTTTGTCCCAGACCAAAATATTGATTGGGCAGATTTAAGCGAAGATATCCAGGGAGCCCAAGAAGCCGCAGCTTTGTCACCAATGTCCGATTGTAGTGCACATTGCTTGAGGCTATCTTGTGATATTGGTATTGAGAAAATGAGTATAAATGGCGGCATCGAATGTGTCTTCAAGGTGACAACAAATTCATATCAAAAACAAAGCGCAACCGATTTTCCAGAACACATATCAACTTTATCTATAATCTTCATTCTTCAATATGTGGCAAAAGATTTATCTCCTCACTGGTGCAAACCGGGGTAAAAGTCTCACATATTTCTTATATGCTCAATTACTAATTCTTTGAAGGCATCGGTCTCGGTCTGCTCAAAATCCTGATCTCCCGTGAACACACCTTGGTCATCGCCGGCGTTCGCGACCCAGACTCAGCATCCGCAAAAGCCCTCCTCGATCTTCCCACCGCTGGCTCCTGCACCAAAGTCATCCTCTCCAAAATCGAAGTCTCATCACAAGAGTCCATCAAAGCCGCGGTCAAAAAGCTAACCGAGGAAGACGGCATCGAAAGAATCGACGTCCTGATTTCTAATGCTGGTATCGCGAATTATTACGGCCCGGCTGCTATCACTCCGCTTAAGGAAGTGAGAGAGCATTTTGAGGTTAATGCTGTAGGAACGCTTTCGTTGTTTCAGGAAACTTGGCCGCTTTTGGAGAAGTCTGAGAGGCCGGTCTTTATGGCGCTTTCGGTAAGTCATCTCATCTCATCCGCTCTCATGGATTTGTGTTAATTTAACACAGACCGGCGTTGGTTCAATTGGTGATATGGAGAGTATGCCACTCAAGAGCACTGCCTATGGCGCAAGTAAAGCAGCTTTGAATTATATGATGCGCAAAATCCATCTCGAGTACCCCAACTTGATCGCTTTCCCGATCAGTCCTGGATGGGTTCAAACTGAGATGGGGAATCATGGTGCGAAGTCTCATGGAATGGAGACTGCGCCGACTACTTTGGATGAGTGTGTTGCTGGTGTAATTGGCAAGGTATGTGACTTTCATAGGTGCTTCGTGTGGGGATGGATGCTAACGAGTAATAGCTTGATGGTGCGACGAGAGAGGAGACTTCTGGTAACTTTATCAGCTATGATGACACGAAGTTTGGGTGGTAAATTTGAGCTTCTTTGGTGTTGCTGAGAACTTAATGGTAAACCGTGGGTTTGATTGAGGCCATCATTGTAGTTATTTGGTATTAAGTCGGTAGAATAATGGCAACTCGATTCAAAAAATGAATCCTTGGTTATGTACCACTTCACGCGTGTTCTTCGTGAAAAACGCCATCCCACACCCTTTGGATTGTCGTTTCAGGTTCATCGCTCTCCTGCGCTGGAAAGCGGTCGACATACCTTCTAGAAAGAGAGAATCAACCGAGCCGACGAGAATATCTGAGACATGGCTGTACCTGGAGCGTACAAATGCTTGTCTCCGGACTTTTGGATTTTCCTGCACCACAATGTACGACCACCACCAAGTTTTCGGCTACGCGAGCTCGCCGACTTTAGATAGATGAATGATCTGAATCCGGAAGTTTTAGTGCGGGCGCTCGTAACTACATAAAAACAAAGAGTACTAAGATTCAGTGGTTCGTTTTTTATTTGCCTCAATGACTAAGATCTTTTAGAGTCTTTCCACATTGTCGTCGTTGCGCTGTCTGGCATCGAACATCTTTACAAGGAAGAGAAAGAGTGATAAATGTAGTTTAGCTTCACAATAATACCACGCCAAGAATCTTCAGTTGGGACAAGCTTCAATTTTTTCAAAAGAAAATTTCTATAGAGAAGCACCTGTGGGAAATATCTGGATGTTGTGGTAAGGAGTGAGTCTCAAATGTCACATGATTTGAGTTGTCTGAAGTGGGGGTGACTATTGGTTATTCGGTTCCCTAAGAGACTCTGATACACCTTCAAACGCAAGACACCGAAAAGCAAACTTAACCGGTGGGCACTTCTATTTTTCGCGATAAAAAGCTGTTCAGATCAATTTTGCACACTTGTCACGATCAGCTTTAAAATGACATCAACATCCGTGGGACTCAAACAGTCCGACCACAAGATTTTGGAAATCACTCTCCTCAGACACAAAGAAGATCGCACGACAGAAAATTTCAAGGCAGCTTTAGAGGCACTAATAAAAGTCCGAGAGAATCTCGCCAACAGCGTCTACGCCACACAATCTAAATTCTTTTCCCCAATCGACAATCCTTCAGAGATATACATTTTCGGATTTTGGCCAAGTATCGCAGCTCATCAAGATTTTCTGGCCAACGAGGAGTTGTCAAGTAGGATTTTGGCTCCGCAAGAGGGGTTGTTGGATTTTGTTTGGGGACATCATGTTGAGTTGCCGGGTTTGGATGTGAGTATCTCTTTTTAAAAGAACATCTCGTGAACATTTGATTTGTTTGAAAATGCTGAGTTCTTCTTTATTATGATCAGGTTACTGATATAGCATGCAGGACCAGACGGGATTTCTTGAACATCTTCCGCTGGACGCCCCGCTAGTTGGCCTCTTGATGTACAATAATTCCAGAGATTATGAGAGCTGGGGAAAGTCTTACGCTGAATATACAAATGGCTTGAAATTAGCAACGAAAGGTTATCCGTTGTTAAAGGGAACATTTTGTGAGCCTAATGATGGAGAATCAACGCCTGATGATTTTGTGTTGTCTGGCTGGAACGCGGACGATGAGGCTGCCTCTTCAGAAGGTACTCCATGGGAGAAAACATTGATTATATTGAAGGATTTGGAGAAATAGGAAATAGGAAGAATTTATTTATAGTTGAATTGTTGAAGAAAGTTTATCATGATGGTTGTCTGTTCATCAGCTTGCAACCTGTGGTAGGTGAAGTTGTTTTGGAAATGAAGTCTTAGCACGAAGGAAAGAAAAGCAAAAAGCTCGTCTATGGGGCTGTCCTCGCTTACTGTTGGGTTTCTTTTAATGAATGACTGAAAAGGTGGGAAAGACACCAAAGGTTATTCCTTTGTCACTCCAGATGCTTCTCTTTCTGAAAAGCACCCGAAACTCTCTCTATCTCGTCCAATACATGTGAAGATACTGAAGGTGATTCCTTCATTATTCCAAAATATGATTTATTTCTTGAATACATACTCCGAAACTCTTCGGATGAGTAATCATCCTCTCGATAGTCGAAAACGAAACTCACTCTTTCTCGGTTCCACGTCAGTCGATGAACCACGTCCGTCGATGAACAAACCCTGCAATTTAGCACTATTTTCGGGCTTGTGAAATCGAATATTTGTATTGATGTTAGGAAAATTAAAATATTATTGGTTATTCCAAGATCACCCCAAAAGTACTATTTGCTCTTTTGAAACCTTTTATTTTCGCTCAATCTAATTGCAACTGCATCTCACCCCACCCTTTAATCATTATTTAAAGCCATTCCGAACAAACAAGTTTTATATTTACTATGAAACAGAATTGCTATGTGCAAGGTCAAATTTGAAGTCAATTAGAAGCCATGCGAGCAAAGTCGATTTATTTGAACATCTTCGACTGACCTCTCAACCACCAATTCAGCTATCAGAACCACTGTTCAATTCAAAATTTAGCTCTAGCGAGACTCCAAACTCTTCAATGGCACTTCTACTCTAAATCGATGACATACCTGGGCCTTTTTTGTTTACCAGCAATTAGTCATTATTACGTAAAGCATGATTATTGGATTACAGAACTTTTGAATCAAAACTGTAAAGCTTCTTCAAACCTTCTCAAACTAGTAGCATTGAATGAAAAAGTTCGAGCATGTTGGGATATTGAGTATCCTTGTCTCAAACTCGTTGTTAAAACTCTTTTTCAGGGCTTAAAAGTGTTATGAAGCAGTTTCCATCATTGTAGACAAAAGAGATTCAAACAAGCTGACAACAAATGATCGTGGTTTCAAAATGAGAATGAAACATGAAATAAAACTTAAAGGATTGACTTTCGTAGTAACTTATAGACGATGGAACAATTCAATGGGTTGAGTTTTGATTGTTTTCTCTTTTCGCTTGTTCTGGCAATATGAGGTTGAGGGGAAACAAAGTGGAAATTCAAGGACAATCCTCATTTTACTAGCTTCGACTGGTTGCCGGACAAGGAGTGTATATAAAAGTCAGCTGGCAATTAGGAAATCCGTTCTTTCTGTGCTGTATGAGGTGAAGGTATTTGCTAGCTGGTTTGCACATTTAAATGGTAAAGACTAACAAAAGAACTTGACGGTTTTTCACGAACTCTTCTATTGTTCTTTTGACTAATTTCCTTCACACTCATGACAAACTTTCTCATTGAGCATAGTGAATAATGAGTTTACGAGAGCTGGGGGTGGCTGAATGGGTGACTGAATGGATGGGGGGGAGTAATGCCCCTAATTGGCTTCATTAATTATAACAAACCGAATCGTTTCAATCGACAGAGTTGAAATATGAGTCACTACTACTTCTACATTCACCTAATTCATTTTCTGGTGGATCCCCATCTTTCTATTGTCTCAGAAAATTCTCAATTGAAGGTGAACGACACAGAACAACGATATTAGTAGCAGAACACGTCTGTGTCATATATATACCCACTTTCCTATCAATCTTTCAACTTATTTCTCGATCTATCATCAGCGACTCTCCTCGATACTCAACAGCAGCAAAATGTCAAACATGAACCATATTTCACCTCCCCCGCTCCGAAAGAGACTGGGACAGATCAAAATGGCAGACGGCTACTGGGTTTCCGAACGTCCGTGCCACTATGTCCTGATATACTATCAGGGATGTGGCCATGTGGTAGCCAATTACACCCATAGACCTAAGTGTGTCCGTAGAGAGATACCTCAATCAGTAAGAGCGTCACATGACCATAGCTTCTGCGAAGATGTCAATAATGCACTTGATGATCTTGATAGCCACGTCTTTAATGGCACTTACTCGCTGTACGAAAGTGGAGGAATGTACAACGGACTTCCACGAATATGTCCTGATTCCAAATCCAAAGCCTGTCAGCAGTCCATATGCGAGGTAAAGCTCGCTATAGCGCAATGCCATGCCTGCGGAGGAGGAGCTCCGATATTTGATTATCTGCCAGAGATTTACCAGCGATGGCGAGACCTCGAAGACCGACACAAAATTGTTTTGGAAAAATCATACTTCAGTATCATCAAAGATAGGCGGCAGCGAATGTGGCATAGAGAATTTGCTCTATTCGTGGCAAGATATGTCACTGAATCAACACCAGAAGCCATGCGTCCAGTGCTTTACGATCCCGACGACAGGAACGGATTTCTCAAGGCTGTAAGCGATCAAGCCATTGAAAGGATGACATCAGAGGATTGGAAATGCCCCATTTGCACTGAGGGTACCGAGGACGGAGAATGCGCAACACTCTCATGTAGACACGTTTACCATGTTGAATGCGTTAAAACATGGTTCGGTGACCATGGACCACCCGCTTTCGAGAACGGGGTATTCCGTACTGTTAGCAAAAACAACACTTGCCCAATGTGTCGTAAAAATTGGGCGAAGATTATCGGCGTACCGAGCTGGGAAGACACGGAGTACGGGGGTGCTTCTCTAAAATATAGAGGAGGATACAAACCTTTTCAGCCATCTTCTTATGGCTATGGTCGTGCTCAAGATCGTGTCGCTCAGCCCAATACCGACTACGCAATTGCAGAGGACGACTATGCTCTGGATGAAGGAGATGTTGAGTCCATTTTCCCACCTGACGGCCACGTTCGTCCAAGATCTCGAATGGCCGGCGGAACTGTGAATCAGATATTCGAACACTCTTCCCCTTTACAACAAGTTAGGAACCAGTTCGCAATGGTGAGTGGGCCGGAAAGCCAAAGCTACCACGAAATTGACCAGCGACAGTTCACAAATCCATTTGCAAGTTCGGCTAGTCCGTCAAGCCACAGTCAAACCTTCCCCCAAGGACAAATTCAACAGTTGAATACAGGCGTCAGAATGCGCAACGTAGACGTCTCGGAATCAAACGAGATCAATATCTTTGGAAACATCAGCAAGAACACTGTGGTCCAGACCGCGGTACTTTCCGATCACCTTAGCAATTCAAAAAGGGTGGAACTAACGAAGGTGACCACGGAGAATTTTGCTGGTAATCCAGTGACTAAGACAACTGCTCGTATGAGAAATCTGGACGGCTCAGGAGAAAGAGCTATTGCGAATGGTGGCTACTTCCTTGACACCGTTCCCGCTGTTTGGTATCAAGATCCAGTCTTCGTTCAAGTCTTAAATTACTGTAGACAAGAAGTGGTGACTCCAAGCTTCCAGGTTCAGGCTACTAGCAATAGATCCTTTTTACACACACCTTTTCAATCGACTAGGAATCAGCGGGAGACTTTCAATCCGGGAACAATAAGGGTTCCATCCAGCTTATCAGATCCACTTGGGTTCAACACATTCCCCATACCACCAGGTTCTCACTTGCCACTATCTCAACAGCCAGGATCACGATTAGGCGATCCAAACTACACTCCTGGATCTTTTCCCTTACCCGTCAACAGTATATTTTCTAGCGGGGAAGGGAACGCCGCGCGGATGCAAAATTCATTCATTCCTCTCCAAGGACCATCGGGCTTGGCCGCAAGATCTATACCGTGGTATTCTGAGATGGACCAAAGAAGACAACGAGCTTGGCAGTTTGGCGAGCCAGATCCATATGAAACTGACACATTGTGATAACTGGCAACATCGACTTGAAGAGTATCGCTGGACATCTATAGAACTGTGCAAAGGAAATCTCAAATAACCCAATAAACTTGTAATTTGGTAGCGGATATGTCTGTTGTGTCCAAAGTAAACTAGAACAAGTAATGACCATTCCATACCTGTCTCGCTGTGAATAACTGTGAAAATTTCTCCTCCTCTCTTCACCTGCGCGGTTCTCTTATATTGCACGAAACGTCTTCGCTATGGGCTTGTAAATAAACCCTAAATCTACAACAATTGGGCTTAGGGATATAAATCAAAGATAGTGTATGGCAAGATCCGAGCGTACATGTAAGCCTCGCCGAATAAACTTTTCATAAATAAGCAAATGAACTTGTATAATCTGGAATCTAAAGAGCATAAAAACAAAATTGCCCTGCTAATGGCCGTTGATAGAATATTCCCATCATCCAAAATGACAACTTAAGGAAGGAACAAAGAGTAGCGCATCATGCACTTGCTCTTTTTAGATCTCGTACAATTTGATCCAGTGCTTTCCACGCCTGCTCCACTATTTCCAGGTCTTTGTCTCCATGCAACAGGTTCTGATCAAAAGCATGCGGAGCGTCTGGAACAGTGAAAAGTATCGCAGTTTCCGAACCTACCGCAAGTCAACAATCTGAAATTCAGCTTATGCGAGGCAGACATACCAATAGCTTTGAAAAGATTTGTGGCTGCCTCATAAGGAACTATTTGGTCGTTCGTACCATGGATAATAATTGTCTTAGGAAGTTGTCTCCAAGCCGGCGAGGAGTACGGAACTTCGATGTCGGAAACCAGAGGTGGAAGTTTGTTTTCTTGGACAAGCCAATTGTAAAGAAACGCTGGTTCGTTGAAGGGCTCCGGATTTACAGGCATCTTGAAATCTGGGTTTGGTCGACCATCGTCGAGTAGTGATTCTGGATAGAATGCCATGTCTGGTGGTGTATGCCCCGCAGACATTGGTGCCTCAAGAAACCAAGAGACTTCGTCAAACTCTATAGGTGCGTTCCCAATAATATGATTCGAACTCCAAAATTTACCCATGCAATTTCCTGGTCCGTAAAGACAGAACAGAGCTAATGGTTTTGGCTCAAGGTTGAGGCCAGCTTGGTAGGCCATGTAAGCACCTTAATCGTATCTTGTAAGTATGAGCCTCTTTGAGATTCGTGGAGGAGATCAATACCGGCACTATTTCCGCCAACGATTATGTTCTCCCATATTCCGTCTCCCTTGTCAGCAATTCGACATAGATTCCCCCTCACAAATCTATACGCATCGCAGATATTAGACACCAAATCTTCGCCTTTTGCTTGCGGAAGAAGATTGTAGTCGACTGAGATCAGTGGCCATTTTCTTTGGACGCAAGATTGCACGATGTGAGTTGGGATGAATTCGCGATTGAACGCGACCAGCCCACCTCCGTGAAAGTATATGAATGCCGGTGTAGTGTTATCAATACTGCTGCGATCGGCTGAGAGATAAATATCGAGTTGTAAGTCCCCGCTTCTGGAATGGGCGTAAGCATGTGTCGTTTTGGACAGCATCTCAAAATAAGGGTACGAAGCAAAAGTGATTGCGATTCTAACCCTGTGATTGTTTGCTAACTTAATACCAGCACTGACTTTTCATTCGAGAGGCAGTCAATGGAATCTAACAAAGTACCAATATATGAGCAACAACTAATTTAGACACCAATGACCGCCTGACCCGAGGGTATTTTGTTTCTTTCATTCTCGCCATTAATAATCAGGATTGACTTGCGTTTACCCAACTTGGAAGTGCCGATCATGTGATTATCTTCTGAAAACAGCTTAGTGTTGTAGGTATTTAAAAAGATATTAACCAATTGGACGAATGGGTAAATGGAGCGATTATATCTCGTAGTACGATGATTCGCCAGTACACTCAAATTGAGCTCAGGGTATAATGGTATTGAGATTTTGAGAGAAGTCTTCTTAACTCTTCTTATTTCATAAGTGCATCTAATCTGCTTAAGTTCGTCTGAGTGATCCACTTCAATGACCAAATGTAGCTCATTTGGCACAGTTTGTCGTCTTTCTTACTCAAGAAGTTGTTCTGTAAGTCTTCCGAGACACTCGCATACCGTGATGATTAATCCATAGCTAAATTGCAGTGGTTGAGAAGGCTCACTCCGTGTTTGTGGCTTGTGTATTTCCTTTTTTGCGAACACCTTCTGTTAAATAAAGTATTCCGACTAATCAGGTCAATCTCGTGTCAGCTATAGCCTACAGGTCTTTGGACCGTTACTTCAATGGCCGATTGTCCAGAGTCAATTCGAATATCCCATCTGAGGTGGTCGATTACGACTTCAGTAGTAACAACAGCCGGACTTCTTCGTATAACATGGAATCAGGTTTCCAATGCAAACTATAAATCAAACAACGAGCTATTAAATTCAATCATAGATATCCGGTTAACAAGATCCCGACGACACAAATCACTAAAGATCTGTGAACCTTTTCTGTCACATCTGGGCCAAATCCGAAGGCTTTGAGAGTTTCAAAAGGTGTGCCGCATTTCAGCTCCTTCCCGATTGTTCTTATATCGAAGGCTGTGAAGAACGGTTGATTGCGGGTCCTCATCGGCTGCGTGCTTCCATTGGATCTTAGGACCTGGGACTTGGGGACTTAGAAGCTTTTACGTGGTGTGGCTTTTCCCCCCTAATAGAGGTAATGAATGATAATCAATTCAACCTCTTATGGGGAGTGAAGTAACTGCGTGGTTGAAAATGGGATCAAGGGGCATTAAACTTCAGTCGTGATTTCGATATATATATATATATATATATAATATAATATACAGTGACACAGGTCTACTAAACTCTTGACTGATCAGTTATTTTACTTCACAATGTGTGTCCGAGGGTGTAATAGGTGAGCTGTGTAGAGGTTGCAACACATCAATAAGTCCACCAATCGTACACTGTGGTGCTGTTTGTAGTCCATCAACTCGAACAGACAACCTCATATAAGCAGAACTCGAGAACAGAACCTGAGTTCAGAAAAGCGAAGTTCCATCTTGGTAAACCTCTCAAATACGCCAGGTACCGGAATAATACTATATTAGTTTGATACCACTGGAGTTCTCTATGACAACAATTTCGCCTATAATTCTAATTCACTGTTGACTTTGAAACTCTTATTAGCACGAGCGGAGAATGATCACTTCACTTCAAACCAGCTTCGCCGGATTGAGAAAGGTCCGATTGGAAGAACAACTCTCGTATGCATCGAAAGCTCGTCTCAGACAGAGGCACGCCACAGATATATATAACACTCACCGGAATTACCCAGTGGCGTCATCAAGAACTTGGTGAGTTTTGGGTAATATTAAATCCCAACCAGTCGCAAGTGGGAAGTCTTGGATGACCGTTCTTGTCTTGAAATGCTGGCCGCAAAGGTCGGAGCGTAACTTCGGCAACACCACCCCAGAGCCCACAGGGCATTTCTTCACCGGAATGTCCAGGTCTCCTCCCCGATTCCCCGCAAACAAGCGACCCAACATCAGGGGTTCAGAAGCTGAAGGATGTCCATCCGACCTGCGACCAAGCGTAAAACCCAGTGTTCAAGACCCTGCGGCGATCTGACCACGTTGTGGCGTGCCATTCCGGAAAAGGATATCAAATCAGAAGAGCCGTGTATAATTGGTGGCTTGAGCTGCCCCGTGTAAGCGACCATGGTTCTCGTTCTTGCTTCCCCTTTCAACCATGTGCAGCAAAAGAAAGAAATTCAGCAACTTCACATTCAAGATTCAAATGGCTGGGGAGACCCTACTATCAACTTGAATTGTAAGCATCAAACAATGACATTGAGCTCGCTAACTGCCCGATTTGCAACGGTCTCGAGTCCCCTGGAGCGTGCTTTCCCGCAATACGTACAGAATTGGATCTGGGTATTTTCCAGCATGGCGCCAGCTTTTCAGCTTTGGCGTTATGGTTGATGAGTGGATTTCCGGGGATCACGCCTGGACCAGCGATCGGCTTCTGATCGCGCGTTTTTCGAATTCTGACAAGCTCCAAATACTACTTGACAAGGTGGATCTCCCGCTTTTTAGTTGAGAAGCACAGTCTTTCTTTCATTCTTCGTCTTCTCCTCATATCATCAGCCCTAGCAGCACCATTCACTTGTGGGCCAGCTTCAGACTGACTTTGTTTTTGTCGACGAAACACCATCAGTGATGGGACCTTCAGGAGAGCCCGGTCCAGATGTTAATTTATCTCCGCAGTTCCTGATTCCATGTGGGATACTTGCTATTATTGTATTATTTTTGTGCTCAGCAAGAACGTACTCTCGCTGTAGACCCTCGATACATCTTAGACTCGATGACTATCTTATTATTATCGCCGCAGTAAGTTTCCGCAATTCTAGAGACACCATAGCCAAACATAGTCTTACCAACCAAACAGATTCTCTCCCTCGGTGAATATGTCGCAGCAGCAATATCAGCCTGCTACGGTTGGGGTCGTCTGAGCTATTACATTCCACCAGCCAAGCTCGCAATTGCTTTGAAAGCACAGTTTGCCGTTCAAGCATTATGGCTACAGACAATTACGCTAGTGCGACTTTCCATCGCATGCTCTTTGTTGCCATTAAGTCAGAATAAAACATGGAGGGCAACGCTTTACTTTCTTATCACCGGGCAAATTTTCTTCTACCTCGCTTGGATGATCCTTTTATTCGTCAGTTGTCGTCCCCTTCGGTCATGGTGGGAGCCGACCATTAAAGCAACCTGTTGGCCGTACAATCCCGTTATGAACTTCTCATGGGCAACAGCTTGTAAGTGATCTCATACTCTAAACCCCTACTTAGCTAATTCGAGAAGCTTTTTTTATTGCGATGGACCTATTGATGGCACTTTCACCAATCACTCTCATCAAAACGTTGAATCGCCCTTTGAGAGAGAAGGTTCTCGTTGCCGGTCTAATGGCACTAGGACTCCTAACGACAGCTGCAGCAGGTGCCAAAATGTCGACATTCCCAGGAATTTACAAGGGAGACGTTCTTCAGGGACAAATGCTGGCATCCCTCCTGGCAAAACTCGAGGAGCAGATAGGAATAATCTGTGCCTGCTTGCCGACGCTAAAAGGTCCAGCAGAACGGCTGCTGATTCGTCTCGGTGTTCTGTCTCACGAACTTCGATTCTCTAGGCCAAGCTTCGTCATGTCTGCTAGACGACAAGCAACTCCAACATTAACAAGCCGTACATTGGAGTCATCGAATGTGGACAGTGATTACAACAGTAATGTGACCACTTTATGGCTTGATTCGCAGAATTCGAAATCAACAAAAGGTGACTCGGGCTTCGACAGTCTTTCCCAGAGCTCAAGCAAACAGAGTTTAGCTCAAGGTACTAAGGCGCCCGTTGTGAGGGTTGAAGAAGTGTAGGATTTGTATAAGTGGGCTTTCTGTGGTAGATTTGGTGTTTACCGAACGGGTTTGGGTGCATTGATCTGGTCAAAGGCGTGTATTGAGCATTTATATGGTCCTGTATTGTGAAAGGGTTCCCTGTGGCTTCTACCACACGACGGCGTAGCTGAGTCTTAGAGATTCCGGAGCATTGTCTTTGCATTTTCATTTCAGGACAGGAGAATTTTGGGCAGAGCTTTCATTCACTAACGGGTTAAGACCATTTTTTGATTGTTATGGGTGCGGAACGAAGAGTTCGTTTTACGCACGAGCTTTTGAGTATAAGTTGCTGTGTTGATAGTATGTAGTATTTTTAAATGGCGAAAGTTGCTTGAGCATCACGATCATTTGCAACGTCTCGATGATTTCCTTACGCTACATTTGCTTGAAAAGTATTGAAAGCTGTTGCGAGATTCGCGGGGAATTGAGTTACCTCCGAACCGAACCTCCTTCTTTTTATTTCGAAGTCTAGATCTTCTCTGCGATCTCTCATACTCCTCAAATTTGAGCTCATCGTTGATTGAAAATATCTCGTCGCGAAAATCCTCAAAAGCACTTCTTGCTGCGATGTTATCGACGTCGATGGCCCAGGCTATCTCTCTGATACCTCGAAGAGCGACCTCGTCAGGGTCCACAGGCCTTCTATATGTTTCGAGCCATTTTTCGAGCACTCTTGAATGATGGATGCAGGCTGCTGTGAAAAATGCGTCGAACTCATTATCTGTTGGAGCCCGTGAATACATCTAATGCGGTGCGACGAACCGCCCAAGAAATTAAAATCGAAAATGACAGAAGGAATGCAACCTTTCACATGCACGAAGTCAGCAGCATGAAAGCTTGAAGTTTGCTACCAGCTGTCGGTAAGTCCGTTGGAGCCATTATAAAGTATCGATAACAACATGATTGTCCCAATTTCTCAAAGGAAAATAAAAAGCTTTCGAATTCTGCAACAACTTTCTTTGTTGACGAAATTTGATTAAGGAAAAACTTAGACCGTCCCCATCTCAACAGTAAGCCTTACAAATCCAATCCCGTTCATTGATAGAATTTTGTAAGTGAACACTGAAAAGCACTGCTCCAGAGTTAGGAAGAATATCAAAATTAACATGAAACATATTCAAACACACTATCAACTATGATTATTTCTAATGCGAGTCATGGAATCGTTGAAAAAGAGTCTTATTAGCTAAAATCAACATCATAATCAAAACTGTGATAATTTTTTTACAGCAAACCAACTTCCATGGCTCGCTTAATCTGCAAACAATGTCTTTGAGGACATGTTGCTTGTCTGCAATGCATCAAGACAAAGAAAATTCTTGTTCTTTCAAAAATATTGCTAATTTTCTTCGACTCTCTAAAACAGAAGAGACTGACTATACAGTAAGACTATCAGTATCCGAATTTACTGTTTCCTTCCCCTGAACTGAACAATTGGACTTGGAACGTCTACAAAGTTGGAAAATGTATAAGAGGCACCTTGGGTGGCAGAAAGTGAATCGTCAAACCGACTGGCTCTGCTAAAAGGTATTTCAGTTCTACAAAACCAGTCACTTTGAGGAACCTTACAGTAGATCTACTTGCACATTCGAACGCAAATCTTTCGAATCTCAAGCACGCATCTCTTTGCACAGCAGTCAACAGCATGCCTTACAGCCGCGCTCAAGAACGTCGTGCGAAGAAGAAGTCCCAGTCCGGGCGAAACTCACCCATGACTTCGTCTACCGCTAGTCTTGCATCGTCATCAGACACAGCAAGGAAGTCACCTGCACTTTCAGCTTCCTCAAACCCCACATACCTAGTTACTAGCTCCAGTTTGGACGGTGCAGATACACCGTCAACTACTGATTTGGTTGCCATGAGAGAAGAAGCCGTAGTCGTCGCTAACAGTGCTGCTACATTGTTACAAACAAAGACCTCTTCCAATTCCAAACGAAGTCTTTCGGCAACAGCGAGAGAATTCATACCATCTGCTTCTGCCAGTCCAATTACCGCCGATATTACTATTTCAAGAGCGTCAGGGGCAGAGATCACCCCATCCAGTTCGCCTGAATCTTTCACTCATGGCCCAACAACTAGAGCACCTAGAAGCCAAAGTCGTTTGAGATTTTTCCAGAATTCTGCTCCCAACGATGACCTCGAAGTGTCACCAATAGCTCTAGATAGCAGCATTGTGGAATGCGGAGAAGTCATCAGTCGAACAGCTTCCCCTGAAACCTACGATTCAAATTCGAACTACGGATACCAACACGTCCGCTTCCAAGAACACTCCCCAGATTCTGCACACCCAAAACCCGGCCAATTCATCCTGCCGTCCGAAAACGAAATCCGAGCATGGCAGCGAAACGTCGAACACCACATAACCATCATCTCCAACCTCCGAATAATGGACGATCAAATCCTCATCGCCGTCGGAGACTGGAGCCGCGAGATCCAAGAAGGCCTCGAAACCCAAAGACAACTTGAAGACCAACATGACTGGGACCGCTTGGTTCCAGCTGAAGTCTACGAGCCCAAGGCATGGGAGGCCCAGATGAATGCTATCGTGCTCAATATGACTGCTGATGGACATTCGGAGGAGGCGATTAATCTTTTCCTTGCCCAGGTGAAAGCACATCATCACCGTATGTGGGAATTTATGTTGGCAATGCAGGAGGTGCAAATTGATGCTTATAGATTTCGAATGCTTACTGAGTGGGCATATCATACCCCTCAGCGCGTAGGTAGCGCTAGTTGCGAAGAGGGCTCAGTGACTCCAATCATGAGCCCAATCCCTATAAACACTGGTCGGGTGGTTTAAGACGGATAGATTACATTGGGTTGACTTCGTAAGACAACTTTAGCAACTGGTTCGCTTTGTCTTAAGAAAAAAGGGAGGAAGTTTTCCATTTCTAGGCGGCTTCATCAGTATCATACAACTATTAATTAAAAAAAAGTTTTGGTTTTGCATACATTCAAACATATATATTCAATGCTTCAACACCCGTGACCACATATTCTTTGCCTTGCAGTTCAAGTATTATAGAACAATCGGCTTTTACACAGACCCTTCCATACAGGGAAAAATAACCGGACTATAAAACTAACAGCCCCAAAGAAAAACCTGACCTTTCAAAAATAAACCATTCCCATTTCCAATCAAGCTCACGTAACACTAAATCCCCACACTATATTCCAATACTTCTCCGGATCTCTCATCATAAGTTGTACATGTTTACTTCCCTCCGATTTCATCAGTGTCGACTTGACGCCCTTTTCGCGTGCCTCCTTAGCATGTCTCACCACAGAGCGCCAGTCAACTGAACGATCCACCTCGCTGTACATATATAACCGCCTCTGGTTCTCATTCACACAGTTTAAGTCGTTAAGTCGTTCGTTACTGCTCTTCAGCCGTGGACCAGGCCCAAACATCGTCCGTCCTAAGATTACCAGTACTAGCCACATGAAAATAGCGGTGGGATACCAGAGCAGACCTTTGGGGAAGGCTTGAGAGAAGGCGTGAAAAGCACTACCGAGTGTGTATTCGCCGGGTCCACTGTCGAACACCACATTCCCGACGTTCAGTTTGTTTCCCGTTTTCTCCTTATAGAGTTGACATATATCCGCGAACCCCAGAGCTCCGCCATTACTCATGACATGTGCGATTATCTTCCTGTTCTCAGCAGGTGCTGGGTCACTCTCGATTGCAGCGATAATGGGTTCATGAAGGCGCAGTCGTGCGGAAGTGGAGGTAAATGCGAAAAAGCCAGTTTGGGAGCGGACGGAGATTATTCGCGCGTTAGGGTAGAGTGTGTGGTAGTGCTGGTAGAAAGAGTTGAGGTAACGGGATCGAGAGGATACGCCCATCCAAGCGCAGAATATGATTGTTGTTGGGTGAGAGTGGTGGATCGGGGCTTCTGTTGGTGGAGGAGTGTAGATGGAGAGGATTGGGTTTAGCCATGTGAATTCGAGCTTTGGAGGTTCGGTATTTGTAGCCATTTTGCTCTCTGGATGCACTTCGACTCTGCCAAATATTTGATACTTAGAGGTTCAAGCGCAGAAGAGAGAGTTAAAAGTTCAAATGAGTGACTACATATTGTTGTACGTTATCCTCGCATGTTGGATTGTTGGAAACCGTCAGCTTGCCCCGCCCCCTTTTATTAAGCGAGCTCCGGGCTGCTGTACGCTTTCGAACCACGCTATTTTCACAAAGTGCTATAGGTTTACCATAACATTTCTTTTGCAGTCAATTACAATCATTGGAGAGAGAAAAGTTGCGTCGCGTATGGGGTTTCACTGCCATTGCTGTGCCACGCGTACATACGATGTCAGATCGAGTGGCACAAATTAATTCCAACAACGCTAACAAATTCAAATCCTTGGATTTCTTGGCTGCTGATTAGTTCTGTTGGTTAGCTAGAGTTGGCCTCTATTAGCATGTGATGTTGTTAAATCAGTGGGTAATTGGGATGAAATAAAGTCAATTCGAAGTGAGCTGGCCTGAATTAAATTCTAATGTTGGGTCTGTATGGCGGAGGCTCAGCAAAGTGAGGTGGCCCAACATCGAAGTCGATAGTTGTCGACGTCCAGTGAGCGGTAAATAAAATGTGTGTCAGACTAAACGCAACCTCAAGTGTGATGGGTTTAAGCGGAAAGTTTGAGCATTGCTGACGCTTGTTTCGAACATAATGTGAATATAATCAATCTCGACTGCAATCTATTTGTACTCCGAAGAACCTTGGTCAAGCTTTTGAGACTCAGCGTCACAAAGGATTAAGAAGATAACCAAAAGACATAACCCTACACGCTATCACCCCTCCCCATCCTCGTACTCATCCGACTCCACGTCTGCTTATTAGCCTCCCTCAGCGCACTCACAGTCCTTCCCTCTTTCTTGCTGTCATCAGTAAGATGTTTAGTCTGACCTATACCCGCATCAGCAAATTAACATATCATCTCACTGGATCGTTAATAACACACCCATGCCAAAAGGCGTAAAATTCAGATAAACAGTCTCCCAGTGGCCCTTCGGAACAGCATAGGTCTCATGCATAATACCAATATGCGGATTCTTCTTCGAAGTGGCAGTAAATAAATCCCAGCCTTTGCGGTGTGCAGGTCCTAATGCGAAGGCTTGAAGATGCGCCATGGATTTCCAGTAGGAGATCCAGCACATGGAGTTTCCCGAGTCGGTCTCGGTGGCGAAGAGAGTGGACGTTTTGCCCATAACTAGGGACAATTGTTAATAATTTCTTCCAAGAATTGAACGCATGGTAGGAACAATTAATTTTGCATGGAAGAATCACTCACATCCCCATTTCTCACGGTTTCTCGATGCTTCGCGCCACATATCTCCGAAAAGCCCACTGATCTCTTGGAATCCAGGGGCAAATCGGCCTTTGGCACTATCACAAGTAATCAGCTTCATCTAAGATTTCATATTTAAACAATGTGGGTAACTTGCTGGCTCGAACGCGCTCCAGAGATCATGACAACAACTTCTTGATCAGAAGGCTCCGCTGCAAGCGATCCATCCGCTCGTGGTATCTGCGTAGAGAGCTTTCCCAAACGAACATTGTCAAGACTATCGTCACGCAAAAAGCCTAGCTGAACGAGAAGGGATTTGGCGATGCGAAACGAGAGGAGAATGGCAGTTGGTAGGATAGCTCGGGAAGGAGGTAGAACTACTAGCAAAGCTGCTTGTAACGAGGCACCTATGAGCAGCCATGTTGACATGCGAAGATCATCGCGGAAGTAAAGAAGTCTGAAATTTGAGAATGCCATTCTGGTGAGTTGTTTGGGATTGTTTATGGATTGTTGCAGTGAAAGTGTGTTCTGGAAGAAATAATGACAGTGATGGCTGTGCCATCAGAACCAACTCGACCAACTCGCTTGTTGGTTGGATGACTTCTTGCTTTTGGCGGACATATTATTGCTGATAACACTTCAAAACATGACATGGATACTCAACATACACTGGTTTACGCTCTCTTGAATTTCCGAATAAAATCCTAGGGCTCGTTATCTGTCCGTTGGGTTAAGATTACATGCTAACTGAAAGGTGTTCATTCGACATTCTCGTAACAGAATGGCCCTGGACATGGATTTAGGCAAAACGAGCATGTAAGACTATACCAGTTTACTTTTGAATTAGAGAATAGTGTGGTAAATCGGTAGATATATGAATACATTGCCGCATGCCGAAGTCACGAAGACTGACTGTATCGTGGAAGAATGTCCCATTTCTGAAAGTGTCGAAGTATCACAAACTTTTCATTATCTCTGGTCAAATTCAAGATTTGTTGGGAAGCCCATACTACTAACCTTTGATGTTCATCGGAATTTTTTTCCCCAGTCGAGTCTCTATTTCTTCGTATAAGCTTATTTGTGTCTTTGACTCGTTTACGACGGGTCAAAGTTGCACTTGAATGAGCCCTTGTCAGAACTAACATGAGTTAGAGCATTAAGACTCAATTCGACTGATGTATAATGGAATCTCAAAAGTTTCAATTCATATCAGCAGTTTCCAGAGACGAAACATTGTACACACCATCTCTCCCCAATCAAACCCCTCCTTCTCCACCCCAAACCCCGAAACTCCTCGCCCCGCACCGCACATCTGGGGTGCATAAGCCCGCCCCTCACTTCCCGGGCCTGCACCAATCAGCAGCCCCTTCACCAACACCCATCCAATAGCCAACTGCTTCGTCAGGGCACAGCATATCCGCGTATCCAATAACAACACCAATAATTCAGGCACGCGCGGTGTTTGAGATGGCTATTGTTATGCGATGCAATGGTGGTGTGTCGATTCACTTGGGAAGGGTTTAAAAGAGGGATGCCCAGGTCTACTTCTTGTTTCTTTGTATACTCGAGTACTTGTAACTTCGTACTGAGTTGAATACATTTACATTCAACACAATAATAGCAACACCAAAGATATCCCCAAACCACCCTTCGAGCGTACAAATTACCCCGCACCATGCCACCCTCCCAGCTCCTCGGTCTGACACGCACCCGTCTTGCGCCTCGCCTCATCAGGGCCCAGCAAGTGAGGTTTACAGAGACGATGGTGTCCACGAAGACGAGCGGGAAGCAAAAGGCGGATTGGGGAAGTCAGTGGAAGAAGGTCGGCAATACTGCTATGATGTAAGTTTCTGACTGAGATGCGAGGATTGTGAGGATATATGCTAATGCGAAATGATAGGTATGGACCGCTTGTTGCGGTGTTGATGTTCTGGCCGTATACTGTGAAGCCGGTTATGGATCGGGTTCGATGGTGATGGGAGTGGGTATATTGGGTTATTGGGTGTTTGGGTTTTGGAATTTTTGATACGGAGAATGGATGGGTTTGGGGTTACGGAGGCGACGGGATCATGATTTGGATGCGCGAGATGGATATGCGTAGAGTTCTTTTCGGATATGAACTTATAAATCAATGGGGATCTATGAAACATACATGTTCCTCTCTCCATTTTGCAAACATGATCAACGGTTCGTGGTGATGGTGAGAGTATGCCTTTTAGCGAAAGACGTGGTTCATTTTCACAGTTTACCACGTCGACATCAGCGAAATAACCGTAGTACTAGATAATATCAAAATCAACATCATTTCTAAGCTGAAAATTTGACTAGGAAGAAGATCGTACTTCCACCAACTATATATAGGTACGTTAGGCTCATTAGTTACGACAGGAGTGGTGGAATCGAGTCCCGACTAAATCTAGAACCCTGGTGGAGCATAGACGACATGACCGACATTATATCACCTCTCGGCCTGTACATTGAATGTGGCGGAACTTAGGGGGTGAGATCTACAATTGTTCGTAGAAAGTCGCCTTTTTCTTCTTCTTCATTCGATATGATGCCGACTTAAAACGCGTAATTAAAAACTTCGAGAGCTCGAATAAAACACCATCATGCCCTGCACTCATTAAACCGCTGGTGTTAACAAATTTCCACAAACCACCACACTAAACAAACCAGTGCATCCTTTTCATCCTCTCACCATCCCCTCCCAAAGATCCTCCAAATCCCTCCCCATAACCCCCATAACCTCCTCCTCCTCCCCATCCCTCTTCGTTACGTACCCCTCAGCAAACTCTCTTTCCAACTCAACTATCCTCATTAGCACAAATCCCCGAATCTGACCGAAAGCCCCATGAACACAGTCAAAAGCAAAAAGAAAACTCACCATGAATAACAACCGCCGCCTTCTTCCCCGTATAAAGCGCATGCGGCACATTCGTACTATTATCACTATTCGCGTCCCCAACCGCCCACACCCCCGTCGCAGCCCTCATACTCGCCGGATCAATAATCATCTTCTCGCCATAAACCTGCACGCCAATCTCCGTGCCCAGATAACTCCGTTGCTTGGATGGGAAATTCGTCATAAACACATCGCGTTCAATAAAACTTCCACCTTCCAAATTAACATTGAAGCGATCGAATTCCGAATCGGTGTTAGGATCGTTGACGAGCGCACCGTCTTGAATGCGCGTTATGCTTGTGATGGTCGTGTTGATGATTTGGATGTTGTAGCCGGTGGAGCTGAGTTGTTGTTGCCAGCCGGGGCGTTTGGTGTTGAGGATTTCGACGTTTTCGGGCGTCCAGGTGCCGTTTACGAAGGCGATTATGTCTTTATTGAGTGTGATGACTTCGAATACAGTGCCTACGACATCAAGAATAGAGCCTAGAATGCCAAAGCGTTGATCGCGGTGTTCGTAACCGTCGCACCAGGGACACCAGTAGATTCCGCGAGACCAAGCTTCTTTGATACCTGGGGTGTCTGGGAGGATGTCACGGAGACCGGTTGCGAGGACAACTTTCTTGCTGGTGTAGATTTGACCGTTGGAATCGGTGGTGATGAATGTTGTGCCGTTGTCGGGGGAGGTGATTGAGACCACGGTACCGTTTTGCATTGTCGCGGTTGGGTATTTGCTGATTCCTTCTCGGGCGGCGGCTCTGAATGCTGCTGGGACGGTATCTAGCCTGGGTCAATTTTCGTTCACTTTGGTAGATGCTTTAGAATATTGTGTGCTTACGATCATATCCGATCATATCATGGAGATGTCTCGTCTCTGCATTTCTGTATTCCGCAGAATCAATCAGAAGAGCATTTCGTCGAACTCTAGCAAGACCGCTCAAAGCGCTCAACCCAGCTGGTCCGCCGCCGATAATGATAACGTCGAATGATGATCCATTGGAGGCTGGTCCGATATCGTATGACGGGCCAGGGATGGAACGAGGATCGAGAGTTATTGGATTGGCGTTACTGGTCGCGACGAAAACCGCCAAAGCGAAAGATATGACGGACTTCATGGTTGCTAACAATACTTCATATAAGCTAGAGAATGAAGAGAGCTGCCTGTCGACGACGAGATAGAGCTTTGAAAAAGTGGAAGTGTAAAGTGCCTCGCGCTTTCCCTGACCACAAGACTTTCGAACATTCCGAAACCTCAAAATTGCAAACAATTAAAGAAATCGCTGGAATCATATGATAGTTTTAGAACTAGATTTAATGCCGAGTATGAGAAAATAATTTGCACGACGAAACTTGGCCACAAAGAGCATCATCATTACCTTTGTCACCATCAACACGCCCTGCTTCCGCAAGCAAGCACAACCTTTGTGCACCCCTCCGCGATGTCATTTGTGTAAACAATGCGGTAGTGTTACCAATCAATCACCTGACCAAGGAAAGTGTTGGGTTTTGGGACTGGTACACTTCCACTATTCGCCTTCAGAGGGATGTTCATTGAATGCTTGCACCCGCCACCAAAGCTTGATTTCTTTGGTCAAAATCGACAAATCTATTTGACCGTATCGCAGGTTCACTGAAACTTGTTCGCAGAGACATAGACTTTAGATATCAGATATGTAATGAGAATGTGTTTGAAAGTTGATATGCGCCAAAAGAAAACCTACTATCTTACATACAATGACAGCCTCTAAACATGATAATTGAGAACATTAAGAAAATTCAGCTCGGCCCAGCAAGTTTCTTCCAAGATTTTCCGCGAAGGAAACAATATTCACGAACGCAATTATGATCCGACGATCTCCTAACATAAAATATGAGAGCGAAATCCTGCCGTAGACTGACGATTGGTCGTTGTATATTCCATAAACATGACAGCTCCAAATATCTACCGTGGTCGAATCATTTTGGTAGTAGATTGGGAACTCTGATGTATGTGTCCGGTCGATTGGCTTCAAGGGTGAGTCTCATTGCCTGATATCTCGCTTCAATGTCCCGCACAGTTCCCCAAATGTCCAAAGGTGGCAATCCTTCTCCGTGTCCTTGAATTCGCATATCAATCTCCCTCTCCTTCTCTTCAATATATTCTCGCAGCTCGCGCCATCCGTTCCAGTCTTGCCTCAATCGATTTGGCATGCCCTTGCTTTTGAGGACAGCCAGCAAACTCGCAACGGCGGTATTTGTAGCACCGAAAACAGTGATGATGGTATGATCGACATCGCCAGCTCCAAAAGCTGTGACTGAAGCCCCAACGATGATTTGGAGAAACATACAGAAAGTCAGGAGAGCATCGCAAGACTGGTAAACGAAACGGGTCCACTGTTCATTGGAAAGAACGCTTTTATAGACGCCTTGGTTCTTGGTTGAGATTTTGGGCTGTTTAGGCTCCTTTGCATCAGGCGGAAGTGGTCTCTTACGACCAGGAAGGTTGCGTTCCGGCTTAGGGGTAACAGGCTTAGGAGGAGGTATACCGAGAGCTGAGTGGAAGATTTCGAGAGGATCGTCGTCGTTGAGAAGCAACGGGTCTTGGTTGCCGTCGAGGGCAGGAAGGGAATTGATTGCTACATGTTCGCTGGATTTCTCGCCATCATGATCGAAACTTCTTGACCCTGTCGCTGATGCCTGTAGAACACCAATGGAAGAAGTCGTTGCTCTGACAGGTGATGGCGTACGAGGAAGCTCGGTCTCGAGATTTTGCAACAACTTTCCATCATTGGCAGATGCCATAGCCGTCAAGTAGAGTGGATTTCTGAATGAAAGACGAGAAGGAGAGGGAAAAGGAGAAGATTCCTCAATCACGACATCAACCATCGTTGGTCAGCGTCGAATCAACGAATTGTGAATGAGATTTGATTTGAGCCACAGGAAAGTGAAAAGGACCTAGGAATGAAGCCATTGCAAGCTGGTGAAACAAGTGTAAATCAGAGCTATGCACCTTCCTGGACTGAAGCAAACCTTCACGACTTGTGGAAACTACTCTCAAACCGCGGAGACATAGCGACTTCCCAAATCATCAAATGCAGCAGCATGCAGGCACGATTAAGCGATCAACAGATGAAAACGCAACAATGGGATCTCAAATGAAAGCGGTCCAAGTAGAAATTTTATCGAATGCTGATACCGACTGCAGCTGCTGAGGGCATGCAGCTGTGTTAATCGCGTTTCCACTGTTCTGCACATTTATAGATGACGCTGTTCAGAACCTTGGAACTTGAGAAATGGAGCAGGTGTACAGGAAGGACACAAGGACGAAGGAAAGAAGAGCCAGAACCATCGGAAGAATAATTGGCCGGATCCGAATCGAAGTCTGACGCACTGACCACCTGGGCACCCATGGTAAACTGGGGAATTTCCCGAATGAGACTTCTTCTTTCTCGACCAGTAAATTGATGAAACGCGACTTAACAAAGTAGGACAGGCTTTCCTCGATAAGTTGTTGATAAAACTCGGTATCGCCTGGATATATCGACCTACGAATCTACGAGATTCTTGTCGCTTTCACTCTCCAGCATTAAGCGTCGCGTCGTCCTCGTACGGTGGTTGCACTGCATGCGTTGGACTTGGCGTTGGTAATCATGATGGCCCAGCCAGTATGGCGTTCTTCGCTCTCTTTCCCGATGTGAAGGAACATGGCGAACCAAGAAGCGACCAGTAGATTGGAAACGTTGTCAACAGAACTTCTACAGCAGATAGTAGTGCTTCTTCCATGTCAATCCGCCTTGAGCTTCGTGCTATGTAGTCGAAGAATTCGACATGCATGCGACCAGCTCAGACTTTGGCGACAAATCGTTCAATCAACCTCTGGGGATATTTTGTTTACGGGACCAACCGGGCGAGTAAAAGTCGCTATTGCCGACATCAAATCACATCACATCAAGTATGAGACAGAGTTACTTCAGTGGCTACCGCAAGCGATAGCGCTATATGGTAGGTCTATCCGTCTCGTGAACAATCTCTACTCAGATTACCAATTTTTTGGACAAGATTTTAACGGTCCCGTCTAGACCGACTTTATTCGTGCACTAGCCTTCTTAATCTTCATTTTTTGTCTGATCTATCATATCATTCTACTGGGCAACCCGTCTTCGGCAACAAGCTTCTAACTGTTTGGGACCAACCCCAGCGAGAGTACCCCACGGATATAGCCTCTCCATTCAACATTGATACGTGGTATGAGGCACAAGCTGCGAGCTTCTGCTTCACCACCACAATATTGTACAAAAACTCATACACAGAAAACGCCATAGGAAGCCCATGGTCGCATGCTCAATACCTCCTAGAAACGAGTCCTTGGACCGAAATACAAGCAACAGACCCAATACTACAACCTGCCGAGTACCTCAAACTGACCACCATACTTCACACGCTAGCGAATAAAGTCATCGGATTTCTCGGTGCACGTCTATGGGCATATCTCATCAGACATAAACCTGCCTTGACGGGGGTGTCTGGTCCTCCTGAACCGAAGAAAATACCATTCTCAACCCTCATGGATCTCCCCGACTTCTTCGAACCTAACAGTGTTCAGAAATTCAGTCTCTGTCATGTGGCAAAGATGGCTGCGCCTAGCTTTTTCGAGCACAGCCAGTGGACTGGGTTCGAATGTGAAATGAAACAAGAGTCTGAAGAGAGCATTACCACCTACAAATGGAATGGTATAGGAGCGGATACAAATAACCTCACCCAGCAACGCCACACAGAAGTGAATTGTTACGCAAAATTCCAGCTGTCTCACTGTGAGGACTCGCGCTTCTACGTCTTGCAATCGAACTGCTTTGTCAGTGGGCAAGAAACACACAATCTTACCCTACGAGTTGACAGTCGAACAGGCATGATCTGGGTCATCGACCATAGTGACATCAACAATGTCCAAAAACCAGGCAAATTCGGAGTCATAACGCCGTTTGGACTGATCTTTGGAGGGTCGAGCCCGGGGTACTGGCTTTGGTTGTGGAAAAGTGAGTGGAGTGGCTGGCATCCAGGAAGTGCTGCTCACGAGGCGGTGCTTAATGTGAACTTTTTTCCTAATTTCAATCCTTTTATTGCAAATGCGGTGAGAAATCTAGCTGGATTAGGTGGTCCCGCGGTGCAACAGCAAGACCCAGATACTTCTTGAATTTCTACCAATATAAATATATAGGGTAAACTGATATTATACTGTGCTGCAACCCTGCTGGTGGTATTAACTTATTTCCGACAAAATTCGGACATACTCACACTATGAGATTCGCGAGGTAAGGGACGGGGGTTTGGGAAAGCTTACGGCGGAGAAACTGAGATGTGGCTGGAACACGATCTTCAACCGATATAAATGGCACTACATTATTGGGTAAGTTCCAATGTAAATAAGATTGACTTGGACTCTGTCCCTTAAAGAATGAATACAAAAAATATTTGTAAGACTTAGCTTGCGTCTAACCTGGCGAGGGAAATCCTGTTATTAGGTTGCTGAGACTTCGCTGGTTAACAGAAAAGCTGTTTTTGAATTGCAAATGGTATGGGGGTCAGGTATGAACCATTTTTCGGATGTTTCTATGTATGCCACCAACTGAGAAGCGTTACCAATATAAACCAGATGATTATTCAAAGCTAAGTTAAAACAGTCTAAGTCTGGGTCTACACTCTACATCATGCTATCATTCATTTCTCTTCCACGAGATTTAAGACGCCGCTCACAACCCAGTCTTATCAACAGCCGTCGCGAGTTTCCCCAAAAGATTCCGTCCAATCGATTTTTCAGATTGCTTCTTCTCCCTCCTCTCCGCGATCGTATAAAACAAACTGCCATCATAAATCCCTCGAATATCCTCCTTTCTCATCTTCCCATCTTCTGGCCATAACATGATATAAGTAGCCAACCCTATCGTCGCATCAGCTTCCACATATTCATCTCACTGATTCACAAAACTTACATTCAAAAAACGCACCACCCCATCCAATCGGATCAGCAATCAACCTTTGTCCCTTCAACAACTTTGAAACATCATAAATCGTAATCCCATCCTTGCCCTCGGAGTATTTGGCGAATATATCCTCGAATTTCTGCGGCACGAACCGGCCTTCGGTGTCATAAGTGCCGCTGTCACTTCCGTGTTTGGCTTTATGCACATTCTTCAAATAGACCCGGAAGAAGGGGTCAGGGAGCCAGGACGGGGAGGTGGGATAGGAGAAATTGGCGTGGATGATGAAGACGGCGAGGAGCGAGAGCAGGATGTTGAAGCCGACGCGGTGGAAGCCGACGTAGGTGTCTTGCGGCCAGATGATGCCGTCGTGGTCGCGGTCGAAGAAATCGCAGTGTTGTTGGAGGACCTAAGTTGTGAGATTGAGGGTGTGATTGGGTTGGAAGGGACTCACGCTTTGGTCGCGGTGTTTGGAGGCCCAGTCGTTTTCGGTGGTTCCTTCGGGGTGGTCTTTTGTTACGGCGATGTTGGCTCTGGGAGTGCCTTATTTGCGATCAGCTTAGGTTTTGAAGAAGTGAGGTGTTTTCTTACCGGTATGTTGAACGACTTGATCGTTATCCGGTTGTATGAACGGCTTTCTCTCAACCGTTACCGGTACCGATGGAATCGAGCTCACGACACTCTGCTTGTTAATTCCATTTGTCAATTCCGAATGAGGGGTCCTGTGAGAGGCGGTATTGGGTTCCATTTTCTCGGTTTGTGATATGAAATCGAGAGTTGGGTTATGTTGATTTTGTTGTGAGTTTGTTCGCTTCATATATGTTTTATCATCTTCGACGTCATACATAATTCAGGTCGAGATAGCGGACCAAGTTTCCGCTCGAGTGAAGCCGCATTTTGAGAGCAGACTATTAATTTGAGATCGAAATCGGCTAATAAATCTTAGAGTTCCTTGAGTGTTTCGAGATTTTGCTGATGTTGTGAGAAAAGGATGGACATTCTTGTCGCGACCCTGCAGTCAATTCTGTTGCCATGACAGTTTCGTTCGCACATTACGGAATCGAGGGAGTACCTAGGTATCCCGGTCTAAAAAGGAAAACTCGTAAATAAAAATGGCTGCCAGATACAAACAGAAAAAGCATTGGAAATTTAATTTTCGTGACATAAGATCACTAATGTATTGATTTCTCTTCTGTTGCTCCGGCACCCGGCCCGTGGCCGGCGGAGACGTCCCAAAAATCCCCCGCTGACCGACCGGGATTGCCAAATCCGAAACGCGTCCCCAACATCCAATACAACAGGTCTCCCCATCTTCTGAAATCAACGACTCAACGTCATCCGGACTTGCTCAACATGGAATTCTCACTCTTTCCAAAGCTTCCGCACGAGATTCAATTGATGGTTTGGGAGTGCCTGCTCAAACCCCGGATTATCCATATCACCGACCTGATTTCATACTTGAACGGTGACGACAAGAAGAGATGTAACCCAAAGGGTGCTAAAACCGACGAATTAAAGTTGTGTACTCCCTTCGCATTGAACAATTTCACTGCAGTCTCGCCTCTTTCGATCTGTCACAGTTCCCGCCAGTTCTGTCTCTCTCGAGGGTACAAAATCTTGCTTCTAAGTACACTTTCTAAAAAAACAATGCTTATTATGTGGAATCCCGAAATCGATTATATCGCCCTTCAAGGCCGCATGGACCGTTTCCTCCTTCCCGAGAACTTGTCACGGTACCATCCAGAATTTGCTGCGGAAACTCGTAACCTCATCTTGTACGTGACCGAAACCTTCTGGCATGGGCTTTCCTGCATGAGAACCGTTTTGTACGAAACATGGACAAACCAGCCGATGTCTGTGAAACAGACAAATGCAATAGAGCTATTAACCCGCCACTTGAAAGGCCTGAAAAGTATTTGTTTTACTGAAGAGCCTCCTGCTGAGTGGGCTCGTGGGTCAGACACTTTCCAGAGCGCTGGCTCGCAGCGCGGAAGATACTGGAGGATTTTCCGACCGCTCATAATTCCGAGTCAGGATTCAACAAATGCTGCCGGTGGCTCTTTTTCACCTGAGGTACGGTTCTCCCAAAATGACGATAGTACGCTACAAGGCATATACCAAGTTCTCGATCGCAAGGGCAAGACACACGATCTATCAGAAGCGATCGCGAAATACCAGGTGCATAACCAGGAGAAAAGGCAAATATTGGAGTAGGGGTGTTTCTTAGGTGACTTTCAGGCCTATATGGCACATGATTCACGCTCATTTGCATATTCTAGGGCTATTCTAGGGCGAGGAGAAGCTTACGCCGTGATCGAGATCGATCTCCGGCGGTCAAGTGTTGATGATTTTATGACTACAAATACATCAAAAATGCAGCTGACGAAAAAAGCTCGCTCAGAAGTCTATTTTCTGAGCTGAGAAAACGCACTCTGGATCTGGTAGGCTCTGGAGACTTTATTGACTTATACAATCTGACATTACTTTTCAGCTTCGTGCAGCTTCACTTTCACTCCATTGGCGCTACAATTTGTAGTGCCTAAGTTGTGAAGTGGAATTGGAGACGTGTCCATGTTTTCCATCTTATCAAACCTTTGGAGAAGGCGAATCAAGATGTATGACATCTCAGTCATTGCAAATTGTTGTCCAAGGCAAATTCGAGGGCCGCCGTTGAACTTCAAGTAAGTCAGTAAGACGAGAGATCACGTCAATCAAGAAACAGATTGCTGGATGTTTGAACTTACAGGCACATAGTCCCAACCCATTTTTCTTCCATCCCACCTCTCCGGTCTAAATTGCTGTGCATCCTTGCCCCACAGAGCCTCGTTGCGATGCAAAACCCATACAGCATACATCACGGGTCTGCCTTTAGGGATAAACACCTTGCCCGAACCGTCAAGACCTCCACCACGAGGCAAAGTCGTATCTTTGTTAGCCACTCTCGTATTAACTAAAAGCGGTGGATAGAGTCGCAAAGTTTCGTTGATGACATATTGAAGATACGAACAGGCTTTCATTTTGGCGAATGTAATGTCTCGTTCTGGCTTACACTGCGAATAAGTCCCGAATTCATGTAGAATGATCTTTCGGAGTCTTTGGTAAATTTGTGGCTGACGAACGAGTTCGAAAATGGCCCAGCTGACAGATGAAGCGGTGGTGTCTCGACCTGCGATAAGGATGTTGAGGATCTGGAAACGAAGCTCGATTGGATCTTGAGTGTCCTTTATCAGTTCTTCGAGAAAGACGTACCGACTCCTCTTCTCCTCTGGCTTTCTATCATCCAGTAACATTTTATTTTGAGCTTTCACAAGCGCTTCGCTCACAATGCCGTCAATGGTACTATGAACGATGTTGACAGCACTCATCCACCCCTTCGGAAATACGTACGGCGAAAAGGGACCGTACATGAACCTCGCCGAAGTTCCTTTGGTCGCCTCGTCGATCGCGGTAGCGAAGCCTTTCGCCTTCACGACCTCTTTTTCAGTTTGAACATTCTCCAGTTGACTATCCGCTGACTTCCCGAGTAAAAATTCCGTAGATGTGTCCAAACTCAACGCAAAAAGCAGCGGCTGAAGATCGATCTCTTTACTCCAATCATCAACACTCGACATCCGTGGTAGCACATCTAAAAGTCTCTGGACGTGGAACTCTACACTCGTCAAATCCCTCACCTGCGCACCAGAGAACTGCGGCCGCAGCATCTCCCTCGAATGTTTCCACGCCGCACCATCTTGCGTAAAAATTCCTTGGCCCAAGAAGGGCGCTGTAGCTTGCTGTCTAAACTTCCCAAGATCGAAGTCCGCAAATTGGCCCGCGAGTATTGCTTGGATGTTCACCGGGTCAACTGTCCGTGTTTGCCATGCTCCAAGTGCGAACATCTCTGAGGTCGTAACAGGAGCTCGCTCCGCCCATGTTTCCTCTAACATGTATGGGTACTTGTGTTTATCAAAGGCAGACTTCTCGATGTTAATCTGGTCGAGGCCGAATGGGAGGCGGTTTGCGACGCGGTGCATGGGCTTGCAACCTAGGGCTTTGGCTTTTTGAGCATTGCGATAGAGGTCGAGGTAGTATGAGACATTGTAGTAGATTACGACGAATACTACGAAGGCAAATATTGAAAGAACGATCATGGCAACTGAAATTGGAATGTTGCTTCCAGATGACCTTCTCGTCAAAAAGTGCGATGCGAGTCTGCTTTATATTTACTTACAGTCCAGGTCACTGACCTTGTCAAGACCCATACATGTTGACAAAAAATGTTATGCGCCTCTAACCTACTCATGAGAGGCCTTGGCGCTTTTGAATGCAGTCTCATGCGAAGGAACTGGAAGTACGGAGTACGGAGTCTGTCGACTTCGACGTCTCACCTAAATTCTGCCTATTCCAACCAACCACCTCGTAAGCACAAAATAAGCAGAATCCAGAAAAATCTTTACCGCTAACCCCAACCCCGTATATACAGAGTCGGGCTATGGCAGACTTCAATTCTACGTTATTTTCTTGAATTCTAAGTCGAACAACAAAATCCGACGCCACCTATATCTCTCCACGATCTTTTGACTCAATTGATCTCCGAGAGAATTACGCAGTGCCGGTCACAATCCTTGGCTATTGGTATCTTACTACCGCAACTATAAGGCACAGCTGGCAAGTTACTGGCTAATGTCTGCTTCACGTACATCGTCAAACGACAAACGCATACGCTAGTAGCTACGCCGCACGGCTGCATGTACGAGATGGATTCGAAGAAAGCAATAACGCCGCATTCGCTTAAGTGCTAGAGCATGCTCAACACGGATTCAATTGTTTATGCATTTTTGAGTTTGCAAAATAGTCGCGAAAAATATAAAACTAGTCCTATTTCATGCATCACTTTGCTCAAAAGTACCAATTTTATGTCCATTTACTGTAAACCTAGTACTATTTTGAGACAGCTTTTCGTGTTCTGGCGAGCGCTCAATCTGCGCACGAGGTTGATTTAATTCCGAAAACCCACCAGACGAGACGAAATGTCTAAAAATCACGCAATCATCGTTCAAAAGCCTGGCGAGATCGAATTCCAAGGCACGACCATTCCAACGCTTCGAGATGAGTATCTCCTCGTAAACACGAAAGCCGTTGCACTAAACCCATCTGACTGGAAACACGTCGACTACCTCGCCAAGCCGGGTACCATAGTAAGTTTTCTTTCTCAATCTCTTGGTAACTACCCTTTCTAAGCCAGATAGATAGGCTGTGACTACGCCGGCGAGGTTCTGGAGGTAGGAAGTGCAGTAAAGAAGCCCTTCAAGAAAGGCACCCGAGTCTGCGGCTTCTGTCACGGCGGCAACTCAGTAAACCAGTCTGTTGGTGCCTTTGGTGAGATCATTACCGTCAAAGGCGATATTCAAATTGAAATTCCGTCAAATCTTAGTTATGAAGAAGCCGCAACGCTTGGCGTGGGGATCACGACTGTCGGACAAGGGTTGTATCAATCGCTCGAATTACCTCTACCGAATCAGCCTACGGCAGAGAAGACTTACATTCTGATCTACGGCGGCAGTACGGCTACTGGCGCGTTGGCAATCCAATTTGCGAAGCTTTCCGGCTTGACGGTGGTTACGACATGTAGCCCGGGGAATTTCGAGTATGTCAAGAGCCTTGGTGCTGGTAAATTCGCTTCCTGTCAATATCCTTCTATGGAGGCTGACTAGCCACAGATGCAGCATTTGATTATAACTCTCCCACCTGCGCCAAAGACATCAACGACTAGTCTGAGGACGCCATTTATCTAGCTTTCGATTGCATTTCAAAAGGCTCGTCGCCTCAAATCTCGATTCCCGCTATGTCGAGTTCCGGTGGTGTTTACAGCACCTTGCTGCCAATTGCTGTCTCTACTGTCAGGGAACTTAATCCGAAAGTCCTCATGAAGCTTACAAGCGCGTACACGGTATTTGGTGAGTACTTCAAGGTCGGAAGTTATGACTTTCCCGCCAAGCCTGAGGATCTCGAGTTTGGCAAGATGTTCTGGGAGTTGAGTCGGTGTTTGCTGGAGGAGGGAAAGGTTAAGGTTCATAGGGTCGCTTTGGACAAGTATGGAACGGGCTTTCAGGGGGTTATGAAGGGTATGGATGCTTTGAGAAGGGGAGAGGTTAGTGGAGAGAAGTTGGTTTTCACGGTTTGAGAAGGACGCTAAGTCTTTTAAACGAAAAGTTTACACTTTAACGTCAATCTCAAGCACTATAATTGCTAGTTGAGAATATCTGACTTACAGGTTCGTTTAGCTGAAAAGTGCGTCTTGTGATACACGGACATCAATGCAGCTCTTGATTCTTCGTAATATCTATTTGTTACTTTAAGCGCAAGTTCAATTTTATTTTACTAATCCCATACAAGTGCTAAATCTCTGATATAAATCCCACAATAACGAATTATAATATTACAAAACCAATCCATCCAAGCCCCTGTCAATAAATCCTTTCTCTCCCGACGACCCTCCGCATATCCACGACCATTTCATTTCCATTCATTGGAGCGCTAGTTGTGTTCCCCATGGTTCGGGACATGGAACTTTCCATTGTCCACGAAGTTCGAAAATCCCCGTCGGGATAAATTAGTCAGCTTGCATTGATTGGTTTACTCGTAAATATTTAAGCGAGTTTTCAAGTTTTGCGGTGGAGTCGAGTCTCGGTGAGATATGAATAATGGCATAGACTGTGGAGTAAGGGTTTGGATGGATATTTGACTCTTGTGAATATGTGGAATGTTAAGTTTTTGAAAATAATTTAGCTGGTAATAGATTAGACAATTCTTTAGTGATTTTCTAATGCCGTATTTCCGAAACGAGAGACGGAACTTCCACACTTCTTTTCAACTACAATAAATTATATACTTGAAACCCCATCTCAGGTATTTCAAGATATTGTTATTGAACTAACAGCTCATTGACTAAATAGATCCGCTCAAGTTGAATTGAACGCAGTATTGAAGTCATCCCATAATTGAAATAGGTTATACGTGACACTAGCTGAAAAGAAATCCAGGAGTAGATAAATAAAACGAAATATCCTCAATTGAAGAAACAACCAGTGCGGCTTATGGCATTGTCCATTGATGCACCTCTTCGATTTCATCCACCTTCCCATGCGTGTTTTGCGTTTCAATACTCCTCTCCATCACCACAGGCGCTTTCTCATTAACAACATTTTCCGATTCGCCGTTAATGCCATCGCCAAACTCATCATTTATTCGGATCTCAGGTCCTTCATCTCTCGTCGCATCCTCCAAATCAGAGGCCTCCCTTATCCTTCTCGCTTTTCGTTTGCGGTAATGCGGTGTGAATTTCCACAACCACCTACAAAAATAGAAAAAGCCGAGAGCGAATAAATAAACGGGAGCTGCTGCTGAGAAGCCCAACAGCGACGGGGATAAGAGCGATCGCAATCGCAGTGAGCAGCACCAAAACGATAAGCCCACCGATGACCCCAAGTATATTTGCGGCCCAATATCGCACGGCGCGACCGAGCTTTTTTGCGAAGCCCGCCATAGGGCCAATGGCCATTGCGAGAGCAATGGATGGAAGGGCGATTGCTATGGATATCCCAACTAGTTTGTTGATATTAGTGCTCATTCACGTAGCTCACTTATAAGAAGAGGCAGAGACGTCAACTTACAGATATATTTAGCAACCCAGCGAAGAGGCAAATCCTTCTCTTGGGTGACAGGATCTTTGGGAAATTCCACGATATCGAGAGAGAAGAAGCTGGTCATGAAAGACAGTGGAAGCTTTAATTTATTTTATTAGTCTGACTGCACAGCATCCAGCCAGGAAGTAGAACTAAGACTTACAAATATCATGTTCACAATTGTTAAGGCAAGAATTGTCTGGACAGCTATCAGCATCATATAGCTCTTGACATGTAAATCATCCTTACTCTGCCTTCTTTGGCCGCACTATTCGCTTCCCTACGAGCATATCGGGCTTCTGTAATGTTGGCTTGCTTCTGCTTCAAGTCGATTAAGTGGTATATCTGAGTCAAATTTAGATTCGATCTTGCGATGATTCGTCAAACTCACCGCATTGTACACATCTCTCGCTCCTAATACCATGTGCTCGATGGATCTGCGATTGAATTTGACATGACTATCGACAGGTTTCCCATCTACGGGGGGGAATTTAGCACGGGAAATATGGGTTAGGGACTTCGGCTGTTGGGTCTCGTTCTCGACATCTGCTAGGACGGTATACTGATCCTCAAGCACCATCTCGATGATTCTTAGCTCATCGCGGATGTCTTGTATCTCGACCAGAAGCTCAACCTCTTCGTTGATATACAGCTGTGCCTTCTTCATCATCTTTCTCTTTTTTGCCTTATATTTTTCTTTCCTCTTATCTTTTTTGGATTTGTTGCTCAGGCTAATGGCTTTCGTCTCGACGAAATCATCTTCGTCATCCCACCCTACACCAAGTTTAGCAAAAATCCTAGAATGTCTATCTGCCTAGTGAAGTTAGCATAAATATCATAGTGTTAGCAGTGGCCAGCTCACGACGTCGCTGATTGACGAGTCGAAGAAATCGAGAAATTGAAGCTTCTCGGAAACTTGAAAGCGGCCGAAAACTTGCGTACACTCCTTGATTATGACAGATGCAAGTGCTTCTGCAGATCTGATTGGATCTCGTCCCGGTTCTCTGAGGTATTGTTTGATCTGCTCCAACATTCCAACATGTTCGTCTTCGGAGCCCGCAGCTTGACCCCACCCCTGTGGAAAGCTGGTGATTACAGTGCCTAAGATGTGTCAGTCTGCCTCTTCAGTTGGAGCGTTGAAAGTAGAATGACTAACCTTTTCCGAGGATCCATAGCCATAGCTGATCTACCATGATGAGCTTGCTTTGCAATAACAAATCAGTTTGATTTTCATCTATTTTGTCAAGACCCTTCAGCGCATATCTTTGCACAACTTGATTCGTGTCACGGTCTTCAGTGTCCTCCATTCCAAGATAGTAAAATTGATCTAGTGTTCTCCGGATATGGAGGCGATGATTTTGCGAAGCCAAATATGCTTGGACTAGCTTCTCATCTTCAGCAGCTGACGTCTGACTAACACTGTCTAAAGTAGTCTTTTGATAATGTTTAATAAGCCTCCGAAACTGCTTAAACTTCTCTTAATTATTGTTAGCAGTGGCTTCACCAGACCTTTGAGGTGCATATTATTACCTTTGTACTGCTCAAATTTTTTCTCCGTGGGCCCTTTGATCAAATCATCGTCAGAATCATCGTCAGAAGGGTCGTTCTCAGCGAAATCCTCCACAGTGCTAGCAGCATCATTTTGAGGAGACAGACTCAAGGGGTTGTCGCCCATATTCTTTTCCGTCAATGAGCGGGCCATCCTGCTGAGAGCGTTGCTCAGACCTATACGGCCCTGGTTTGTTTCGAAGTGGAGATACGGCATCTACTCATGATCAGTTAAATCAGAAATTAGTAACTTCAATACTCAATCATGACCACGATTAAGATTGAAGAATACAAAATTTCCATCTCCTGAGTAATCCCAGGAGCCAGGCTTTTATGACAATCCGATAGACCGCAAGGGGATTTGACGAGGTACTTACGAAGAGCATAGTCTCTTTTTGATCATTGGGATTCTAAATAATTAGTTAGCCGTATACTCAGATACAGAGGTGCGATTCACCTCTTCCGATACAGTAGCCTGCGGCTGAAGGAACAAAGTGTGAGGGAAGCGACCGCGATGTTCCTGTCCAGAAAGTCGACCATCCGCATTCTCAAATCCCAGGCGGGAGAATAGTGCCTGGTGTTGTGTTATTTGGCATTCATCACTCAAGTCCACAACATACCTCGACCCAGTCCATCTAATTCAGGAAACATTAGTAGTGGTACCACTTATTAATATGTATGCTTACATTATTCGCAGGCAGATTGCAATCACTTTCAACGTGTCCCTGATAGTATCGAGGATTCTTTTGTTATCTGAGCGCGGATCCAAGATAGTATAGAGCAGCCCCATAGTAGTTGCTGGGGAAGCCTCTGTATTTATAGCCGATGTGTTGGTGTTGATGTTCCGGTTCCTGTCTGGCCTTGGAATTGAACTGCAGTTCCTGTTCCACCTCTCTTCACTGTGGAAGACATTCTCAAAAATCCAAATTTACCTCATTGTTGCTCGTGCTTTGCTTGTAGTTGATCTACCACCGCTTGCGATCCTTGAAACGGGGTACCTACTGAACGAATTTGTCAGCGTAGTGAAGAAATAAATCATAAGCCACGGCCAATGCGCAAAATTTTCCTTCGCTCGCGCAAGTGTGTCAGGTACATACAGAAGAGCAGGCCAACTGTTGCCTCAAGTATAGACTGATGGGACTCCTCATGTGCCATAATCAACGCCTGGCTGATGACAATACCCCCGAAACCATGTCCTATGAATACAAGGGGTCTCGAAAGGCCAGGTCCACAGTTTTTCCTTGCTTCGCTAAGTCTTTCAAGTAGCTCCGAGGCAATCTTCCTCAGAATTTCAGCAGGAGTGCCTGTAGGTGAGGATGTGTAGTTGAACTGCAGAACTCTAGCTCTTGGCAAGGATTTTGGAAGCATAGATTCGTCCTTGAGCCAATTGACTTTTGTAGGCAAAGAGGGGTTTAAATCAACGGTATCGCTGGATATTGAAGCATCACTAGGCTGAATGGCAGAGGCCTTCTCTTTCGGCTCCTTTGTCAAAGGTAGATCGGCCTGGGCCCGTTGAACTGGAATTGAGAACGGCTTCGCTGCTTTCTTTCCCAATATACCCACGAAGTTAGCCGCTGCGTCTTTCGTTTCCTTAATAGATTCAACGGCTGGCTTGAAGGAATCCTTTTTAGTTGAAGGCCCCTTGGACCGATTAAAAACCCAAGAGATTTCGCCCTTTTGTGAAAGCCCATGGACTGCGATGATGTCAACATTAGATACAATAGCCGTACCGTCAGATGGGTATATTGTCTCCAAAACGTAGGCTTCCTGTGGATTTTGGGATTGTGATGGTCTAGGCGACGCGGAGACCACCGAGTCTCTAGCTAATATGGCTGTCAGCGGATTAAGACGATCATGAAACGAGAGATATTTCCGTACTCCCCGGTTTGGTATATGTGACCGGATTTGCCATGGCAGGCCTTTGTCCAATTTGCTTTGACATTTTCACGCTTGATAGTGAGCAGAAAAACTCGTTGGCAAGGCTTGACTGATAACAATTTGCGAAGAGTCCAACAGCCTCGTCAGAAAATCATGTCTACCATACCTGATGATTTGCCGGACTGAAAACAGCAACATCAACCGACCTTTCCCGTGAGCATTCTCACCTCAGGTCCAATAAAGCGCGGCATAGCGGTGGCGCCGTCCATCAATGGCTTATCAGTGCAACGCGAAGCTATAATGGCAGACTGCCAGAGCTTCGAGCAGGGGTTGCAGTGGAGAGAACGGCCGTCATGAATTATTATATTATGCTTGAAACAAGACGTGCGGCTCAACACACGCAAAAATCTGTGGTGCACAGCTTGTGGGGGTTTATCGGTGATCAGGATGATTCCTTAGCCAGGGTTTGATATTGACGACACTTCGAAAATTGATGGAAGGTGACAAAGACCTCGAGGCTCGGGCTTTGGAATCATGGGCCTGTTGCTTGCGCTAAGCCTAATCGGGATCGACAACCACAACCATTTATAATCCACCCGCTTATGCTACCCTCACTATTTATATCTATAGGAATACAATAAACAGAAACAGTATATATTGTTATTGTCACCGAACCACAAAGGCAAGGTGGAAGTTTATTTGGGGAAGAACACTTACCTAAGGTAGGTACCTCACTCACCAGCCTCCATTGTGCTCCTGGTGCTCTAAAAAGGTGCTTTGCTAAGCGAGCACCCCCGATCATGTCGGTTGAGACTTCTTAACTTCTCAAAAATCAAATTGACTCCTCGTAAGTTTGGTTTTTTGGGATATGCTTGACTTTTCTTCAAAGGAAGTTTTTCGAAACCTTCAGACGAGTTACTTGCGACACTAATTTTGAATATTTATTTCTTCGTTGTATCGTCAAACTTCTTACAAATACATCTTTTAGTCACGCCAAAGACAAGTCATTGCGAAAATTTGGGTAGTAATTGTTAAGATTAATATTTCGGGAGTGGACCGTATTGAATTGGTAATATATTTGTCTATTATGTATGTCTTTCCAGCGACACAACCAGATAAACTTTAAAGGTTTCCTGACCCTTCTTCCTAAAAGCTACCGAATATGATCTCAGCCACACTACTGATGATCTTTAAACCCATGGAGCTAGTTATTTTATAGCATTACAATAGTAAGAATTGTTACAAGGGGTTTAGTTGAGAGCCTTACTCGGAAAATTTACAGAACGTGACAGTGCAATGAGTGCATGAAAATGGAGGCGAACTCTAATCCTTCTGAGATACTATAGTTAAGTGGACAACATTGCATTATCCCAATTTTCTGATGTTTATTAAAAAGTGTATTTTCTCTAGAACTGACCTAGGGAAAAGAATGATTATGTCGGATGACCTGGCAGAACGTTGCCATAAAACAGAAATTTGTAAATTGGAAAAATATGATGTCAAATCGTGAACCATGTCACACATGATCAATCTGAATGACTGAAGAGAGCTTTGAATGACGGTAAACTTTCCAAGATGGGTAACAAATGGAAACAAAGTTAGCCGCCCATATTCAGAATATACTCCGGGAAACTGATCTTTCAATCCTTCTTTTATGAGGTTACTACTTTTTAGAGAGAAGATAGAAAAGCTGCAGCGCATACTTATGAAACGTAGCAGTGTAGTTTTATAAGAACTGTGTGCGTAAGAAAATGCTAGTCTTTGTTCTGGAACATGTCATGACTTCAACGGTTGAGCTGGTTCAATTGAGGCAAATCACCTAAACTCATATTCGACTTACGCAACATAATTTGAATCTACAATATGTCCAACTGCTCTTAGCAGCTTCGAATTCTGACTTGCCGTGAAAGAGCATTGATTTTCCAATCAAGTTGGGCATTTAACACCATTGTAACAAGCAGTGTGGTCAACAACCCAATTCTGAAGCAATTCCCAATCCCTGCATTTCCTCCTCTGACCGGCTCCCAACTCTAGAGAATCACCTTCCCTTGGAACATTCAATGGAAGTGAATCGGCCCGACATGTGATACCCTGTCTGAGCGAGTCAAAACAATGATTTATATGTTGTCTGGAGTGCCCGAACGTCTCGGGGGACATCCCATCCCAAAGGTCATTTGACAATGTTCTAATCAGCATCTATTCCAGATTAGGAAAGCACGCTTTGAAAAATGTTGGGAAGAGGTAATACCAAACAGTGGAGTTGGTGAAATGCATCGATGACATAGATCGCCTTTTCCGGGTCGTGGGGCATATCGGTCCCTACTCTCCAGCCTTGTGATTTTGCCCATGACTTAGGTAGCGCAACGTGTCCGTTAACAGTATAATTATCCCATGCCATATTAGCAGCAGCACGATCTAGCGTGCTGAAACGGTGGTCTGTTTGAATATTTTGATATATGTTGATCGGCAATTCGAGTCCAGCTAGAGTTGCAATAGGTTAGCGAAGAAAAGTATGTCTTGGAGCACTTCGTGATACAATCGTAAGATGGAACAGGCGGGCTACTGGGCTGCTGAAGTTTTGATCGGATGTAGAGATATCTGAGGTGAAGGGAACTTGCCTAAAGAGTTGGAGTTACCGTTGTATGAGCCAAAAATAATCTGAAGCACCGTCTCTTTGGCGGAAAACAAAAGTAGAACCAGCAACAAAATATTGGTGACTACGAGAAACAAATTGTACTTTACTTGAATCCATTTCAGTTTGCTGATTCCCGTAGGATCCAAAAGTGATTCGTCATCGCCTAAAAGGCAGCGGTTGTCTTGACTTTCGAGGATTTTTGGTCTCATGTTAATGAGAAATATTTCGAAGCACTTTTGGAATTTAACGATTCTCTACTTGACTAGTGACTTCTCCGGTGAATATGACAATTCTCTATGCTAAAGCAAAAGGTCACTGACAATGTTGGAAATTGCAGCGAAAGGCTCAGCCCCATAAACAGTGTAACAGACTAACCCGCTCTTGACATATCACTCTTCCCAAAAGCCCGCGTTACCACAACAATGAATATATGGTAACATAACTTCCAGACAGCGTTGGTTGTACTCGGCTCCTACATAATAGTTCGATCCCTGAACATATATGAATGTTGTAGTACCAACATGAGTCATGAAGGGGATGGTCTATGGTCCACGCTTCTCGATCCAACAAAACTGTATTTATCCAAGCGCTCTTCATACAGGATCGCGATCTGTGTCTGACTTTGGCCCCGATCCGAAGAACCTAGAACTGTCTCGTCAATCGTGAACGTTAGATGACGACTTCTGTGCCTCCCAACTCTGTAAAGTAGCGAATACGACATAATATCGCCCTTTTTCAAACCGTTGACGTAATGTGCGTGACAGTATTTTCGTGAAGTAAACGGTAGCGGGGAAACTTACTCGTTATTTGGGAAGACAGGAATGAGGAACATCTCTGAAGTTGCCTCTCTCACCAATTGCACGTTTTTTTCCCTAGCATTTGAGACATATTTTGTAGTGAATTATGCACAATTTCGAAATCCAACTTCTGGCAAAAGCTTTGTCAACAGGATTATATTGACTAGAGAATGAGGTGATTTAGGGTGTTTACAGAATTATTGAGTAGATCATAATGTAGATGCTGAGATTTGTGATTTTGTGAGAACTCGATTTTCCATTTGCATTTTGAATTCTTCAATGTTCTTATTTGCACGAAATAGTTTTAGAGGCATTCTGTTGTATGGTATAACTATCCAATTTTCTTGTTGACCCTGGAAGTGACGAATGACTAGTGACCCAAAGCTATCTGCCAGAATGAAAATATTTATGGGAATCTCATAAATTCAAGAGAAATTGAGCCTTTCCTTCAGCAGCCTATTAAATTTGTCAATAACTCTTATGTATTATCAGGGTTAGAGAAACAGACTTTGAAGCTTCCAGGAAAAGGAATTTACCAGACATCTGAGAAAATCTTTCTCCCATCTTCGGTTGGTATCTCTACGACTTCGTTGCTCTTCGGCTCGAGTTTGACTTTTTGAACACATGTCAGCAAGTGTTAAAATGTATCAAGATCGAGGAATTGACATACCTGGAAAGGAAATAGCTGTTGCCAAGCTGATAGCGAAAGCAAACATCTTGGTGATATACATGCTTATGATGTGTTGAAAGTGAGAACTTGATATAAATCTTTGTGGGTTTGTGGAGAAAATAAACTGTAAGTTGGTTTGAGTGAGTGAGAAAAGAAGAGCGATTGACATAGTAGTTATATTCCTAAAATTACCAAGACGAGGCTCGTCGGCGGCGTAGGTTGTTATGACACTTACGGATAATGTGGCAAGACCATTTTCTCGCATAGCTGATGATTAGGGGTAACATTTTGCTCCAACCCGGTGTCACCAACACCTCAGCGGCGGTGATTTGGGCACCAATCATACAACTGCCGAACGTAGATTTTACTGGAAAGTGACATCAAAAGTTGGAAAGCAGGGCTAATGTTGACTTGTTTAAAGGTGGAAGGTGACATCCAGAATGAACGGAGTGTCCATGACGGGGAACGTTGGGTACACAGCCAAACATCAGTACTGAAAAGGACTTGCATGAAGATACTGTGCAGTTCGCAGGATTTGACAGCTCTCTGATGAAATCGAAAGACCACACATCATCGAAGTTTCCTCTCGGGAGAAAGAGGTGGACAAAGCGGGGGTGTTATCGAAACTATTGCATAGATATGGCAAACTCCGTAGGACATCCCAAGTTGTCCAACCGGCCGAGAGAATCTGTTTATGTGAGTTGCGAGTAGCAAACATCAATACTACAAAACCGAGGTTGTTTATTTGTTTGATTAAAAAGCTGAAATATGAATAATTTTTGGTGACCGTGCTCCTATGCGTCCCAATCAAGTAGTCTCCCTTTAATTCTACTCTAAAATCTAGCAAGAACGTTGTTTTACTCCACCGAAGTCAAAGACCAGGTCGCCTTACCAATTCTTTCTTCCAATCCACTGTCATTCAACCCACAATTTTGCCAGAGATCAGATTTTCGAATTCGGTTAGTGAAATCATTATTTCGAATAACTTTGAAACACGTTCTTCTTTACTGTGATCTGACCAGGTTGAATATGTTCCTGTGACTCTAGATCTCTCATCGCAAAAGTCTCCCCAGCCCCACCAAGAGGGACTTTCGTTGGGACGACAAATTCCGCTTCGGAGGAGTTGGAATTGTTGTCGACAACAGACAATATTCTTGCCGACTTCTGATTTCCAGGCATGGAAGGTTCAGACGAAAGTGATCTGACACTAAAGAGACTTCGAATTGCCTTCGAAAAGCTGCGCACGGATCCCATGCCACCGAAAAGCGGGCGAAGTGAAGGCAGGCAGGCAGCGACGATTGCCATTCCCATCTCTATCATGCTCCAATACATCCACGTTGACATTAACAAAATTCCTTGCGAAGACGAGAATCCGTTGGTGAGACGCTGCTCGAAGAAGACTAAGCGCACTATGCCGAATGCCACTACCAAAGAACCCAGAAGAAAGATTCCACATATTCCCAGCTTTCGTTCAGTATTGAGCTGTAGCTTCCAGATGCATGGGATGGGTATCGATAGAATGAGAACATCCGTGACCACATCTGTTATTGCCAGCACTTTCTGGAAAAACACATCATTGAGGCAATGCGTCAATAAGTCGTCAAGGGTAGACCAAAAAGCCCAGAACTTTGTCCTGCACTCAAAAATGTACGTAAACAAAAATCCTAAAGTCCAGCAGATAGTGACACCTATCATGATCCACGAGGTGATATTAAAAGACCTTCCTCTGAATATTCGTCGGTAAAATAAGAGGACTGATAGCTTTATTGTGCCAAATGCAAGTGCTTGCATAATGTTGAATGCATATTTAATCTAGTAAAGTTCAACAATTAACGGTCGATCTCAAAGTGAAAAGATCTGAGCTACCTTTTCTGTGGTGATAATTGCATCGTTGATAACATGAAGAAAACCCATAGGTCCTTCTCCGAATGGAGTTGGCTGACCCAATGCATGAACTGCCGAGCCTATAATAGAAACCAAAATTAAGTTTTGGCTTGGTTATATGTTATGTCAAGTAACTCACCTGCAATCATCATTGCACCCAGGCCAATGCATAATAATAGAGCTACAAGAATAGACCAATCATCCAGTCCCAATTCAGCTTTTCTCCTGTGTTTAATGAAGAATCGGAGAGCTACTGCCGTAGAAGCTAACAAAGGCAACACTGTTCCCACTGCGATCATAGATTCTGGCGTCACTGGCCTGAACCCATCAACCAGATCATTGAGGGTAGCCATTTTGGAATATTTGTTGAATTATGGGTCAGAAGAACTTTTATGAGGTGATCAACCTTCCGAGTGGAATAGAGAAAGGACTGTTGTTCTTTAGTGTGGCTACTTGTATGCGTGCCCGCATCCCGACTTTGTTGGACTGGCCAGAACTGGAAAAGATATACCTGGATGAACATCACCAACTTCAATCAAATCACAACGGTGGGACAGCATGCATGCATGTGAATCTTGAGTAGGATCACTGGTTGTGTACCAGGGTTGTTCAAATGCCGCGACTATACACATTTAAACGTGTTGGGCTTCGCAGGGAAGTACAATATTGCCTGCATCAACATCGGCAAGAAATATGTTGGTCCCTCTCAATTCTGCTGTTCATTCCTGCCAAGTTCTGTTGGGAGAGCGTATCATCCATAGTTACTTTGTTTGTCTCTTTCATACACCTCAATGATTCAAGAAAGCAAAAGTACATCACGCAGCTTTCCGCACAACTAACGCTTTCGCTTCGCCGGTGTCCTCGTTCCTCAAGGACTTTCAATGGCGGTGTCAAGTTATATCTATCGGCCACTACGCACAGATTCAACAGCAGTGAACGAATGGACGATCAAGTCCCTCAACTGGAAGGACTTCGGTCTTCTAATGCTGGGGGTCTCGAACATCGGATTCATTCTTAACTTCCTCAGTCGAACTTTAACCTCTATGGGATGTGGAAATACCGAGTTCTCATACGGTGAACCCCTTTCCTCAGCCTGTGCCTTTCTCATCGAAAATATTTACTGAACTTAGTTGTTTAGGAGCGCTAGATCTCAAATCTGAAAGACGCATACAAAACTATACCTGGTGGTCAAAGTACAGCCAAGTTGAGCAAGAATCCGGGACTCTGGATGACCTTTGGGACAAGATTGTTCCTTCCCATGGAATTGTCGCTGTAGAACTTGAGTGGGCAGCACGAAAGAATTTGCCAGAGACGATGCAGCTACCCAGCAATCTTGGCAAAGGAGTCTATGTAATCGATGCATATCATCAATTACATTGTTTGGTGAGGCCCCAAAATTCTAATCTACTCTCTTAGCATTTTGACAATAGATTTTACTTGGGATGAGGTTACTAATAATACGATAGACCATCGTGCGGAAAACATTTTATGAAGTACTTCGTGGAGACAAGCTTACCTATCCAACCACTCATGCAATACATTATTTTGACAGTATCAGACAATACATTCAATGCACAGCAGGAGATACGCTCTTGTATTCTTGGGGAAGGAACGTGACGGGTGATGGTCAGAACAGGAAATGCAGAGATTGGGATGCTCTACGAGAATGGGCTTCTCAGCATTCAGCGTGCTACAAAGATAGCACCGACCCAATACCTCTCTTAGAGCACTTTGGACACTGTGATGGCTCAACAACTGACGGGCTGGAGGACATTTGATTGATGTAAAGTCCTCCGTGTAACTCTTCAAGTCTCGACGCGTGGGATGATGTCATGACCGTAAATTGAAAATCTGTAGCAAAGAAATGTTGCCGACAATACTGTAGTTTAGAATTAAATGCGCTTACGAGTCATGTCACACTTCATCCCTAGCGTGTTTGGTCAAAGGGAGCCTAAGGAGGTCATCATAAGGAAAGCGTTTTGGTGCAGAAACAGCAGGCCGCATACCACGCGTTAAAAGGGTGGCTGAGCGTACCATTACCGCTACATAGTAACACGATTGTTATTAAAGCTGCCATTGGTATAGGGTACCATTGTTGGCTCATGCAGACGTATTGAGCGACAGAACCTCGTCGACTTTTGAATGGCGAACGAATTTCTCCCTTATAGGCTGAGAGAGCACAAATACCCTCGAAGAATATTTTACCGGCATGTGTTGGGTTTCTGCATTCGGCATCATGTACTTCGAAGTTACAATATTGTTTTTGCATGGCCGCTGAAGGTCACTGACGTAGGATTTGTACAGCCAACAATGTGCCATTCAACAACATGAAAGGGCGACAGTCTTGCATCTGGCCAATGTTATGATCAAACTCGGAAGGCACGCAGCAAACACTGCTATTGAAGAAATAGTAACATCAGCAAACTTTGGGGCGCAGAATTTAGCCTGTTCCAACAATTGTGTTGTCGCCTGCATGTTGGCTTACAATACCGAAAAAGAGGACTACACCGGAAAGACACATCCTTATCACCAACTTACAATGCATTTTCATACTCAGGAAGTTTTTCAGGACTCTACTCCGTTATGTTGTAGAGAACACGCTACAACACCCACTGCAATCGCCTTTGATTTTCAATTTTAATATAGGTGTTGGTAACAGCCACCAATAACTATCCCCAGAAATTATGATGTTCATAGGAATTATTGTCGCGATACTCGTGGCCCAGTCGGTCTCTATCGTCGTTTGGAGATTAGTTCTCGGTCCATTATCCAATATACCAGGACCTAAGCTCGCGGCCTTGACGTCTTGGTACGAGTTCTACTACGATGTAATCAAGCCAGGTCAATTTGTTTGGCATATCCAGCAGTTACATCTTGTGTACGGTATGTTACTCCCCTCGTGTGGAAAACACAGGTAGCTAACGTTTCATTTCACGTAGGTCCCATCATAAGAATTACGCCGTGGGAAATTCATATCAGCGACCCCAGCTTTTTGGACGAAGTCTATGCACCAGCATCCCGGAATCGTGAAAAATATGCTTTCTTTATGAAGACTGTAAAAGTTTCCGGATCTACTGGCACCACAGTCAATCATGACATCCATCGAAGAAGACGTGAAGCCCTTAATCCGTTTTTCAGTAAAAAGGCCATCACGGCTTTCGAATCTGTCATCACCGACAGAGTCGCAAAGCTGGACAAATTGGTACATTCCCACATATTGACGAAAACGCCTATCAATTTGTCGGATGCTTATTATGCCTTAGCAAACGAGTTAGTAGATCCCTCGCCCACACTGTTGGAAAGTTCTCTGGCTAATAGCTAAAAGTGTCGTGTCATATTATTGCTTTGGGCGGGATGAAAAACTGCTCGATGACGAACAGCAAGCTGCAACCCACAGGAACAATATATCCGAATTGCTTCAGGGCATCAAAGCGGTTCTTCACTTACCTTGGATCTTCGATATCTTAGATATGATACCGTTCCCAATAGCGAAGCACATCATGCCAGCTGGCGCTCTAGATATGAGAAATCTTTCAGAGGTATTCACACCTGGAGCAGACGCGACTTCAGAGCATGAACTAAATTCATTCTAGACAGTCAAAATAGACGTTCAACGAGTGCTAGAAGACACAAAAAATTTAAAAAAGGGCCATCATAGGTCAATCTTCTATGAACTTCGGGACAATAAAAATTTACCCCCTTCAGAGAAAAGCTTAACCAGGTTAGAAAATGAAGGAACTCTTCTTGTACTAGCTGGTACGTTATAATTGCTGGTGGTTATATTTGTTGTATTATCGACACTAAAAGTGAACGTCAGGGACCGACTCGCCAGCAAAATCTATGGCGATTACTCACTTTTATCTCCTCCATCACCCAGAGAAAATGGCGCAATTAAGATCAGAGCTTCAGAAAACACCTAAAACAGCAACTTGGAAAGAATTAGAACAACTACCATACCTCAGTGGCTGCATCGCGGAAGGCAACCGACTCTCTTTTGGTGTGGCCGGACGAACCTCTCGAATCGCTCCGCACGAAACACTTCAATACAAACAGTACGCCATTCCACCTGGCACGCCCGTCAGTGAGACGACACTCTCTGTGCATACCAATGAATTTATCTTCCCAGAGCCCTGGGCGTTCAAGCCTGAAAGGTGGTTGGGTAAAGAAGGAACAGAAATACGAAAATACCAAATGGCATTCAACAAAGGCTCAAGAAGCTGTGTGGGTATGAACTTAGCACATGCTGAAATGTTTCTTGCTATTGCGGCTATAGCGAGATATGATATGAAGCTTTACGAGACAGACGTTAGCGATGTCAAATTTAAGCATGAGTTTCATGTTGCATTTCCGAAGTTGGATTCGAAGGGTATTAGAGCCGTTGTGGAGGGTAAAGTAGCTTAGTGAGATATTGTTGAAAGCAAAAGTTTGTGATATACGGGGCTCAAGGCTTTTCTATGTGATAGAATGGGGTTCTGCGTTCTTAGCAATACAATTTTGGCTCAGAATGAAAGCATTTATTGATGACATGTCGCTTATTCTTCAAGGTTCGACGATTTCTTTGCGTTGAAACACCTGACGGACGACAAGATAGGTTGTTAGACCTGCTAAACATTCTACTGAGTTATGATGGAGTTGATTTGGAGTGCGCGGGTAGTCTTAACATATGTTCGGCACAGATAATTTGAGAAACACCTATTTGCAGGAAATGATAGACGAAAATCATGAGTTTTAATCAATTATCTTGAACAAACATCGCGATTGGACTACTATCTTTTCGAACACCCTGAAACACTATAACATTTTTAAAATCATTCTCCTACTTTCCACAGCTAGGAGAAAGGAACAGGGTTTACTCATAGTTGGCCTGATAATCCTCAAGCTCATCCGGAGGCAAGCTCAACAATCCTGAATTTCTCACCGCTTGCGGATTCCAAAACACGAAACCCGGATCCAATTCCGTCTTCAATCTCAATAACTTATCATGAGTCTTCGGTCCAAAATACTGCTCTGCAGCCTGTGTTGCGGTCAACTCCGGATCAATATACTTTGAATATGCAGAAAAGTTCCCGGTGGGCTGAGAATTTCCAATGGCGGCATTTAATCCGTCAATGAGAGGGATGATGCGGGAATCCCACGGAAGAGCGTGATTAGCGGTATAACCGTAATTTTGGAAGACCCAAAGTGATTCTCGATCGGAATATGCTGATGCTGATGGAGACGGTACGTTAATTTGCGAGTCTTGAGCTCCATACAAGTTGATTATTGAGAAAGAGGGTGGAGTGTTGATGTTTGTCTTGGAAATAATGTATTCCCAAAAATTTCGTACTGCTTCTTCTGTGAGAGGCTCGGCTTCTTTTGTGACCACCGATTTTGCGTAAAAGGTGTCGTGAATGTTGTAACCGTCCAAGGGTTCAGCCAATGGATCGGCACCTGCCAGAACTTGTAAGGTGTCGAGCCATGAGAGATCTGTAATGTTGATTGATCCGGGAAACGGTGTGACCCCCTCGGTCAAAGCTGGGAAGACTGTTTCTTTGAAGAAAGTGGTGTTGCAAAACATACACATTCCGGTAATGCTGAGCGCACCACTGTTATCTGTGTAGAATCCAAACGAAATGTTTTTGGTCAGGAGTGGCGAGTTGATGACGAAATCTTGAGTGCGAAGGAACGCGGAAGTGAGTTGATCAATACTTTTGAGCGTTTCGTTCAGATTGGCGGTGAAGTAGGTGACTGTCTCTGGAGCTTCGTTGGTTTGCATGTAGAAATTCGTGACGATGCCGAAACTGTCTCCAGCTCCTCTCATAGCAAAATAAACATCTGGATTTTGTGTTTCGTTGGCGTATATGATAGATCCGTTGGCGAAAACCACATCAAGACCAAAAATGGTATCAAGTGCTAAGCCCCACAGTCTTGAATCGTAACCGTAGCCTCCATGTGTAGCATGGCCACCAATCCCAACCCCAGGACAAGTACCGTGAGGTAACCCTCTTTTGCCTTGTTCATGGATTCCGAGAGCTACGTTCCCAAGTCTTTGACCTGCACCAATCTTTGCTATGAATGTCGCTGTGGGAGAGTTTTAGTCCAAAGTGGCCCTAGAAATTTTGCCAACGAAGCGACTTACTCTGATCCACCTCGATTTCATTGAAGTTCTCCATGGAAACCACGGCAATTCCGTCTTGGCCACCCAATGAAAAGCTCGTATAAGAATGCCCACCACCTTTGGGTTGAACTTTAAAACTTTCTTTTGCCGAGCATGATATACTTTGTCCTACTTGCTGATCGGTTGTAGGAAGTACAACCAGCGCCGGAGTGTATGAAAGACGGAGATTGTATGGGGCGGTGAGATTGGACCAGATTGGTGATTGTTGAGTTGCGTACGATATATTTGCTTGTTGTAAGCAAGTTTCGAGTTTTACAATTTGTGGCTTAATGTTAATGGAGCACTTGATAAACAGGCAGAACAATATCTTAGGAACAAACATTCTGTTTTCTGTACTAAAAGCATTCAACAGTGTTCTTAGTCCATTAAAGATGAAAAGCTTAAAGTCTTTTTTTATCAGATTTTCCTCGCACAGTATTTTTGAAAACAAGCACCTCCCTCCCACATGAAGTCGAACAAAGCCGCGATTTGTTGCAAGCAGCGTATCCCCGAAAGCAAATACAAAAACGGTTGCAACCTCGGCTTTTGATTTCTTTGTCATAAATTTCCGAAGACAGCCAACACGAAACTCTCACATATGCATATTGAATCATGCCTAATTATTTTGGACGGCATCAACGCAAATTAGACTAGGTAGAGAAATAAAAGTAGCATCCTGTTGGCCAATTAAAAAGATATAATGCTGTAACAAAGTTACGTCCCCAAATTTCCAAAATCAAGTTTAGTAGATTGTTTTGACTCTGGGATTCTCTGTCCAATACACACGATATGCGGCCCCATCAATGACCTCCATCGCAGTGGTGTCTTCTTCCAACCAATTGTAAACACCAGTCACTTCCCCTGGGGTGGTCAGCACTCCGTAGTCGTTGGAAACCCTTAGGTCTTTAAATGTTATATTTTGGAAATAAGGTGTTGGAAACCCCTTAGACGCTTCTTGTGCTACCCCCCATCTAGCAGCTTTCCACTGTGGTACGGAATAGGAGCCAGGAGCGCTGATAGTCCAGTTCACCTGCTGATTGGTATTGACGTTTTTGAGGTAGCAAGTTGCTAGAGTTTGCTTAAGCAACTTTTGGGTGACAACGTAGGCCATGATTGTTTCGCCTATATTTAATAGTTAGAAGAGATGAATATGCGTGGAAGAAAGCAGCCAGATGAAGTCTTTTAACATTTTAGACGCAAATCAACGTAGACTTACCAGCTTTGAAGTCAAACGATTCGCGAGGAGGTGGTTCGCGAAGCTTTTCGGAAAGAACAGTGGTATTCCACCACGCGTGGACTCCAGTTACAAAAAAAATGTTTTTGCCGCTGGCCCGTTGAACCCGCTGTAAAATTCCACATTGATGAACATAATCTGAGCCGTCCAGTTCAACTATGATGTACTGAGAATAAGAGCCATCTTGTGTGCTAGAAGATAAATGATAGTTGATATCTGGTACATTGAAAGTGGCATAAATCGATGTAGTATCTTGATATGAAGGCGATGTACTGTGTTCCAAGGCCGCAAAAGTATACAGGTCTATTTCGTTTGGGTCTCCTTCACTTTGATTCCTTTTAGGGTGAATGCCATTCGTGCCTTTCTTAAAGAGAGAGGATATAGTAGCAGGAGGAATTTTCGGGAAGCTCTCTGGCTGTGTTTCTGTGGTAGACAAAGTGTCGCGTACCTTGATCGGCGGAGTGTGAGGGGATTCCTGTGAGGTATGTAGTGGACTAGCGATAGCGGAAATGCTAGTCAATAGTAGGATTACGCAAGAGAGCTTCATTTTTTCAATTAGCTTCCTCTTATTCATTAACAAAGACTCAAGATTATTATTTTATAATGCCAGTGTATCAGAAAAAGGAACGCACATATTTTCACTTCAAAATGTTTCGAGGTTCCTTTTGTATACTAAGGTATTTTGACGACATTTTCATACTTAACCTATTAAGTAAAACTGTAGATCCTATATCTCTTCTCGGACAGCACTGGCGAGCTAAGTAGTTGCGAATTGAGATATTTGAGTCTTATAAGAGAGTAGATTCCTTGATTTTCCTAAATAGTCTTAACATGTTGAAATACTAACTTCGCTAATTATGCGACGACTTAAATTTAACAATAATTTTCAAGCCGTAATTGTGACTTGAATATAGTTACAGAATTATTACACAATGACAGATAGCCCAAAAAATGCACCGATAGGAATTCCCGACAAAGAGTCCTAAACTAAGCTAGGGAATAGATATAGCTCAATAGTTGGTGCCGCTAAGACCAAAAGTAGCTTTTCGCAATACACAATAAAAGGCGCAATGGCTGGCAACTGTTGTGTGTTCCCTAATTAATAACCTCCTTTAAGGCACGCTTTACCGTTTACAGTCTACTCCCGAAATGGAGAGTAAAAATAGTCATGACCTTATCAACCCACCATTTCTTTTTCTGAATTCTATAAGTTAACATAAATCCGATGACTGTCAGTTCGTTTCCACGGTCTAGTTATAGATGTGCAACAGATTATTTAGATAGGAAAACCAACGTAATTATGCAAAATTAGGTCTGAGGTTCTTTGCTACGATAATCATTTTGATATTATTACGCATTTAAATTATATGAAGTATAGTATTATGACCTTTACATCAGGTCAAAATGTTTCCCCTGTCCAACTTTGCTGCAATATCCACTTTTGCAAAATGCTAGCTGGCGAAATTAAGTTGTATTGGTCGTCTTAATTCCCGTAGTGAATGTGTTCTCTTGCCAATAGACATGGAATGCAGTCGCATTGTCATCAACCAAGCCAATTTGAGGTCTCTCTTTAAATGTAGAGACTATGTCTGTTCGATTACGTGGTGAAGTCATCATTCCATTATCGGTACCTGATTTCAGGTCCCAAAAGGATATGTTTTGGAAAGTTGGTGTTGGGAGGCCTGGCGTAGCTTGTTGTATCACTCCCCAGTGGATATGATCCCATAGAATTGGAGATTGATAAGACTCAGAAGATTCAGTAAGTCTGGAAGTCGAGTTGTATTGTTGATTAGAATCCATGTTTTTGAGGTAGCAATTTGTTACAGTTTGATTGGACGACTGCTGGCTATTGATAGAGGCCATGACAGTTTGGCCTGTAGGTCGTCGTTAGAGAGCTTGCTTAAGCGAATAAAGAACAAGACTTGAAAAAGCTGAAGTATGTATGTGAAATTCTCTCGAATTTAACTTACCAGCATTAACAGCAAAGTCTTCTCTACTAACAAACTTGCCACCTTCGAAATCTCCTGCAGAAACCGCACCTAACCCAGTTTGGGTTTTCCCTTCGACTCGTTGGAGGCGATAATTAATTCCACATCGCCAAGATAAGAGTCCTTTGTCAATAGAAACCGAGATATCCTGTACAAATACACCGTCCGGTGTCCGGGATGAGAAATTGTAATGAATTTCAGATACACTGAAAATTGCGGAGACTGATGTAAGATTTCGCATCACCGATGGACTCGATAGGGGATACTCTTGTGCAGCGGCGAAAGAGGATGTTATTAATTGTAGTGCGTCTACCTTTTTGTTTGCAAGATAAGTAGTAGTCTCATCAGGCACGAGTGGTAAGTAGCGCTTTAGTCGGGGAAAATGTGGCTTAGTCTGTACGATTGATAGAACACTAGGTCCCCCGATGTGTAGATTGCGAGGAGATTTTTCTGAGGGATGTAGTTGACTAGCGATGATGATGCTAGTCAATAATGTGATTGTAAGAGATAGCTTTATGTCAAAAATTAGATTCATCTTGATAAATAACAAGGGCTTGATAATAAATGTGTGATACTTTTGTAGGGAAGAATAAAGGGAAGACGTAAAGTTTTACGACAGATGTTTTGTGTTGGGGTTGAAGCGAGATTTCATAGATTAATCAAGATTTCTGTGTTCAACTGATTAAGTAAGACCACACTTGAAACCACGCTTCTCGGACAATATTAGCGAGTCAAAGCATGGTGAGCTATACGTGTTATAAACCCTATGAGGAAAGTAGGATAGTTAGAATTCCGAATTAGGGTCAGCTCGTATTTCGCGCAAAAATGGCTTCTAGAAGGCAAGTCAAGCTTGGTATAAGTAGTGAGTTTCTGCGTAAAGATAGCCGACAATGGATAGCTGATAACCGTTGTACAAATCAGTGACCCTGGAACTATAACAGTTTCCACTAACAATTCAACACTCTACTAGAGGCGAAATCCAGTCGAGGGGCGTCTATAGCCTGATTTGTGGGCAGGTGCAATGACAGCAAAAGTACGTTTTAGCGAAAGTAGGTAGGGGGTGGCATTGACTGGCTAAACTCCTAAGATATGCCATTTGAAGAAAGCAATAAAAGTAAGTTTATTTATCTAGCTAATATCAGGAGGATTCTTTTCGGCCGTTTAAAAAAATTGAGTCTGTTGTTCCAAGTGTCAACCATTCTTATTCTCCATCCAATAAACGTGAAATGTGGTTGAATTCTCAATTTCCACCCCAGCTGGCGGGGTTTGAAGCTCCGAAGGGTTGCCACCATCGAGCGTGTATTGCAATCCTCCATAATTAACACCTGCTCTTGTGTTCCAGAATGTAACATTTTCGTAGTGAGGTGTTGGAAACCCCGGTGTAATTTGTTGTTCCACAATCCATTCGGCTTGATACCCTTGCAGTGCATGAGTAGAGTTTTCAGGTTGATAAGTCTTTGTATAGGTCTGGTTGGTATTGATGTTCTTAAGGTAACAGGTTGTGGTAGTTGGGTTTGCCATATTGACGAATGCCATTATCGTGTGTCCTATAATCGTTAGTGGAGGTATGAAAACATGTAACTTTATCTTTTTCAAGAGGACGAAGGGTCACAAATGCTGAGATATTGTCGGCTTTCACATACCAGCTTTGAAATCAAACAGACGGTGATCAATCCGAACTAACGGTTGCGGAAGCCACTCATACCAGGCCGTTCTCTCAATGATATCCTGGCCTTCACTTCGTCTAATGCCGTTTAAAATACCGCATTGCATGAGCGCAGGACTGTTATCTATACCCACACAGATAAATTGAAGGTAAGAACCATTTGGTGTGCTGGAGGTTAAATTAAAGTCAAATTTGGGCACTCTGAAAATTGCGAAAACAGACGTGTAGGTTTCGCTAGGGGAGTGTCGTCTTTGATCGACACCTTGCAAAGATATAGCAAGAGGTGACATTTTCACATCCCCAGGGTTAGGGGCCATGGTACTGGCGTTAGTCGTGTTCTGAGCCTTAAGTGGCAGTGAAAATAATTGTCTTGCGTTCTGCTTGACAGGTAGATCGTTCCGCTCGTTGCTCAATGAAGTGTCAGAAAGGTCCCGCGAAACATGATATATTAGACCAGCGACAAAACCCCGAGTACTTGCCAACATGAGCAACAAAAAAGCTTCATAGTCAACTAGTAGCGTTAAAATAAAATGATCGAACACTTGAAGTTGTCCTTCTGGATGAAACGAGTGAAAAGGAGTATACAATATGGATTTGAAGAAGAAACAGATTAAATTATACCAGCCTGCTCTTAAGATATCTGAACGATGCCTTAAACAACAAGGTTATTAAATTTAATATCCGAAGAAAAGAACGATGGACAAGATAGGAATCGGTCAATATAATGACGATATAGGCAAAGCTTAGTTCTTATCGTAGATTGCTAAACGACACAGACCGAGAATAGACATACGTTAGAAGAGTCAAGAACCAGCCAATAAAATCAGTTTCTCGACTCTCGAGACGAGAAGCATCGGACCATCAACCCGAGTGATATAACGAACACTAAAAAATTAGAAACCCCATTTAGAAGCAACTATAGCTTTACCCCTGGCACCATATCTTCTTAGCGCGCTCATTTATGAATCACCGACGCGTTACAAGTTTGAAATAATACCTTTGAACGGGATAATGAAGATATTGTGAATATAAGACATCACCTTGATTGCAAAATATCAATATGCCTTATAAGGGGAAGGGGTGTTAGAAATTCCTTTTCTGGGATAGATACAATTGGACTGTCCATCCAGTCTTGCGATACTATAGTGAACTAGAATTGATCCCAGAATAGATTGTAAATCATTACGCGTGCCATCCGGCTAAGTTAATCACTTGTTTTGTTAGCGAACAGGGAGATTAGACCATGACAGGCTTGATATCGAAGACCTTGAAGTTTGTCGAAAAGTAAAATTTCTCATAACCTTTGAGGATAAGAGAAGAGAAGTGAAAAGTCCCTTTTAGAACAAAGAATTGAACCGCTTACGAATACTGCCCATTCTAAACTCGACCAACACTCGATTGTACAAACGAAGTTGCAATCTTGCCGACGGCTCGGTTATGTGAGATGCAGTCGACAAAATAGGAAAAGTTGTCGTATGCGCCATAAGAATTTTTAATCTAACTTCAACAGTTTTATTTACAGTTTCGCCAAAGAATAGGCGCCTGTCTGGCCTGAATGCTCCAGTCGAAGCCAGATTAGTTGGAACAGAAAATGATGTGAAATCTTATATATATGAGAAACAAAAGTAATGAGTAACCGAGAAAAGTGATGTATAGAATTGAACCAACAAGGCAAAACAACAGAATCTCTAATCAGTGAATCCCCTTCCTTCCTCACAACTTCTGAGAAGCTAGAATCGGCCCGCCATTCCCAGCTTGCACAACAGCAACAATCTCAAGATTCCCATGACCACCTCTCATCGCAGCATCAGGAAGCGGCATCGTGAGATTCCCACCAACCCACTCCCCAATCTTCGAAATGCCCGTTACAACATTCCGATGTTCGATTTTCTTCCCCTTATTGACCGCTTTCTTGATCTTCACTGTCTCTGGCTTGGGATCATACATGATAAGTAAGATATCATGAGGATCCGCGTGGGGAAGATCAGAGTCGATGCGTAACTCGGTGTCATTGGTGTCAACGATGATGCGCCATGGCATGGAGCTGCGAACTCCGCGAGCGGCAGATACGATATTGTTAACTTCATTCTGTCCGGCGCCTGTGCCATCTGCGATACCGTCTGCAATGACCTGCGGGGTGAAGATGTTGTTTCGTCCCCATTTCTGGACGTAGGCGCGTTGGCGTTGATCCCATTGACGCTTGCCGAAGGTGTCAGTCCAACCCATGTGGTCAAAGTAGGTTACGTTGTAGGTAAGGAGGAGAAGATTAGGATCATTCTTAATGCTTTCATGGATCGCTGGAATTGCTGGAGGGCAAGATTGGCAACCCTGGGATTGAAATAGTCTAATAGCCGCAGCTGGTTAGAAAAGCGGATCATCCTAAATGGAATTTAATCCGACTCACTCAACAGTCGTAAGTGGTTGAATATCCACAAAACACGCCCCAGTATGTACATGCCCTTCGTCATTTTCAAGACTCATAGAACATGCCAATGGGATTGGCTTCTTCCTTTGGAAGATCTTTTTGAGAGTAGCGACAAGACCAGACATATTGGACTCTTGGTGCCTACTCGTGTGTACTGGCGATGCAAAGACTTGAGGCTGGATGGAAAGTTGAATGGATGTTGTATTGATGATAAGAATGATATCGATGATTGACAGCAAAAAACAGAGCGCGAATGCATTTGATTTATAGCAATCATTTTGAATGGGAATAACCAATGCATCAGAAGAATCCAAATCCGTGGACCCCAAGCAAGTGTACAGCCTAGCATAATTCGGATTCTTAGAGCCTGCAGTGTCATCACAAATGTTCAGTGATTTGGAAAATGCTTCAGCTTCGAATTGTCCTAGTGGTTGGTAGATTGGCAAGGCACTTGTACAACGAATGGGATGTGCTAGGAAGTTTTCAACGGCGCAATCAAAATTGCTGAGACATTACATAAACGATGGGTGCAGTAGGTTGTAAACTTCTTTCACATGAATTTTGTATCTTCTAACTCGTCGAGCGAATCAGCTTCGGGTTATTCGCCAAGCTTTGCGACACGACGATTGCATGATCTGTCAGCATGTGGATGAGGATCCTCAGCCGCAGAACGCCAGACTTGGAATCATCGTTTCGGGATGATGGAAGTCTCCCTTCTACGGTTCCGCATCGACTCCTACGCAAGACTTTGGACCTTAGATCTTTTGCATGGGCTTAGCCACAGCTCGTTTCATCGTAGGGCTGATGGTATGGTAAACATCACTTCAAGAATCCCGAGATACCCCAACTAGTACGCCGTGCATTGGCGACCGCAGGAAGATGGCATGTGTGTCGAGTCGCCGTGGCCCCCAATCCTTCCGGCTTGACAAGTACGATGCTGGAGACTCACATCTATTGGAGAAAGCCGCTACATTTCCGCAGGTTATGTATCTCGCGCAACCTTCTTTGCTAGCTTTCTCTGACCTTCGACACTGAGTACCTTCTCGTCCGTCTCTTGAACCGCTCTGCCAATCGCTAACGTCGCCTTGACACTGTTGCTTTTAACCCACACTCTACCATTTCGCCCCACTGCTGTCTCGAATGATATGCCTTGGCTCCCAAGCTCCTCCAAGAGTACCAAAGCTCCCTGGTCGGCCGGTTTTGGTAGCATGAGCCTTCTAGACATGGCTAATGATATATCGAAGAGCATCCCCTCACTCAATGGCCCTAGTCCTTCCGACTTTCCTGTTGATGAAGAGACGCATTCCAACTCTGGGTCCATGTGTTTGTTGGCAAGGGTGACACGCGCATAGACAAGAGCACCGAATGCTAATTGAGGCCTAGTTTTCTTCGTCGCACCCTCGAATGATAGTTGCGGAAGTGTGGCATTCGGAGTATAATCGCTGATACTGGCATAGTAGACGTCGGCGGAACTTTTTTGGATGGTCGCTATGACGAGGTCACCAATGGTAGGAGTGTACTGCCATATGAAGTCAGAGATGATCAGGCGATTGAAGATTTACGTATATCTTACACGGCCACCATTAGATTCCACCCATACTGCATTTTTTCTCTTGTCCGTGTATAATTGTCCAGCGACAATGGTAGTAATGGTGCTCGGAGGTATATGTCGTAATCCAGGACCGAGTTTGAGAGGCTGCGTAGGATGCGATGGCAGATCTTTGGAGTCTAATATCTGCCCAGGAAGAACAAAAGGCCCTGCAGCCATTGCCATTTTCAGACGCTCGATTCGTAAGAATTCAAAGTGTGCTGATTCTGGGTTTATTTGGCGCTCTTCAGCCTTGCGAAAAGTTGGCGGGGCATGGCCAGGGGAATTTCGCGCTAGTAAAGTTTTGGCTCGAAGCCGCAAAAAAGTTGTGTCGGCCGTAGAAAACCATCCCAAGACACACCCGCTCAACATACTGCAGCAACTTTCTCAATACTACAAGAAGCTGCAAATCATTGTATAAGTTACTGGCTAAGATGTCTGCGGAAGGGTCAGCTAGTGCTCCAGCAGGGAGACACGCCATTGGTATTTCGTTTGGAAACTCAAATAGCAGCATTGCGATTACCTCCGGCGACGACAAGGCCGAGGTTATTGCTAATGAAGACGGAGGTATGTATGCTAATGTGCATATCGCAATTCGTGTATAATGATATTGAAAGCTGACCATGACTAGATCGCCAGATCCCTTCGATTTTATCATACGTTGATGGGGAGGAATATAATGGCCAGCAGGCCAAGCAACAGCTTATTAGAAACAGCGGCAACACAGTCGCCTATTTCAGAGATTTCTTAGGTCAAGAGTATGTTTAGCTACACCTATCTTGTCTATTGGGTACTTGCTGACTGCTTCGTGACAGATTCAAATCAATAGATCCAACCCACTGCCACGCATCTGCCCACCCCCAGGAACACGAGGGTACCATCGCTTTCACGATCCAGGACAAGGAAGGGGACGAAAAATCGACGGTCACAGTCTCTGAAGTTGCTACTCGCCATTTTCGACGACTGAAGCAATCTGCGTCTGATTTCAGCGGCAAGGAGGTCACTTCGGCGGTCATCACAATCCCCACAAACTTCAGCGAAAAACAGAAAGATGCGCTCATCAAAGCTGCAGCCGATGCCGGTATTGAGGTCCTTCAACTCATCCACGAGCCTATAGCTGCACTTTTGGCATATGACGCCAGACCCGAGAGCAAGGTCTCTGACAAGAATGTGGTTGTGGTCGACCTTGGAGGAACACGATCCGATGTTGCTGTTATTGCGTCCAGAGGGGGGATGTATACAATCTTGGCGACCGCACACGATTACGAATTCGCTGGTGTACATCTTGACAAGGTTCTCCAAGACCATTTCTCGAAGGAATTCATCAAGTGGAACTCGATTGACCCACGAGAAAATGCTCGAAGTTTGGCAAAATTAAAGCTGGAAGCAGAGGCCACCAAGAGAGCTCTCAGTATTGGAACCAACGCAAATTTCAGCGTGGAGAGTTTGGCAGAAGGTATTGATTTCTCTTCGACCATCAACCGTCTCCGATATGAAACTATTGCGCGCAAGGTTTTCGATGGCTTCAACCGTCTAGTTGAAGGTGTGGTTAAGAAGGCAGGTTTGGATGTATTGGACATTGACGAAGTTATCTTATCCGGAGGAACGTCGCATACCCCAAAGATCGCATCCAACTTCCAAGCCATTTTTCCGGATAGCACAACGGTTTTGGCTCCGTCAACCACAGCGACTGCCGTCAACCCATCGGAGCTTCAGGCTCGCGGTGCTGCTCTGCAAGCATCTTTAATTCAAGAGTTTGAGTCTGAGGACATTGAGCAGTCAACGCACCCAGCGGTCACCACTGTAAAGCACCTTTCAAAAGCAATTGGTGTTCTAAGTATATCTGGCGATGGGGCAAAGGGAGTTTTCTCACCTATCATCACTGCGGAAACTGCCGTACCAGCTAGAAGAACAGTTCATGTTGCCGCACCTAAGGAGGGTGGTGATGTTTTGATCAAAATCGTTGAGGGAGGAAGCCACATCAAGGTCACTAAACCAGAACCAAAAGCGAAAGAGAACGGCACCAAGGACGATAGCGATGACAGTGACGAAGATAGTGATGATGAGCCAGAAGAACAGCGGGAGAAGGTTTGGAAAACCGGTAGTGTCCTTGCTGAGGCCGCGGTTAAAGGAACCAAGAAGGGCAGTAAGATCGAAGTGATGGTTAATGTTGCTCAAGACCTCGCCGTCACTATCACTGCGAGAGAAGTTGGCGCGAAAGGTGGTGTAAAAGGCAATCTTACCGCACCTTGATGTTTTGAAATATGGGGATAAAAAGTATTTGGGTCGCTGGCAACCTATCAGATTTGCCTGCAAACGTTTGTTTATTTGAAGGATGGCTGCTCGTTTAGAACGTCCTTTGTACCCATTGGGGATATGATACTATAGAATAAGCGTTATCACCTCGCATGTAGAATGGTGGGCATTTGCGAAGCCATATCAATACATTGTTTTCAAATTCCAGCCCAGCGTGGCTTTACTGTGACAGCGACCAACTTCCTTACAAACACTGCATGTGGTAAATTCTTTAGCTCTTCCTGGTCGGAGTGCTTAATTATTCTACAGGTTGAGAATCCGGCACCGAGTACGTTTCAGGAACTGTACTGTACGAAGTTAGGTCATAAGACACTGAAGCGGCAATGAAGCAGCTGCTCTTCCTACACGACATGCCTTCTAAAGCATTCTGTGCGGAAAGTCTATCGGCATTCAAGACCTTCCATCAGCTCAGTACGACCCAAGCTCCATCAAATCCACCCGAGGTGACATCTGGTTAAGCTTTCAACACCGCAGTCAAGAGACAAGTCACGCGAATTAATCTTGTGCTACCACTCATTACCGATACAATTGAGTACTTCTGTATCGGGCATTACTAGAAAGGCCTTTCGCTGGAACAATGTATCCCACGTTGCTGCCAATGGTCTGCTTCTGGAAACACTTTATTTTCCCCGCATAATGCACGCAGATGGTGGACACATGCCACAAACATGGCTTCATTTCGACACCCCGGTACCACTTTGATTTGCTTGGAAATTTAAGGATAAATGGTAGATGATCTGCCGTTGTGGTGAGTTGGACGACAGCCAAGGTTCCCCGCATTTTTGCTTCTCGCTTCGGGGTTGTGCTACCACCGTTGTCTACAACGACAAGTGGGCATATCAATCTTCTTTACATGATATCATGTACCTCCTGGAGTAGTTTCTCACTGGGCGCAGCCATTACCCCTATCTGCCGATGAAGCTGTAATATGCTCCGTTGTAAGTAGGATACCTACGTTACGGTCAGCTTCGACAAGGCTCTACAATCAAGGCCCTACCGCTGGTAGTTGCTCTTGAACTACCTCCTTAGAATGCCATGGAATCGGAAGAGAGCCCGGTTTGTTACTGGCTGGTTTGCTCAAAATCTCCTACGTCTTCATCGTTTGTGGCTGTCGATCTTTGAGGAGTATGAAGAGCCTTGGCAACGAAGCCCAACACGGATTGAAATCTTGCAACACTTTTTGAGGGATGCACTTTTTTTGGTGTGTCATTTTGGCTCTTGCTAAACTTTCTTTGATGTCAGGTGATGATGTGTACTCGGCCGCAGCCGCTTTTTCTTTGGAATCAAGCGGTGATCAGACGTTGTTGTAGCGTAATCTGTTGCTATGACACCTTGCATAGCCTGTCGTCTACGATTGCTTTTGGGCGATGAAGAATTGCTAGTCTATAGCATCTTGAATCGCTGCGTTTGAAGTCAACGGTACCTCTAAGCGACGGCTGTCGAAGCCGAACCATCATCCAAGAAGTCTAAGTAGGCCGATAATGCTTTCACAGCCGAATTTATGTTCCCTCATAATCGGATTCCTTTTTTCGCTACCTTCTCTGCTGCATCCGCTCTTGCAAAAGACCCACGGTTATGGACTTGTAAGTTGTCAATCAAGTGCGCCCGCCATGATTCTTCCACTAGGAATCGAAGGACTCGAATTTTGTGGATGACAATTCCATCTTCGATTCATCTGCCTAAGGAAACGGAGCTCAGAGTACCGTCAATGCATTTACGATGTGGCAATCCTTCTTACATAGTCAAGCCACAATGATACGTCACAAGCCATAGCCTGGGAACTCAGAATGCGGGGAACAGCAGGTACTGGCTCCCTACAATATCTGGGATTGGTAACCTGTATGCCTCGTGGTCGAGTCCGGGAATGACCCCTAATGAAAGGTTGTCACTCCGTTACGTCTGCCCTAGATTGTCGTCGCTGGTTTACTCAAGAGGTCATTAGCTCAGGGCAATCCTGTGTCACCCCTGTTAGTACAACACCCTTTCAGACGATCGAGGTTGAATTTCTCCGGAATCTAATGACTGGATAGATTTTCTTAGATTCATTTATATACAGGCAATACGGAAGAAAGATCTCAAGATCTTGTACCAAGCCTGTCGGCACATAGCTCTCCGCAAATGAGCTCAACGCTCATAGCTGCTTCAACGAATGACGATCATGAAACTTCATGGAGGAGACATCCTGCCCCTAAATGCACTCAAAAAATTCACGACGGTTGTAAGGGTTTCGTTCCCGACGTTCCGTATAGTCCTAAATGTTGCTTTTGATGGCAAAATGTCTCTGGCACAGAAACTGCATTCTAGCTATATAAGAAACGAAGCCCCGTATCGCTCTTGCATCTTTTACTAACTTCCTCACTGTAGACTAGTCTCATCAAACAGATCTTTTCTTCAATATGTTCTCCAATCTCGCCCTCGCAACTTTCCTGGCTGCGGCCGTGGTTCAGGGTCAGCAGGTTGGCACACAACAAAAGGAAACCCATCCATCTATGACTTGGCAAAAATGTACTGGCACTGGTGGAACTTCATGCACAACCCAGAATGGCAAAGTTGTGATCGATTCTAATTGGAGATGGCTGCATGACAAAACAGCAAATAGCTATACTAATTGCTACACCGGAAATACTTGGGACTCAACGCTATGCCCAGACAACAAGAAGTGCGCCCAAAATTGTGCTCTCGAGGGTGCTGATTACAAGGCGACATATGGAGCTGAAGCAAGCGGAAATTCGTTGAAACTTGCGTTGGTTACAAAGGGAACATACGCTACCAACATTGGATCCCGTTTGTATCTTATGGATACCGACACCTCGTATGCACAATTCAAGTTGTTGAACAGCGAATTCACATTCGACGTCGATGTTTCCAATCTTCCATGCGGTCTCAACGGCGCGCTCTACTTCGTTTCTATGGACGCCGATGGTGGAATGAAGAAGTACCCGAACAACAAGGCCGGTGCTAAATATGGTACGGGATACTGCGATGCTCAATGCCCACGTGATCTCAAGTTCATCAACGGAGAGGTAGGCGTCTCATATAACGCACCCTGAAACCGACCATGCTAATCTCTACAGGCGAACGTCGATGGCTGGAAAGCTTCGAGCAATGATGCCAATGCTGGCGTCGGTGGGAAGGGATCGTGCTGCGCGGAGATGGACATCTGGGAAGCCAACTCCATCTCAACTGCATACACACCACACTCCTGCAAAACTGTTGCGCAGACCGCATGTTCCGGAGACGATTGCGGTGGAACCTATTCCGAGACCAGATATGCAGGTATCTGCGATCCCGACGGATGCGATTTCAACTCCTACAGAATGGGCGACAAGACCTTCTACGGCAAAGGTCTCACCGTCGACACCTCGAAGAAATTTACCGTCGTCACGCAATTCATCGGTAGTCCTCTTACTGAAATCAAGCGCTTCTACGTCCAAAATGGAGTTGTCATTCCTAACTCGCAATCTAAAATCGATGGCGTCACTGGCAACTCCGTTACACCAGCATTCTGTGATGCTCAGAAGGCTGCGTTTGGCGACAACTACTCTTTCAAGGCTCAAGGTGGATTCCCATCTATGTCTTCGGCGTTGAACACTGGAATGACTCTCGTCATGAGTATTTGGGATGATCATTATGCCAATATGCTTTGGCTTGATTCGACTTACCCAACCACCGCCACGACTCCAGGTAGTGAGCGAGGTACCTGCGATATTAATAGTGGTGTTCCCGCTGATGTCGAGAGTGCTGCTTCGGGCGCTAGTGTTATTTACTCGAATATCAAGTTTGGTCCGATTGGAAGCACGTTCAAGCAACCTGCTGGAACTTAATTCATCATTCAACTTTCATAACAAGTTCGCGTGGAGGATTGTATATATTCTGTCGCTTTAGAATGCTGGCAAGAACCAAAAAGAGGCGGTCGCTCGTTTCGGGTGTGTTCAAATGATGAAGTGATGACTGGTAGCATTCCTTCTTCTGGTCTCGAAAACGCACAGGGATTCTGTATATAGTTTATCAAATGCTACTTGTATCACCTGCTCATTATTTTTAATTTGATCGCCTATATTTCGTGAATGGGTTTGACTCTGTGCACTGCATTGTTTTGTTTGCCTAGGCTCAATCTGCCAATTGAAGGAATGAAAAGATCGTTTCCTATCATTATTATACTTTGTGATTTGCTCCCAGTCTTGCAACACATTGGTGAAGGTCTCGTCTAGCGTGATCCTTTTAGGGTCAACTGTGAGATCTCAATACATCACTTGACATCCAACTCATTTCCATTTTCCTTATCCCAATCTCACCATAATCCCCCGCTTCACCCAAACGCTCTATTCCATGGAAATCATGTTGTTCGAACCGACCTGCAACCGATTTCCCATTCACTTCCCCCTCGCTTGGTCATCAATCCCCTCAACTTCACCACCCGACAACCACTTCCAGCAACAACAGTGAATGAGGCCATTCCCTAACATTCCACCCTCTTCTAGGCATCGATGACACCATTTCAAAACAGCTCCCACGTGGCAGCTATGCCTATAAATTGAAAGTTTTGGCCTCGACGTGCAACAAACCTTCTTTTCCAACACAACATTTTTTCTATAGATTCTTTCAAAACAGGTTGATTTCCACATATATGTGGGATCTTCCACAATTATTCAATCGATATTACTTATCACTCCTTAGTACTCTCTTTTTTGATGGATTGTTGATATCGACTATTCGGTCTTTAATCATGTTGTGCCTACAGTTTTGAAGTGTAAGTTTTGACTCCCCTCCCCCTTCACTTCACTATAGTCAAATGATTATTTTTGAACACGACACTGCTTAGGCAGTAGATGAAATGAAGATCATGTATTGTTTCTCTTATGGCGTCGCTCTCTCCTTCCCATCCTCACATATAATGTCGCACCTCAAGAAATTTGCTAATTTATGTCGATCTTACAGGACGTGCATTTGAAGTGTAAGTTTTACTTCTTGTTTATCTTCATCTCATTATCGTCAGATGATGATTCCATTTTGACTGGATTACGACACATGATACCGCTTCGGCGGTAGATGACAAATTATGTTACGTATCGTTCTTGTGACACTCGATCTTTTCTTTCCATCGTCTCAGAATTTTGTACCTTCTCGGCTCTGCTAATTTCATAGATCTTACAGAATTGAACTAAATATTTTGACTTCCAGTCAAAATATCCTGGGGAACCTACATACTCTCGTTGTGGACTTTTGCTGCTCCAAGTACGTGTTGTTCATTCACTTACCTGCGATCTGTGCCCTCCAACCTTTTATGACGAACCTGCTTTTCAACCACTACCTTCGATGTCTCCGGACACATGCGAGCTTTTGCGATTTGCAACTACTACTCATTATTCCGAAAAAGATAATCTCCTCCCAGTCACTTCCGCCCATTTCCATCGTCCGGCTCCGCTAACGATTATGAAACCCAGACACTTTGTTTTGACGTTCAAAATATATACACGCGAATTTCTATTCTGAGGTTAGTCACATTCCACTTTCTCAATTTCAATTGTCCGCGCGATGATGAGTTGTAACCCATCCGTCCCCACTCAGGGTCGGTTCGAGAATTGCCTCACCGGGTTGTTTAAGGGCAGGTACGCTCATAGCGAGATACCTGAAGGATTTTGGAGCACTGAGCGCAATTTTTTACCTTCGTCAACTTGCACACCCATAAAGAAGAATGAAGTCTTGCTAATCAGAAAAGTGGTCATAGAGCATCCATGGTTTTTTGCGTTGGGTTTGTCGGCGGAGTTTTCAGTTAGAGATGTTCAGTAGTTATTAAATAAAACTGTTATTATTATTTCCAGTCTACCAGAGGTGTGCTCGAGCTTGTAATAATGAAAAGTCCTATCTGTTTCCACAATGCCGAAGGTTCCGGGTATCTCCAGACGTTCCTTTCTCCAATCCACCACGTCGTGTCATACTGATAAAAGAACTCCGTGGAGCCATCCCAAGAATCAAAACCGTTCCCAGCCTCTCCCTTCATGCCAAATCACATCTCCTCCTCAATCATCCCATACAACTACAAATCCTAAGGAAACGAGCAACTCGGATCCGGCTTTTCCGTCTCATGTCTCATGACTTTCTTCGGCGGCTTGCCCTTTCGACAAGCAGGATCGTGACGGCAATTCTTGCAACGGAATGGACATTTCTTCGTCGGGCTGTTTGCGAAGACGTCGAAGACCACGTTTTAGTAGGGGCTTCACCTTACATGTCACCCACGCGAGGCAAAACAATAATGGTAGGCCAAAGACAACGTATGCCACGGCAACCGCAAAGGCGACGAGAACCGATTGAACGACGGTGAACTGCATTTCGGGTGTTGAGATCTGGTTCTCGACTACGACCACGACTGTGAATTAAAGGTATTCTTATAGAAGTCTTTATAGAAGTACTGAAGTTCCTGCGAGTCTTGTGCGTTCCGATGAATCTATATCTTCTCCGTCAGTATTATGAAACTTGCAGGTTTGAAATGATTACAGTGACGAATATCGCATTTCTGGCGCAAGCTTATGTAAAATGCTTATTGAAAACACAATAAACTTACATTTGGTTTGGGTTCTACGGCTTACTCGTAAAGACGATGTCCAGATTTCTACTCAGTTGAAGTAGTATATCGTCTAGAATTCGTTGTGCTTGTGATTTTCTGACTCACAAGAAAGAAAAACCGGCGGAGCAATGTTCAGACATGGCTACTTATATGTGCACACATTAATGGCAGTGGATCTTGATTGTTCTGAATTCCAAGAACTAAACTCTGCAACTCCATTGGCTACATGGTTGGCGTGGGATAAAACTTTGGTTTACTATTCGGACTAAAAGAAACTTGGCACAAACCGTTGGACGAATCTCATCCAGGTGGTATAAACCTAACGCGATGGTCTCGGGAAGAAGGCCCGCAATGATTCAATAACAGTATCGTCCCAAGGTTCGACTTGCAACACCTGACTAACTCTAGAAATGGACGTTTGTACGTCAGAAAGGTTTTCCTCGTAGAGAATGAGAATATTTGGGGGTATCATGTGCGAATGTTGATGGTTACAGTTCGATTCTTTAACGCATTCCGCGTGGAGCAACCAGCAACCCATAATCATTGAAGATGCCACAAAGAACATACAGTTTCTCGACATCCGCAAGAAATCAAGTCTCGTGACAATCCTCATGCTGAACAGGGTAAGGAGCGGGAGTAGAGACACGATATCTGATGCATGAATTTGACACATTACCACAAACTGTTTTGACCCCATAAAATTTTGTTGAGTTCCTTCTAACTTTTCCAAAGGCGGTGGATATCTAGCTTTACATGCGACACAAGCCAGATATCAATCCCAGTTAAAATTCCAACCGCGAAAACCAAATCCTAGACACCGATCGTCGCATTTCCAACCCCCATTTTCCTCCTCTATTGCAAACCACCGTCCATAGCGAACTCGAATGGGATCTCAGCCGGACCGTTAGGATCAGTGATATCCACCAAGGTGAAATCCAAGATCGCATCTTTGTCTTCGCCGTGGATCCATACACCCCTTTGATTCCAGTCGATATAAATATTGAGCGGCGCACAATCTGGACAATCTTCTAGGCAATTTGTTGGGCACTCCTTAGAATCGCAAGCAATGATGAAGGCAGCAGCGAAGAAGAGGGTGACTAGGAATAAGAATCCAGAGAGCACTCCATAGATAAAACCCTCGCCGCTCACACAAGGCATTTTGTTGGGGATATTGGTGTTGATGTGGTGGAGGTATTGGAACTGTTTAACTGGCATCAGAGCTGCACGAAATGACCAGTGTTGGATTGTACAAAGGATACGATGAGGGAATGGCAGACATACATGGTTTGTTTTGTTATTGTAGGCAAAAGGTGTTTGAATCTTGGTTTTGTTGCGTGTTGCGTTCCTGTTTGTGTCGATGTCGATGAATCTAAAAGCTGGCAAGGCTCTGGACCGGCCCTTATATGTGTTTCCCTTGTGATCCAGGTACGAGTGATACACTTATATACATTTCTCCTGTGATCCAGGTCGGCGGCTGATAAGCATCTGTAGGTATATCACAACTTGCAAAAAAGAGAAACCCATGACTTGTGATGCCATATTCGAATTAGCTCTAGGTCCGGCGTCTAGACCGCTGATGGAACCTATGAGTTAACGAGAAAAGCTTTTTGAGATGGTAGTACACTTAGCCGTTTTAGTATGCGCCAGTTCCACACCTATCGATACAGTCAAGCGGTAGTCGTAGGCCCCGCTCTTCCCCAGTCTGATTCTCACAATTTCGGCTTATCACCGATGGATGTCGGATTTCACTCCAACCGCATGTTTACGTTATAACCACTCACAACGGACCTTTCATGATGTCTCACTGATTGTGAGAAATTCGAAATGTGTCACGTAGCTGGCTGTATCGCAGGCAAAGCGATCCCAAATAGCCCCATCAATGTCTCATGGAGAAATTCCAGCAGTCCAATACCATGACATTATAATGCTCCAGATCACTTGAAGAATCGTTTCAGAATTGTGACAACAGTTGGCTTCGTCTGCGTTATGCGTATGATACAATGCTCCTTCCTAACCACATCTTCCAGCCATCATAGCTCGATACTTCCTCCACAGTCCCACATCCCACATGATAACTTCGATCGCTTAGTGTTTGTCGGCTGGCTTGACGGTCTTTGCATTTGGGTTTCGGGGATCGTTTCTGAACTCCTCGCCTGTGACATGGTATTTTAGCATTTGTCCCATCACTTTGCCGAAACAGCACTGGTCCAACATATCCGTCGTGAACCGAAGCATGGGGTTCGCTACTCACTGTTCATCATGGCAGTCTGGGCGCTGTTGACACCGTACATGACAATCAGACCTAGTTCAAATCAGCCACCACTCCCGTACGCGCATTCGCATCCTCTCCGATCCCAAGGTCTCGTCGCATCGTCCAGCGAATTATCAATCGATTGCGCACATACCGGCAATGAAGAAAGGGGCCAATGGCTTAGCTATATGCAATACAATGTTAGTATTTGGACAACAATCTTTCACGACACAATCCGGCGGAGGGGGCAAGAGTTTGCGTACCGACAGGCGCTGGGAACTTCTTTCCTAACCATGACATCTCGACGGTGTTTTGTGTAGAGGAATTGAGTGTTGCTTGGTGATGGGCTTGGAGGGATTGATGGGTGGATTGTAGCTTCGCGGTGGTGAGGTCTGAACGGCGAAGAGCCGCATCAAAAAACAGCGACCTCGATTAAGACTAGCTCAACGTCACATGATTCATACCACGTGACTTTGCAATAGCAGTTGCTCATGAACCCGATTTTCTCATCCGCCTCACCACCTGTATATGTATTACTAAAGCTCGATTCATCTTTTCCCACTGTCATTGGACGGAACATGATATCAAATTCTACAGCAAATTGAATCCAAGATCTCTCTTTCAACGTGAGGCATTCGAGCACTTCCCAATCCAATGAACCTGGCTCGCAGAGGACAAAATATTTAGCAGAAACCTCCTCGCTATTGGGTAAACTTAAGTTATTTTTCCAGCGGGTAAGTAGCTTACATGTATAACTTTGTACAGAGTCAAAAAGATTATATTTACCCAAAATAATTGACGAAATATCGCAATTGCGTCAACTGTTCTGGGCAAATGCTGTGCGTCGACTGCCAGCCTTAAGTTGACTTGTAGCCTGAGGACTCGATTCGCGAAAGTGCGGGGTGAAGCTTTGCATACATTAAGGGACCCACACCTCTAGCCAATCACTGCCCCTCAGAGAACAATGCTGTCCCTGCGCCGTGAAGTACAAGATCAGCTCTAGATCAATTCCCGAATGATTCACCTCTTGTTCTGGATCAACTCACCCAAGACAGGACAATCTATCTAGCACAGATCGACAGATTGTCTATATCAGCTTGAACCACGCTCTCCCGTCACTTGATTGAGCTTCATTGAAGCCAGTCAATCGCGACAACAACAATCCACAATCCAAAGCTATATCTAAGCTACCCTCTTCACCATATTATACCATTGCAACTCCAATATCACGATGTTTTCCAGACGCCTTTTGAAAGCCCCAGCGGCATTAACACCTGCGACCTTACTCCGACCTTTTTCCAGCAGCACCATCCTTTTTCGTACCCCAGCTCTATCAGATGTCACTTCTGAGGGCGTGAAATCCTTCGAAGTTAAACAGAAAGAATTCCGGCAGAAGCTAGCAGATGCTAAGAAGAGTAGCGAGTCAACCGCAAGTAAGTACGAGCGCAGTTCCTGAGAACCCCTTTTCTTTTTCTCTCCCACTGCTCAAGATGCGAGCAATGCGAGTCCACACTTCTAACCACTTTCTATGGGTACAGACTCACCAGGCGCCTCCGCAGAAGCCAACGAAGAGGAAGATTCCAAGCGCAAAGGGAAACTCAGCAGCTTGATCTATGGCACCAAAGAAGGACGCGAAATGGAGCGCGAGATGGAACAATCATTTTCGCAAGTTCTAGCACGAGGCAAATACGTTCATAGCATTGTATTCCACGATGTGAAGCCGGATAAGGTCGACGAATATACGGAGTTGGTGGGAAAATGGTATCCAAAAATGGCAGGGATGCCCGAGAACAAGGTCCACTTGGTTGGTAGTTGGAGGACCGAGGTTGGTGATTGTGATACTTTTGGTAAGGCTCCCGCTGTCATTTCACAAGTACCGTGCTAATTGAAGTAGTTCACATCTGGGAATACCAGAGATATCATGGATACCACGACTCCCTTCACAGCATCTCTCAGCACCCCGATTTCCCTGCTTTCGACAAGAAATTGAAGTCTCTTATCACCGCAAAGCGTACCTCGTTGATGCAAGAATTCTCCTTCTGGCCGACCACTTCTCCCCGCCAATTGGGCGGAGTCTTTGAGCTTCGATCATACACTCTTCACCCAGGAAATCTTTTGGAATGGGAGACCCATTGGCGTCGTGGACTCGGTGCTAGAAGACAGGTCATGGAGGGGGTTGGAGCCTGGTTTGTACAGATTGGTGACTTGAATACTGTTCATCATCTTTGGCAATTTGCGGATTTAGAGGAGAGAAAAGTTAGACGGGAGCAGAGCTGGAGCGTGGAAGGTTGGGGAGATACTGTTCACAAGACTGTGCCATTGATCCAGAGCATGAAGTCCAAGATCCTGATCCCGATGCCATGGTCGCCTGTTGCATAAGGCGCTGGTTGGGCATACTTGCGAGGCTGGACATCAACATTCGGAAGCGGAGGAAAGGGGGACGGCAAACACTACTAGAGGCTCTCATCAATATGAAGAGGACACTCACAAAAAGCTCGACAATGTCTCTGGCAATCTGAGACATCGTCATGAGTCGAGGGCATATTAGGCGGAAGCAAATGTACGTTCATACGGCCGGTTGTACCCTAAATATTTTCGTTGGGTCGAGGAAGCACTAGCGCAGTTAGGTAGTAAATCAATTAATCAATTGATTCCATTAATCAAAATGCATGCAAACCCATTTCGACCTCAAATTTATCATGACTTTTCGACTGACATGGTAGCGGTCTTCTGGACTTCGTGGGACAACACACGTCAGAGCATGCTATTTACCCGATCAGGTTGACAAAATCCACATATTTCGTCAATCAGGTTGACGAACTATCGATATTTCGTCCATCATTTTCAGGAAATGAATGTGTTTTAGACTCCTTTAGTATATGTCGAGCAAGTTTTACGAAGGTCAACGGGTTACTGCTACTTAGATGTTGTTCATCGCGAACTAAAGTACTTGATCTTTACCTACACAATTAACAAACAGAGCGTATTGACACATGTAATCTTAAGTATCGTTGCTTGATGGTCATTCATACGGCTTTATTCAATCTACCTTAACAGAGACTCTAGATGTAGCTTTGAACCTAAAACAACGTTCATTCCTATATGCCCTTCTATATGTTGATCTAGAAATACTTGTTATATCCTTTCACCACTTGATGTACCAAGAGCTCCTAAATGAGATGAAGGGAAGTTGATGGATAAATCATTTCATCATTAAATGAATCTGAACTCAGGGACAACAGTGAGGTAAGCTAGCCTTCATCACCGGTTGTAACTATGGTAGAGTACTCTTGAATCATTGAAATCCAAGCTTAATAGGAACCCGGAATGAATTAGGGTAGCATATTGGGAGACTCTGGGAAATACGAGTCTCTAACAAGAAGATCATGTCGGAGTTTGTCAGCGAAAATGGTCGGGATATTAGGCTTTATTGATTGAATTAGTACCTGAATTTTTGTCCAGTGGTACAAACGTGACAATCATCTTTGATTAGAAGTGCAAGTTCTTATTCATGAGTCAACTCAATCAAGAATAACATGATCATGACTACGATCACGGGTTTGTTGCATACTCATTAATGAGAATTAATCATTAATTATTAGTCGTTGAGAAGCCCCAGATTAATCATTTGAACCCAATTTGTCTTCCGATGTGATTAGATACATATCCATCAAATTAAAGACTACAACCACATTGATCTTGACCAATCCCCATTTCCAACACATACCAAGATCCTAAAGCATTGAAACTTAGCAATCAGACATGAAACCGGAACCGTAACCAACAACATCATCCGAACTGAACTCCCGGGTGTCCTTCGATCACAGCTCAATCACCAAGACCCTAGACATCTCCTCCCCATCCTTCTCCTCGGGCGGAAAGTAAAACACACTAGGAGCCTCATCGTGATGAGCGAAGTAGAAAAAAGTGACACCTTCCTCCTCAGGAGCGTCATCGATGATAAAATAATAGACTACGCCTCCAAGAAAAAACCCCATAAGGAGTACTGCAGAAAAAGCGGTTGTGAGGGTTTCTTGCATTGTTGCGAGGTGGGGAGGTAGATTCATCGTGGAGGTGGTTTGGTGGGGTTATGATATTGCGTGGGCGGAGTTGGCGGGTGATTTGAGATTGAGGGTTGTGATGAAGAAGTATAGAAGGTCTGGTTGAGGGTGTTAATACTGTCAATTGAATTGGATGACCGGCGTGGTGCCAGATCTCGTGAGAGACAAGACATCTTTGTGGTTTTGAAAAGTGATGGAGTGTAAGAACCAGAGATGCACGTACTTTTTTATTCAGCTCTACCTTTCTACTCCGTCTACAATAAACGGGCTTTTCTTCAGATGCTTGGTAGATGTTGTTACCTGCTTTGATGGCTGATAAGTAGAATGTTCAACAAATGCACTTTTTCTGGTTGTCACGTACCTTTCACCCAATATGGTCAAAATTGAGAATTTTGGGTGTTATGCGCCTCATATTGCACTTAAAGAGTCCGGTCTAGAACCATCCTGTGCTAAAGCAGAATCTAGTGTCATACCACCGTGACGTCTTCATAGTATGCCCAGTTGCCGCTCTATAGCGCAAGCGTCTGGACAGCACGAAGGTCCATGACAGAAATAGGAAACCGCACGCGGTGGGAGCTTTGCCTCGCTATGTCCCTGGGCCGGGTCATAGATTACAATAATTGTTTCGTCTTGAGGAGGGAAATAGATTACCGAAAGCCAGACTAGAATTCCAAGAACAACCAACATAAGTACTGTTCCAGTAATAGCAAAAATAACGTCTTCTTGATTTGAAGCCATTGATGCAACTGTATTCCTTGTGAAAATGATGTGGAAGGTATGGCAGTATTTCGATACAGAGCCGTTTTGCGGGTTGGCGAATTATTTATGGTCGGCGTTTATATTGTAGAACTACTAGAAGTCTTAGGTGGATTGTTAGTACCGCAAGATAACGATCAAATGACGTTCCCGCTGCAAAATTTTCAAGCGATGGAGAATTTGCGATAGATTGAACAACTACGGGTTCTAAGAACAAGAGACATACATACTTTTGTTTCAAATCAGTCCACATCGCCACAGTTAAATCACGTTTCTTTTATCATCGATAGATTCTTTGCAAATGTAGATACTTGCTCTGATAGCTGCTTGGTGTAATTATTGTTGTTGTTGCGTAGGTATTCCGGGCCGAAAACATGACCTCTTAAGTTTGGGTGCTGTGATGCTCATATAGTTTTCGGAGAGTTCGGCTCAAAGGTATGATGGTCATAAAATTAAGGTAACAAAAAGTGCAGTTGTGTCACAAGACCCCGACGTCGACTTAGCTCCCCCAGGTGCCGGCTCTAAAGCATAAGTTCTGGCGTTAGGCAGCACGAAGTCCCACAGCTCCAAAAAAAAAAGGGCGACACTAAAGTAAGATTACTAAGATGTAACGGCCGCCTGGGAAAAGTCGAGTCCGCTATTGAGGACTGTCGCGCAGAAAGGCTTTCCTTGTTCTTGAGTCCTTGGCTGTCTATATGCAGAAAAATAGGGAGCTTCGAGTTATAGGTTGTTTCATTACATGGCGACTATCTCAAAAGAGATTATTAGACCCTTTTCACAGCATATTTTCCACCTGCATATTGCTTCATGTCGGCTTCTGAGTACGCTCGACCACACCAGGAGAAACCAATGCTCTCCAAGGGTACAGCTTAGCTGTTCATTTGTGGCAGCAACACTTTTGGCATCATTCCCTGCGAAGATTGAAGACACGCCTCAACCCGGCAATTCTGTTGGAACAATGTGTTGATGATTTCTGCCTCCATCATCTCACTATCCTTCTGTTGTTGCATAATGTCATCAGCTGACAGTAAATCTTTGATATCCCCACTCTTTAAACCCTATGCATCGCATGTTCAGTCATCCTCCTCTTCACCAACCCCCATCACAGCCCTCAATCCACACATACATCCCTCCACTCCCTTCACCAAACTCCCCAACTTCACTCCCAGCACAAGCAACACCGGATCACCTCCACTCTCCACCCTCACCTTCTCCTTAACCCGTACCTCTTCCCCCTTATACACAAACACCTCGTCCATCTCATCATGCTCCAGCCGTCTCTGCGCCCCAATCGCCGTCGCGAACTTTGAAAATGTACTCTCCGGCACCGCCGTCGGCTCCAGAACTCTCAACGTCAGGATCAGTGAAGAAGCAGTCGGAAGCAGATGTAGTGATAGATTCGTAGGGAGTGGTGGGACAAATGTATCAGGCGTAGGTGCGATCTCGTACCAAGGCGGGTTATCCGGATTTCCTTGCTCGCCTGATGTGCGCGGGGCGAGGGGCAGTGGATTCGGCGTCCCAGGACGTATGTTGAGAGTTGGTCCGGAGAGGACGGAGGCGGCTTCGAGGAGGATGCTGTGAAGGAGGTGGAGTTGGGAGTTTATGAAAGATCCGGAGTGACGATCGCCTGTCCAGAGGGTTATGTCTATGCTGTCGAGGGCGGAGTTGAGGAGGGTACGGAGGTGGGCGAGTTGGGGGAGGAGGAGGGGAGAGGATTCGTTGAGTTTGAGATTGATGGGTGGGAGGGTTTTGAGACGGAGATATATTGACTGAGAAGGTCAGCAAGCGTATGGCGGAGCTGTCAGGAAGACATACCCCTTTTATAACTCGTGTTCCTACTCTTGTGACATGACCTTTCACTAACTCGCTTTTGGGCGTTGAGATGACGAGGGTACTTGACTCGGGATCTTCTACTGGAGAGAGCTTCGCATAGCAGTCTTCCAGTCCAGCTTTGAATTCCGCGAGCTTCTCTTGTAGACTATCTAGATACCATGATAGTTCGCGGGCCTACACAAAATGTTAGATCCAGATCTCGACACGGCATACAGCAATGGTAGCACAAAGGGAAAACATACATTTGATTCTTCCTCAGCCTTAAGCAGATCATCAGGAGGAAGATATGGAAATACAACTGCTGTCATAATGAAATGGAGAAAAGATTAAGAGACTTGTGAGGTGTGTAAATGTAATTATCACAAGCCGAGAGGAACTGAGGTCACGATAAGGATTGTCCCAAAATCCGGGGAAGCTTGAAGCTTATGCAAGGGGATTTCTCCCGGAAATTCCCCGATGCGACTACACTCGAGTCTCGACAACACCAAAGTTCCGCGTACGAAAACATAGCCAAGCTAATTAATTGAAACAACATAACCTCACGATGGCAGACTCAACACCATCCACGACGTTCCCTTCAATCAACACCCAAGATCAATCCACCCCTGCCGCACATCCCAAGAAACAACCTCACAAAAAGCTCTCTCGACTCCCAAATAGTATGTACATTCTCCTACATCACCTCGACCCCAAGATTTAAATGAATCCAGCACATAAAATCCAAAAACGCCCTCTCTTGCACCCTCCAATCGCTACACCATACTCTTCCTCCGCCCACACCCCAAAAGTAATCTACATATCCGCGCACACGCCCTTTGTCGCGACCGTAAAACGAATTCGCAAGTACCTATCCGAGATGGAGAATCGAACTTCCAAGGCGACTGCAGCTAATAAGAACGCGTATCAGGGGAAGGGACGGGGCCGGACGGAGGAATTGAGAGGCTTGATGCAAGGTGGTGATGATGCTGGATTCTTGAAGGGGGTGGAAGAGGGGTTGAAGAGTAGAAGTGGAAGTGAAGAAGTGGTGTTGAAGGCTACGGGGAAGGCGATTGAGCGGTTACTGAGTGTTGCGTGTTGGTTAGAGGGGCAGGGGGGTGGAGAGGAGTTTGTGGTTAGGGTGAGGACGGGGAGTGTGGGTGCTGTTGATGATGTGGTTGTGAAAGATGGTGAGGAAGACGGGGATGAGGAAGTGGGAAGTCGAGTAAGAAGAGTTAGTTGTTTGGAGGTTGGTGTTAGGTATAAAGGACTCTGAAACCTGGATTTGTGGCTTCTACTGGACGACCTTGACGGGCTTTAACTATGGCCAATGAATCTGGGACCTTTGCAGCATAATGGCACAAGCGAGTGTGCTTTGAGTGTATGCCCAAATCAGCAGACAAGATTCGTACACTTCATTTGAGAAGTAGTAAGCCCCAGCAGCCACGGACCACTCAAACAGCCTAGAGCTTTACATTCGAAGATGGTCCTGCGCATTCCCGGAGTCAGCAGTCATGGGAAGTGGCAGTACTTGTTTTGGATTATAGTTGTACCAAGAACAACCTATATCTAAGAAACCAACCAAAGATTTGGAGCAAATGCCCAATCCAGCAGGCAAATTTTTCACTCCGAGTGAGGGATTATCGATTCGGAAACAATTGATGGAATGCTTGATCAGATTAGAGCTTGCATTGGACATACTTTGGCATACCCTGGACTTCTTGGACATCCGCAATTTTTACAACGGTGCCTGACAGAGTGGTCGAGTATATTCCCCACTCCAAGTGAGGGATTATCGATTCTTCAACAAGTGATGGAATGCTTGATCAGATTAGAGCTTGTCATTGAACTTTGGCACATCCTGGAATTCTTGGACATCCGCCAATCACTATAACAGAAACTTCGACGGTACCTATTCGGGAGCTATGTCTAAATCAGCAAATACCATATAGGCAATTCCTCGTTTCAAATCGGCAATCGTGGGATTGGATAACGCCAGATAGCTGGCTATAGCAGAGAGCTACTTGTGATTTCTCGGGGCATCTCAGGAAATAAGAGCCGTCGAATGTGGTCATTCCCTAGACTCCGGATCACAGACTATGTTGAACATTATCTATATTTCACAACCCAAATGCTGGAATATCTGCCCAATTAGCAAAGCTCAATTCCTTAATTCGAGTAGGAAATTATCCAATATAGAAGCCGAATGAGTATTTGGTTACAGCAGAAGCTATCTTTGAGTTATTCTGGGTATCGGAAAGACTTTGAGCCATCAATCATGGCCATTCTCTATGCCCTGGATGACAGAACATAACTGTATTTCACAACCCACATTTTGGAAAGCCTGCCCAATCAGCAAAGCTCAATTCCTCTCTTCGAGTAGGAGATTATGGAATTTAGAAGCCGATTAGGTACTTAGTCACAGCAGAAGCTACGCTTGAGTTATTCTGGGCATCCAAGAGACTGGGAGTCATCAATCATGGCTATTCTTTATGTTCCGGATGACAAATTGTATTGAAACTACATCTACAAATCCAAATTTAGAGCATATCTAATTGAAATCCACCATATCACCGCTCGTATCTATCATTGCCAAATCCTTCTGATTTGCTACGACATTCCACTCACTCACCACCAGGAAAAAGAGTCGTTGCCCCCGGATTTGGAAGCTGTACTGACATATTCAGAAGCTTTGGCGTTCAATGGCTTTTGGTTCTCTTTTTGTAGCGCTTTGAATCTCATTGACAACTCTGCCGGTGGCTTCTCGATGTTTGTTGCCGCTCTTTGGGACTCTCTGAACCTAGCTGCTAATCCTGCTTGGGGTCTCTCAATGATGGCTGCCCCTGGTTGAGGCTTTGCGAAAGTGGCGGAAGATTCTGCTTGCAGCCTCTCAACAAACGTTGGCCAGACAGGGCGTACAGGTACCGGCGCTAGATAGAGAGGAAGAGCCACCACGGCGTGAGTGAGAGCCATAGGAGGAGTCCATCCCACGATGTTCGCATTGGCAGCATGCTGTGAGGGCTGCTGAATGTCTTGATTGCTGTGTAGCATCTGTAATTGCTTGGAATACGCGGGAGGACTGCTGTAGGTTACCGCCGGCCGAGAGATTGCTTGGGCTCCAACATTGAGTGCACCTGTATCCATGGATGTTGTCGAGTCGCTAGCTGTGTCTTTGACTCGATCTTCATCCACCAATGGATCAAGATCCATGATATCTTCCAATGAGCTTGGTGTTGCAGCTGCATCCTCAGAAACCTTGGCTCCCGATAGAAAATCAGTCAAGTCAATCAAGCTTGATGAAGTGCTTAGGCCGGTGCTGGAGGGCTTCTCTTCCATTCCCATGAAATCTGCGAGGTGCGAAGCATGGCTTTTGCCATTGGCCAATACGCCACCGTCTTCTGGTTCTGGCTGATCTAGAATGTGATCTGATACCAGGCTACGTGGATCAACTAGAGTAACAATTGTCTCACTGGATGTGAGGCATTTTGCTGTGGACATTGGGCTCTGTCGAGGTGTTTTATGTGCTTGGAGCGCTGCCAAACGGACTGTTTCTGTATGTTCTGCCACGACTTGCTCTAACATCCATTGCCAAATTCTCTCACGTCGATTGACTAAACCTATTCCGCCTAGAATCGCCGGAAACGGCGGCCAAGTCGACCCTTCGCGCCTGCCTATTAAAGACTTGATGCTACTAGCGACGCTGGAAGAGGAGATTGCTCGAAGTGCAAACGTCGTCAAAGAGTGGTATAGGTAGCTGCATAATACTAGTTCGTACTCCATCATGTTTCTCAAGTCGTTTTCCATTGCTTCGAGCTCATACTCCAGATCTTCGGTGACTAGGTAGGTAGGAACCATACGTTAGATTGTCTCACTTTACTTGAAGAATCATCGCCTATGGCACACTTACGTTCGTACAGAGCATCCTCAATCGGCTTGCCCTTTCTCCACTCCCAAGGCTGTCCAGCGACTCCAGGAAGAACTCCGTGGCAAGCGATAATCTTTTCTTTATCGTATGTTTTGATGTCCTCCAGTTTTGCTCTCTCAGCATCGACTTGTATGGGTAGGTTTCTCACTCGTTCGGTTTGACTTGTCGTGAGCTTTTCGATCTCGAATAGTAGGTCTCTTTGAAGATACTAGTCTCGTGTTAAATTGATCTTCATCAGCGTGTCGTGGTGTCTCGTTTACCTCTGATGTTTGCGAGTCCAACTCACTGAGCGAGTTCACAACTACTGAAAACGAGACCCATTCAGGAAAATGACCTGACAGCTCAGATGGTACTGAAGAAGCCATCTCTGCAAGTGCTATGCAAGTAGATGTGAATTGGGTTTGTTGGTGTCGACGAACGTAGAGGTGATGAATCGTGAAAGTAGGAAGAACGCGTCTCGCTTCGAATTTGTTCCGTCGAAAAACATACGTCCGGCAGGAGCGACCATCCCACGCGGTGGACCATAGGACTGGCTGCCAAATCAGTATATTTACTCAATTAGATTGACAGAATATCGTGATTTCGTCCACGATTTTCAGGAATTGAAGCCGTTTAGACTCCGTTCAAGAATTTACTGACTTACTTGGGAACTGTCAAGACGTCCACGGTTCATTGCCACTGTTATTTTCCAGCGCAAGTTTTGCACTTGGTTAGAAGCTTCGGCCGCAGATAGTAATGACGGCTCGACGAGTGCACAATGCCAACAAAGAACTTGTAAACAGGCGGTTACTACCCGAGTGTTACAGTACTCCTAATGGAGAGGTCTAAGACTCCTGTTGGGACTTTTGCTGGTCTGGCCCTACCAGTTAGAAGCACCTACCTAGAGAATTGAGGCTATTCACACTTGCATCATGCGGGAAGCTAACACTCTTCCAGAACACCGAGCCAGATTCGAACGGCAACGACCACCGACGCAAAAATCCCTTTCGTACACCTCGATTCGATCCCTCCTCTCCTCCCCTCCTCCTCCAATCTATACCTATACGAATCTCATGAGCAGCTCGTTGTTACGCTTCTAGAAGGATTGTATCGACCTTGACAACGCCCCTCTCCTTAATACTACCCGTCCAACTCTGCCAACATAGAAGCTCGCAACGCTTATCTCAAGACTGTCCCGAGTTCGAAGTGGTGGAATGCTCGTGTTTCACAAGCTTTGGGTCCCTCGAGCGTCAATAAAGACACGTTGGTGGGAAGGCTACAAGTAATGGAAAGCTTCAAGGGAATTATCTCTTACTGCCACACGGGACCTATGCTACTGTTCAGTAAGTTTCAAACAAAGTCTACACTGTTTTTCTACCGAGGAACATAGACAGAACACAGTATATTTCATTAAATTAAGCGGCGAAATGCACGATATTCCGACAAGTCGCTGGAAGATGATGATTCAACTGCCACTTATCCGTCCGGGGAGCCAATGGAATGACGAGAGGGATCAACGCGCTCTATTGAGCAGCCTGCACAACCTGGAGATCACTTAACACGGTCGCAACCCGACAAGAATATCGGCAACCATAACTGAAAGGTCTTCCAAGACTATCGGCACAGAACAAAGTCAAAAGAACATTACAGAGGGATTCAGAGGACGACAAGAGTATCTGCTTGAAGCTGGGGGCTATCGGTTGGACTTACAAAGAAAGCTAAACAGAGAAAAGTTTATACACAGATGATGAGCAGTTATACCTCCACTCCCGTGTACATGCTGTTTCGCATTAGATACATATAGCAGCTGGAGGGTTATAAGGGCTGGCGGAATAGAAGACTACGCGAATGGATCTATGCCTCTTCTCTGTGAGTGTGGATTCTACGGCTATACTCTTCTGCAACCAGCATTGATTCTCCTACCTACCTTTATGTTCTTGCTGGAGACAGGATTGTATAGGCAGACTCGCAGTCGGCGAGAGTGGCCGTATCTTTCGAACCTCTATCGGCTTGGCTAACAGTTTGGGGTAGGTGACACCCTTGTAGGGACACTCTTGTCTTTCAAGTCTCTAAAGCTAGTCGGAAACTCTCCCAATTATCAAAACGAATAAAGGAAATATACGATAATGCGTCAGTTATTGTGAGCATGTGTAGGGTTTCCACTGCAACTGTATTGTCCGCTTAGAGTTTATCTTATCATCAAGAAAGGTCAAGAGGTATTTACCTAAACGGCATAGCCTCCGCACAACTATTTACAGGAAGGAGCAATCGAATGTGCGAGCTAAAGTATTGGCAGACTGCCTACTCATATTCTCATTGACAGATATTGTTAGGAGCCCTTGCGTTGGCTGCTTGTCATAAAGAATTTCCTTGTATCTATAGCTCCCCTATTACAATTACAAAGTCAATGATTTGCTATAGTATGAGGTACAAGCCTTCGCGGATCGCCCCTGCACTTGCTCTGCATTTGCTCTGCAAGTGTCATTGTCGACATTGTGTTTTGAGATTATGATGAGTTCCTGCTTGGAAAGCTCTCGTGGGCGTTGAATGCCCAGTCGGAGGCTGTCTTTATCCGCGGTGCTGGACTAGCCTCGTGTTACCACATGATGGAGAATGGAAATCTGCATTTACCTCATACTGATCGTAACGCATCAAAAGTTTGATATCTAAGAACAGAACAAGATAAGCTCGGGGCAACTGACGGCCGTTATACGATATGTGTCATTATAAGCCGGGACGATCAGAGGCTTATACTGTATTGTCGTGCGGAGATGCGGCTGTAAGACGGGGTCTTGGTGTTTTGTTCTATAGTGCCCAGGTATAAAAAGACCTTGGACACCAAAACAATTACGAAATAGTTCGTGGCCAAAAAGCAACCCAAGAAATTGGCAACAAATTGCCTTGATATTTTGCTTGGTGAGGTTAAGAATGATCCAGATGTAAAGATGCAAAAACACAAATCGACAACGCCATTGTAAGCCCGGCACGATTGACGGCCAAAATGTATTCTCTGCAAGTAAGCCCCCGCCTCTTGGAATCTTGGGCAACCTGAAGGGGATTCTCATCGAGACGCTCTTATTCAGAGGTATACTATGGTAAAGGTTGAGGATGGATTATTGAGGTGTCTGGTATTTCGCTAGTCGAGAGAGAAGGTATAAAGAAGAGAGCTTTTCCCTAAGAATAACTGCTACCAAACCAGTTAAACCTCCTCTACTCAACTCTTCAATTAAACCTCAGCAAGACTCAACTCTTCTACTTGCCTTCTCACCACCCTACACAACACACAAACATGAAGGTCTCCCTCGCCCTATTCACCGTCCTCGCCGGCCTCGCACTTGCCACTCCCTCCCATCCTGCTGCCCGCGCCGAAACTGCCTCCGGAGTTGCGGATGTTGGGGCTCCGAATGCAGAGCAGTTGGCGGAGGTGGCAGCCAACGTGCAAGCGCTCGCAGCCCTCGACCCTGCTTGCGTCTCCTGCGTTCGAAGAAACTGCTCGGCTTCGTGGGTCTGTCTTAGGGCCACCGCCCCGCAGCTGATCACCGCGTGTCTCCTGTTGAGGTGCGCTGCTGCTTCGGCTTTATGCTGCGTCTTTTGATTGATGCGTAGGAACGGATGACTGGAGAGGTGTGGAAAGCTGGGATGGTGTTTTGGAAGCTGGACGCGGTGGACAATCAGTATGAGCCAATTGGAGGTGGAAGGTTTGGGGTTGGCATTTGCGGAAAGGATTGTTGGGTGATGACTGTTGGCGCTCGTGTGTTGTAGGTGACTCTTTGGCTGTTGTGTGTAGTTATTCTGTAACAACTCAGGAAATACAGTTTTGGCAACGTGTAGGACATAAGGTCTATCCCCATCCTGTAGCGAGACAGATCTTAGCGACTTTACATCTGTGAACATGTTACATTTGTCTTTGATCTCGAAACTTTTATTAAGCCATTATCGCCCTTACAAAGAGGGCCATCTTTAACGTTATAACATGTATTATAGCAGCAGGAAGTTAGGTACCCAATTGTTAAGTCTGACAAAGCTATCGGACCTCCTATCGACTAAAGTGACTCGAATCAAAAACGAGTTATCTTAACCTAAAAGTCAAGTTTGAAAAGAGTTTGCAACCAGCTTGCAAATCTGCTCTAAGTCGGGATCCTTGATCTTGTGTTGGCTTATGTGTCATGGACCTTTTATGGAACTTTCGCCCCAAGGTTTGCTATCCGCGAAGGCTGGACGATAGAACACATCGTAATAAATTGGGGTTATTTATATCACAGCATTTAAGAAGTTATCACTGGATATGGATCGTCTAGTACCTCTTCCACATAGTTTTTGGAGTCCATTTTTGGAGAAAGCCGTTTCTGATTATATCCGCAACATATAAACATCGACGAAATACGTCTGGCCAGTATACTGAAAAGAATCAAACAACTCTAATTCTTAGTTTCACATATACTCTTGCACCATCTACCTCACATCAAATCCACTCTCACCAATCTCCACCTCCACAATCCAGCCACTTCAAACATCAAACAACCATTCACATCGCCCCCGCACAAGTACCATCTTCCTTCAACTATCTACACTCAACCTAAAAGAAAACCCAGCACTATCTTTCTAGGAGGCCTTACATTCGCAGAACGACCAGTCGATGGACGCCGCGAAGGATTCTCTCTTATAGTATTAGAAGATGGCTTCGCTTTTGTGTGCGAGCTTGGTCGACGTTCTCGTTGGCGAGAACTTCCTGCTTCGGCTGGAATTTTGGGAGAGTGATGTTTATGACCACTTGGCTGATGTCGATTTGGTGACTTGTCACTAGTAGAGGAGCCTTCGCGGTTATGGGGAGTTGGTTTGTGATTTGAAGGTCTTGAACTGCCTGCAACTGCTGGAGCGTTGGCAGAGTGGTGGTCGCGTGTATGGCTACTTTGCTTGTGATCTTGATGTGTTGACTTGCCACTAGTAGAGGCCCCTTTCCCGTTATGGGCAGTTGGCTTGTGATTTGAATGTGGTCGATTTTCACTGGAACCTTTGGTTTGCGGTTTTAATTTCTTTCCGCGGGTTGCGTCGTAATCTCGATGGACTCGTTGTGTTGTAAAGAACGGTTGATATTGGGGTCTGAGGATAGATCTAGGCTCGCGGGTTACAACTTCTTTGCTATTGGGTTCCTTTCTATCTGGATTCTGGTCTTCCACTGGGAATGAAAACTGTACTTTCTTCTTCGGTACTTCTCCGTCTGTTAGATAGCCCCTTAAATCAGAGACCACTTACCAGTTCTACCACTCCTCTGCATCTCAAGCGCGAAGAAATGTTTCAACCACACGCACATTGCTTGTGCTCTCTCTTCATTCAGTTCCACAACCATCTTCGGATTCGTCTTAAAGGAATTCCTATAAGCGACCAGAGTCTTAAAATGTGAGGATTGCATAGGATCTAGCTTTCCTTCGTTCACTAGCCTAGAGTTCAGCTTAACGAGTTCTTGCCAGTATTGATCGGATGCTTGAAAGGCGTTCTCGATGGCACCGCGACAGTGGCTTATGGTTGCAGGACTGGCATCCCATCGCCTAATCCAGATTGCTGCATCGAAGGGGGTGGCGGTTGAAGGTCGGAAAATGTTGTTGTTGGTGTTCATTTCGTGGCATATGCAGTTTTGAGCGAGTGAGATTTAGAGAGAGGATCGATTTGACTGAGCTTGGAGAGCTTGATAGGTGGTTTAAATAGCCAAAAATATTGGACGGTGTGATTGCACATTGTTTCAATGAATTCCAGATATCTTTGGTATTATACAATCACATATCCCGGTCCTAGTATGTCATGAAGAAGAATCGACTTAATCAACATTCCCGTTACGCAATTCTGGTGATTGTCCTTGATATCCCTAGATTTTAATACACCGTTCACATCTGAATTCTTGTCATGACTCAAACTGTGATGTACAAGTGAAGTGTCAGTTCCAAGTGGAACGTATCGTCACTTGTGTCAACCTGAGAAGTCTTGCCTAAAAGCGCATTGGAAGTTGCTTATGAATACAAGCTTAAATATTTAGTATCACTTGATGAAGGAATACCAACACCGCTCGCGGTCTAGCGCACTAGAAGGAACATCCTTTACTGACGATTTATGACAAATTCTATGTATTCAAACAACAAAAATGCACAGAGTCTTGATAAAGATATAAAACGGTTTCTTTTTATGAGCAAGGGAGGCTTTTCCTAGTTACATGATTAGTTGTGCAATATCTGTATCAGGCCACGTCGGCAATTTCCAACATGAATGCGATGAAATACTGTCAATGTGGAGTAACCGTCTTTGCTTTGTGTTTATCCTCAAGCTATGTTTCAAGCTCGAAATTGTGTACTCAATTCAATCATGTTATAAATGCTCACCATTCTCCGTCTTATCAATCTGACCACACAGTCCCATTATCTCGTTGTCTCATCATGAATGTCAATATATCACGTAAATGCGGCTTCCGAATACGTTTCGACTATAAACGGGTGAGCCTCCCATTCAAATCTGCTATTTCAACAACAGGATCACCTAGCCATCCCAGAACATATTTCGATGCCGTTCATTCTCGATGAATAAGAAAGTTATTGCATGAGCCCCTAATAAACCGGCAAAAATAAGTAGCACAATTGCTCTTGTATTTCCCCTGTGGTCCTGGGCCTCAAGATATAAGGACCTTCACAGCAGCTCTTAGTCAAGAATGTCTCGCAAGAAAAGCGCATTTTCCCCGGCGAAGCCAGGAAATTCACGACCTAAATCTAGACTTTTAGCAGTCGTTAAACGTGAAGTTACTCTATATTTATAACTCATCCTTCGGCATTTGTGCTTGATACAATTCAATCAATATCTCTCTACGCATGAAATTAACTCCAGAATCAGAAAACACTAACATCACTCTCTCGTAAGCTAATCTCAAAGTAAGGAATCAAACAAACGGCACCTGACACCGTGAAGCAAGCCAAAAACTCAGCTCAAGTCCTCTGTCGAGTTATTGCGCTCCTGTGGATTTATGAAAACTAAAACCAGAGACTTACATGCACTGAAACCTTTGTTACAAAAGTCACAAACGAAAATAACATTATGACACATAATCACTCGAATCTTTACAAACCCAAGTTTTCTCACCTCCCTATACTTCTAGTACGATGCAATACCCCTTCCCCCCCTTTTGAGAAAAACCCTAAAGCCTGCTCAACCTTCTGCTCGTTTCCAAGTGACGCCCCAGCAGTATTTATCTATCGGTAGCGAAGTCTTGTAGCCTAAGATAACTCGTGGCCAGCACCTGTGGTGCTTTCAATTCTGAGTCGAAACTACACCCACCAACTCACCATTGATACAAATTACCCGGGCTGGCTACATTAACGTCACTCTGAACCGCTGATGGAGGTCAGTTCCTACATGGTTGCGGTTTTGTACAATGGCTCTTGCTGGGGTCGATTTGTTTACTCAAGTTGCTCTCTTGCATTGAGCTTACTATTAGAGAGTACATGGTTACGAAAAGAGGGAACACTCTGCAAAACACACATCTCCTATCGCAACTCAAGGTTATGAAAAGTTCAGTGGCATTTTATCCGAAAGTCACGGTCCTCAAGGAGAGGGCTCGGAACCAAGTATGCAATCATCAGTGAATTGAGCACCAGTAATGTCAGTAAAGTAGACCACGAGAGCCGAAAACCATTTGCTACGCCGACAATTGTTCCTCAAATTCAATCTAAACCTCGTGGTTTCCATAAAATGCTCGTTTTCGGCCTTGTTCCCTCGTATCATCCAGTCCAAATCAGCACACCAGCTCTTCGCAACCAGAAATTACGAACAGGATGTTAGTAACGAAACGCGAGTGAAACATCTGTCGTTGTCATCGGATCGCAGCCTAGACATTCAACCAAAGACCAATATGAATGAAATCTGGAGATTTGGATTCGAGTTGACTAATATGCTGTCGAAGTTTTCAGGCGCATGGAGAATTGTGTCGGACATTATACTTAGCATTCTTAGTAGGTATAGCCTGCGAATATGTATATATGCGTGATTTCCAACGTAGAAATACATGTGTCTTTCTCACTATACCCAAAAATCACCACAAAGTGCCTGCGCACTTTCGTAGGATCTTCGCACCCTACCAATTCTCACATCTTTGGAAACCCAGACAAAGCACGATTCCGACTAGCAACCAGACTCTTTGGAACTTCCTGTTAAATAAGTGTTTCAAACACAGGTGCCTCGGATGAGAAAGGGGGAACCGGACACGTGACTATCACCTTCGTGGACTTGAAGAGAAACGAAGAGCTCACGATGTTTCTACAGTACAAGATTTGACAGCACACTTAGCACCGATAATCGCTGGATGAAGCTCGCGACAAAGATCAAAAGTTGGTCTTACACCTTCAGTATCCCTCACAGACGCGTTCGTGGCATCGTCGCACAGACCCAACTGATCCCACGATGAAGCAAATCTGGTTTGAGCTTGGCGGCTCGACGATAGCGACCATCACCCAAAGATGGTTCCACCAATGGAATCTGCCACCGATGGTTTGATGTGCAAAACAGAGCTTTGTCTCTCCAGATCTTGAAGGAAATTGGAAGGTTTGAAGAAGAGAAGTTTGTTAGGATGTCTTGGGTGACGAATGTTTCGCGGTGAAGATCAGGGACCGTTGGACTTTGTGGGGAACTTGCAGCTCGCGAAAAGGTGATCAGGAGCGCGAAGGGAACCCGAGGACGAGAGGCGAGAAGGATGCGCAGAAATAGATGGACACCGCAGGAGAAGGATCACAGAAAGAGGGGAACTTACGAATAAAGTATGTTGGGCTTGACGTGTAACTCAGGAACACTTGAGTCAGCGAGGTTTGTTTGTGATTCTTCATCCTTCCTGCGGATACCCGACGTCAATCGGCCCAGCCCGCGCAGCAGATGCACAAAGGGAAAACTCGAAGCTTTTCATGTTGGAGCGTGCACAGTCAGCTCGCCGGAGACAGTCGCTGCGTGAGTATTTATACTTGAGTGATAAACAGTAGCGGGTGGCCTCCTGTCTGTTGTGACAATGGCTCGAGAATGGCTATTTGGAGGTTAAAAGTGTCGCAACGAATCTCGGCGGAATTTATTTTCGTAGAAATTGGCGCAACACCAACGAAATTGATCGCAGACTGACTGAGGTGGGAGGGTGCCACGCGAAAAGGGATGAAAGAATTGTGTGACTCTCTCTTTGGGCCACGAAGACCTGTCAAACCACGTCAAAACAATGCTTTGTACCCGTCCATGACTGACAGGTGTTTGTACGGAAAGCACCTGGGCATGTGTTCGCATGACGTGGGTAGCCTTTCTTCCTTTGGATGAAGTTTTGATTATCGCATTTCCGATTCCTCAGGGCGTGGTCGATAGAAGGTTTGATCACCACCATTTGTCGACTTCCACCTCCTTTTCCAGCAACGTTGGACGCCGACGCAACAGCACGACTTTGCAGTCTTCTGGTCATTCTGATCTCATGTCCCCGCAGCTCATTTCTTGTTCATCTCCGTCTAAATTGTTGTCGCAATCGTCCCCCACAGATTGAGTGCGTCGGCCTGGCAATAATCACGATCTCCACTGTCGAAATGTGCGCGGAAAGCATTTCTCTTTGCAGGCATCTTGAGTGGTGGGGAAGATGAAATTCCTTCTCGGGCCAGGAACCAAAGGCACCGCCAGGATGAAGTTTCCTTTAGATCAGGAACCGCGGGGACCTGCAGAAATGGCCCGGCCTCCCACGCAACCGAGCCAGTGAGACTGAACGGGTTTCAAGACGTCCCAGCGCTGCCCATGCAAAAACTGGCCAACCTTGTGCTTTGGCTGGGGTGTTGAGCAGATCCAAGATGACAGGCGCCGATTTTAAAATTTGGTCTTGGGAGAGTGTGACGATGGGCGAGCAGCTGCTGCAGATGGTTCCCGAGGAGGGGCAACATTGACAGTCGCCGCCTCGTCGCCCGGCCAGAAAATGGCGCAACAATGGTGTGGATTTTAGGGCTTAGGCGCTGGAGGATAGGCGTTGAAACTTGCGAAAGAAGCCCAGAGGGCGACCCTCAGCGTCTAGACACTGGCTGCTGAGCGTTGGAATGCGCTGAGTCGTGCGAGAATGTCTCTGTCTGAAGGACAAGCAGCCAGATGGTCAGGCCTGGTGGATATCGGCCTGGTGGATGCGAACATCGTGAGGTTTCGTTTCAAGAAACAAGTCGAAGTGTTGTCTTTGCGCAGTTGGTTAGTGGCAGAGACTCGAGCTAAGATATACTTCACACCCAGCTGTAAAATAATCCTTTTCCTCCTTTTACTCTTTCATCACTTCAATTGGAACATCATAAAATTGTCGACTCGTCGTGTCGCGTGGTACTGGTACCCGCCAAGTTTGTTGTTTCTTGCTTGTCTTGTCTCTCTGGTCACTGCCGCGCCTAGACCACACGCAATTAGACTACGACTCCGACCCTAGCTCTCGTCACCACCCACCCACCCACCCATTCATCTCCTTCCCCCAAAACCACAGCTCCTCGCTCTTCTTGCGCCGTTTCCCTCTCCGCATTTCCACACACCAGAACTACAGAGACTCCGTTGGCAGAGTCTACCAGACCGCATCTTTGAAAGATCAAACAATCGCTATCATCACAAAGCATCATTCGAATACCAACCAGCTTGACGTATTCATCACAGTCATTATTGAGACTCAACAAAGACTTCTTTTGCGCCGCACAATAGATCCAGCTATACTTGTACCTATTGTCAACTCGACAAAGGCAATTTCGCACAAGAATAGCAACAAAGACGACAATAGCTTTATCCAAACTTTACCTATATGTACTGCTATATATCAATTTATCTGTTCTGAAGATAAACAGCAATTCGAACTCAATCATCGACTCTAGCGCATAGCAAGGCAAATTTAGATCAAACCGATCACATCACAAATTTACCGAATATATCAACATATTTCAATATGCGCATCTCAATTGTAGCTACGGGACTGCTGCTCCCTCTGCTTGCCATCGCAGAAGGCGATGTCACTCTCACTTCAACCGCGACCATGACTAGAACCATCACTGTTTCTGAAATCGTCGCATCCGTTACCTCAACCTACACCTCGCACAATGCGACAACCTTTACATCATCTTCCTCCTCCTCCTCGACTTCCACATACGTCCCACCAACTTCAGTCGGCACCACCTCGAAGACCATCGGTACCGCATCAAGCACTGGATCGTTGATCGTCCCAACCGCAACCTCCTCGCTCACCCCAATCGTCCCCAACGGCGCAACAAACCTGAACAGCATGTACGCAGGCAGCGCAGGTATCTTGGTCATGGTGGCAGCAGCGCTGTTGTAGATCCCATCCCATTCAGGAACCATGTAGTCTAACAACCATCGGAATGTCAGGCATGCGCCGGGTACCTTGCATACCACACTCTTGGAATGCGTCTCTCGATCACGCGATCACTATTTTCTTCCGAACCCTACGATGCGACCATCCACTCTCGTTCTTTTACGGGTCTACTTCTCCCTTCGAGAGGCAGACATTTACGGCTTGACGACTTGATATCATACCCCCCCATTTTGCATTTTGTTGCATTTTATTCGATTTCACGTCACATATTCCCCCCTTTTACCGACCTATGCATCGAACGACCCTTAGTCGTTGACAACCTTAAAAGCATATACCCGTCGCGCAGTTTTACATTTCACCCATACCCCGTATTCACACACATCTTTTTCACAACCCGGATCGCCCTTTCTCTTTCGCCATTCGAAATCCGGGTCTTTGATGTGTGTTGCAGCATTTGCTGGTCTTATTCTATCGTTGCATGTGTGGTTGAGGATCTCCTGGAGAGGCTTGGTGCTTTTTTTTTTAAATCAGGGGACGAGGCGAGGAGCAGGAGATCAGAGTTGAGGGCTTTTTGTGTATAGGAGAATGCGATGAGGTGTTGCACTGGTGCCCTTTTGTTGTATACTCGTCGCTACAGCCGGCTTGAGAATATCGAGGGATGGATGTGGTTCCTTTTGTTTTCTTGATGTTGGAGAATCCGTTGAAGACGGCGGATTGGGTAGTTGTGTGTTAATTGCTCTTTTTTTTGTGATGGACGAAGACTTGAAGAGGAGGCTAGGGGATGAGGGGAATGAGTAGATAAGGTGGGCAATTGAAGTGGTGTTTAGAAAATTTCTCTGATTTCAATTGAAATGTGACACCTTACTTTCTGATGCGGTTGTAGGAAATTCCCATTATGATGCGTACTATAATCACTCTTGCTTCCATCCACAACATGCGCAACATGCGCACTGTATTTCTAACTCATCTACAAAGCGTCCAGCCACCTTGACTTTGTTTCTTTCGGCCCTGCCAACCGAATATTATTGTCGCCTTTATCTCCTTTCTTCTTCCCTACTCGAGTTTATGTTATTCAGCTTATTCTTAGTCCCAGGTTCTATTTCTTTGTGTTCCTCTGTGCTAGTCCGTCTCTGGTTGGCTACCCGGCTTTTTATCGGCCCCCCAGCGATTCAACCTTTATATTTTTAAATAATCAAAACTTGTTTGCCTTCGGGCATTTGGTCGTAAGTACATCCCGCATATTCCCGAACCAGTGCATCCAAGCTTACAAATTGTAGAATTTGAAACGATACAGAGAAGATTAGCATGGCCCCTGCACTAAGGATGACACGCTCAATCAAAGAGAAGCTACCAATTTTTTTGAATTTTCTTTTTGGGTTGAAGGGAGGAAAAAGGGGGGGGGGGCCTAAGCGGGGATGGGTTGGGGGCGTGTGCGATGAGGTGTGGTGGATGAGGGAGGGCGTAAATTTTGTTAACGTAGAAAGGTAGAAAATATAAATAACCACTATCTTATTAACTCGATTTGTAGTCATAAGTCGAAGGTTCTTGAATACTATAATTTAATTGCGCATTCCCCGTTTGTAGTGTTTTGCTCTACAAGTGTTCTGATGCGCATTTGATGACAAATTGATGTGGAAAATATATCGGTGCGTAGCGTCTCACTAATAAGTTAGAGGCCTCTTAAACAATAAATTGTATAATGAAATTGAGGCGTTTTGTTTTTGACGAATTGTTAGATATGTGGACTTTATGGTAGTTGAAAGTACAAGTTTTCTGGAATGTTAACAATTTCTCTAACCCAAGTTCGATACTTTCTGTGTAGAACTTCAAATATGCTTAAATGTCGATCCTCACATCTAACTTCTATCAGTCTAGCGACGGTAGTCTGGAAACGGGTATTCGGGAGAAACCTATTGCCGAATAAGCAGAAAAGTCTCCGAAACTCCAATCAGCGGATGAAAGACATGAAGAAAAAGGTAAATTCGCCTTCATGACTTCATGTCTTGACTTCATTCCCTAAAATCGCTGCGTCAACTCCTAGCATCACATATATCGTCCTTACTGTTCTGAATTCGACTTGTAAGTCGCCCTTGCCACAAACCTTGTGAAGAAAGCGGGCCTGCTATCGGTACATTCTCGGCAACTACGCTTTCTTCTGATTTCGGTCTCTCACATGTTCGAATCTAGTACATGCAACTAATCTCTGTTCAATTATCATTCTTAACCGAAGACTTATTCATCAAACGCCAACAAAAATTACACTCAAGTATACTTTTTAAGTTGTGTTGCGAGGCTCTTTCACCATCACAAATCACTTACATACTCCGGGATCTCCGGGCGACATCCGAGAGGTTAGATGGCCCGAAAATCCCATACCAAGTCCAGGAATGGCTGTATAGAGTGTAAAAAGAGACGAACGAAGGTTGAAATTCAGACCCCTTCTTTTTACTGTCACCTTCTAACATTGTTATAGTGTGACGAAGGCAGACCGAGATGTTGCACGTGCAGACGACTTGGCCACCCATGTACATACAAAGATGTCTCTGGTACCTCTTCTCTCCCATCAACTCGGGCAGTCACACCTGCTAGTCCAGCGACCATCCCATCAGATGACGGTGCTCGAGGAATTCTTGGGAATTTCAAAACCATATCAAAGACTATTCCTAACGACAATGTTGCCCCACCGCTGAAAATGACGGAGCTGAAGCTTCTGTATCACTTCGTAACTCACACCTACGATACCCTTGGAACTACGGACTCGGAAAAGAAACACATTTGGCAGGTCACCATGATCAAAGTTGGCTTCGACTATCCATTTGTCATCCGAGGTATTCTATCTATCTCGGCCCTCCATATTGCAACCAAAGAGCCGGATACCGCTGCTGAGAACCTTGTTGTCGCGTCGACACAGTACAACGCAGCTCTCATTGACTTTCGAGAGGCATTACGGGATGTCAACGATGACTCCTGTACGGCAGTATTTGCATTCTCATGCGTGACAGCCGTCCATGCACTAGGCGTCGCCCAGGTACAAAAGCCCGACGACCCAATTGGTGACCTTCAGAACTGTTTAAACCTGGTCAAAGGAGTTCTTTTGATTCTCGAGCCGCACCTGGAACAACTCGGTCGCTCAGGAGTTCTCGATCCTGGCTCCAACGCCGTTAGCCTGCATTACTCGAACATTCCCGAAATCCTCGAGCTTCGTTCGCTCGCGGAGTCGATCCCTGACGACGATACGTCCAAAACATGCGTTCAGGCCATCGATCAGCTTCATAGAGGCGTCTATCTTGCCATCAGTAGCTCCGAAGAGGATTCGCATTTCCATTTCCTGCTGGCGTGGCCTACGCTTGTGCCGTCGCAGTTTTTCGAGATTCTGTCCTCGAGGGAACCAGTGGCGGTTCTCATTATCACTTATTTTGCTGCGGCGCTGGGCTTCAAAGGCAATGTTTGGTGGTTGGCTAATTGGAATCGTTATATCATGGAAGCGGCTGAGGCGGAGTTGACGCCTGAGATGCAGGTTTATCTGGAGTGGCCGAGGAGAATCATCGCTTCTAGCATTGTTTCGTCGGACACAGTTGATGAATGAACGTAGTTGAATGTGGCACCACATTTGACGTAATGACGGCCACACTACGAGCAATACCTCCAACGACACCTTGATTCGGTATTTCGATATGTCAGCAACCCACACTATCTTAATCACATAGACGAATTTGGACGACCGCTAAATATGAAGCAATTGGACAACGTTCCCAGTGCTTGCACAACTAGTCACGAACCTCGCGGCCGTGGATGGCTTAGAAATACAACAGCAACCGCTGCGTGTTGTTCGATGTGGGGTTTCAGGAAAGTGATGAGGCATTGTTACCTCAGAACAACAGTCCATGTAGGACATCACGAATAACCTGTTATTCAACACTGTATTGAAGTGTTGAAGTAGATACGTCCTATGTAGAATACAACACCAGCTGTATGTTTACGTTTGATTCAAGCAAGTTCAATTCATGACTGACGACGCAAACAGAGAAAGGCTGTAATTAGTCTAGCGATGGAGGAGCAACGTGGACATGAGGGGCAGACATTCGAATCTCAATGTAGACCTTCAAGTCAAGTTCTTCTTCCACGTCCCAAAATCTGTGTCTGTGGATCAAGATCAACAACACCTCTATCTCCAAATGCATGACGCAATTGAAGCATTTTGACCAAAATCCAAGACAACGCCGATCGTTACTATCTTCGCCTTCACACTCTATCAAAGTTTGAACCCAGAACTATCGTAATTCGAAATTGTTAGTCGCCGATGTATTCGGGCTTCGTGATGAAGTTGGTGGAAGACGTAATTCGTTTATTCTTGGCGTTATTTGCAATGCCGACATCTGCCTCCCGGGATGATGTCGATCTTTTCGCGGTAAGAGCGAGATCTTGGGTTGTGGCATTACTTTTGGAGGGACTGTGAGGCGCGATGGGGTGATGGCTGAAGATCTTGGTTGCGGTTCTTCGGGGTTAAATGGCTTTGTATTGCCCTGTACTAGTACGGGAATCAAAATTTGCGACAAGATGTACTTGAACTCTTTGACTTGGCCATAGTACTCCTAGAGCATGGATATTACCAAGCATGACTAGTTTCGTCTTCTAGTTGGCAGGTTTCTGTACAATTGTCTACCCGCAATGTACGATTTCCACCAGATTACCATGCATGCATCTCCTCCTCAATAAACTAGTGCTTATATGTTACCCTTGTGCAGATCTTTCCACATTGAATCCGCACTTTTGTGTTCTCATCTGCTTTGAGGACCCCGGTATGTCTTTCTGGGCGGATGGTCAGCTGGCTAGATTCTCAGTGTTAAGGGGACCTCTGGCGCTCGAACGCATAGGGTTAAGGAGTGTAGAAAGCAGCCACATCCATCATCTTGATTCAGAAACTAGCTGGTAAAGATAATTTTGATTGGTCGAGCATAGTGGCATGAGCTTCTTGGAAAGAAAGACAGCTCCATGGGTGAGGGCGAGATCAGCTCGCGAACAGCTCGATTGGCATGATGGCTTTCAGATGCCGTAGATCTTCATCATGTTCGATTCATAGAAGCCCAAGTTGGCCTCTTTATACTGATTGCGACATCCTGTTGAGAAAGGATGTAATGCTGAGGAAGATGAGTTGATCGAAAAAGTATGAAAATTTCGTCGAAGACGGCTGTCGAATTTGTATATAAATTAAGTGATAATCTCCCAACCCTCTCATTATATTTCTGACATTGTCGACAGTACATCATCCGGGATCAAATTTACCAGCCAACATGTCTAAATCACTTCTCGCTCTAGCATTAGCCCTCACAGCTTTTACCTCACCAGTTCCAGATCCAGACCCTCAACTCTCACTCCCCCCTCTCATCCCCAGTATCCCCGGCGTCACTGAGCCACTTACCAGCAACGCACCACCGCTTCCAATTCTACAGCTTCCGACACCACCACTCCCCAGCCCTCCATTTCAAGGAAGTGATATCAAGCCCAAGAAGATTGCCTACTTCTGGACTGGAGCTGGCGACAACCAACATGCTGATTTTTTGGCGACGTATAGTCTGGATGATGTAAGAACACTGATCGATACATAATTAGTGTAAGTGCTGATACGGAATAGGATACCTTCGGTCAGTTTATCTGGTTGACGGATGTGCCCACCAGTGGAAATAGTCCACATCATTTGGGTCCTAGTCTTGATGGGAAGACACTTGTTGGTGGAGGATTGCTTTCTTTGCTTAAGACACAAGTAAGTACCCAGATTTGACGTCGGATTGAGTACTGATAGTGTAGGATACTGCATATTACTTCGATGTCTCGAACCCGTATCGACCTGTTTTCAAGAAGAGCAACCGAGCGCTTCTCTCGTCAATCACTGATGAGATACGCGCGAAGCCAGATGGTGGCTTTTTCATCACTTACATGGGCTGTAAGATATCATATCCCACTTACCCAATCCTTACTGATAAAATGCAGCTGCTGTTGGCACATCTCCAGGTCGACTCGTCGAAACAAACGCCAATTTCGACATCATCGCCGAATGGCCAAAAGATATCGCCGGCACTTTGAACATCCTCGGCGAACAATTCTCACCCCATGGCCTCACAATCGACTGGGATAAGAACATCATCCTGACTTCCGACTTCGTCATCCCCATCACAGTCTTGAAACCAAGTCTAGGAAGAGTCGTCGCCAACACTCTCCGCTTATGGAACCTAGCATCACGGACAATAATCAGCACCATCACAATTCCAAACGTAAGCCCACTCTCTCCCTTCTAATTGCATGTTTTGATATATACCAGGGCGGCGGCATCCAAGACGTAAAATTCATCCCCAACAACCCCGAATCCGCCGCCCTCGCAACAGCAGTCCACCTTGGCCAAATCTGGATCATCTACCCCTTCCGCATCGGCGCCAACGGCAAACAAGGCGTTGCCCAACTCCTATACGATCTTGGTCCCAAAGCCCGCGATACAGTCGCAATCTAGTACTTCCCTCCCTTCCCTCCCCTGTTCCATACTAACAACAAACCTCAGCTCCGACATCACCACAAACGGCAAATACGCCTACTTCACCCTCACAACCGCGAACCACATCGCCGCGCTCGACATCTCGGACCTCAACAACGTCAAACGTCTTGACGACCCCGACGAGATTCAACCCACCGTCGGTCCGCACTATATCAAGATCACACCGGACCAGAAACATGTTTTGGTTACAGACTACTTTGTGCAGACGGGGGAGATTGGCATCTTGAATACGGCGGCGGATTTTAAGGCGTTGTATATTGATATCAAGAGTGATGGGGGACTGAGTTTCAATCGGACGATTGATTTTACGGGGCCGTTTAGTGAGAGGGGGGGTGGGAAGCCGCATTCGAGTGTGGTGTTTGATTTGTCGGTGCCTGGGAAGCCGGTTTACTACTAAGTGGAGGTTTGAAGGGGAAGAGTATTGTAGGAGGGGTTGGTCTATGAGGTGTTGCGTATATCCTTCCGTCTGGGTTCTAGTAAACTCCAATTCAACTTGGGTTATCAGAGATAGAACTTTTCTCATCGTAGTCCATGAACCTACCATTTCCATTTCAATTTCTGGAGTTTCGACGCAGGAAAGAAGAAAGTAATGTTCTGGAATCTTTTTGAAATCGTGTTAATAGAACTCGATCAACCATTTGGACTGGAAACCATATTTCAAATTGAAAGAAGTATCACGAAACTTTTGCCCCTCCGTAATATCCTAACCGAATCCCTTCCCGACCCACAAAAACAGCGGGTCCAAGATCTCCCATCCTGCATTTTCCGCGGGGTCGTAACATCGCCACCCTGATTGGTCAGATAAGACGTCTTCGACCCTTACAAAACCTTTTGGTGGGGTGGCATTTCTTTATCGGCGCCTTATCGCAGCTCGATTGTTTTCTTTTGACTGAAAGATCTCCTGGGAGATACACCTGCGCTTGAGGGATTGTGTAGGAGTGGGATTGGATATATTTATCTTGTTGAGAGTGAGGATTTATTAAGTCTTTTATTTATTGGGATTGAAAGGTTTGATTTAGGAAGTTATTTCGAATTGGACATTTCAAGTGCAGAGAGAGTATTGCCACAGGCGCATTGGGAACTGCTTCGAAGGTCGACTGAATCACCCAAAGTTCACTTGGATAGCTTCACATCCTCGAGACCTACGCACCATGGAGCCTGTTTCATTGCTTACCGCAATTGACTGCACGGCGCACATCCATCTCATCGTCGGCTCGAATCCGCTCGCAGCAGCACGATGCGCCAAATCGTTGCAGGTAGGCGCAAAACCACTTCTGATCGCACCTGAGACCGCAGAGCTTCATTATGCGTTGCAGAAGAGGATAGAAGGTGGGGAAGTGGAATGGTTGAAGAAGAGCTTCGAGGAAAGCGATGCGCTGAGTTTGGGGAGGGAGGAGATTGGTGGCGTGGTGGACGCTGTGTTTGTTACGTATGGACCGAGAGATCCGCTGAGTATGTTACATTCTTTCGGGGATATAAAAAATAAAGAGCTGACTGGAAATCACAGGTACAACAATTTCGAAGTTCTGCAGACGAAATCGAATTCCCGTGAACGTCTCAGACGCCCCGTCATTATGCACTTTCAGTCTCCTTTCCACGCATACCGATGGACCACTTCAGATAGGTGTAACCACAAATGGACGAGGTTGCAAGCTATCGTCGAGAATCAGGAGAGAAATTGCTTCCTCACTTCCATCACAATTGGGCGCGGCATGTTCGAGATTAGGTACGATTAGGAGGAAGATTCAGGAGGAGGATCACCTGTCGCATTCTGCTCTGGCGGGCGAATTGGATGAAGAGGACTCGATTGATCAATCGGCCAATTTCAACAAGCTTGTAACAGAAGCAGATTTGGAAGCGGCGAAGAACAGGAGGATGAGATGGTTGTCACAGATTTGTGAATATTGGCCGTTACGAAGGTTGGCGAACATTACCGACGCAGACGCGGAGACTGTACTTAAGTCTTACGCTGTCCAGTCGTCTACAGCTGCATCGCATGATCACACGCGAAACTCTCCGTCGGCCGTTCAGAAAAGGGGACGCATAGTGCTCGCTGGAAGTGGACCAGGTCATCCAGACCTCCTCACAAGAGCGACTCATAAGGCAATTTTGTCAGCCGACTTGATTCTCGCAGACAAATTAGTCCCGTCAGGGGTTCTTGACCTCATTCCTCGACGAACACCTGTCCACATTGCGCGAAAATTCCCAGGCAACGCAGAGCAGGCACAAGAAGAACTTCTCTCGCTAGCTTTGGAAGGCGTCAAAAGTGGAAAGACCGTCCTTCGATTGAAGCAAGGAGATCCGTATATATACGGCCGAGGTGGTGAAGAATACGAGTTCTTCCGAAAGGAAGGCTACGAAAAGGATATTTGTGTCTTGCCAGGAATCACAAGCGCCCTGAGTGCGCCTATGTTTGCGACGATACCGGCTACACAAAGAGGCGTGAGTGACCAGGTCCTGATATGTACGGGTACTGGACGGAAAGGGAAGCCATCGACCCCGCCGGAGTACGTGCCGACGAGGACGGTCGTGTTTTTGATGGCACTACACAGAATCGAGGCTTTGGTGAAAGATCTTACGACGTGGGATTCTGCGGATGCGAAAGTCTTCTTGCCTTCGGAAAATGGGAAGGAAGTGCTCGATAAAACGCGGAAATTATGGCCGTCTTCGACCCCTTGTGCTGTCATTGAGCGGGCCAGTTGTCCGGATCAGAGAGTTATTCGAACGACGCTGGAATTTGTCGCCAATGCAATTGAGAGCGAAGGAAGCAGGCCACCAGGATTGCTTGTCGTAGGAAAGTCTTGCGAGGCGCTGATGAAAGGCGACCCGGCGAGAAAATGGATTGTTGAGGAGGGATTTAGTGGTTTGGAGTTTGATGAGTTTCCTGGAGTAGAGGAGCTGGTTATTGGTGATCAACTGAATGCGGGTAAGATCGAAGCATGAGGTGGACAAGGATTGAATTGAGGCGTCATTTGAAGGATGTATCTTTGTACCAAAGTGTTGCATAGCGTAAGGGTATCATATTCGTAAATCGTATATAGAGCATAGAACCATTTCGACCACGACCAATTCATACATGTCCATACTCCTCTTCTAGATGTGTCGAAAATTCCGCACAAGATATCCAGCACCACCACCAGATGCCCCCCTTATACTCCATCACCCTCACTCCTCCTCCCCACCCAAATCCCCTAAAGTCGCCCCAGCCGCAACACTCATCCTCAACTGCCTCTGCCTCTGCTGACTCTGCAACCCCAACCTCTCAACCGCATACCCCAATCTCTCCTTCTTCAGTCTCAACGCCTTCAACCTCGCCGCCTTCTCATCCCCGCCCCTCCCCTTCCCCTTCACCAACCGATCCAAACTCCTCTTCTTCTTCAAACCCCTCGTCTCATCATTCGACAACCTCCCCTCCAACAACTCCGACCGCGCGATCAGCGCGCCTTCCCGCCGCTCCAGCTTCCCAATGTGCGATTCGCAGCGCCCAAGCAGCGTGGTGATTGCGGGCGCGAGCTCGGCGGCGAGAGAGGCTTGCGCGGTTGTGAGGGTTGTGGAGGGGGTTAGTTCGAAGTGCTAGCTTATTAGCATTTACTCCTTCACAGTTCATTCATAAGGTATAACACGTACTCTAGTACTACTCAATACCTTCTTCAATCTAGGGAAATCAGAGATCCCAGCGTCGAGGATGGAGATGGAGGAGTCTAGCAGGCTGAGGGATGAGCGGAGGGAGGAAACGGAGGCGGAGAGCGAGGATATGGATTGGGATTGGGAGGTTGTGAATTGCGTCGTGGTATTGCCGTACATGGTGTTTGTGGGCTGGTTTAGGAGGGAGTTTAGGGACGTTGTGTGGTACATGTTCGCGGTCGGATTTTGCTGTTCTGGTGTGGTGTTCTTGATGCAAGGAGACGCGATGTCAATATTGATGGAGGACGTGGGGTAGTGATGTTAACTTAGTTCAAAGCGGCATTGCGTACGGCTCTAAAATCAGTGCTGCCCTAAGCCCGTTCCCCATGTTCTATGAAATAGGTTTTGTCTTGTACTTCGTAAAATTACGTTAGCTGGTATAATTTCCAAAAAAAAAAAAAAGTTTTATTGTAAGAAAATATACTTTGATAAATGGTATCGTTGTTAATTAACATTTGTGAGGCAGCCTCTCGCTAACCTAAATGGCTGGCATCCCCGTCACCTGCATGTCAACCGCGAGCCAGCCTTGCGACAACTTCAGCTGATGACAATCCCCTCTCAATCATGGTTTTCATCACTTCTTCTCGTTACATTATGAGATGTATCTTGAGATATGGCTTCCTACAAATATGAGTGCCTCAAATCCGACGATGCCATACGTCTTCTCATCCTCCAACCTTCGGAAGACCTCGAATCCGAGATCCATTGCAGCCTAATCACAACAACGCTGACAGAGTGTGAAGATGACATTATTGACGGATATACAGCTTTGTCGTATGTATGGGGCTCCTCGCTCGACTCTAAACAAATATACGTCGGTGGTATACCAATTCATGTAACTCAAAACTTGTTCGATGCCTTGCGAGATCTTCGAGATACATACCGGACTCAGCGACTATGGATTGATGCCATCTGCATTAATCAAGCTCACGAGGCGGAGAGAAATCAACAAGTCTCCATTATGGGCACGATTTATTCCAAAGCTAAGCACACTGTTATTTATCTCGGTCCCGACGAGCAAAATCCATCGTGTTTCGATTTCATCAAGCAGTATTTGCTCGACCGCAAAAGCACCTACATAGCGGGTTTCTTGGAATTCATCACACTTGAGGCCCTTTCTAGTGCATGGTTCACAAGAGTTTGGGTACTCCAGGAACTCGTGATGTCTCGCGATCCTCTGCTTCAGCTTGGTAGATCCCGTATGCGATGGGACACTTTCAACCAATACCTAAAGCTCCGGCCTCTTTGGGCGCAGCCATCTGTACACGAGCTGTCCTCCCAGGAAATTGGCGTTGTTCATAACACACTAGACAATTTGCGAACACCGTTGCGCGGTGTTAACGACCTCTATCGGCCTTTCCGAGATATGCACCTCGTGCGAAGCAAATTTCAGGGGTGGAAGCTTAACATTGACTTGCCGGCAGGTCTTAACCTGGGTGAGATACTCCAGTCTAGACGTGGCTTTGGAGTACTAGATCCACGCGATATGATATACGCCCATCTGGGGATGGTCCCCAACAAATATGGCCAGAAGGTTGACTATGGACAATCGGTATCCCAAGTGTTCACCAGAATCGCAATCGGTCTATTTTGTGAGAGCAGTGATCTATCTTGGTTGGGCAAAATAGGCCGAGCTTGTTTAGGCGATAAAATTGAAGGACTTCCTTCGTGGGTACCAAACTGGACGTTACCAGTCGTCGAAGCACCTCAATACCACCATGAGCCTGGTTCTATCAGGTACGGGAAATTCGTCAATTTCAAAGGGGCTGTCATGTTGTTCTTAGTTAATCGCCAGTCCAGACGGCCGTTGGCATCAAGGATCCACTGCGATAAGCTTCCATCACTTCTAGCACTGGAATGTGATTTTCTTGGATGTGTAGCTGAATTACTGCCCATAGCGAATCAAGAGCCAACAGACGATCCCTACCAGGCTGAAGGTATTTGGAACGACAATTCGAACTTTCTTCAGGCATTTCTGAATGACATGCAGTATATCAAGTTGGTTGTCCCAGCTTCTACCCTTCCTGGAGACTACATTTGCACTACTACGACAAGCGACAAGATAGGTGTGGTCTTACGGCCAATCTGGCCGACAATAGAAGCGTCTTTGGCTCAGGGTATACTGTCTTGGTATGCGCGACATAGTGATGCATGGCAGAGTGATGCATGGCAGGGTACGAACCCGTGCGAATTAAGTGAGGGACAAGACCCATTGGGCCACGTGTTACACACTAGGCTGGTTGGAGAATGCTTTTATAACAGGCGTCATCTAGGAAGACGCAAAGAAGAGACGCGTATAGCAATTCTCTATTGACGAACTTTAGTAAACGATTTGCGTCTAGTCGATCTCTTCTACACTCTTATCTCACAACACCTGTAATGAGAGTTCGAGTACGCAAGAACATATCTTGTAATTTCTCGTCTGTCGTTTGATCCTTTCTGATTTTAACCAAGCACTTTCGGTCATGCTCTAAGTAAGGAAGTATGTTTCACTAAGCACATCGATCCAGGTAGAACGAAAGCAGATCTCTCCGGACTCCGGGGTAGATGAGCGCTTAAAAGATGAAAGATTTTCAAGTTCACTAGCCACGTAGTTGCCAGACCCTTAGAGTCTCAATTCGGAGTTTCTACTTGATTAGAGTTAATTACAATCAGATTACAAAAAGCTTAAGGAATTATCCCCAAATCCTACATACCGCCTCTGAATCCTGTCAGAGCTTCCTCAAACACGTCTCACAGCGCGTTGGAGTGACCGAGACGCTCACACACCTAGTTTCTTGAGATCTGTGTGTTTGTTTTCATAAGTCATTTTCATCCTTTGCGTGCTGGTTTAAGTCAACTTGCTCCTGATGAATATCTGGGTTTTCTAATATTAATCGCATCGTTACTTCACAGTCGACTCTACTCTGTTGTATATCAAAGGAGCAAGCCTTTGTGTTTTGGGAGCACGAAGACTGATTTGAGATCGTTCTTGTGATACTGTTGAATCTTGATTCCTTGGTAGTTAATAAGGGGGCCGCTTCGATTAAGACGAGCGAGATGGTTTTGCGAGAAATCTGGCTGAAAAATCTCTTCCTTCGGGACGGGGTGTTTACATTTTCTCGCTCAAGTGATTTGTAATTTATGCTGAGGACAGTGTGGCAGTGCGGTATAATCGGTCGTTATGATCGTGTCAATACTATTGAACTTTTGGTTTTAAAATATAGCTTTTTACTGTTGGGTCACTCGGGATTTAAGTTTACTTACCATTTGCTTTATTCCTTTCATTTTACTATTCATTTTCTGTCGGAGTTGACTTCCGGTGCAATCGACCGGCTTACCTATTCCTTTATCCCACAAAACAAAGCATTGTCCCTTTCCTCTCCCACCACTTTCCCCTCTCCTCTCTCCTCCTCTTTCTCACTTCCTAAAAGCCCCCATAACTCTTTCAACCAACCCCGCCTTCTTCTCATCAGCCAGCAAGCACTTGTCACATTTCCCCGGCCACTCCACGAACCCATCCACAACTCTTATCTGGCAATTCTCATTGTTGGTAGCGTTACAGACGGCTGTATGAACGGTTTCTTCGTAGAAATTGCAGCCGCAGGAGTAGGTTCTGTAGTGTGCGTCACAGGGAGCTTGGGTTGGGGTGGTGAGATGTTCGGTGAACTTTGAGGGGAGGGGTTGTTGGGTTTATGTGGAGGGCATTGTGGGTGTGTGGTGTTTGGGGTGGATCTGTGTGAGTTAGTTGGGTTGGCGTGTGAGAAATCTATTACAGAATTGAGACAGTTGTGTACTTCTTGAATGTGGCAAGACTGAAGTGAGGAAGAAGTAGGAGCTGAGAAGGGAGTGAAGTGTGTTTATATGGGTTTGAGCAGGCTAGATTGGGGTTCTGAGCATTGTTTTCCGACAAAGACAAAATTTGGTTATTCATCTTGTCCTAAAAGCAGGTTGTGTAGGCTTTGAGGATGTCACAAACATAGAAATTGGGGAGTAGAAGAACAATCCCATTGTTAAGTTTGTGTGGCGTTTAGTGATAAAGTCAGTGTCAGTTCCAGTAGACAACACTCCCAACGCTGGAAATCGATGTATGTGAACGTCAGATGAGATTCCATACAAATGCTTGTGTCTACTACTTATATTGATATACGTTGACGTCATTTGAGATGCAAAAAAAGAGCCCTGCAGCAAGCTTGTTTTGTAGGCAACACTCTCCCAAGTTCGAGATCTCCAAATACTGACGCATTTGGTGTTCCTAGCTTTCCAGATTGTCAAATACAAGACATTTACACGTCTAGAGAACTGCAACTTCTTTGAACAACAAAAATTGCCCATAGTGAGTTTTAGTTCAAAGAGTCTTATCTACAAGTCCCTGAAACTGATATTGGTACGTGCGACTAATTGAACTATGTTATTAACTACAATTCAACTCCCCATCCGTCTCCTCAATAGAGTACACGACCGCCAACTATCGTTCAGCCCGAAACCACAGAAACAAACAGATCAATCCCCAACATGCAACCGAAAGAGTTCCTTCGCCCTCTCAACAGCCCTTTTATCCTCCATTGCCTGCGGGCTCTTCGCAAACTGCGCACTCTGCCCATTTACCCTCTTCGCCAGCATCACTTTCTCCCCACCAACCCTCGTAACGTCTCCCGCAAACCTCTTACTCACTAAGAATACCACCATCTTCCCCCGACCTCCCTCCTCCACCCTACATCCCTTGAAGTTAATCTTGAATTCCGTGACCTCGTTCCATTCCCCCTCCGGCCAAGACTCTTTCCACTCTTTCCAAACATCATAAATCTCCCCCAACCTCACAGACGCTGGGAATTTTACCTCCTTCTCAAGATTGAAATCCCCGGGGCCGAAAAGGCCATATTTAAACGCCACACCGGGTCGTATGAGTGTCTGATTTCGCCAGCTTGCGTTCGGGCACGCCGTGAGAACGGCAGGGAAATTGAAGTCTAGCGATGTTGCGAACCTTTTACATATTTTCCCTGGAGATCTATGCAGGGTTTCTGGAGATGGGAGTTTGATTATCTGCGGTCGGATTATTGCGTCTGATTGGCTGTTATGGATGTGGTAGATGAAGGGGTTTATCTCCCACTCTCGCGCTTCAGGGTCTTCGTACAAATGGAGCCAAAGTTTTTGTCGTAAGGTTTCTGATTCGGTGATGAGTCTTTTCCAGAGATGGGAGACCCGTTGGTCGATTAGAAGGTCGGAGGGGGAGAGGTTGTGAAGTATGCGAAGGAGGACGCTGGGGCTTAGGAGGGTTTGAGAGGCGGTTTGGGAGAGGGACCAGTTCAGTTGCTCAGGTGGAATGGGTGGGGAGGTTGATGGTTTGGGGTAGTTTGGAAGAGAGGCGTAGGTACTGAATGAGAGCATTTTTGAGGATTGAAGCTCTGTTGTTATTTGAGACTTCGGGAAGTGATGTTGATATATGATTTTGAGATTGTCAGGTGAGGAATGGCCAAGAGAGATGAATGCGCCACTTGAGATATTTATTACTTGTTTGAATTGATGATACCCGGGTTGATCATGGATGAATGACTCTCATGTTATGTGAGATTCTTGGATTTATGTCGCTATTCGATGTCAACTTTTAGCTATTGTGATGAGCTGATGCCTAAGAGCTTACGAATGACAAGATAGGCTACCGATGTCTCGTTTTGGATATTAATACTGCCACACAATATTGTTTTTCGGAGAACCTGGTAATCCCATGGAATGGAGTCATTTGTAACATCAGCGGTGTTATTTTCATGTAAAATTATTTAAGTTTTAAAGTAAGTCTTTGTATCTCGGCAGCAGTCTCAACCGGGCGTTCATTGGTTGAACGCTGCGCCACATGATTTCCCATAAATCGCTCCAGCCACACCACCTCCTTTCCTTCCATGTTGAGGTTTTTCAATCTCAACCTTTCCTTTTCTTCATTCAAATTTATCATTTGATTTATCGACGCGCTCGTAGTTCAGCCAACAAAGCCTTTAATTCTATGCCTAGTCATTCACAAATCAATGGGAAGAACGCTGCCATCGCAAAGCCCGCTTGTGGCCTGGCCGAATCCTGGGAATAACACCGGCCAGCGAGTACAAGAAAATCAAAGTTACTAGTTCTTGAGTCTTGATCTGTCTCCCCATTTTATTCCGTCTCGATATTGGTGAGTTCCGCTGGGTCCACAACTGAAAGCAGTCGCGGTCTGTCAGCTTCATCAATCCACCAACTTTTGTGAATCTGGGGCAACAACCATGGATATTCTCCCCCCGAACTGCCGAGTTGTTGCGGATTTATGGTTATCAGACAGCTGTAAATCCTTACAAAAAGTGGTGTGACCTGTTAGCACTTAAAGCTGCGCCCCATCGACCGAGTTCTTGCAGCTGTTCTCAACGGTTCGCGAAGCGCCGAAGACCACGCGTTGGCGATCTTCAATAATCAGGATTCATCGTACAGCTCATACTCATGAAGATCTCCAATTGTGCCTACCAGACTTGATCGGCCGCCAAATGAAACGACTTTACTGCAGCGTGCAGGATGCTTCGCCTCAAGCTGAGTTTGGGTCGATGTTGGTAGCCACGCAGCCGGACGAGCTGACTGGCTGTAACCGCAACATAACGTCAAAATATCCAACAACAATGCTCATTGAGTAATTATCAACCACCAGTGTGCCCAACATGGCCATGCAGCTATTTCGCTTGGGGCAGGAACCAACACAACATTTCCGCATTAACGACGTGCTCAATGCTATTCGATGTTGTCTCCCTAGGCCGAAAAGTGTTGAATGTGCACTTCTTCTGCCGAAAGCTCTAGGTTCATCTTTTTTCTCTTTTTTGAACTTCTCTTTTTCTTTGGAACCTAGAAGAAGTCAACTTGCGAGATGGATTCAAGAGACAACACCATGGAGACCATTTCGTTGGCCGAAAACCAGCAGCCCACCATCCAGCCGGACGGAACTCCCATCATGAATACGGCAGAGTGGGAAAAGTCGACTTGTATCTCGAGCGTAGACAGACTATCGGATTCGAAGGGTACACCACCTCCATCTAATGGTATACCACATTGGGGAGAGAAGACTTCCTACCCTCCACCGCTTACGAACTCCGGCGAGGAAAGTTCGTCGGCATCACGAAAGTCTCAGATCGTACACGGATTTTATCAAGATATCTGGAGACTCCTGGCAACATTGGGCCTGTTTATTGCCATTATTGTCATCTTGAGAACTCGAAACGGCAAACTTGAACCAAATTGGCGGCATATTAATCTGAGTGCGCTCATTGCGGTATTGGCCACATTCCTGAGAGCGAGCATGGTAGCAGTCGTGTCGGAAGGTCAGAATTCATACAAGTTGTCTCTTGAGTAATTGCTAAGTCTGAATAGCGATGAGTCAACTGAAATGGACCTGGTTCTCACAACCACGGAATTTGCGGGATTTAGATTATTTCGATCAAGCAAGTCGGGGTGTGTGGGGTTCAGTGAGACTTATTACGGCTTATCAAAAACTGTATGTATAGTCTTTGTTCTTTACAAGATGCCTGGGTTCTTCCCCGGCTTTATTGACGCACGACCCCTACGTGACGGGAACCATTGGGACATTCAAACTGACTCCCGCACAAGAGTCAGTTGATAATGAGGAGAATGAGATTTTGCATTCTTGTTACATCAAATATCTTCTTACTAACTTTGTTAGACATCCTGTACTTCTCGGCGCAATCATCACCATCTTGTCTTTTGGCATTGGCCCTTTCGGACAACAAGCGATTAAATCAGTAGCCTGCCAAATCCCCATGGAGGGCATTAATGCCACTATTCCAATCATCCATAATTACACAAACGGGGAAATTTTCAGAGATATAACTGAAATTGGGACATTTATGATAAGCCACGGAAGCAAAGGCGCCTTAGTCAGTGCATTTGCAAATCCAGGTGGTAATACTTCCAGAATCATAGCTGATTGTCCCAGCGGCAATTGTACCTTTCCAAGCTTTGGGGGGATTACACATTCATCCATGGGTATCTGTAGTAGATGCAAAGACATCACGTCAGATATTACAGAAGGTGGCGGTCTTCCCGGACCTGACTATTACTACGCCGATGGCATGGTCAACGTTTATAACTACAGTTTACCAAGTAATACTACACTTTACATTGCTGAGAGAGGTACCGGAGATTGGCTGAGCGTCAATACCTCTTTGGCAACAGAGCCCACGTTCGGGGCTTGGGAAGAACCATACAACAGCAGTGCCCTGACTTCGACTGATGTTCTAGCCTTTACTGCCAGGACATGTCGACAGACCATGAATACCACGAGGGGTGGTCAAAGTATGGTCGCGCTTACTTGTAATCACGTTCGGCCGGAGCTGAAAACCCTCAAGTACGACATGGATGTGATTGCGTCTCAGTGTGTTCTCTATCCCTGCATCAAGAAGTACCACGCGAGCATAACAGCGGGAATTCTTTCCGAAGAAGTCGTCTCAACAGTTCCAGCACGCCAATCTCCTGAAGGCCATTTTGAAGCTGTCCAGATCCCATGTTTCATCGATGATCAACAATATGACTACTCCAACTTCTCTCAAGTTTCCCATCTTAATCACACATTTGTCGCTTACAATCGAACCGATGTACTAGGATCGGAGTATAAGATCCCTACCGAATGCTTTTACCAGATGGACATGGGATATGCTCGTGGCCTTACGCAGTTTCTCAGACCAGCCATAAGGGGCTCTGGCCACGCGGATCGCTACTCTTCGCGAAGTGCATGGGGCGAAGCCAACAATATCACCGACAATGTCGTTTTCAAAGCCGCTTGGTGGCTACCATCTCTGTATAATAAGGGAAACTCGACGCTGGAAAGCGTTTCTTCAGTATTTGACAGTGTTGGGACTGCTTACACGAATTACATGCGTACATCAAGCGTCACTAATGAAGGCAGATTTGAGTTCCAGAACAGGGGGCAGGTGGGAGAGTTTGTCTATGGGACTAACTACCGGACGGGTGTATGCATCAAATTCGACTGGAAGTGGCTACTTTTCCCCGCAGTTCTACTCTTCGGAACTCTGATCTTGTTTCTGCACACCATCCTCATCACGTACATGGATCCACAGCGACTACCAGTCTGGAGATCCTCTCTGCTACCTTTGCTCTATTATCGTCTCAACGCAAGCAATGAACCCGGACGCCATAACACTTTCGAGAATAATCCAGGATCGATGGCCAAAGGACATGTTCTTGAGAAGGACGAGCTCCAGAAATTTGCTTCGAAGCATGTTGTGACGTTTACTAGGACTGAGACTGGCGCGGGTTTTAAAGACGTCGATACTTGGAGGCATGAAGCCTAGATGGCCGGGATGTAAATGATCGGCTGGGATACGGGAAATGCTGGAGATATGGTGATATCAAATGCTTCTCTTATCGCAGCATTCAATTTTCCAAAGGGCTGTCTATCAAGACTCGATAGTCGGTCCGTGGCTCCGCACGATATTTATATATTGTGTCCCCAATTTAAGCCAAATGAATCATCTCAGCGGTATCGTCTCAAAAATGCATGGCATAGTCGACTCACACGATTTTTGATGAACCCAGAGCTGGTAGCGTGGCTAGGTTACATAAGGTTACGGTTTTAAGAACGTCGGAATTACATGTTGCCAGTAGCAGTGCTGTACTGTTACAAAACGAGTGCTTACAAAAATGAAATTGTTAGAGTATTGTTTCTCTCTTCAAGAACTGTGATCAAGCTCATGTGTAGCTCCTTCACCCACAACCACCACCTCGGTCTTTTCAACCTTCTTCCAAAAACTACCCCTCATACTCTCCGCAACATCAATAGCAAAAAGACTAAGCCCAAGACCAACAACACACAGAATAACACAAGAATAATACACACTCTGATAACCCACATGCGTCAACCCCCCATCAGTCACATCACCACCTCCATACTTCCTCTCCATCCCCTGCGCAACAGCCGTAAGAACCGCCAGTCCCACAACCGAGCCCCCTACTTGTAGTGCAACATTAAACACCCCCGCCGCAGCACCCTGATCCGACTTCGTCGCCGTCGACACAACCACAAAATTCGCCGTGATATACACCGTTCCAATGCCCGCAATATACAATATCATCCCGGGGAATGTGTACCGCCAGTACGACGTCTCTTGCTCAATGAACGCGAATAGCAAGACGCCGGGGATGGAGAGAGTCCAGCCTAGTACGAACATGAAGCGAGCGCCGAAGATGGGGACGAGACGGCCTGCGATGGTGTTGGCGATTAAGGCACTGATGCCGAGGGGGATGAAGAGCACGGAGGTGTGGATGGGTGTGTTGCCGTAGGATTGAAGTTGGACGGTGAGGAAGTAGGTGCATGCTTGACGGACTGCGTAGGTGATTATTGCGAGGAGGAGGGTTAGGTTGAAACTGGTTGATTTGAAGAGGTGGATGGGGAGAATGGCAGAGGATGCGCGACATTCATAGAGTGCGAATGCGAGAAGCAGAAAAATGGAGAGAATGAGGGTGGCAATGATGCGGGGGGAGCCCCAGCCGGCAGAGTTGGAGGAGGTGAGGGCGTAGGTTAGGACGAGAATTCCTGGGAGGCCGAGGGAGATGCCGGGGATGTCGAAACGGAGAGCGCGTTCTTTGAAGGAGGTGAAGAAACTCTTGCGATAATTTGTGTCGTTGGGAAGTTCTGGTGATGGGGAAGCATCGCGTTTAGACTGGCTGGCGGGGAGAATGACAATGGCAGCTGGAATAATAACTCCTGACAAGATAAGCGAGATCCAGAAGATCCATCTCCACCCCAAGAGGTCAGTCAAGATTCCACCTAGAATCAGACCAAGACTAGAAACGAATTAGCTTCAATTACCCATTATGATCTGTCTGGTACTCACATAAACCCCAAACTCCCACTCGCCCCCCAAACACCCAACGCCCTCGCCTTCTCCTTCGGATCCGGGAAATAAATCGCAACATGCGCCTGCGCACTCGGAATGGTAAACGCAGCACCAATCCCTTGAAACGCCCTCGCAATCACCAATCCAATGAAACTAGGCGTAAGCGCAGACACCATTGTAAACAACGCGAAGAACGACATCCCGAATAGCAGCACTGGGCGATGACCAAACATATCACCACCGCGCCCACCGAGCATGAGGAAGGCACCGAACGTGAGTGCGTAAGCGGATATCACCCATTGGAGACTTGATGTTGGGATGGAGAATTCTTTTTGGAGGGTGGGAAGGGCGATTGTTATTGCGGAGAGGTTCAGGAGGTCCAGGAATACTGCTGAACAGCTGGGGTCTGTTAGTTGGTATTTCTATGAGAATTGGGGAACGTACACTATTGTTAGAATTAGGTTTGGACTTTTCTTGTCCTTGATGTTGGATAGTAGCATTTGAAGCCGTGTTAGGATGGTGATTTGACCCATTGTGTCAAAAGGTAGAGTAAAACTATGTTCACTTGCATTATTGAAAGTTTGAAGAGGGAAAAGATCTTTATATAAAGTGGTTTAAACTAGCCCCAAATCATCAACAGGTGCAAACAAAATATTTCTGTTGAAGCATCACTGCTGACTGTCGCGCATTCGGGCTTCGGTGTTGCAATAGGAGAGACCGAAGCGAGAGCCGTAAGTCGAAAGTTTCGGCAAGATCCATCCACTCCGAGTGACTCACTGAACTGCTTACTCTTTGATATTGAACTTTAGAACATACGGTCTTATAAAGGAGCAGGTTTCGTAAAGTCAATTTCATGATGTGCGGTAGCTGTTTGTTGACGATTCCGGCTTAAACGACCGCTCGAAGTCATGACCCAAAACAGTAACCGGGAAGCTGGCTATAATGACGTGACGAACTTCACGAATTATGATCAGAAATTTTCATTACTTTTGTCTCCGCAAGTATTCCTGATCATAAGACATGATTGTCGCCTGTGTTCAAGAGCAGGACAACCTCTTAAAATCATATATCGAAGCAAAGATGCCGAACACCCATGCTATAGACTAAAAAGTTCCGAAAAGACCTCAGTGCACAAAAAAAGAATAAAATAAAATAAACAGAACTGCTAAGGATTTATATAATCGCAGATGATAAGAGAAGCCGACCTAGTCGATGTCGCGAGGAGGCGTTGAACCGGAAGCAATTCTCAAATGCAACCCATATGCAACGGAAGGGGAAAGAATGAATGAGAATCGTCGACGCTTTGGTTGTACTTCTGACAACTGCTAAAAAAGACGATTTACAGAAGGAGATGACGAAAAGGAAGTAGAGGAGCTCGTCACCACGGCGCTTGCCGTTTCCGCAGCTCGAGTCTTGCTAGTTGTAAGGCATCATCTTCTGAATAAAAGCTGACTTCCATGGAGTCAATGCCATGCTTCCTGGGCACGATAAGCAGGAGAGTCGCACTGGTGGCTTGCCGTTGTTGCACCGTGAGGGAGTTGGGACGGTTTCCGCATCCTGTTCGCTCTGACTTTCGCTTTCTGATATCTAGGGCCACCATCATGGTAAGCGGCTTCGATTCATCGTTAGAAAAATTCGTAGGGCTGAATATAAATTCTGAAATATCCTCATATTTTCATGTCAAGCTGACGAAGCTCCGGAGAGAACATATGGCAGCCCCACTAAAACCCCAAGCGACAACTTTCCGATTCGCCCATTCGTATTACATGGGTCTTTTGGGGACGACTAAGCTTCATCCGCAGCCCAGGCAGTACCGTCCCAAAAGTTTTTGCGAAGATGATATGTATAGAAGGAATCTGGAGTTGTTGGGAGATGTTCAGTGCTGTTGTATATGAGATCAGTCGAGATAATTAAGTGCTAGTGTGAGGAGTTTGGTTTGAAGTCAACCTTTGAACCTAATCGCTTCGTTTCTTCGTCTTGATGTCTTCCCATTCCTCAGTATCATCTGGAGAGGACTGCTTTATTGATGCATTCGGTAGGTCTAATACCAGGGACACTTCAAGATATGTGAGACAGTTACTAACTGCATCAGGAATCAATGTGCACGCCCATCGTATACCGGGTAGTGCGAGTCCCGCAGCTTTCCAACCCACACCTGATATGCTCTCTACATACCGACGTAGTGGTCCAAAATCTCGTAGTGGATGCATAACATGCAAGTGAGTTCACCCGGTACCTGATTGGGAGAAATTAAACACTAAACATTTCTAGAATCCGGCGAATAAAGTGTGATGAGGCGAAGCCTAGCTGCCAAAAGTGCTTGTTAACGGGTCGAAAATGTGACGGCTACGTCCCGCCAAAACCTCGTAAAAAGAAGAGTAAGGCTCGGCCTTCCAGTCAACAACTTATGAGTTACAAAGCTTTGGATCGTGGTCTTGCCGTCACCTGGAACCCGACGACAAGTATTGAAGGAACCTATAACCAACGAAGAGGCTTCCACTATTTCCTGACAAACAACTTCTCTGAGATGGCGGGGAATTTTGAGTCAGACTTTTGGAATAAGGTGATACTCCAATACGGTCATCAGTTTCCGACCGTTCAGCACTCGCTGCTCGCACTAAGCGCAACATATGAGGAGCGTACATCCAAGGGGCTGATGAGAAGTGCAGTCAATAGCAAGTATGTTCTACAGCAATACACAAAGGCAGTCAGAACTCTAGGTGAATACATCTCGTCGTCCGATCAAGATCCAAGAGCAACACTCATTGCTTGTCTGTTGTTGGTTTGGGTGGAGCTGCTGCGAAGAAACATTGACCAGGGATTCCAACATCTGTTCAGCGGATTTAAGATTTTGGCACATCTGCGAAGTGCTGGGGTCATAACCGGCTGCGAGGATGTATACAGCTCACTGGGTCGATCTTTTAGGCGACTCAGGATTCAACTTTCGATACATGGAAGTACTACCGACGAGATCGCTAGGACGTGTCCCCACACCATGGACAACGTCTTGAAAATGCCACACACATTCTCAAATATAGATCAGTCGAGGGACGTTCTTGACGCAGAATTTAAGGCCGTTTTCGGATACTATCGACGGATTAGGGATGTTGTAGAATTTGGGGACTTTGAATTGGTGGATCTTCAAAGTGACGCGGCCATCAGACAAGCATATATTCTTCGACTCGAGCAATGGGAAAGAGCAACTAGAAGGATGGCTATGAACAATCCTGATTTGGCCCGGAGCGCAGAATACGTATATATGCAGCTCTATCACTTGACTGTCTTGGTGCTCTTGAAGATCCCAGTGGCGGACGAGATGGCGTATGACAGTTATACCGCAGAGTTTGAGCAGATTGTGATGCTTGCAGAGCGAATGACCGGGTTGTACGTTAAACATCCTTTAATGTTCGAAATGGGAGTTATTCCACCGCTCTTCTTCGTCAGTATAAAATGTCGCTTGCTACGCGTCCGAAGAAAAGCAATGGAAATCATTCGCCAGGCTCCTGAGCAAGAAGGACTGTGGATTCGCAACGATACGCTGAATTTCTGCGAATGGAAAATTAACATAGAAGAAGCCGGTAGGGGAGATGTACCGGAGACGGAGCCATTACCTCTGAGTGCAAGGATAACTCATGAACATTTGTCCAACCATGCGATTGATCTGGATACTTTCGTTCCATTCGAGAGAGGGACAGGGTTGAAAAGTTATGTGAGATATCGAAAAGCGGATTTGTCGACTGGCTTTTTGGCGATGGAGTTGACAGACGACATGAAATATATGGAGTGGATGGCAAACATGCTGTGAACGACTAAGTAATGATAAGTTTGGCGTAACACCAGCAGGTGTCAAAGTTCCTTCTCATCCTTTCTTGTCTGCTCCTGGCTTTTACTGCAGCAAGATGTCTCCTATTTGAATTGAGAAAGGCAAGATGCGTGCGTCCGTCTTTTCTAACGCATAGAAACAACCAACCCTAACTTTAGTTGAAATCAAAAGATTTGCAAGCCACAATCTTCTCAAAACTGTGCTCACATAGGCAGGGAATAAGTGACTAGATGCTATCATCTCCCAGTTGATGCTGGTGCTGTCCATCGAGAAAATTGTAAGATGCTCCTATCCATGTTCTAGATATGCTCTGGTTAGGCAAGTTGAAAAAGAAATCGATCTGGTCGTCCTCAGGGGTGATATCGACGGAAATGCAGGTTTTCCGACAACTGATACTGCTGAGAATAAAATTCCGGACAGGAAGTCTCATTGTTGGATTTCAAACTGCGTTTATGTTGATAACAGATTATCACGACGTGAATGAAAGAAGAGCAGTTACTTTGAAGCGTGTTAGGATGGTCGTTAAGACCCACAGGGAGGGTGGTGGCAACAAGTTCAGGTACGGCACGGCACTTCCTTCAGCGACTCTAGCCTGAGATTTCAGTAGTTGCCGCCACCAATCAGCGGAGCTCCAAAAAATATTTACAACATCTTGCCAACGGCAAGTCGCATTGCATTTTCAACGACTGCTTCGAGTTGCACTGGATAAAAATAAAGGGCGCATCTACAGTTGATAATGTTAAGCGCAAGAAGAGCTCCAAGAGCATGCCAATCATGTCGACTACACCTTCTAACGCTGTTTGAAAATGGCTTCGCAAGCACTGCTACCAAAGGTTCATCGAGAGCTCGGTATACCACCTCGATTCAATCGCGTACACAAGCACCCGCAAGTCGAAGGCTTCCCTCATCTACTCGATCGTTTACGCAAAGCAAGCGGCTCGCCGACTTACCAGAACAACCAAATGCAGACCCAGCTCCAGTTGCTACGGCGGCAGAAATCGAGACGATAGTGAGGGAGGCAAGACAGACGTTTGGAGAGACATTGCCGAAAGATTACTTGTCAGCCAAAGAGTACGTCATATACGAGCGTTTATATGGTCCGCCATTACGAGAAACAGTATACAGTGATCTGGAGTATCTGCCAGGAGGGGAAGATGAGATTCAAGAGTCTGAGGTCCGGAATGTGCTGTTGCGGCAAAACGCTCAAGGAGAGTATGAGGAGGTCGAAATAGATCCATCAATTGATCTTTCGCATGAGATCACATTGTTGGCTGCAGAGAACGTGGTAAGGCAGGAGGGCGAGGAGGGAGAGGAGTTCCTAGATGAACTGGCTGAGGAAGAGCTAGCAGCGGAGGGCGAGGAAGGGGCAGAATCGCTGGCGAATGAAATTCTGGAGGACGAACAAGATATGGAGGAAGAAGCATGGCTCGATGAAGAGGTCGAAGCTCAACAGAGTGGCGAGGATAGCATGGGGGCGGAGGAGACACAGCCAACACGAAACATTCGAGGCAGAAATCAGCGGGAAATAGAAGCTATTGCGCGTTTGCACGATGAAATGCAGGCAGCTGCGGCCAAAGACATAATTGAAGAGGAACCCGAAGAAGATGTGAACGAAGAAGCCTACGAGGAAGAAGTGATAGAGGAGGAGGAGGATATGGAGGAAATTGACGAAGACGACGGATTGGACTCTGATACAATCCGAACCCATCCGCATACCATGACTGCTAGATCTGGAACTAATCCAAGTACCATCAACTTGAACAAGCACTATTTTGTTGCGCCGATTACAGAATTGCTTGAACGAGCGGATATCAAGCACACGACAGAAGCGGCAGAGAAGGCCTTTGGAGGCAAAAGACTCCCGTTTTCTACGTCAACTCCGGATGCATTGAAACATCTTCCTCAGAAGCCCATTGGCTTGGATGCTTCACAGCACAGGATGACTGATGTAGAAGCAGATGCATATATGGCAGCTGTGATGCCCGGGACCTATGCCTGTGCATCCAGCACCATTGTGGAAGTTCGCAAAAGATTAGGCACGAACTGGCTGCGAAGGCTCCTAATGCGGACGGGGGTAGGACCAAGAATTATGGATGCTGGTGGTGGTGGTGCGGCAGCTGTTGCGTGGCGTGAGATTGCACAGGCAGAATGGGACCTTATGACCGAGGAAGGCCTGGTGAAGGGCGACCTGCCACTGGGGAAAACGACTGTACTCACTGGCTCCGATCGACTCAGACACCGGATATCACGCTTTCTGGAAGACACGACTTTCTTACCTCGGTTACCTGACTATGTCCATTCTTCATTAGCAACTCAGCATCTAGATGGCGGGACCCCTCAGCCTCGAAAGGTGTATGATCTTATCATTGCACCACATTCTCTGCTGCATTTGAAGGAAGACTATCGGCGAAAGAATGTTGTTCAGAACTTGTGGTCGCTATTGGATCCCAAGGGAGGTGTGCTGATACTCATTGAGAAAGGACTTCCTAGAGGATTCGAAGCTATTGCAGGTGCACGTCAACTATTATTGGAGACACACATTTCTTCACCCGGTGATACGACTACAGAAAACGAGATTGAGTCACCTGCTTCGGATATTGTACGCTTCGCCGACAAAGAAGAAGGAATGATAATTGCACCATGTACCAATCATAATAAGTGCCCTATGTACTTGACCCCTGGCATAAGTTTTGGTCGTAAAGATTATTGTCACTTCTCTCAGCGGTTCATTCGGCCTCCATTCTTACAAAAGGTCCTTGGTGTGCAAGCCCGCAATCATGAAGACGTCAAATTCAGCTATGTCGCCATCCGTCGTGGCATCGATTTGAGAAATCACAAAAAGTCACTACTCCAAGGTGACGTGGCTACAGACCAAGCATTCGAGGGATGGGAGGAAACCGACTTACCAGATACCGAGTCCCACAAAAGTGATCCTAGCGAGTTGAAGTTTCACTCGCTCTCTCTTCCGCGTGCTATATTGCCACCATTAAAGCGTCGTGGCCACGTTACGCTCGATCTCTGTACTCCGTCCGGAAAGCTCGAGCGCTGGACAGTGCCTAAAAGCTTCAGCAAGACCGCTTACCGCGATGCTCGCAAATCCAAATGGGGAGATCTTTGGGCTCTTGGAGCTAAAACTCGAACATTACGTTCACCAAGACTAGGAAGAGCTGCTGAGGCCAGTGGCAAAGGTGGAAAGCTCAAGGGGGTCCGTGATGGTAGGCAAGGAAAGGGCGGGAAGAAGGTCAAGGTGAACAAGTTTGATATTATCATGGGCGAGGATGGATTTGAGGGGATTGAGGAGGACAGGAGTCGAACCAAATTTGTCAAGAGGGAGAAGAGGACGAAGGGTGGAAGGATTTACAAGCCGAGGAAACCTATTGGGGAGGATGATCTTTAGGGACTGTAGTTTTTTGTACGAAAGTCTGATACTGGGTAAGGGTGTACAACATTGCGAGTGTGTAAAATTGTTTGGACTAGGTAGGACCTGGGCGTCTATGTATCTATCTCTGCTCTTGACAGGATCTGTACAATTATTATGAACGCACCATATGGATATCTCAAGGATGTAAATGGGATGTATAGCACCTCTCAATATTAAAAGACCAAGAAATATCGTATAGATGACTGTGGATGTGCAAAGTTCTGAATAAGACTCAAATCCATCGAACTTGACCACAAAACCTAGCGCTCAATGCCAATTCTTAACGCCGAAGCCCCACCTACCTCCGACCTCACACGTCTATCTCACGGCCATCCATCTCATACTCATAAATAACAACCACAACATAAGCTATCAAATATAAGAACCAGGTATCAACACACCCTTAAACCTCAATGCTCTCTCACAACCCCCTCATCCACCCTTCATGCGCCTGTCCCACCTCCCCCGCCGCCTCATCCGCCTCATAACCAGAACCACTACTCGCATCCTCACACCCTCACACCAACCCAAAAAACACATCAAAATCGACGACGAAGAACATGCCTCCTCATTAACTATTCTCATCCCACCCTCACCACTAAAACGTACCCTAAAAATGCTCATCCTCCTCCTCCTCACCCTCCTCTGCCTCGCCTTCCTCCTAGCATATATCATCTACCTCCCCCCGCGCTGGCTCATATCTTACTTCCAACACCGTCACCCAGACGTCCTCTTCACCTTCCCCCTCCCCCCCACCCAAAAAACCTACGCACTCACAATCGACGACGCGCCCTCCGCCCACACACCCGCCCTCCTCTCCCTCCTAGCCCACCACAACGCAACAGCCACATTCTTCATCATCGGCTCGCAAATCTCCTCTGTCCCCAACGGCCGACAAATACTCAAAGACATCCTATCCCAAGGCCATGAAGTCGGGAATCACGCCGTTCACGATGAACCTGCCATCTCTCTCCCTCTTCCCGAGCTGTCAGCCCAGATCAGCGAGCTGGATGCACAACTCCCGAAGAATTCGAGGGGCACGAAGTGGTTCCGTCCTGGTTCGGGGTTTTTTAGTAGGGAGATGGTGAAGGTGGTGGGGGAGTTGGGGTATAGAACGGTGTTGGGGAATGTGTATGCGCATGATGCGCAGATTGGGTGGGCGGGGTGGAATGCGTGGGTTATTGGGCGACGGGTGAGGAGGGGAGGTGATGTGGTTATTGTGCATGATCGGAGGAGTTGGAGTGGGAGGCAGCTTGAGGGGGTGTTGAAGGGGTTGGGCGAGAAGGGGTGGAGGGGGGTTAGTTTGGGTGAGATGGAGGGGTTGGTTGAGGAGGGGAAGAAAGGGGGGTAAAGAGGGTGAGGGATGTATGTTAGGTGGGTGTGTACTTTTACGTGTGAGGTTTTGGGTGGAGTCTGTATGTTATATGCTTTTGGGCTTATTAAACATATTTTTGTTATAGCTCTAGCGGGAAATAAATGTTAGATAAGTACAAATTCCCTCCTTATCAAATCCGTTTCCCCATCTTCATCAAACAACTCTCCATACATGACTCCATGTACATATGCATCCCCAACCAATTCCCAAAGTTCATCATCTTTATCCACATCGTCAAGCCTAGGGTCGCCATTTCTCAGAACCTTCTTGCGCAACACATATGGAAACTGAGCACCCTCAAAAACGACAAGCACATCCCCTCTCTTTGCATCCTCAGGCACCAGTCCTACCAACCCATTTCTCAACATCATAGGTCTACGATCAACCTGCACTGCAAGCATATCGTAATAGTAGTTCGTTTTCGTCGCCCCCTGGCCATGCAACTCTCCAATGACATCTTGATATTCCATGCGCATGCCGTCGAAATCATGTGTGAGTCCGCACTGCGTGATCTCATATTCCGAATCTTGCATATCTGCCACCGGCAAGCGAAAGTACGCCGTCAGACGGTCTGACGGCGTGGGATAAGGGTCGTGCTCGTGGTTGTAGTACAATTTCATGTTGGAAAGCTGGCAGAGCGTGGAGATGGAGGAGAGGTAGCTGGAGAGCTCGGGATGGGACCCATAGACTTTTGAGCCCGGGTGCCACGCGGATGGGGCGACATGCTCGATTTGGTCGATTATGTAACCTTTCAGGTTGAGGAAATTGAAATGCTCTGTTTTATTAGAAACGTTAGGGGTGGTGGAATGTTCTGTGAATCGGCCAGTGAAGGTTTCGAACTCTGTTGTCCCGGGTGGCCGATTACAGCAGGGGTGTCGATTTCGTCGCCAATCTGGTACCCAGCTTGGGGTAAAATAATCGTTTGTGAGACTGGATGCTGAAGTGGATGATTGCGCGTCTTCAACCATTCGATATCGAGCGGACTCTTTAAAGGATAGGTAATCGACGTCTCCGGATTGAATTATCTTCTTCGCCTAAATTCCGTCAGCGGTGCTTAGAGATTTCGTGACATTCATCGGCATTCTCCATGAGTAGATAGATTTAGTCATCGACATACAATCGCCAACGAGATAAAGAGCGATAATTTACCTACCACAGAAGTATACAAGCTGGAGCAGGTTGTTGAAGGATGGTAATCCGGAACAATATCTAAGCTGTCCCTATCGGAAGCGATTCCAAGTAGTGCAAAGATAAGATCTCGGTCGTCGCTGGCATAGCTTCTACCATCGCTTTGTGTCACAGACAACCAATAAATTAGTTCATATTTTGTGCCTGCTTGGTAGGAATGTCGGGCGACTAGAAGATGACGCGCTTCGCAATTCCTACTGTTAAACATGTGATGGTATGCGAGGAGGCGGTCTCTATGATTGTGTACAACATCGACTTTGTCCGTGGCTTGACGATATGTGTGAAGTGTCGCAGAAAGTTGGCCAAGGAGAAAGACATTATATATAACAGAGTTGAAGAAGTCGCCGTAGGAAATCCTGTGTTTACTGTAGTAAAGAACAACTTCTGGAGAGACGACGAACTCTTGCCACACCCATATTCTTTGCCAATATGGCGCCACCAGGAGTCGACGAGTCGCTTCAACGAAAGAAATCGTTTTGGGTAGGTCTACCATTGCATCCTGGATTAACTGAGCAGAGGCATCTTTAAGGTTCTTGAAGACATTTTCATCTTCTCCTCCATCTGACCGCCCCTCTTTCATTAAGTCCAGCCTCAGTAGCCGTGCGATCAAATCGGGAATTCCCTTGGCGGACAAAGAAATATTCATCAGGTCATATCTGCCAGAAACATAAATCAGTACGTCCAGACCCTAAGAGAGAAGCAGGCAAGGCTGGATTACTCTGCGAGACTTTCATCATGCTTATCGTCGGAGGCTCCTAGGAAGACTATCGTGCTGAACGAGCTCCCATATATGTATCTCATGCGTGAGACTTGCTTTGATTTCTCAGCATCGTCCTGTTGATTAATACATATAGCATCTACCCAGAGAACTATATTGTTGTGATCATCACGGATGTTTTTGAGCGCATCCGCAAGATTTTCCGTTACAGGCACCTGAATGCCGTCGAGCGAGATGAGTTCCGTACCCTCAGCAGAGCCCCATGTGTAAGACAATGCGTGATATTTGGGCTTATCATCTGCAAAAGCGTGAAAGAGCTCGCATACAATTTCAGTGTCGTGGTAGTCCTGGGTATCATCAGAGGCAGCCGATGCCGCGGTTCTGTTAGATGATGCCAGCGAAAGAAGCCTTAGGAGGCGCAACTCATTTGTAGCAGAGTCTAATGATTTGTAAGGGTACATATCGAGTTTGCAAGCCACCGATCCGAAAGCTGGGTGATTAATTGTCATACATGGGATTTTGAAGTTGGTGGTTGAAGGGTGTCGGGCGGAGGCTTATTCGTATTTTTCAGCCAATTATGGCTGATCGATACCAGCTGAAGACTGACCACTTGGAAGACGCGAGTGACCCATTTGGAGCGAGGAAGTATCTTCATTTAGGCGATGTTGTATACCTTTATGATAGCGAGAATTTGGTCATCCTCGTGTGTCTGTTCAACAGTTGATCGCGACAAGTGAAGCTATGGCCTGGGCCACAGGAAGCAAGCCTAACAACGAACGTGCAATCGCAGCGTTGGTGTAGGAGAAAATCGCCTACCATTCGAGTACGGTCGCAAATGTCTCGTCCTCAGAGCAACAAAATCGTGAAGATGTCGCAATGCGGCTAGATTTTTTGAACTAACCGTTGGAGTATAGCTAGATTCTTCATATTTGATGCGCTGTTATTCATGAAAATGACGACGATGCGATAGAGTGTACGTGAAGCACGAGCGAGGTGTGATCATCGCAACATCCAACGACGTGTGCTTGTGGCACCGACAGGGCGCATGAAACCTTGTAGGAGACGAACAACATTAGTCATAACAAGAGAGAATTATGATAATTGACGAGGTGGGTGCGCCAAAATCATTGAGGACATTCCAGATTGTGACTTGTGAGTTGAAGCTGCGTCTAGTTTATCTGTGCCCGCTCGGGACGAAATCGAGATCGTTTGACAAAAACCTACCTACGGTAATCCTAACGGCAAGAGCCATGGGTGGGAACACTCTCTTACGCGAAGATTACTTTAGTTCCCTGGGTAATGCTCTAGGTTTAATTTAGCGTGATGAGGAAGTTGCCGATTGACTAACCGCACGTGATGTCCTAATCGCGCTTGGGTCCTCTCACCTTGAAATTAATCTTCAGGATTTTATTGATCCTAGAATCTGTCACATTCACATTCACACGCAAACATCCGCATCGACAGACCTCTAGACACAACTGTTCGCGTTTAATCGAAATCGCGTTAGTTCTCGAGAGTCGCAGAACTCTTCACTTTTAGCGCAAATTTCGATTGTTATCGCGTCGGTTCGGTCTTTCCAGCTCCACTCGCTCAAGTTCGTAAACCTAGGGATTCCTAAGCTTACAGCTAGGCAATTCCCGTTTTGTCAAGGTTCGCCTTCCCCTTTTCTTTTCATCATCAACCAGAGGATTCCATCGTCCTCATATGGGTATCAATTGCAAGTGCTTCATTTGATACTGGTATATGAGGGCTACCTCAATTCTACCACCTTCTACGCCATCTCGTGTTTGTTGGCTCCAATTTACCGATCGCGTTTGTTCGACAAATTCGGATACATCAACGGAGAGCCCGGGCCTCCGAGGACGGGATAATCTACTAGGATCTCTGTCGTAAGATGAAGCATTTCCCTCTTCAACGTCTTACTTTCATCTCATAAGTTTTCACCAAGTGAAAATTATCGCTAACTTTGTCGCAGCAGCTGAGCTGTCAGTCGGGATTTTCAGACACGTACCGCAAATCGCTAGTCTTGAAGAATTGATGCGCGTCTCGGCAATTTCTAGCGGCCTGCATCGCAATCTGTAGTGTGTTGGTGTCGCATTAACTAATTTGTCCTTCCTACACCAGTCGTCGCCAGCATGTCGCAATTCGTTCTTCCGTTTCCAAAAATTGCCGATCCGGGCTATGGGACGGTAGGGGAATTGTGCGCGACTTTAGGCTATCCTCAAACCCTAGAACATGGCCGAAAGGGTTCCAAATTGGCGAACGCAGTTCTTCGGTATCGGAAACGTATCGCAGCCAGCAACCCGGATCTCCCGCAATGTCCTCTAGACAGCGAAACTCCTGAAGCACTCATGTACGCCACTGGCTTCCTGGAGGAGAACAAGGAGTATTTCGAACCTAGTGAGACAGCGGAGGAGCTAGGATGGCCAATTTACCCTATACACGAGGAAAAGTGAGTCGCATCAAATGCATTTTCGATGACGTGCTAATTTTCGTATTAGAATAATCAGCGGTTTGAAGAAATTGATCTGCCTTCAAGAGTACTTCTGGAGAAGAAATCAGAATTATTTCCAAAAGCGTGACTGGTAAACCATCTGTCTGTCAACACAAAATTTCACGCGACTGACATGCCCAGGGACCAGGAGAATAATATCGGAACGTCTTCCACATTGAACGCTCCAGAAGATGCAGGAAATTCTTCCACCCCTAAAACAATCGCTAAGCCGAAGAGAGAAGCAGATGCAGGGTGAGCGTCACTTTTCTGCTGTCGACTTGCAATTGCTAACACGACTGTAGTGTTGAGGAACACGTCCTGGAGAATATTGCAGTCCATCTGGAGTATGCATACCCTTTGGAAGGGTTTCCGTCTATCTCTACCACTTGGCTATTTGAAGTGCGTATATTCTATGTTCCGCATTCTATACATGTCGCTGATTATGTTTAGCCATTGAAATTCAGCTATGGGAAGATCAACCCGAAGTTAGTCGATCCTTTCGTGATTCGGTATCTGCACGAGAGAAACCTGTACAATACGGATGATGCTGCTGCCATTGATCAATTTGCTCGAGATGCCATGAAACAATACCCTCACCTTGCTCACCAGACCGAATACGAGTCCTGGGCTCGAGACCGATGTCAACTTATCATTCAGAAGTTCGCCGACTCTTGGATGGAATGGGAACGTAACGGGTACGGCTTTCTCAAGGAAGTAAACAAGAGATTTCAGAAAAGCCCCGCGTTTGAGAAAGCATGGGCACTTCGCCGAGTAGAATGGCTGAACAAAGTTCATCACGGCTCAAGTCAGAAGGTGATTGAATGGTGTGACGCGGGGCTATTATCGCAGGTAACAGAAAAATCGACCAAGAAAACAAGGAGTCCAAATCTCAAGAGAGTAAGTGAAATCTGAGTCTTTGCCGACTGTTCTGTATTGACAATGATTAGGGATTCACTGCTGTCAATCATTCATCGCATAAGAAAAGCACCCCTTCTAAAAAGAGATCACGTCTTGACTTGCGCTTATCGGAATCGATGCCAAAGACGGGATCTGGCCATCAAGATGACGAGGAACAGTTGAATGGAAGTCCGAATACTATTTTCGTCGTAGGTCTCCTCCCTTTCACGTCCGTGATGTACTCACCTTCTATCTTGACACTAATCTGACACCAGAAAAATGACCATAACAATGGCACGCCGTCAAATCAATCACAACAACCTGCCGACAGAACTTCCCCACCCGCTTCAGACTATGTAAATTCTTTGGTAGATATAGCCACGTCTTCCTATGAAGCACAAAGCCAGCCGGTAAAGGATGCACAGCCATCTCAACCTACGCCCCCAGCATCATCCACTCGAGCCACAATGGGTTTCACTCCTGTCAATAGCAAATTCAGTCCGCATCAACCTCCTGGCGTGCCGGCACCGTTTGTCTTGAAATCATCGACTCTCAACCCCCAGAATGGACCACCCCCACCACATGCACCACAACAACCTCATGCACCAACTCCAGGACCGGTGGCTCAAACCCCATTACCATATACCGGCGTGGCCAATCCTTCACCATATGCGGCTATTAACCCATCCTCATATGCAGCTTCGAACCCATCGCCTTACGCGGCAGCTATGCATCCTGCTCAATACTCGTATGCCCAAAACCCTTCGCCTTACGCTGCCGTACATGCAACACCATATGCGCCCCCCTCTACCTACTTCCCTCCCGCAAATGCCCATCCGCAACCGCCACCTCAACGTTCAGCTCCTCCAGCCCCGGAAGCTCGTCCGCAACCTCCACAAGCTGTTGCGCCGTCGATCGAGTCCTATCATGAAGTTCCTGTTGCCCCTCCGCCTGCGGTCAACGTCCCTTCTACAGTGCCAGACAAGTTTCTCAGTCCATCCCCCGAGAAGGAATCTCTTCCGACAATCAATAATCATGGCTTACCAAATAACACAAAGGTTCAAGACCGTCATGCAAGCAACTCGTACCACACGAATGGAATGCCATCACCTGCCTTTACGTCGGATCAGCATCACCATCACCATTATATCAGTGAACATCAACACACCCCGCAAGCATCTCATGGGCGGAACAGTTTCCAATCTGTATCTGGTGATCGAAATGGTGGCACTCCACACAGACTTAGTACTAGTGCTGATTTCAAAAGAGAGTCTATCGGAACACCTATTGAGTCAAAGCGACCAACTCTAAAATTTGCTATCCAAGACGATAGTGGTGTGCCAGACGACGAACCAGAAAATATGTTTACAAAGAAGCAACTTTGGGATATGGATGTAGCAGCATTGTTCGCAACTGTAGCTCAAAAGTCGGGTAAATCATTTGATGAGCTTTCCTTGCTTACGTTCCGTTGTCAGTGGGAACCAGCCTCAATCATCATCAGCAAGTACGCGGGCGATGATGCATGGAAACGCCAGAAGAAGAAGCTCAACTCACTATTCATCAGTGCGCAGTCTGAATTCCCTGACGAATTGTCTTTTGAGGTATGGGTCTTTTGCGGCGACAGACTTTCCAAGAAAATCAAAAAGCAGGATGCAGAGGATGATGTTGATTGATTCTTCAATCTTTAATTATCGTTGGACTTTTTCAACTTTATCTTTCTTACTAAATTTAGGCTCGTTATGCCTTGTATGGATTACAATATTGGCGTTGGGGATGTGAAAAGGTCCTTTAAGGATGCGATGATTTGATTTCATTTGTTTAATAAGCGTTGATATGAGAGAGCACAGCGAAGATTCAAAGAAAAATTGACTTGGAGGATGAGGGTTGGTCTGGAAAGCTATATTGTAATATTGAGTTTTGTTAATATGTATACCCTGATTTTATGTTATATCTGTCTTCCAATGATGTTTTGCAATTGCGTGACAACCCTTATATATTCTCGTTTGTCCCACGACTAAGCTATAGGATACTTTACATACGCAGCTCGTTTTGATAGTTCTATATCTCCAGCTATTGATTAGCTACTGCTGCCACTTGATTTCCTCACTAGCGAGAGCATGCCCGCACTAGCAGGGGATAGAGTATGCAGACGCACGTCTATCGATAACAGTTATCTCGAACATTTTGTGTTGACCAAATTAAAAAGATCTTTTTCTGTCGGATACCATGAGACTGTCTTTTCCTGTGTCTTCTATATAACAATGGCTCAATACGGTGGGTCTCCTATATTTGCCGTTGCAAGCACCGCACTGTTCGCGCTCGTCGCAAGTCTGATCCTCAGCACCTCAACATCCACCTCCTCAACCCTCTACTGCGTTTCTGATCCCACCACGCAGCACATCGAAACGCTCAATGCTTCTCTCCCACGCGCGAAATGCTTTCGCGTCGCCAATGGCCTCTTTACGGAGGTCCTAGCAGAGGTCCCGACGACGAGTGAAGAATCAATCACGTACCTGGATGGCTGGACGATACCGGGCATCATTGAGAGTCATGGCCACCATTTGCAGTATGGGGAGATGCTCGAATCGGTGCTGTTGTATGATGCGAAGAGTATGAAGGAGGTTAGGGGGCGAATTGGAGAGTTCTTGGAGAGACATAGGGGTGAAGGGTATGGGACGAGAGGGAAGTGGATTAGAGGTATTGGGTGGGATCAGAAGTATTTTGGGGGAGTTATGCCAACTGCTGTGAGTACCACGGCTCAATGGAAATGTTCTTAGCTGATTATCGTCTAGGCAGACCTGGCAGTCGATCCTCTTCTATCAGACCTATACATGATGCTCGACCGCGTCGACGTCCACTGCGTACTCACCTCCCAAAAAGTCCTCGATCTCCTCCCAAACCCATTACCAGCAGCACCCCCTGGAGGCTTCATAATCACCGATCCTGGACCAGGCGTCTTCTGCGATAATGCCATGGATGCCATCATAAACCCAATCGCACCAAAACCCGACGTTGCGCAGAAAACAAGATGGTTCAAGACTGCGATGGCGGAGTTAAATAAAGTCGGTGTGACTGGAGCTGGGGACGCTGGAATGCGACCGCAGGATATCATGATCTTGGAGGATATGGCGGTTAAAGGCGAATTGTCGATGAGGCTTAATGTTATGATTGAGTGTCCGGAGAGGAATACGTATTGTCCGCTAGATCTTACGGATTTGAAGTTGCTGGAAGCACCGAGGGGGATGGGCGAGAATAAGCTGATACTTGGGGGTGTCAAGATCTTTGCGGATGGAGCTCTAGGATCCAGAGGTGCTGCTCTGCTGGAGCCATACTCGGATATGCCTGATACAAGAGGGGTTATGCTCATTAATGAGACTGCTTTGAAGGCTGTAGTCGCTGATGTGAGTTGTACGGTTTGTATTCCTCGACTGTCTTGACTAATATATTTCTGCAGTGGGCCAATGCAGGCTTTCAAGTGAACGTCCATGCCATTGGGGATCGAGCCAACCGGGCTGCAATTGACGCTTTTGAGAGTGTGCTGGGAAAGAATTGCAATGGCTGCAACTCCAAGAGAAGATTCCGGATAGAGCATGCGCAAATCATTGTTGGTGTTATCCTATTCCAGAATATCTAACGAACAGCCATATTTTGCGAGACAAATTAGCTAACAACGTTTAGCACCCTAAGGACCAATTCCGCATCGCTCGTCTTGGAATAATACCCTCAATCCAGCCAACCCATGCAACATCTGATATGGCCTACGCCGTAGATAGACTCGGAGCTTCACGTCTGAAAGACTCTGCATACCGCATGGCCAGCTTCTTCCCACCTCCAAAATATCAAACTCTCTATCCCGGGCCAGTGCTCGGTTCTGACTTTCCCGTCGAACCACCCAACCCGTTTCACGGCATGTACGCTGCCGTCACCCGTTTGTCACCAGCTACTCTCGACAGCCCCTCCGGTAAGGGAGGTTGGTATCCAGAAGAGAAGCTGAGTGTTGAGCAAGCGCTCAGAGGGTTCACTTCTAACGGTGCTTACGGGTGGTTCAAAGAGAATGAAATGGGAACTATCGAGGTGGGTAAGTATGCTGATTGGGTCGTGGTTGATAGAGATATCCTTGCGGACAAGAGCGGAATGAGTTTGGTTGATGTTGAGGTCAGAGAGACTTGGGTTGGTGGCGCAAAGGTTTACAGCTCCAATGCCCCTGAAGTTGAGGTTACTGGCGGGAAAGGTTGGAGGTCGGTGCTGAGCGAGTGGGCCGCTTGGTCGAGAGATGTGATCAATGGTCAAATGTGGTGGATGAGAACTAGCTAAGATATCAGGTTGAAGACCCACTCCCAACGGCACTTTGCTTTCTCCCTTGCTTCAACTCCACTTAGAAGTGTTGAATCTCCATCACGTGTTTTCGCGTTTGGGTCGCTGCTGCCTGGTCTAAATCGGCGTATCATTTCTAATACGGCTCGTGTGTGGTGAATAATTTATACAGCTGCTTGACGCTTGATTTTTTTTCAATATCTTTTCCCAACTTGTACTTCACTTCTTTTCCTGTTCCAATTCATGTTCGTATAACTGCTCGTTCAGTTGAACATCGTCCTTGCGTTCGAGTGAGGAGCTCGATCTTTTTCTATTTCATCACTGCTTGGGCATTCTTCGTCGTTTTGACTACGGACAACAATCTTCTTCTTCTAATTAACGACTCCTTGCTTGGTTGAACGTTCTTCTTACTTTGGATTAAGGAAATCGATCTTCCCCTTCTCTCCTGCACACGAAACCTGCAATGGCAACTCCAGAAACACCAAGCGTCAAAAATCCTGTTGACACCTTTTACGGGTTCCAAAGTAGCTATTGCTGCGGTGGTGAAATTCGAGTCACGAAAGACCCAATCGTGAAGCCGGATTCTGGCACAACGAAGGATGGACCGATTTGGGCTCCACCCACGACTATTCGTTTCGATGTCCCTAACCAAAGTCCACGGGCGCTAACATTGAAGCTCCCTCTACAATTACCCACTCAGCCAGCTCCCGGAGGTCTGCAAACTCTACAAGCAGAAGATAACTCTGGAGCAACTCCGCAACCATTCGCAGAACTACTCAAGGCATGTACACCCGCCACCTTTGGTCTAGGCGGCGAAGACGTCCTCGATGAGCAATATCGCAAGGCTGGCAAGTTGGACAGAGAGCAATTCTCAGTCGATTTCCATCCAAGCGATATGGCATCGTGGACACAATTGCCCAGACGCTTCTTCCTGAGGCTCTGGATGAAGTCATGAAAAGTCGAAACGATCACCGAGGGGTTCTTGCTGAGTTGTACAAATTGAATGTGAGTTTCTTAACCTTGATAGAGAATTACACTGATAATCGATCTGCAGATATACTCTGGTCCAGGTGGAAAATTCAAAGCACACGTTGATACACCACGCGGGGTGACCCAGTTCGGTTCACTTGTAGTGTGCCTCCCACATTCTTTCAAAGGTAACCAACCAACCTCTTATAAATTTTGACAAGTTCTCTTAGCTAACCTATATAGGCGGAAAGTTTCGCGTCAGTCACGGGTCAAGTTCCACCTTCTTCGACTGGGCCACTGACGAGCCAAACACCATTCAATGGGCCGCATTCTACAGCGATTGTGAGCACGAAGTCCTCGAGGTCCTCAAAGGCCACCGTATCACATTGACGTACAATTTATACGCCACTGAACGCGTCGGCGGTCCCCTACAAGTCCATCCTACTGTCGACGCTAAACTATCGCCTTTCGCTGCTGCCGCTCGTGCCGTGTTAGCGGATTCTACATTCCTTCCACAAGGTGAGCTACTTATATCTAGCCTTATAGCTCATACTGACTGTAATCAGGTGGTATACTGGGCATTTAATTGACTCACTCATACGCACACTCACACTCCTCAGCCGCAGACCTCATGCCCTACGCTCTTAAAGGTGTCGACTGTGTCATCTTCTCTGTTTTCAAAAGTCTCGACCTCAAAACCAGAGCCCGTCCAGTAATGGGCGAACACGAACACTATGCTTACTGCGCGTATTACCCGTCGGACGACACTCCTGATCACAGCGGTCCCATTACGGTCGTCGGTGAGAAATTCCATGCCAGGGCCGAGGGCAATGATAATGAAATAGAACAATCGTGGGGGATGATCAGACAGGTATGTGCGAGTGCTTTGAGCCGTTTTATTACTGTATTACTTAGCTTACTACTGCCAAAGGAATTGAAACGTGCATTTCCAAATAGCGCTAGGAGGAATGTGTTTTGGATTAACAAGCCGAAGCATGAGGAGCTGGCGATCGCGAAGTTGCATTATGGGAATCAGGCGACGGTTGATCTGATTTATTCGCGGGCCGCTATTCTGGTTGATATTCCGAAGTGGGGTGAGAAGGGAAGGGGGGTTGTAGCTTAAGCTTTGGGGGTTGTGATTTGGTGACCTGTTAGAGAAAGTGTGACTTTGTCTTTTGGGTGTCCCGATAGGAATTTAGGTCACTGATGGTCGATCTCTCGGAGATGTAAAGTCTAATCAACTTAGGCTTATAGTGAGTTAGTCAATACTGGATTTATCTCATGATCTTCACGAGATGTGTGTGATGTTCCCTAACGAAATGTCAAGTCAATGTAACGCTTCATTGTTAACCCCATTCAAACTGGCCAATGCGTACAAGCTACTATAATGCTCTATTTGAAGTTGGTTTTGTGAGACTGAAGAATGACCAACAATACCTTTACTTAACTAAATTGGGAAGGTATTTGTTGAGAAAAGCATGTTAAAGGAGAAGATTTACCCCCGCTCCATGAATAGAAGGATTTTGTGATTTTGTTGCGTTATTTACTGGATTTAAGAGCCAACAATAAAGAAGACCATTTAAAATATTGTAATATAATTTATTACCTAGATGGTCTAGCAACTACCTATGCAAAGACTTTTGCTTCATGACTGTAGTCGAGGAAGAAGAAGTAAGGGAAAGAGTTTCTGCAATTTTATGCTTGAAAAGAATCCCAACCCTTTTTGAGATTCTGTCTTGAGATAGCTCTAAGAAAAGAGGCTATAGAACGGCGGATGATGTTAGTGGCAGGGACCCCCTAAGAGGTTTTTGAATTCGATTTAACAAGCTTTCAATAGAGTCTGAAATGTACAATTTATTAGAAACTATAGTTTATTATAGGATCAATTTAGTATGTTCTTAGTGGGCGCAAATATGAAAAGCGATCGTCTTATTCAAACAATTGTCGTGCAATGAGTATCACTTACTGTTCACTAGAGGTTGTTGAAAAAGCATGAATAAGTGGGGGAGGGTTAAACATATCATAACTCGAGGTGAATCTATCCACCCATATAGGGCTGACGTCTATGCGTGGCGAATAGCACCCGCATCGAAACCAACAACACCACCTGACATCTGCCCAAGAATCCTCAAAATCTCCAACCTCAAAATACCCTTCCCATCAACTCACCTTAAACCGCCAAAATAGGACGCAAACACAAATCCCGCGCCTCAAAAGCTCAAACCAAAGCAGCCCGCCGTCTCTCCAAAATGGGCCAAGAAAACTCAACCCAACAAATCGACCCAAACACCCCTCCTCACACCCTCCAGTCCCGCACCATAGAAGGCGTCGCCTCATTCATCAAAGATGTCGCCCCCAAAAAAATCGTAGTCATGACAGGCGCCGGAATCTCTACATCAGCAGGCATCCCCGATTTCCGCTCCCCAGACACGGGATTATACGCCAATCTCGCGCGGCTGGATCTTCCGTATGCGGAAGCCGTGTTTGATATCTCGTATTTCAGACAGAATCCGAATCCGTTCTACGTGCTGGCCAAGGAATTATATCCTGGGAAGTTCTTCCCGACGATATCGCATTCGTTCGTGGCGTTGTTGCAAGAGAAAGGACTTTTGAAGATGTTGTTTACGCAAAATATTGATTGTCTGGAGAGGAGGGCGGGGGTGGAGGCGGGGCGGGTTGTAGAGGCGCATGGCAGTTTTGCTAGTCAGAGGTGTATTGAGTGTAAAACTGAGTTTCCGGAGAAGGAGATGTTGGAACTGGTTATGAAGGGGGAGGTGCCGCATTGTGTGGTCCCGCAGTGTAATGGGCTTGTGAAGCCTGATATTGTGTTTTTTGGGGAGCCACTGCCGGAGAGCTTTCATTCTAATAGACATGTGGCGGCCGAGGCGGATTTGGTTATTGTGATGGGCACGAGTTTGTCGGTGCATCCGTTCGCTAGCTTGCCGCAGTTTGCGAGGGAAGGTGTTCCGAGGGTGTTGATTAATAAGGAGCAGGTTGGCGATTTTGGGAGTCGGCTGGATGATGTGGTTGTGTTGAGTGATTGTGATGATGGAGTCAGGAAACTTGCCGATGCGTTGGGGTGGGGAGACGAGTTGGAGGCGATGTGGTTGGAGGTTAATGGGAAGGTTAAGGGGAAAGACGCGGAGAGGTTGAAGGAGATGCGGAAAAACATGACGAAAGATGAGCTTTTGCAGGAGGAGATCGATAAGTTGACGAAGGGTGTCGATGATTTGCTGCATGATTCAAAGGAACATGTGGAGAGGACGACGAGGCAGTTTGAGAAGTCGACGCCAACAGAATCGAATAGCAGTACGGTTGATACGCCAAACTCAGATACAGAGTCTCCAAAAGAAACCACCAAGTCAGAGAGTTCATATTCAGTACCAGCCAAACCTGCTCCTGAGAAGGAGAATGAGCCATTGAATATGGAGAAAACTGTCAATGGGCAGCCCGCTTCACCACCCCAAATCCGACCAGAGGCTATTCTCGACACAACCTTACCGCATAACAAACCTGGAGATGGCTCATCACTATAAAATAACTGTTATTCGTGCTAGAAGTACGGCGTTCACAGCCTTTCTGAACATGTATTAGATTGTCAAGTCTGGAATCTTTTAGAAACAAGATATATATGGCGTCCGGTGTTGGTATCGTCTAGTCTGATGGGTTATATAATGTTTGAGAGAAATTAGCTGTATTTAATTTGTAACTGAGATGGAATTATAATATTGATATCATTGGTATTTGCACCTTATATTTCAATTCCAGGACCACGTATGTGAGGGCTATTATACAAGATCTACAAGTTCTGTTGTTCCTTCATGATGAAATGAAGATCTCTTATCCAAGCCGCCAACTGAGTGCAGAAACTTGACTATTTCTCTACTGGTCAGATGAAATAACATGTTATCCGCATCACGCTCCGACTTCAAACAACAAACTCCTCACTCCCTCGCGCTCACTCCCAAGACCTCCTTCTAACTCTTTCCTTCAAAACTTAATCATACAATCCATAACCCACAAGTCACATACGTCACTTCTCGTTCTATAATCTACACCACGTTAGTCCAAACACAAAACCCACGAACACCAAATAACACTCACACATTTCCTCTCACATCTCTCAACACCTCTCTCCATGACTCTTCCTGAACTCTAAAGCTTCCTCACCCTCGGCGCCTTCCGACAAAGCACCTCCACCCACCCCTCATCCTCCCTCAAAAACCTCATCATCGGCATCTCCCCTTTCCCCTCCTCTCTCGTTGATTTAACAAATTTCGACAGATCAATCCCAGAAACAACGACAAAAGGTGCGGTACTCGACTGTGGTGTCGTGATTTTAGGTTGTATGTTTAAAGTAGCCAACGCCGCAGCAGTTCTACCGAAAGGCTAGGTAAGTATTGCAGGGGAGGGAAGAAGGATGGGACGACTTACAAGGTAGACATGGTTCTTTAATAACGAAATTCATGAGTTACTGAAACAGCAGTGTTTTTCTGATTTTGAATGGCTTTGTTATATTTTCAACCTTCAACCTCTCCACCCATTCCACCAGCCAGTACTTATACCATCTCCCACTACTATCCTTCCCTCTGCCTTCCCATCCACCCACCGCACCGGCTCCCCTTCCCTATCTACCCATTACCCATTCCCCTCTCCTTCCAAAAATCCCATCCCCACTCCAAAATTTCCCAGGTGTAAATCTCACCGCACACCCCCCTAAATCCCATCCAAAATCCCATACTTCCAACACCCTAAAGCGGAGAGAAGCTCAACGTGGTGGCGTCTCGCCTGCAGGCGCTAGGCGGACCCGACGTTTCGGTGAGTAGACACACGATGGGAGGGGATCGCCACGTTGTAATGTGACCGATGACGGTGTGGTGCATGAATATGGCGTGGTTTGCGGGACATGGGGGTTGTAGGGCTGGGGAATGGGAAATAGGGGATGGGAAAAAGAAGGTGTGAGGTTTAGGGGTTGTTCGGGTGTATGGGAGGCTGAAGGCTGAAGGCTGGAGGAAGTAAGAATAAAAATTGGTCAAATCAAACCATTACAATTAAGGATGGAGTTTTAATCACAGAAATTCGATCAAGACTTCTTTTTAAAATGGAAAATGGTTTTTTATTTACTAGATTCGTCTCATGACGAAAGAACCAGAGGTCTCCAATTAGGTCTATGCAACTGAGACGTCCAAAACAACTCTCTCGACGGATCTTTGGTATAGTCTCCATGAGTAGTCGCAAGCAAACTTCTCATATCTGCCAGATAACCCTTCTGCCGTGAATTCCAAGACTGCGATTCCTCCATCTTCGGATCCGAAAATGGCGCATATCCTTGGTGCGCGTAATGAAAACATGTCAAGAGTGTCGTGGCGCCTTGCATGATTGTATCGACGAGATTCTTGTTGGAATATTTGGTCTAGTTTATTGAGTTAGACAAGAGAGTAGAATCTAAAGACTGTCGTGCTTACCTTAAGGTTATTACGTTTCACGAACCATGCATCGTGCGCCATGGTCAACTCAACATTATGTAACAGAATGAAGTATGCAAGATATATCTCGAACCAGTTTTTCCAAGGATTCCGAGATTCCAACATCTCTTTGACTGTCTTCAAGATCTTCTTCATCTCAGGCTGCAACAAATCGTTGATCGTTATGACGTCAATCTGGAGGTCGACGATTGGAGGTACCGGAATCCTGTCATGGTATGGACAGTTGGGATTATCATCTAGAGATATATCCAGCGTCTCGGTGCCGATAATGCTCCAAGGCTCTTCGATGAATCGGCAGCCTACCCAGAGCTTCAGCGCTCTGGTTACCAAAGGAAAATATTGCTATTGCATGTATTAGCTCTCTGAATTTTATAGTACCACGCAGCATGGCAATAATGGGTCATCACGAACCTTGTATTCTTGAGCTATGGCAAACGTTTGCCGAGTCGTCTCACAAGCTCCAATTAAATGTTTGGTAATGTATTCTTCCGCATTCTGTGTCAAGAAGCTTTGGATTGCGGAGCTTGTTGCATCCAAGTTTGAGATGCCATAAGCAGGCGTGTCGAAATGATATTCCATGTCACCGTCATACCAGGAATAATACTGCTTGTCTGTCGGCTTTGGCGCATATCGGTCAAGTTGTATTGCCAACGCCCTAGATGTCCATCCTTGAGACAGTTCAACTACCTTCGACGACTGCTTACTACTCGGACGCGTAGCAAACGTCTTCCAAGAAGCTTGCTTTCCAGTAGTTGCATCCGCAAGGTTTCCGCGATGTGAAGCTGCAAAATCAATTGTAGGCCCTTAGTGCACTCGTTAGTCACGGAAGAGGTTTGCGCATGGTGGTTCACAGTACCTCGCCGGAACATCTCAGTGCTTCCAATGTTTGGCCGCCAGCAAAGAGGTCGAAGGAGACCAGGTATAACTTTCATCTTGTTCGAAAGAGAGAGTGATAGACAACTCCGACAAGAGCCTTCGGGATCATCCCCATCTTGACACTACACTAGAGTCAGCGATGTGTATACACGGATGCATCTGGCTAGCCGACCGTCTTCCTATTCAATTTGCATCCATAACAAGCGCCCTTCACTCGCACTTGGGCCGTTTCCTTGGGTGATTTGAGCCTCCGAGTTTTGCGAGGACGTGCTAGTGCGCCAGACTCGGGGCTTGAAGAGGGAAGCCGTCGCTTGCAAGCATGATTTGAACCAAATTCAGTCGATCCATACTGTTCAATCGCAGCTGGAGATGCTGGTGTGCTAGGATCTGTTGAGCTAGTCACCGGGGTCGTGTTGTCGGAGAACTCGTACGGCCAACTATTAACGAAATCATCGGATTGAAAGTCGAAGGAGCCGAAACTCAAATTAGAATCGTAAGAGTCCATCTCTCGTGTATACGTGCGCAATAAATATGTCGAGAATGTGCTATGCGGCTATTGAAAAGTGCAGAAGAAGAGATCAACGGCCGTATCAGAAAGTTTTAGTGCAAATCGTCGTATGAAGAACTCAGCAAAATACGACAACTACCAGGTATTTCATGCAGCACCAAAGGATAGCGACGAAACGAGACGCATGTCAGATGTGATGTCAGAGGCGTGTTTCCTGGGGAAAATTCGCCACCGGTGTGCCTCAGCCTACCACCCGTCGCCAATGAAACCTTGCCGCCAGATTTCACGACACCCTCAGCCAAAGCCAAGAAACAAACCCGAACGTTTAATTGCGGAATGCCGCTAATACGATGATCAATTGCTTCTTCGTGTTGTTTGCGCGTTTTTGCTCACCGAAAAGTGTTGCGAGAGGTACCATGGGCGTTCCTCATCGAACCATTATTTCAAGCATGACCAGAAGAACGTTGCCGCGTGCAAATATAGCTGTTGTCCCGGATAGGCTCGAGTGGCCACATCTGTGGTCGGCCAACGTGCTCAAATGCGTCGTCCCATTGCGGTTTGAGCTCTTTTGGTATGGGAAATTCTGTTTCCGTTGCTTCGTTGTGTAACCAAAGCCGTATCAAATGGCGCTTGTCTTCAGCTGAATCGGTAAAAGCCGATCTACCATGCATGAGAGCCAAGTTATTCCAGACTAAAATATCGCCAGGCTTCAATTTCATTGAAAGAGCATGGCGACTTGCACTGAACTGAACGGCGTTCAGTGCCTCGACATGATTTGCAGGCAGGTCCGGAATGTCAGAACTTCGTGGCGATGATGCGTTACCTAATAATGGACGTCTTGAAAACGAGAGAATCGCTTTTTTACTGGGCGTTGGATATATAAGAGGTCGCATCACATAAGGCGGCCACTGACCAAACCTGTTCTCTAAGTCAGTCCTGTCCCAAACTCTCAAAGACCAACTCACCTATCGAATGCCCACGTCGGCGAAGATAGAAGATTTATCAGTTCAGGTTTCACCGCCGCAATCTCATTATACACCGTTGCAATGGATGCAAGTCGGCTCTCTCCACCAGAATGAGCTTCCCCTAGAGAGTATAGTGCAATGGTATCTCCAGTGTCCGTATGGAACGGCTTGTCATGGCGTTAGCATGTCCGCAGATTGGAAGGTGATTAATTACCTGCTCAACATTCGAATAAGGCGCTTGTCGACGATTGTTTGGATCCGGAACATGACCGACATCTGTCAAGTGGACTGCGTTTCGAGTCAGTCAGACCTGAATTGGCTATGGGAAGCCGCGCATCGTGGAACTAACGTAGCATATTTCCATGTTCATCCTGGCGTCCACGTCTCTCTCCAATATATGTTGTGAGGCCCAGGTAAATAATTATATTCGTCTCTTTAGAGTATCGCTTCGGGTCGAGTCCGCAAACACGAAAGAATCCAACGCCTTCAGTAAGTTCACGGGCCAATGCCTTCAAGCATTCACCTAATACCGGAAGAGGGAAGTTTTGTCGTGACATTTTCTCGAGAGGATGCCCGTTTTCTGCAATCGCGAAGATTAGCCAATGTCAAACATTTTGCGCTTTCACTGATACCCAGGAAACCACAAACGCTCGAAAGAGGTGACAGACCTTGAAACGCTTTCGAAGCTTTCTCCAACTCGGCCACCTGCGATTGATTCAATTGTAGACAATGCCGCTCGTGTTCAAGCAGATATTCTAAATCTGCCCCCGACCAGGCTGTGGGCAAGTCTATCGTGCTGGGAAAATCCGGGGGTATCGCGCTGTGTTGCAATCTTGAGGTTTGAACTGCGCCATTATCAGACCTATAATGTCTCTTCAATCTCGTCCATTAGCCTTCTTCATACCGCAACGAATTGGAGCAGACCTACGGCATTGAAATAGTCGGATGGATAAGACTGCGCCGGAATCCAAGCGCGATCTGGCCCGAGAATAGCTTGAGAAGCCATCGCGATAGACAAAAGGCAAAGTCGTGGCACGGTAGGGCAGTAGATGAATGGCTTGCTTGTATGGCTAAGCTGTAGCAATTGTAGCAGCCCTTTGTTGGATTTTCGCGATATGGTGAAGATAGCAAACTTGCCCCTCCCACTTCGCAGTACGGTTATGCAGCTTGCATGATCAGATCACATGGTAGAGATGCGAACCACGCTTCAATCGTCCAAAGCGCATGGCCGAAGAAATCTAAGAATAATCTCTCTTACCAGACCGAAACGGCGACCATATTGCAGACGATTCATTTGCCGGCGACAGTGTGGGAGCATCTTCAGTTCGTTGTTAGCATTGTTTTGTGCTGATGGCTGTTGATATCTTCTCATACCAGGTCGAGGTGTTGTTAGCTTTAGCGAAGCTTCAAATCCGTGACCCTAGGCTAGTAAACCACCCGAACTTAGCGTCCGGGGATTCATTTTGGGCCCTTCATTTTAGGTGGCCTGACTCCTGGTTCATTAAATGTGGAATAACATTTTCAACTGGAGTTATTTCGTGGAAACAAAAAAGCTCCTATTTTCTTTATCCATAGTGTAAACTTACAATTCGCGCTATCTTCTGCTATTCTTGAACGGCGCAATGAAGGTTACACAAATTCAGCCGCATGTGAGGGGATAGTTAGGTTTGTCGCAAGGCTTGACTGTCGCGATGCCTTCGCAATCACTTACATCGAAAATCATTCGACAAAGAACGAAGTCCTAAATAAAACCGTTCACGTTATTGATGGAGACCCGATCTGACCAAGATCCAAAGAAGCCTAGAGCTCCAGATGGTCGAGACGATCCTTTCATCTGGGACGACCCAATAGCCCCATGGGCGAGCTTCGACGACGTCAAGTCGACCAAGATAGGCAAACCAAGGGTCAAATGGATGATAGACCAGATCTCTAGTGAGCTCTCGATGGTATATAACCGTGAGTGATCATTCGAGGCTATGTAAAGTCATGTTTTCGTTGAAAATTGGTAGAAATGTTCTTCGGGTTTTCCAGGTCAGGCCGATACATGGACGACAACTTATCCAGTTATTTGGCGGTAGCGAAACTTCAATCGGAATACCCTCCGTTACAAATGTCTCAAAGTGCTCAAGCTAGTCCGGGTGAACCACCAGCTTTCGTGTGCAGAAGCTCTGGTAGATGCGAATGTAGGCCACTACTACCATCGACAGACCTCAGCTTATATCACGAGCTACCTTCTGTTGATCACTTACGGATTCTTGAGGTCCTTCCAGGACGTAGCGGTGTTATAGAATGTGTACTGCATGTCGGCCGGCTTCCACAAGACAATTGCACATACGAAGCTCTCTCTTACACATGGGCTCTAGAAAATCGGACCCCACAAACGCCAACCACACTCCCAATTCACTGCAACGGTTTAGATATCGCTGTCGGAGTCAATCTAGCCAATGCCTTGCGAAGACTTCGGATGGAGCATGTCTCTAGAATGATATGGGCCGATGCGCTTTGCATCAACCAAGCAGATATCGCCGAGAAAGCTCAACAAGTCTCGAGAATGAATCTGATCTTCCAAAATGCTTCCCAGGTAGTGATATGGCTCGGCGAACTGGGCGATACCGGGTCTGTAAATAGTGGGGACTCTGTTTCCCGGAAATCACGTTTGCCCCTTCATTATCCATATCAGGCCTTTTCGGGTGTCTGCGCAGTGGTCAACGCTTGGAGAGATGGATCAGGCTACGATAGATTTATCCAGGCAGCCACGCACTCTCCTGGGATCGCAGTGCCACCAGAAGAGAACTGGGACGTAGAGCAATCTTTGATTTCCGAATCATGGCGTCAGCTTGACAAAATGAGTGAAGGGTCCCTTTCGGTTGTCGAGTCATGGAGCAGAATATTTGAGATTTACAGCTGCCTCTGGTTTTCACGCCTCTGGGTTGTCCAAGAGGTGGCACTTGCTCGTTCAGCAATCGTTCTGTGGGATGAATGTGAAATTTCCTGGGAATGGATAGGACTGGCAGCCGGGATCATTCGAACGAACTTCGACGCAATTGCAGCTGTCGTTCAGAGACACCCCGAAATTTCCGTTCGGAGCTCTATGCACATAGGTATCACAAATTGCTATTTAATGTTCCGGTTATCAAAGTCACAGCGATATATCCCGCCCCTTGAATTGTCGTTCTGCGACCTCCTCCAGTTGACTCGACATCTGGGATGCTCGGATGATCGAGATCGAGTATACGGGCTTTTGGGCCTCCCTACTGGGGACAATGTAAGCTGTAATTTAACTCCTGACTACAGTAAATCTGTTGCAGAAGTTTACTGCCTCGCCGCGAGGAAGATGATCAACTCATCACTCTCGCTTGCCGTTCTGTCCAGCGTACAACGGGACGAGAATCATGTATGGCAGATGGCGCATAACAAGAGTGACAAAGGAAACTTTGACGAAACGATGCCTTCTTGGGTGCCTCAGTGGAATGTTTTGTTGACACGGAGTTTAACTCCTCCCCTCGATACTGGTTTTGCAGCCTCATTAGACACCCGGCTTCAGCAGCAACAAACAGATAATCCACTAAAACTCAACATTCGTGGCATACTACTTTCCTCGGTAGATAGTTGCGTTTACTCAGGACGCGAGTTCACTTACATTGATGATGACCCTTTTATGGGTGGATATTTCGCACAGAGTTCTGACGATTTCGCCACTGAAGATGAAATCCAGACAATGGACAACCCACTCAAGGAGCTACTCCAGAATCATCAAGCCAGTCGAGAGCATCTTGAAAAGATTTGTCTCACACTCACTGGCGGCCATAACTGGTACGGGCTTCCTGTACAGGATTTATCGGCGCACTTAGCCGACTACGTGTGTTGCCTCCTTGACGGCGGTCTCTGGTGGTCTCTTGAGAAGGACGCATTTACAGGCCCAGAAAGTCAGTATTGGACACGCGACCCTAGTTTAAAAGAGAAGAAAACGGTAAAAAACCTTGTCCGATCCTGGGATTTCGTCGAAACAGTCAAATCGGGAAACGGTCAACGCTTTCTCGACATCGCTTCCACAACGTCCACCCAACGTGCTCGCTTCACAGCAAGCAATGGTATGATCGGCCTTGGTCCCAAAGCAATGAAGGAAGATGATATACTCTGCATCTTGTATGGCGCTTCCGTCCCTTTCATCATCAGACCCAAAAGTGACGGCACCGGGTATATTCTTATTGGAGAGTGCTATGTTCGCGATCTCATGTCGGGAGAAGCTGTGAAGAATCTCAGTTCGCTGCCAAGTAGAACTTCACCTGGAGCTTTTCGGGCAGAGGAGACTTGGATTGAATTGCACTGATACTTCTGGTTATTACGAGCGGCTTCTTTGCCATGGGTGAAATCACGTTGTGAGCTGTCCCGTAACGACGTTGTGCGTACTCACTGGAAGATTCTGCCTCATCGTAAGAAATCTCATAGAGAACTAACGTGATTTCCCCAGTCGGTTGAGCAGAAGTGGCCATAAGCTATGAGCCCTGGCTGGGACGAGGAGTCTCCCGAGCTGCGGCCATTGAGATGAATGGGGTATGACATTGAAATGAAATCATGAATGGCTATTTCTCATAGCCACTTCAACGTGCGAGTCAACAAGACGTAAGGGGCATTCTGCGCAAGAGTTAGGAGAAGGTCCAAGAAGCTGACCTGAGACTTTCTGTAAGGTTCATAACCGAATGTTTAGTACCCTAGGATGCATGTAAGGGAGGAGATTATACGCAAGTGCCGCCCTTCAATACTCAACGACCATCTACCGGCTTGGCATCGCCGGCTCGTTAATTCCCGCACTCCCTCCCGCGATTCTGTGCGGATCATTACACATCTTAGGTCAGAGGCTGCTTAAAGTTGGACGTGCTCTGCGTCAACGTATTAAGTGGCGTATTTTGGTACGAAAGTACTTACAACATAACATCACAACACTTGAATAATGACTATCTACGTGTCAAAGAGGTGATCTGAGTCATTAATTGTCTTCAATTACTTTGAAGATCTGAAAATATACTCTCATTACATTCGACCTATAGGTAGTAAAGCAGATGCTTGAGGGTACAAGCATTCGGTGTTGTGATGCACAGGCCATCTACCAAAAAACGCTCTCTGATGCGTTGACGCCGAGACGTACTCGCAGCTGAACAAAACTCTTCCTTCGAGGTTCTTGTGCGGAAAAGATCTGCATTGCCAGCTCTTCCTGCGCTCCTGCTGGGACCTGCTAGTTCTGAAATTTGAACATGTGAGACACGAATAGCGTTGCTGAGTTGATGGGTTTAACACTGCTTCTGTATGCTTTGAGTAATAATCTTCATGCTGCATCGTGATGGCTGAACACGCAGAAGCCGAATGGAAAGTGTTCCAGTGAGTGTTTTGTCAATAACTTCCTGCTAACTTCGCTGGCGGCAAGCGTATGGAGGGAAATGAGAAAGTCGGTGTGAAACTTCGATGTTATAGACATCATGTCTCTGAAAGAAGATGGACTTTGCTGACTATCAGTCATGAAATGTCTCAACGACATGTCCAACGACAAATACGTCAAGATGAATATCGTGAGTTGAGTTGTCCTATAGTTATAAAAGCCTTGAAGTTTCCCAGTTCTCTTCTCATCACGATCCAAGGTCTTCTTTGCTCACCGAAAACTTCGACTTCTATCTATCATTCCAACAACACCTCCTACAAAACATCCATCAAAATGGTTTCAATCCGCAACATCTTGGCCGCCATGGCTCTATCCATCCCAGTGATTGCACAGACAACACCTGCTCAAGTTGTCCAGAACATTCAATTGATAACTCAAAAATCGCAAGCTCTCCAAACACCTGCTCAGACCATTAATATCCTCAATGGCCCATTGATTTTAATCGGCCAGGGTCCATACCCTGTTGGTTCTCCCTTCCACCTCTAGACTCCTGTCAAAATTTACTAACTGCGCTTTAGCAAATCATCGTCGGTTTTACCGATATCGTCACGACTGCCACCACCGCACTTGCTCAGATGAAGGGCATGGCACCTGTCCCTGCCGGGGCTGAATCTGATGCTATCTTCAACGCCTTCCGTGAAGTGAGACTAGTCTACTTTTTGCTTCCAACTATTTCCTTGGCTAATTATTTTCAGTTTGTTCGAGTCCACCAAGTACTCCTCAACATCCTCATCGGCAAAGCCGGTTTATTCCAGACCGTCCCCTTTATCGGGCAGCCCATTGCCGCAGTCCTTCGTCAGATTGAGGGCGTCGTTGATGTAAGATCCCGTCCCTATCGACTCTTTTATCTCCCAGCATACTGATTTATATGACAGACTGTCGCCTTCGCCCTTATCGACTCTGTCCAGAGCCGTGCTACGGATCTCCAGAGCCAAGCTAGTTCGCTTAGTGGAACTATCACTACTGCTATCAATGCTTATGATGGACTCTCGCTCAGCAAACGCACTGCTCCTATTAGCCGTGTTAGACGTGCTGTGGTGGTTGCTGCTTAAGTGGTATATCTAAGGCATTATCAAGGAAATCCATGTCACGAGCATGGGATTAGGTGGGTGGAGGACTAGGTGGATGTGGGATTAGTTGGTGCAAGTAGGGCGATGATGAATGTGTATGTTCTCTAATATATTTAATAACAGGATAAAAGTTCATAAAGATGTTTTGTTTTGATTCTAACTTGACCTGAATTCCAGTCTACCAAGAATTTGTTAACACGTACAGTAAAATCGTAAGTAACCTAAAGTAAACTATACCTCCTTTCTTTAATACAATATTTATTATGAATTAAAAAACGCTTATAGAAGAGGGACTTTCTGGAAGGGCCGGAGGTCACGTGCACACCAACATCCATAATACCTCCAGAAGCTCGGCTTCCACCTTCGATTAACAACAATCTTATTGGAGATGGCCGAGAAGTACGTTTAACGCAGCTGACTTCTCAATTATGGCTATTGACGAAGATCAGGTCGCCTGGCAGAAGAACTTCAGATGGCGTACACACAGAGTTGACGGGGAAGACGATCACCGTCTCGATTTCTTTATTCTAATCAACGACAAGAGCTTCGTTGTTACAGTATGTGCATCTCTTGACTCGAATGACTCAGTAACCCAGTTGGTATCTCGGTACAACCAAGCTTTTAATGAGAATGGCGAAGAGGAGATCCAGAAAGCCCAAGGAGAAATCGAGGACATAATCTACGACGCCGGTTGGCGCAAATTTGTTCGCTTAGCGCCCGCAACTGAGAAAAATAACTCTGCGTCAGTATTGCTTCATTCTGTTCTTAACCCAGAAACATTTTATTTTCGGTTGGCCACGGACGGAGAAAATACAGATCTCACTCAAGAACACCCTATGAAATCTGCGTACGGGCCTGCCTATTTCCATCTCAACATCTCGTCCAATCTGCCCAGATATGCAGCACAGGAGATCCAATTCAAGAAGAAGTTCATGGGCCTCGGGTTCAATGCGCGTGTTCTTGTTAATGGCCAGGAGATGTGTTGCAAGATAGCAAAGCCTGGTCAGGCCAAGGCGGTCCAGCGTGAATACGAGTGTTTGAAGAAAATTGCAGACTGTGAACACGCGGGTATTATCAGCGCACCGGCGCTGCTTGGTCTCGTTGTAGATGGTGGAGACGATAAGGTTATTGGGATTTTGGAGGAGTATATTCCGCATACAACGAGTGTAGGTAGATGCGAAGGGGGCATCGAGGCTGTTACTAGTGAGCGAAAGGCAAAGTGGGGGAAGCAGATCAAGCGGAGTGTCGAGTTGTTGCATGAGATTGAAATTGTATGGGGTGATGGGAAGCCGGAAAATGTTCTTGTCAATCATGAGACGGATGATTGCTGCTTGGTTGATTTTGGGGGAAGTTGGACGGAGGGGTGGGTAGATGCTGAGTTGAGTGATACAAAGGAGGGGGATGGGCAGGCTTTGAAGAGGATTCTTGAATTTCTAGCTGCATGATGAATGCTATGTTGTGAAGCATTGCGACTGGCTTTCGATTATGCCCTCATCTGGTGATTTTCAGACTAACGAGACTTGGGATAAATTACACAAAGTTTCTGGTCATTGTCAGCGTTTCTTTTGACTTTAAACCTTGTCACATGTTAATCGGTTCTGTAAGGCTGTGTTTGGAGCCATTCAGCCCTGGAGCAAATGAGCTGTGGTAAGCAAGTGAGACATAATCAATCCTCTTGGTTCAAGAAGTGCTTTTATGGAACAAAAAATACCCACGAGTACTTGCTCCTCGTTCTCTACAACGTACATCAGCTCAGTATTAGAAAACAACAAAAAAAGAAAACGTTCAAAAACATACAACAGCAGGTATTCGCTGGTGGTCACCCACCCAACTACTAATCTGCCGATCTAAGGCTTGTGTATGGCAGAGCGGACGGGATGCCCAATTCTCCTTAGTCTGTGGTCGTATGTGACAGAAGTGCTTGTTTCTGAGGCTATAATCAAGTGTTTTGAGGCCTCGAGGGAGTAAAAATTAAAAACTAGAGCCAAAAAGGGCAAAAACATACAACAGTAGGTAT